CCCCCCGTTATTCGTAGCCACCGCTGTGTGTACGTTATCGCTGCCCCGGGTCCTGGCGACGGCCGACACCGAAATTACACGCGCATTGTTATTGCATCGTCGACATCAGTGTTGTAACGCGTTTAAATTACGTCACGGCCTTTTACGTCGGGTGCTGTGCGCCTTACAAGCCCACCGCGTCGGGTTGGTGTTCGGTTTCGCGTACGGTGAGTGCCGCCGTGCACGGCTCGCACGCGTCTCTTGCGGAAGGCGCGCGTGGGCGCGTATTAATCCGATGGAGGCGCAAACATTTTGAGAGATGCTTTATGGGAGCAAACTATACAGGCACATACACGTGGATTGTTAAATTCAATTAGAACTATAGTTAAGGCCAGGAATCCAACAAATTTTGACCGTGCTAAGCAATTGGCCCTATCCGAAGGAGTCGAGATAGGTACCGAACAAGGAAATCGTCAAAATGTCAATAGTAATTATCGTAATGTAAACCGCGGAAATTGTTCACGAAATAAAAATGGTTAAAAAGTATTAATACATTTATATGCAAGGATATGGTTAACGTGCCGAAAAATAGCCAGGACCTTTGTCTCGAGACAGCCACACGAATGGAACAATTTGTAGAATATTACGAATTATAAAGTCAGTAGGCATATTAATTAATATAGCAGTAAGTTATTTAGTCAAGTATAAATAAGAATAACCATGGAACGAGCAAAAGTTCTGATGGAAAAATTAAGGGATACAGTGGGAGAAGGACCTCACAGGGAAACAATAGAAAATAATAGGATAATAGTTGAATGTTTAGGATACCATATAAGGGAAATCAACAGAATGACAATATATCCATACACCCCGGATGAATTAAGAGAAGTAGTCTGTCCGATATTATGTTTTATAAACCATCTGATAATAATAAGGGAAGAAACGTATTTTGAAGGATCAGTATGTGAAAACCTAGCGAGAGACCTCCAGGAGGTCAGTAAATGAGAGAGTATTTTCACCATCTGATTAAACATAAACACTTACCGTTAAAATTATTACTTTCTATGAGTTAAGTAAATATGTTGTGTATATTTGAAGATTGATAGTAATTTTATTATATTGTACTTAAATTATATTTCTATGCGTGTAATCAAATAATTAATCAATTTTTCATTATATTAATAAAACTATTAATCCAATTATTATTAATAAATACTACGTGACCACAAAGAGAGTTTGGTCATAGATCAATGGACTTAATCAATATGACAACGTTTTCTCGGTGACAATATATAACTTGTTTCGTTCAAGTACGAACAAAAATATATGTAATAAACATTTTTAACTGTATGCATAATCACTTAAACTATAATATGTATAACTACTCTAATTATATTCAATTATTTCACTTATTAGTTAATACAAATGTGTACTGGCTTCAATATGAATTACATGTATGAATGCTGAGCAATTCGTACCCGCAATTGTCAGCTTAGTTTTAATTATTATTGTAAACAAGTCCGAAACATGAGTGTGATAGAGATTTCTGTCTTGGGTAGCCATAAATCTCTTTTTAAGATGGAAGGGCCTTCCGCAAGAGACGCGAGCGAGCCGTGCACGGCGGCACTCACCGTACGCGAAACCGAACACCAACCCGACGCGGTGGGCCTGTAAGGCGCACAGCACCCGACGTAAAAGGCCGTGACGTAATTTAAACGCGTTACAACACTGATGCCGGCGGTGCAATAACAACGCGCGTGCAATTTCGGTGTCGGCCGTCGCCAGGACCCGGGGCAGCGATAACGTACAGACAGCGGCGGCTGCGAATAACGGGGGCGGTGGGTGGGGGGGTTGCGATCGAAAAACCGGAACTTGTAATATTCATGACGGGACGCGCAAACCGATGAGCAATACAATTAGACTCCGTGTGAAAGTGTAAAAATCGTCACTAACGAAATACTTTAGATGGCCGTACTACGAACGACGGGTCGCGGGGGGGGGTCCCTCGGAACATTTCTAACGCCGCCCGAAACATCGGCAAATCAGACGGGTCCGCCGCGATCGGAAGCCAGCGATCTCGCGTCGCTCCGTTTCGCGAAGCGTTTTCGGACTCGTAATAGTTTTGTGTTGTGAAACTGAATTGGACTCGGAATATTTTTCGATGTTTGTGAATCGAATTATTTGGACTCGTGTTATTTTTGTGGGTTAATTTGTCGGACTCGTAGTTTTTTGTGTGGAAAATATAAATTGCTCATAAACTCAAGTCGGAGTCTGATTCATTTCGAACGTTTTTCCTCCTATACCCGCGTTGGGCCCGTTACGCACGAGCGCAGTAACAGGATATCCGTAAACGTATGACGCGCGGTTATCGTGTGCCGTCCGAGGTCCGCGGCCATCGCGAAAGACTGCTGGCGCGGGGAGTAGTGGGGTATAGTAGTGGAAAACAAAACAAAAAAAAAAAACAACGAAAGAAGACGGGAGAACGGCCGCGGGAAAGACGAGACGGCGCGATAATATCGTAAGGGTCGACGTATAGAATAAGTGTTTCCTCCCACCACCTTACTGCCGCCGCCGCCGCCGCCGCCGTCGTCTGTACGTTTGCGCCGCGCGTAAACGGGATGTTTTCACCGGATTTTTCGACGGTGGCTAGGGGGTGGGGGAGGAGCGGTTGATAAGGGATCGTAAACGTGCACGAGGTAATAAAAAAAATAGTACGCGATTGACGGATCGATTGCGAGCGCATATCGATCGACTGACGGATTGCGCCGGTTTCGAGCGCGCGCACTCGCCCGACCTTGAAACGATACGATTTTCTACTCGGCGATGGTAGTGGGGGGGCGTGAAGGGGGCGGTGGTACCGTACGCGGTACGGTAATCGCTTCGCGTAAAAGTCCCACGTAGGAGCGATAGCGAAAACAATAATAACAACGCGTTACATTCGTCGTATTGTTTTTTTTTTTTTTTTTGAAAACATCACATTGCACGACGTCTCGGCGGTGCAAACCGAACGGATTTTGAAAATAATGTACGCACCGCGAGCGCGTAATATCCGCGCGTGTGTGTTCGCGTAACTAATAAATTGATTCGGCGGCGTCGTCTGGGACGCTTGCGCGCGGGCGACAACCCAGATTTTTCGGCGCAGTCGGGAGGGCGCGAGACTCTCGTCGGTCGGACCTACACGTACAGTTTCTTCTCCGCGACGCCCGTCCGTCTGCGCCGCTGCCGTTGCAGGACGTGCAGCAACAGCAACGGCGGCAAGAGCGGCGGCGTCGGCGGCGGCGGCGGCGGCAACAGCGGCGGCCTCGGCGGGAGGAGCGACGGCCAACGGCCGGGCGACGGCGGGTGCGGCGCGGCTGTCAGGGTGGGCTTATTGGGTGGGAGCGGGTCGAGAGGGGTCTATAAGGTCGGAGGCGGCGCGACCGCGGCGGCGACGTCGGCAGTGGCGCTGGCAGTGATAACCGCGGCGGCCGACAGACTACGATGCGCCCGGCTCCAGGCCGCAGGCAACAAGTGCCCCGTCAAGTCCGACCCTGAATCCAGGTATGATGATCGTAATAATAATAATAATAATAATAATAATAATAATAATAATAATACGTAATAGTACGTAATAATAATGACGATAACGTAAATACTTTTCCGACGAACCGATTGCGTTTTAATTAACCGAAAAGCTTTTGACGAACACGTGAGTTTGGAAATGCAAATATTTTTGTTTTTAATTTTTCCGACCGTTACATAATTATAGTTTCTGTCGTAGTGCGGGTTTCGGCGTAGGCGTATTACGATGATCGCGTTCCGGTTCGTTACTATTTTTTTGTCATTCGATATCGCGTACGTTTTTCGAAAATAGTACGATACGATGTAATACAGGCCCGCGTAAAGTTACCGACACATTTTGTACGACGCTTTTTTTTGAAAAAAAAAAAAAAAAAATCGTTTATCGATTCGAATTAAAATTTGTTGGACGAAAAATAAAAAAGGAAAAACGAATACGCCCGACCCTTTGTGTACCCGGTAGACGACATCACGGCGCGGAAAACAAAAACTCGCGCGATAATCCGCGGTAATATTATTGTCGTCTTCGGAGCCGCCGTTTCGAAGTTTCGTGTTTGTCTTTCGACGTCGACGTGTTTATTTACACCGTCGACGGGCGGGAGATGGGGGAAGGGGATCATCTTGTTTATTTTTCAACGGCGACTTTTCTCTAATCGGTCCGACGTGGGTATACCTAGCCGTTAAATTCGGCATAGTCAATTTTCGCACGTGACTTGTTGGTCGTACGGTATTAGATTTAACGCGAAGCTGCACAAGTCGCGATGTACATTTTTACCGCGACTAGTTCGAGTGGAATTATCCCGAGAAAAAAAGGCAATAAATAACTTGGCGAAGTCGGAGTTCATGTTAAAATGTAGGTACACGAATTCGAGTAACTATTTAGTGAAATTACAAATTTCAGGAAAATTAAAGTCAAAAGTTATCAAATAAAAATCAAATTAAAACTTAACTTTTAGTTTGATTGGCTAGGTCCGAATTTGATATTTGACACGTAGATACAACGAAGCTTATTTGAACAGAGGCTCAGCCACTTTTTCCGTCTGCTTTAAAAATAATACGTTTTAGACAAATAAAAAAACATTACCGAAACGTCGATTTCGAAATAAATTATGTCGTTTGAGGTGAGACAATTTTGTTCTCCGTCGTAATTTATGTGAAACGCTATCGTGTACCTTCATGGAATTTCGGTCGGTCAAGACCTACCCGAACATTTTCTCAAACGTCTCCGACTCCGGGTCGACGGTTGAACAAAAGTGCACCCAACTCTTGTGCATAACATTAATTATTTTTTGTTAGACAGAATGAAAAAATTAAAATTAATTTTTTTTTTGTTGTTATTGTTTATATATTTTCAGCGGAGCGCAAAATCAGAGAGGAAAACCAAAAGACGAGTTTAAAGGTAGGTAATATAAATAGTTCATATTTTAATTAATGTACTCGCGTAAGTCGTACACCGTGTAACGTTTAGTGTACTATTTAATATGTAGATTAGTTAGTCGATTTAATCGCGGGTGGTTTAAAATTAGTATTACACGTTTACTTATACAGAGTGATCTCTGTGATCTGTTTATCGCGAACAGCGATTTTTTCGAAGAATTCTAAGCGAATTTCCGGTGTACTCTCCCCCCCCCTTCCCCTTATAGACTTTCGATTTTTAAACAGGATTTTCCTCCCGCCCCTTTTAAATATGAATTCAAATAGCGAATACGTTTATAACAATAATATTGCTATACATACGCCATTGCATAACGCTAAAATATCGGATTACACCGGAGCGGTAGTATTTTTCTACTTATCTAACCCTTCTGGGAGTTGTCAATTTATCGACGAAAAATTGTTACGAAGTTATTAGTTAAGTTATTAATAGGGTTGGGGACTTATTGCATTGACAATAATGAAAACACGCATGCAAAAATTCATTGAAATATCATCAAAAATGCACGAAAACGTGTACAAAAAAATGTAAATGTACACAAATATTTACCATAATTAAATTGATTTTTTTTTTTTTACTTTAAATGCAATTTAATAAATAGTAATAATTATGTTTTTCCGTTTTAAGATGTTAGGTGACAATAAACCTTTTATTCGCGCTCACTAACGTTTCATTAAAATTACGAAACGACACATTTTGGTCTGCTGAAAAAAACATCTAACCTAAATTCTGTGTTTTTTTTTTTTTTTTTACTAAAACACTGGTTATTGCCTAGGCATTTTAGTTGTGAAACGAACGAAAATGAAATTAATGAAATTCGAAACAAAAATTACGATCACGGACACGATACAGCAAAACACGAGACTGATATGTGTACAATTAAGCTTAGAGAGTAATGACGAGCTGTGTATTAAAAAAAAAACACCCAGAATATTTTCTTCAAATATCTTATCTTTATTTAACGTTTTCCGATAAAAATTATTGATTTCAATAGTGCACACAGATTTTTTATTAACTATCTAAATATTTTACGTACTTACAATATAGCATGCTATGTGCACAAAAAAAAAAATGGTCTTTTCATAAAAACCTCAATATAATATTTGCAAACAAATGTAATTTTTTTTTTGTGTTTTTAAATTCGTTACGACTATAAACAAATTTCTGTCTTACTTAGCAATTTATTGGACTATTCAATAAAAAAATTTAAATTCAATAAGTCCCGAACTCTAGTTATTAGTTATTAGTTTATTACTCTTCCCGGCTCCTCCGGATTAAAAATTAAACCGTTTTAACTCACACAAACGGTAATTCTGATTACGTTCAGAGACATAATATAATATTCTCTAATCGAATAATCGTGTAAAATTAGAGGGGTTTGGGAGAGTATTTGCAAATCAAAAGTCTTATCACTCGTTCAAGGTATAAATAACGAGTAGGGGTGAAAACGATTGGGAAAAAAAAAACAAAATAATAAAAAATTTAAATTACCAAAAATATCCTCCGAGGAAATCCGCCCATTCACGATAAACCGATCGCTCTGTATACGCGACAGTTGCAGTAGCGCATGCAGGATTTTTTGTCGTGATGTGTTTTGATTGTTATAATTTCTTAGAGGGGGGGGGGCTGTATTATTATCAGTACGGTATACTATCACACTATTATTATTGAATAAGCGATTATTGATGAAATCAAATGAATTTTTATTCCGTGTTTATAAGATATACCAGATGATTCATTTGAATGTGTACACCCATTATATCGGAAAGTATTAACTTTTTCTGAAATTTGTTTTCGAGAACACATAAGAAACAAGCTGCTCCGAAATTTTATATTTGTGTTAGTTTTTGTCACCCTTATTTTTGGGATTAAAACAACTACCTAATTTTGATTTTCTAACGGCAACCTATATTAAAAAGTCCATAAATATATTGAGTATTAGTTAAAATAAATTTTAAAGTTGACATTCTTTATTTCCGTGGATCCGTTGACGAGATATTCCACCTTTAAGTTTGAGTCGGGAGAGGGTGGTGGTGCATTATTAACACGCCGCGTGCCGTACCGCCTCCACTACTCTTCTCTAACCCAAAACTTAGAAGTGGAATATCTTGTCAAAGGACTGAAGGAAATTAAAAATGTCAACACTAAAATCGATTTTAACTAATACTCAATCTATTTGTGGACTTTTTAATGCAGGTTGTCGTTTGAAAATCAAAAGTAGGTAGTTGTTTTATCCCTAAAACTAAGGGTAACAAAATCTAACACTACTATAAAATCGCGGAGCGGCTTGTTACTTATATGTTCTAGAAAACTCCGGAAAAAGTTATTACTTTCCGAGATAATGAGTGTATCCGCTTAAACGAATCCCCTGGTCGTATAACGTTGAATGCAAAACTTGATTTTAAAAAAAATTCAGCAAAGGAAGACATTTCTAGAAGGAGAGGGGAAAGTGACCCTTAATCGCCCCTCCTCTCAGTGTGCGCCACTGGCGATAGTAGTCGAGTGTTCGTGCGGCGCGTTATAATAATAATATTTTATTAATTGAGATATATATATTTTTTTTTCGTATTTTTTCCAAACACCCAAGGCCGAACATCATTTTTTTTATCAGAACCGCCGCCGACGCTATCCAAATAGCAATAATATTACGTTTGAATAAAATAACAATAATATCGGACACGCGTTTCGCCACTGCGGCACAGCCGGAGCTAACGTTATCGGTCTCCCGTGTGCGTTTCAAAGTTGCGGGGCTCGGTATCAACCGCGGGAAAACCGCGGCGAATTCCGTTGGCGGGAGCACCGCGCGTACGGGGTCCGCGGACTCTCGCGGATACCGGTCACGCCGAAACATTACCGCGCGTACTCATGCCGAAGAAGGGGGGGGAAAAAAAAAAAAAAAGGCGGACGGCGAAACGTCGTAAACATTCCCGGGGGTGGTCGCGTCGGAGTCGTCGTTTACACGAAACGACCGGCTTTTCCGTCCCCGCGATATAAAATTATTACCCGTCGTCGTATTCCCGAATTCCCGCGTCACACCGCTACCGCCCCCCGGTGTTTGGCCGAATCGAATTAATGAGATACCGTAAATCGATTTTTTTTTTTTTTTTTTTCAAAAGTTTTTTGGTAAACGTGACGCGAGAATTTCGTTTTCGCGGCGCCGTCGTCGACGCGAGATATTATCAAAACTTAGCGAGGTTCCCGCTAAGCAGCGGCCGACATTTTTACCGGCCCGGGACGGTTTCCGTTTCAACGGGCCGTTTATTTGTTTTGCGTGTTGCGTCTGCGGACGCGACACAGTTCGACCGCCGAATCGCGTAGTGCGCCAGGCAACCGTATCACAATGGTCTTGAATCGCGATCGGTTTTCTCGTCATTATCAAAGGCGCACGCGCGCGATGCGTCGCGGTACGGGCAACGGAAAACGATATTTTTGTAAATAAAAAACGGAGGAGGACGACGGTTCGTGTGTAAAATCGGTTTTCACGACGGCCGGGGTCGGTAACGGGGTCACGGCCCGGTTCCGGCCACCCGGTATCCACGATCCGCCGCTGCCGCTCAGATCGGGGGGTGGGGGGAGGGGGGGGATTAAGGTCCTCCCCGCCCCGCGGCGCACTTCAAACGAACCGAACGCTCGAAACGGTTACAATAATATTATTAAATTTGCTTTATTGTCGCGCGCGGGCATTATTACGGTGCCCGCGGCCCGCGGTTAAGGCGACGGCGGGCAAAGTTGAAACGCCGGGCCCCGCGATCGCCGACGACGTCGTTAATTAAACAACGTATGCGTACCCGCGTAATAATAATAATAATGATAATAATAATAATACAGTTAGACAACCGAATTATGTAAAATAGACGCACAACAAGAACAATAGAGTTTGCGGCGTTCAGAAACCGTAACTTTTCGAGTGCCCGTGCCGTATAGGTTACGGGCAACGCGCGCGCGATCGATTTTCCCAGGATCCGCCAAGATTTAAACACTACCGCACGATATTACTGTGTGATAGGGGTAACGCGCGTTTGACATGGGGTCCGTCGTTTCTGTAGAGGATTCGATATCGTCTAACCGATTCGACGCACCGTCCCGTCCTAATACGTAAACAATTGTTCGTTTGTTTTTATTTTTTTATAAAAAAAAAAATCCGAAGTAACGATATTGTATTTTTGTTTGGAAATATTATGATACGAATTCGAAGTATTAAAGAAAATATAGGACGACAGACGAAATAAACGCGAGAAGAAATAGTATAAAACTTGAAACGACAGTAGGCAAAACTATACAAACGTGTATGAAACCACGTACAAATGAAGACAAAAACGAAAGCCTTAAAAAAACACTGGCTTGAACGGACGGTATTAAAAACCGGAATAATTTTTTAAAATGAAGAACAATCGATTTGGCGTGCGTGCAAATTAAAACGTTTTAAAAAAAAAATCGCAACGCAAACATTCCAATAAGCAAAACGGGAAAGCGCCTACCTCAAGGGAAAAACTGAGAGACGAAAAGACCACGGAAGAATCGCTCGAAGAAAACTCAAATGTTTTATTCGAAGAAGAGAATAATATACACGGATGACGGGATTTTACAGTTTATGAGATCAGACATGCAGCATTTGATAATGCATTAATATAAACGCTAAACAATCGACCTAACAAAAGTCATTGTTAAATGTAATCCCGGCTGAGCTCCCGGTAATTCGCGGACATAGATATTAAAAACGAACTGTACAAAATATGCAGTGCAGTGCATCTAAAGGGAAAAACTTTTCGAGACTGTGGGAAGCATATTGCGATATTGATTTCAAACAAGAAAGGAGCACAACAGTATGAATAATATACGAGAACACTATATACCTAATCAAATCTTAATAACAAATGTTGTAATGTTTTCGGTAGCACGTTTGCCACTGCAAATTTTAAATTCGGTCAATGTCAAATATTTATTGATTTCTGGAGCGCACAATTTGACGAGTTTGTTGAATTATATTCTACGCATCTCTGGTTTGTTGGGTTTCGAGACCCCATTGGTATCGAAAATGCATTAGAATCCTAAACGTTTTGTTTACAAATGTCAATAACAATATAAATCTACATTACATTTAAACATATAAATAAATAATGTACAATATGTAAATATAAATAAATAAATTAACGCGTCTCTTGAATTACAAAGTCGAAAAGTAAAACGCGACTGAATAGACATTGATATCAGTTATTATTTTTAAAATTGGTTAGTACGGACTTGAATACGGAATATTGAATAAACAACATAACATTTAAATTCATTCAGTTTTTGAAGAACTACACACGCACAATGAAATGAAGAAAAATAGTTAAGTAATGATTTAAAAATAATATCTTATGTCAATAAATTTTAGATAATAAATAATAACCGAATAATTTCTGTTTCATAACATATCTGTGTAGAGGCGGATCTATACATTTTTTAGGGGTGCGGGGAAGGGGGAGGGCACATTATTTATATTTTCGGTAAATTAATTATAAATTTTATATTTAATTAATATAAAATATATAAATAAAAACAGTAGTCCATTAACAGGGGAGGGGGGAGACTTCCCGCCCCTCGTAAATACGCCATTTCTACTATTATTGTAGTCTGCTTCCCACTAAGAGATTCGTGAAATCACCAACATTTTGATATGAAATATAGATGAATGATTTTTTTTTTTTTTTTTTAATTTTACTATTGCTTTTATTACTTATACACTTAATGAGGTATTCGCAATAGGAGTATAATATTATTATTATTATTTTATGTTATCATCGCGTTATCGGTGACTATACACTATAACTATTATCGTCAACGAATAAAGAGGAATTAAATTACCGAACTATTGAAAACTATAAAATCTAATATACGAGCGAAAAAAAAAGTGTATAATAATAATAATAAAAAAAAAAAGCCTTTTCGCGAGCGCATAATCGAACGTGCGGGTATAATAAACGGCCGGCGGCGCGTATACGAAACGTATTTATTTTTTTCCTGCGAATAACTTCACACGCCTCTGTCTATACACCGCGATTTTCGTGCAACGGAAATCGACGGCGTTTTCGTCAGACCGCGCGTTATTTATTTTCCGGTCCGCAAACAGCACACGCGTCGGTATTTCGTAAGTATTTTTTTTATTTTTAATTTCGCAGTGACGTTTATTGTACGCGCACTATCCATTATCTATTTATATATAATATACCGACCTACAATGTAATAACGTTAGGTTTTGAAGAAACACGCCGCTCTACGGCTAGGGCACGTGTCCCCGTCCTCGTGCAGCCGCGGCGGGGTTTAATTGTCACCCTCCTCGGTGGCGCGGCGACGGCGGTCGACGGGTGACTTAACGAAAGTCAGAGCCGAAAACGATTTACGGCTTTTAGTATGAATTTACGTGACTCCGCGCGATTCGTGGTATGAATAATAGCCTCCTTTTTTTTTCTCTCTTTCTCGTTTTCGTTTTCGTTTTATTTTTTTTTGTTCGTTTCCCAACTTTCTCCCGGTTAGGAACGCATTAAATTTTCGCCGCGAATCTCGTTTTTACAATATCATTAGTAAGTATTATTACCCGAGCGCACGAATCAATAGCGTAATATACCTGTAAGACACGATATAGTAACATAATATACGTTTACACACGTTTCTAATTAAATTCGTTTTCTAGAACTTATTTAATTATTTTTTTTCCATAATCAATCGAACTCGGATTAAGAGTCCCGGCGCCCGCCCGGCAATAAACGTTGGAGACGCGGTGGCCTCCTTCAATCTGGACTTGTAATCCGCGTAATCGGCGTGAATGTATAATCGTTTTGTTATCAATTACGCGTTGCTTTTGTGTCACAATCAGTTCACATTAAAAATCGTACTTTAAACTCTGAGCGAAAGCGAGGAATGCATTCATTGTACAGTCTTCTGTATACAATTCTATGACGAAATAAATTTCGGTCTCTTTAAGGTATCCGGTTTACGTTGGGTTTTTTTCCCCATATTACAATTTTTAATTCAAACAAACCATCTTTCCCGTGATGTGTAGTTTTGTTGAATTCGTCGGTAGCGCCTTTTACGTCGATTCCGTTTTTATTCGCGTGTAGAGCAATGTAGTGTAATCATTGATTATGGAATTTATTATATTTCTAAGGGAAAACACAAATCTTCCCGTCAGACGTCATGACGTTGACGAATATTATTTTATTTCCGAGCGGACAGTCTGCTGTGGATATAGGTATACTGGACTCCGTCGAAATAATGTTAGACTTACACAGCAACGTCAATTTAATATACAACGGGTCACTAGTGTGAACGAGGAAACGTACGGGTGCAGCAAAGGTCAAATGGGTAAGAGCCAAAACCGATTTATATAAAGAAGGTAGAAAAATCAATAATCCCGCGCCGCTGTACTTATATACAAGAATAATACAAATAAAATTATATACTTTTTCCAGAACGTTGTTTGCTCTTCTCTTTAATAATAACGTTAATAGGCATAAATACGAGGGACGTCCAATAAGCAAGTTCAAAGGCTTAATTTATAAAAAAAAAAAAAAAAACAAAAATCGAAAATGATCAGATGTCAAACGTGCGGAATCGAATAATGTCTTCGACAGTATAATTGGGACGTTTTTCTCCGTCCATACTAACCCGAATTGGCTATCAAAGATTTGCAACAATGTATTTTGTAGGAAAATGGATTATCGATTTTGCCAATGGTACCGTTTACCAGCAGCACTAGTTCGTCATTTAATCTTACTACTATAGCGGATTTTGTAGCTGATAGTGAATTTGCTGTGATGAATTACGGATAATCGAATAATTCGTTAGAAAACGGAGCAATAATTTTGAAAACGGTACCGTTTACCAGCAGCACTAATTCGTCACTAAGTATTGACACTGAAGATGAAACTAATGTTCAATTTTCTCCGCCAACTTCAGGACCTATCGAGTATTGTATTGATTTTTATCTGGGAAATAATTGTCGAATTTTCGCGAATTGTATTTTTTGCTTCAATGATCTCACACGAACCGCGAGCCGCGGGAATATTAAATTTTCACATATACATATAGGAAATAAGATACTTTGCAAATGCATTTTGTTAGACTTGTTTTTTTATCGAAGTCGATCCTGCATTATGTATAATACCTCGGGGTTCGGACGACGAGATAGAATCTAATAAGACGATTTAAAACTTTTTTTTTCCGTTCCCCAGCGAGAATTATTTCTTTTACTCGATATGCTTTACTCTATTGAATTGTTAAAATAATTCTATTAGGTAAAAATGATTTTAGAATACGTACACTAATTTTTTTTTTTTTTTCATCCAATAAATATTACACTACCTAGGTAGGTACTATAACGTACTTATCTCAGGTACTTACCGCGATAATTCAAAATTCTGCTGCAATAGTAACTGTATAACGAACCATTAACCGGATTAAATTTCTACGCTTAACGGCTGGTAACCACACAAATATAGTTCGTTATAATAGTAATTGTTTAGATCGCTTTGTACCACGACAATGATGTCAACCGGCATTACGACTGTTCTCTACACAAATTTCTCGATTTTTTTTTTTCGATATGCGGTCGATTCTTTTGCGAATAATAATTTAGAACCGTTCAAATTCTCCATCTCTTTAAATATCGTATATTTCGTATCTATCGTCCGTATCTTTTTAATTTTTTTCTGAGCTACTTTCTGTTAAAGTTTTAGCCGTCACTTGGCTCTGTTTCCCTCGAGGCACCCATTCGTGAGGTGCTCTTTGTGGTTCATTTTCTTTTCGACGTATAATTTATATTACTAATCTGAACATCGAATCTCTCGGCCCACAATAAACCTAGTTACAGGTCTCATGTTCATCATTCTTCGTAGTTATGGTCGATTTGTATACCAAATTTTGTTTTTAAAAATCTTCGACTTCCATTTAACCGAGGTCGTTGTTGTGTCCATCAGGCCTTATGTCATGTCCAAACGAAATTAGGTGCATATAATATGCGCACAATTTTCTACTAATATACACAGTCAAAACAGTTTCACGATTCATTATAATTTTGTTGAATTGGCTAAAATAAATTTTGTTCGCTGTTTATTCGATATCGTTCGGGTAGAATTTACAATTGGTACTCGAATTTATGATAGTGGCGACGATGAGGGTATGCGAAAAATGCATACGTCGCGTTCCCGATGTCAGCGAATCGCACGATTTTTGTAAAAAAAAAAAAAAAAAAAAAGGAAAAACGATAAGAAAAAAACAAAAGATGACGTTCTCCTGCACGTTCAAGTTCAAATCGATTAATTTCTACGCGATGGTGGTTTTGTCGGAAATGTGGCGTTTTGACGGAATTTCGTTACCGACGTGCTCTCTGAATTTTGTTTTTAAAATATCCTTTCCACGATCGACAAATCCGTAATAGTAACTACACGAGAGAGGTAAGTTGGGACATTATCCTCTTCAAATCATTAAGTAAAATATCTGAAAAAAATAATAAACAATTGAACCGATTTTCTAAACAAATCGAACTACTGTGTAACTATATTATGGTCCAATGGAACAAGGCTGTAAATGACACGTAAAAAAATGGAAAACCATTTGAATCATTATTATCTATCTAAAATTCAACTTATTTCGTATGGACAATTGAGTTTTTTTTTGAAATCGTTCAACGTTCATGCTATCGTACGCTAGCCAATTATACGATATTGCTATACCATAAATTGAAAATTACCACGATATTGTTTTCTTTTTTCATGCCTCCTTTCCCACTATATCTCGGCCACTTCAAATGAAGATTATAGCCGTCTTCCCGTGCAGTTTCAAACGGGACAATATATTGTGCGAATCGATGATTTCGTTTTGGGCATTTTATCATGGACGACCACGAATAAGGCTCGAGTTTGAATTCATAAATCCTTATTGGGATTCGGTTTTTTTTTTTTTTTTTACGGTTGTCACAATATCGATTGACATTGCTGTACGCACGTTCTATGGAGGTAATATTATTATTACTGAAATGCAGTAGTGGGGTGACCGAATCGATATAATATAGGCGAGAAAGACTTAAGAGAGAGACAGAGAGAGAGAGAGAGAGAGAGTTATAGCAGAGTCGGTGGCTTATACCACGACTTCGGCGCGCATAGCAGCACTTTGGCCAATATCGTTTTAAATATTTATTAACGACTCGAGAAATTTATATCGACGGAGAAGGGGGAGGGGTGCAAGGAGCGGTAAATAGGTACCTACCTACACAATAAGTGGACGCGGAGCGGCCCTAATGGCTCGAGGGGGAATATTGTTGCGTAGTCGCACGGAAGCCATTAATAAAAACACGGTCGCCTCTTAATACCCGAGTTCCGAGCATTGATGTGTATATAATAATACAATGAGAATTGTTTTCGAAAGCTATCGCGCGAGAGTTGTACAATGTTTTGATCGTTGTTAATAAGTCCTAATGTAAAAGGTCCATCAATGTTGTTGCTTTATCGTATCGGTGTTGTGTTTAATATAAAATAAACGTTCAGAAAAAGTAAAAAACATCAACAAATCCTGAAAAAAAAAAAAAACATTTAAAAAAACAGAAATGGCCGTAGGGTTTAAAAATGCCCTCGTTTACGACTCTGAACTCATTAAATAAAATTGTACAACACTACAAAAATGATTTACATAAAGTAATATATTTTTTTTTTTTTTAATAAAATTATACGTACTATAAAAACAATTACTTTTTGTTAATTATTTTTATAGTGTTGAAAAAATGTAATTTTATATATTAGAGCCGTTACAGAAGACTTTTGAAATCTCGCTGCCGTTATTTTTGTAGATTTTAAGTACTGAAATTCACCAGACCTCGTCACTCACATAACTTGCAGGACTCGATGCATATGAAATATTTGAAGATTATCTAAATTATTACACCGCCACCACATAAACATACCATAAATCAGTAAGTTGTGGTCACCATCATCAGTGCCGTCCAATTTTTTTTATCGTGGATCCCGTCCTTCTAGCCCGTTACTTGCAATCTTTCTAGGTCTCGCCATACTTCATCCATCCGACATTTTTTTAACCTTCCCCTAAATCTCCTCCCGTCTGGTTTCCATTGAATTACTATGTCGCCTGTCTTCATTTTGAGTAACCGAATTTGTCGGGATCTTCTCCCCTCCTCCAGTCCTGAAAAGTAATGTATTACAATATATCTAAGGTATCATTATTTCAAACACATTATTTATTTCCCTTCAATTTAATCCACTACTGGTTCTTAACGTGTATACTTTGTTCCCAATGGTCCTAAGTTTTTGTTCAATTAAGACCATTAATGGACAACCCGTAAGTCAATGTCTTTCTGATTTGCGAAGTGTGACCTTCCCTCATTATTAATGCAACTGGCTATTTCAATGTTCCAATCGTTATGGCCGGTTATTGTCGTTATTAAATATTTAAAATGTCGTGTTTTTTATTCGAGCACGTAGTTCTCGACATTTTTAATTTCCACTTTCACTTGTTGGCATTTTCATCACTTTAGTTTTTTCGTCATTATTTACCAGACCGGCTTTTTTAACTCCTTGCACAAACGTTGTTACGTTTTGTTAGTGTGTTTCTTCGTTTTCAACTAGATTTAGATCATCCGTGAATCCTAGACACTAGTTGATCGAGCGTAAATCCATTGATGATCTCAACGCCACAATCATTTCTTTGGACGCTCCATATCTAATGCAATGTTAATAATAAAAACGGTAAACGCGCATCGTCATAGCCCGGCCCTTGTTTGTGTATAGCTTGTTGTGCACCCTAACTCGATATCCGATTTCATTCATGCGTCACACGCGTTAGGCAATGATACGAACTTCCGCCTAAAAAATATGTAATCTAAAAAACAAACACCGCAATCACGAAACGATAATAATCCGAATGATTGATTTTTGATTTCGCAGATCTCGTTTCTCACGCTATTTATCGATTGTCGCGTTTTGAACTCGCCAACATGAGCGTCGATTGCGTTTATACCGGCGCGGTAACGCTGTTGCTGTGCTGTTCCGCCGTGCTGGGCCGGCCGTCGTCTAACGGCGCCACGGAAGGCCCGACCCCGGACGCGGGCCCGGGTAGCGGCGGCGGCCCCGGGGGCGGCGCCGGTACCGGTGCCGGTGCATCGGCGGTCGAAGAATCCGAGGAGATCCCGGTGGTGCACACCACCACGGGTCTGGTGGCGGGATACACGAAAATCATTGCGAACAGCGAGGTGCACGTGTTCACGGGCATACCATTCGCCAAGCCGCCCATAGGCCCGTTGCGGTTCCGGCGCCCGGTACCGGTGGACCCGTGGACCGGCGTGCTGAACGCCACCGCGTTGCCGAACACGTGCTACCAAGAACGGTACGAGTACTTTCCCGGATTCGAGGGCGAGGAGATGTGGAATCCGAATACCAAGCTGTCCGAGGACTGCCTGTACCTGAACATTTGGATACCGCGAAAACAGCGCACCAGGCACCATTCCAACTCGGCTCATCATTCAAAGGTAAGTCGTCGTAAATATGTTTTTCGTTCCGTTGTCGATCCTATCGGCTTCGCGCCACGTTAACAGTGACCCGTCCGTTCCGTCCATCCCGTTCATACGCGTTCGATGCGTTACGCCCGACCGTGCCAAAGCGAATTTTATCCGACGACAATCATAGATAAACTCATATTACTTCGGGTGGGGGTTAATAAATCGTCATAAACAATTTTTCCGCGAACATTTTCCGTTCGCGTACACTATATCACGTTACAGAGCGGTTCACTCGCCGTGTATAACATTAATATTACGTTTCGGAAAGGTTATATTTTTGTAGGAGTCGACCGAAGTGTGACCTTTATTATTATTATTATTATTTCGGTTATCTCGAACACGCGTTATTGTGCGCGAAATATCGCGTTCCGAAAAAAACAGGAGAGAAAAGCCAAAAACCGACCTTCGCATTCCCCTCGTCCCCTACCCCCTCCCCTCGTAAACGGGTCGCAGCCAGGGTAACCGCGGAAATAACGGTATGCGTACAGAGGTGTACAAAGGCGAGTGGGGATATTTTTTTTTTTTGTAAAATAATTTTCCCCGTCTTGTTCGGACAACGGACACGTTGTAATATTTCACGCGGCCTACATTGCGTTATTATAATACGCTATAAGAACTTGTCCGCGTTAAAACGTTATTATGTCTCTGATTAATGTTTCTCGGTTCACACGCGCGCGGCTCTCGTCACGCGAGTTACCGTGCGCGTGGTGCAAACCGCATTGGTCGTGCGAAAACGCCGCGCGAAGTCCACGAGACGTGCACACACTAGTGCCTATTGCCGCCGCCGCCGCCGCGTCACGCGTCCCGTCGGGGTTTCGGTTGGGCTATACGAGGTTGTCTTATAGGTTTGACCGGGCGGTAATTGCCGAATCGGTTACCGAGTCGAAAACGCAATTTTACGAATTGCGGTTCCCGGTAAAAACAATACTCACGGTGTTTGCCTTCCCCGCCACCCTACCCCCCCNCCCCGCCCCCCTCCCCCCCCCCCCTCTCGCCCTTTCCCCACTCCCCCTCCCCGCGTACGAATCGATGCCCGCGTATGTACTCCGCACGTCACAGTGACAAGGAGGTACCCGTGTAATAATACGTTCTTGAGAAAACTGTAGATCGTTCTCGCGCGCACCACAATACGCCGGGAGAGCCGCAGTCGGAAAATGTGTTAATGTTATCGAGTTAAGCGATTGCTAAGCGATTCGTTTTTCGCAAACGTGTAGACCGATAGGCCGGAGTAAAACGCATAGTATTGCATCCGGTAGAATTCATGTTTTGAAAAAGATTTGACTCTGTGTACATTTTTCGTGTAGTTTGAAGGAGAAATATTTGCATTATTTTTTCCCGTGATACTTCTATAGACGAGTTAGAAAAAAAAAAAAAGGTAAACTCGTCATCTTAACCTTAACTAAGCTAAGTACGAAAAACCGAAAAACGAGTTTCCTATAAAACATACGCGAGAATTCAAAGAGTACAAATATATTTTTAAAATTAAAATTGGCCAAGATGTAGTGGACGAATTTTATTTCAGACTCCAGCTTGGTGCAGGTCTAAAACGTAAAAAAAAGAAACAAATTTTCCAAACTCGAATAATATTCGAAAACAGTTTTTAACCGCTCACATGGAGATCATAATAGAAACAAAATCAAACGGTCGTCGAATTTCGCGTTTTCAATACTTTTAGGCCACATTATTCATGTTTTAAATTCTTACTGTAGTGAAGGAGCTTCTATACTTGGTTTTACTTAGATATTTTTTTTCTTTTCGAAAAACACTCGATTAGTAAAACATACTACAAATCCTTCACGAAGTATCGTAAAATATGCGGATTTTCCACCCGTTTGTACTTTATTCTAAACGTTTTACTACATTCCCGATGGATGTATTCAAAAAAAAAAAAAAAACCAAACATAACAAATGACGAAATCACTCGGTTATCCAAAGTCACCGGCTTTGGCTACAAGGGAAAAAATACGACTAATATAAACTTACCAAATTACCGGGTCTCGCTCAGAATAGTTTTTTGTCATTAAATTAATGCAATTTATGGTTGTTTTTGGTGCATATCAAATTAAATTATTCGATTCACAATAACTTCCAAACTCTTCACCTGTAATAGTACAAAAACGAATATTATTTATTTTAGTATATACTACGATTTGCTTGAAATTAAAAAGAAAAAAATGATGTCATTTATTATATCTAGCTGTTTTATTATTACTTGAAATACTTAACTTACCAGCTTGATAGCTTTGGGAGTCCGTAAATTTGTTCGCTCGTATTCGAACTTACTTGTAGGAACGGTACGAATGAAAAATATCCAGAAAAAAATCTTTTTTTTTTTTTTACCTTTTTCAAACTCGTTCACTTGTCAAACGTTTATTTGTTTTTTTATTCCCACGACGGCGATAAATATCTTTAGGGACCGCACGGCCAAATCCGCAATTTTATCGCCGTCTTCGTCATCGTCCCAGGCGATCGACTTTCGTGTTACGATATGACTTGCAAATCCGTAAATCCTCCTAAACGGAGGGTCAGAATGAAAATGAACAGTGGCTGTCAGGGAGAATCGGAGGATTGAGCACGTGACGGGTCGGTCACATACCCAAAAGTTATCGTAGGGGCCGATAACATTCAGGGACACACGAAGAAGATATTATGATTTGTATCGTATGGAACATAGAAGTGGTTATAATTTCGTATGTGCCGGTGAGAAATATGGCATAATATTGGTGACGTATTATATTTTGATAAATTGCCGGCGAAAACACGAAAAAAACCAATAGCAATAATATGTGTAGTCGGTTGTTTAAAATCGAATCGCAAAAGTTATACAGTTAAAGTTATATATTTAAAACAAGAACTGTAAGTTGCGTTTTCGCAAACCAAATCTTTAAACTTTTTCGACAAATTTCGCGTCGTGATGAAATTTTTCTCTATGAACACTGAGCATCCGCAGTCCATTTAACCTATGTTCTGCCACTGCACTCCTGGTCCAAATGTCTACGCGTCTTAATTTGCTAAATGATCTCTGTACGGTGCACGTCGTATGCGGAAGCGCTAAAAAGTTTACTGAGCATTTTTGTTTTACTTAGGGAAACAAAAATCGCGTTCGTTTTTAAATAAATCGGATGTATTTATATTTTCAAGCTATTTGTATTTGTTTTTCCAAAAGCTCTACTAATCCGGACACGGTATTAAATTATTAGCCTTCAAACGATTTTGAACTTCTTTAAATATAATGTTGAAGGCTTTTTGTCAATTTGTACCATTTCAGATGAAACGTGTTTCTGATAAATTTATTAACGAGGATTTAAGTATGAAATATACGTAGATACCCTGTAGTAGTCATATGGAGTACTGCTACTGTAATTAACTCGATGAATTTGACGGTGTATTGGTATATTAACATCGACACTGACCTTTTCAGCTACAGTTTTATATTAGATTCTGAGTGGAGTGAGGAATCTATTGGTTCTACAACAGTGTTAATTTTTTTTTTTTTTTTTTTTTTTATGTGAATATTTTTGCTACAAGGAAACTTACTCTGCTTATCAAGTATAGCACCTTTTATGAAAGGACATTTTCTCTATGTAGTACTTTTAGAAGGTCATTTTTTGAAATTCTCATTAATATTCGAGATAATGAGGAAAACCTGGTTCTTCAGGGTAAAAAAGATTGAAAGATTAAAAATAAGGTTTTCATTGGTAAACGTTTTTATTTATTTTTTGTTATTGTTAAGTTTTTATTATTTACATTTTTTTTTCAACAATCATTATTGTCATGGAAATGCACATTGTTGTAATCATTTTACAATAATAATATGACATTCGCTCAAAATCGTCTTTTCGTTAGCAATAGTTATTCGTTGCTTACAGATTAAATTCCCATCTGTATCCTACCTTCCCAAATTCCCACCTACATCAGTGGCTGCACTCAAGTGCGAAGTATATTTTTTTGCTTAATCTATTTTGCTGAAAACTGTCACTACGAGATTTCCTGTGATTTTTTTTTTAAAACTTTCATGTTATCATTTCTAACACAAATTGCAAAACAATGCAAATTAACAGACACAGCTTGTAATTTAGTCGGTTGCAATAAACTATTTCTGAGCTGTCCATAAAATTAAATACTTGATGTAGCACGTCATGATGTTTGAAAACCCAGATTTCTATAATGTCTGAATTTACATTTTTGTCAAGTGTTAACAAAGTCCAAAACTGTCCTTATTTCCACAAAATATTTACTGAATAGCCGAATAGATTTATATTTTTCTGACCACCGTGTTTCGCACAACAACGAAACATTAGGAATTAATTCCGGCGTAGAATACTTTCTCTGAAATAATTTCATTAATTTCTCTGGAGGGGCGACTGGTCACCCCGACCGATCGTTGGAGACTGCGACAGTGATTACACTCAAGAGGTCTATACGACGCGTAAACGTGATAAAGAGGGGAAAAGTGAAAGTGCCGCAGGCGACCAAGAGAAATAGGGCGTGGTAAGCTGACCAATGAAATATCAACGTCATCGAAAACCCGTTTTCATATAATATTGTGTAACGGTGAACATTAACTGCGTTGTTGTCTTCTCGAGTTCACTTTTATTCATGGAACTATAGCGACTTAAATAACGGCTCGTAACACAGGGTAACCCGTTTAAGTGTCTACACGCGATATTTCGAAAAATTTTTCAAAAATTGACTGTTTGACAGTTATATAAACCAAAAACTCTACAATGTTATTACATTATCTTTTGTCACTCTTATATTCCGGAACAAAACGATTGCCCGCAGTTAAAATGTTCTGTACGTAAAAACTCGAACTCGACGCGTTTATTGCCGGCTAGTACACAGTGCGTAACTTACACGAAGTTTTAAAACCGGCCTTCTAATACGGATATGATGACAACTCCAAACCGGGCGTTTATCCAAGTTTAGTCCCACGTATATCTAACTGCGTTTTGATAAATCCGCACGTTTCGTCCCTCCTTTTCTCCCGGGCATATACAATGTCGGATTCGGCATAAAAAAAAAAAATTATAAAAAAAATACTGTCGTTCGACGTCTGTCTAGGAATTCGACGCACCTATGTATTCCGAACGTTTCGGACGAAAACGCGTGGACGAGGCTGCGGACAAGTCCGTAAAAACAACGTTAAATTAAATTTCGAAACGGCCGAATGACATATCTACGCGCGCTTTGCAGTAACGTTCTCATAAAACGATCTGTACGTTTTACCGTATAGCGCGTCGCGTGAAATGAACAAAAAAAAAAATAAAATGGCACCTCATAAAATAGTACTCTGCTGTAGAAAAACGGTGTAGTACCGGAGTATTGTCGTCAATTGCATTCGTATATAAACTCGTTTGCGATCACGAACAATACATCAACGTCGGGCGATCCGTCGTAAACTAATCGTAACGCTCGCGCGCTATACGACGGCAAACGAGCTTTTAATGTACAGATTTTTTTTTTTTTTTTTCCCCGCGGAATCAAAGTATTACAGTATGAGAGAAAACGAAACGTATCAACGCGATATCCGAAATACCGGATTCGGGTATACACCAAAACGGTCCCTTTTGTTTATTTTTTTTGTTTGTAATTTTACGCCATTACATTATACCTACCACCAACAAAAGTAAGTTTTTGTCTTTTTATTTTTTTTTTTTTTTTTGGTTTTGTAATTTCGACTATCGGTCCTTCCCGACAAAAAAAAAAAAAAAAAAACAACGACATCATTAAGTTCATTATACACGAAACTCGAATGGGGGGGGGGACAAGAAAAAAATAGAAAAACGTTTACGATAAAATTTACACCATATGTATGTGTATAATTTTTAGAGATTCTCAGGCTGTTGTAATTTTATTTTTTCTCGGGAAATCACTTTTTCGAATGGTAAAAGTGCTCCCGACTTCAGGTACGACGCGAATTATTCTTACAGTATTGGCAGATTTTTCGACCGGTCGCATACCCTTGCACCTACTATATGTGAACAATGTTTCTGAATTCCCGACGGATTTTTTTTTTAATCTTTAAATCGATAGCCAGACAACGAACAGGGATGCGCCGGTTTTATATTTTTGTCGATTTCTGCGTTACCTTGGCCGTACAAGGTGAAAAACCGCGACTAATACTGTTATAACCATAGTATTATAACTATAATTGTATATACTATTATATAACTTAACCTCCGTTCAGAATTGCTGTTTGCCTTATCGCGCGGCTTTTTTCGGTAAGTAAATTAAATGATTCCATATTCTGTAACATTTAAACTTCTCTCCTACAACGTTGTGGCCTACCCACGGTGCGAAGTATATGCGGGTGCCCATCGTAATAACTCCGAAAATAACAACGGTAATCGAATTCTGTGTTTTACATTGTACGCAGGGGACGTGGACTACACATAACTATGTTTCAATCATTTTTCGTTTCAGTAATAAACTCGAAAAAAAAAAAAACGTTTGATTTCGTTATAATTTATAAAAAATCCGAAGAAAACTGCGTGATTTTATTCTTCCGAAAATGTTGATCATTTTTTTCAAGTTCAGAGAAAAAAGTCTACAATCAATATTAGCCATAATTATAACGACCAATTAGCGAATGCGATTACAGTCTGCTGCATAATCAGTTTTCCCTAAACTAATTATTAAAAATAACAATTTTAATGAAAATAAAAAAGCTGAAAAGTCAAAATTTTCAAAAGAATGAACTTTTTATAAAATGGATATATCTTCGACATTTTCGAAAATAATAAATCAAAAAGTTATTTTTTTAGCTGTTCACCAAAATAATACGATTTAATTCGAGTATGAATATTTTTATTCCTTATCCCCGAGAGTAATACAAAAAAAAAAAAAAAAATTGGATTATCTTTATTATCTCAGAACATATTGCAATGGATATAATATCTTCGTGGGACACCCAGCATACATTTTATAATCGACTCACGACCGCGGACCACTATTCGTGTTTGGAAAACGATTCTGAGCGGACTTTTTCAGCAGTTATTATTATGTTATACACTTGCAGGTGCCGGTATTGGTTTGGATATACGGCGGTGGTTACATGTCCGGTACTTCGACGCTGGACATATACGACGGCGATCTGTTGGCGTCCACGTTCGAAGTGATGATCGCCTCTATGCAGTACCGGCTCGGGGCGTTCGGTTCGCTCTACCTGACGCCCGACTTGCCCGAAGACAGCGACGACGCGCCCGGCAACATGGGCCTGTGGGATCAGGCAATGGCCATCAAATGGATCAAGGACAACGCGGCCGCGTTCGGGGCCGACCCGGAAACGATCACGTTGTTCGGCGAATCGGCTGGCGGTGGATCGGTAAGTCGGCGGAATTACTACGGTCGCGGGGCCGTGGGGGAGATGGTAATTGTCTTCGACCCGACCCATCGTTTTCCGCTGTCGTTACAGGTGAGCGTACATCTCGTCTCGCCGGTGACCAGGGGCTTGGTTCGCCGGGGTATCATACAATCCGGCACGGTGAACGCGCCCTGGAGCTACATGACCGGCGAACGTGCGACGGACATAGCGAAAAGGCTGTTGGACGACTGCAAGTGCAACGCTTCGACGCTGGAGACGAACCCAATAGGCACTATGTCGTGCATGCGGGCCGTGGACGCCAGCACCATATCCAAAAAGCAGTGGAACAGCTACTCCGGTATCTTGGGATTTCCGTCCGCGCCCACCGTGGACGGAGTGTTCCTGCCCGAACACCCGCTGGACATGTTGCGCAAGGCCAACTTTTCGGATATCGACATACTCATCGGCAGCAATCTGAACGAAGGTAAGCCGTCCGCATCTCCTCTTTTAACTTTTAACCCAAGTCTATAACGATCCGATTGTTTGACAATCGAGCAGTTGAACGTGTACATTCACTAGACGACGAAGTAAGCGCGTTACAAAAGCCTTACTAAAGCCGCTTGCACGACGTTCGCATTATGTCTGTTCAGTTGTAACCACGGTTAAACACAGATATATACTGGTCACACACATCGAGCTGTGATAAGGACGGAAAATTCGGTTCCCGAAGTGTCTTCGATAAACTGTCGATGAAAAATGACAACTAGCGTGCTCATAACGGACTACGATATCTCCGGGTTCGTGATGATCACTATTTATTGACCGTCACTACTTCAGTTCGTTTTACAGTCACCGGTGGATCGCGCCGATGAGATTTTTCTCATCGGTAAAAGACCCTCCGGGGTCTTATTGCTGTATTATGCAAATCGATGTTTATACCGGTATGTTTAAACAGCTGTGACCGCATTTATCGGTTGTTAATAACCCGACGAAGATATTTGTCCGTGTCAGACGCGGTCGTTAATTGCACTAAAATCGTTAATAAATATTTTCACACGACGATATATCATCACGAGCGTATAAATCCGCGAATTTTCCATCCGCTCGAAACGCTGTCGCGAGGCGAGTCAATCTGTCCTTCCATTGTTTTCGGCTCGGAAACCCGCGATTTTCAACTGCCGTTAACTAGGGTATTTGTGTGTATTTTTTTTTTCTTTCTAAAAATATACCGGACAACCGTTTTGATTCCCTTACGAATCTATTCGTGCCTTCACGCAGCTATGAACACGAACCGTGATTTTGAGAGTAAAGTTTCTCTGTGATCGAAAAACGGTAAACCTCGATATTTTTGTTTAGTTTTTTTATATTACATTCCAAGATCTATGATTTGTGCGTGTGTTTTTTTTTCTGTCTGTAAACAACTTTTACCAGAAATCTGGCTCCAATCGAAAATTGACATCAGATTTTTTTTGTTGAATTTCAGATTTAGTCGGTGAGTAAGTAAATCATTTTTTTTTTTAATTTTCCGTGTAGTTTTCTTAAAACTGAGCAAACCCGGGAAAAAACGTAAAAATAACGGGAAAAAGATATGGAAATAATAATGGTTTTATGAAAAATGAGAAATTTTCTTCCGGTGGTACTTAATGTGAACATTTTTTCTACGAAATTGAAAACCAATGACGATACATTTGATTATTGTTGATTACACGCTTGACTATAAAAAAGTGACATTATAAATAGCTAAAGTTTTTACAGTTTTACCACATAAAAAGAGGTGATTATAAGTTTCCTGCTAAATTCCCATTCTATACGAATATTTTTAATTGAATTACAATAAATAACAAAATTGCAAAAAAATAAAAATCATTAATTTCGTAAATTTCCCGTCTTTCTTACGTTTTCACCTGAGTTTTCTCAGGATATTATGAAAACCGCTTGGAAAATCAAAAAATAACCGCCTAAAGTACAATTTAATCAATATTTTCTTCCAGAAATGGTACCACACGTGCATATCGGAGTAAGCTATCTCGTAGAAATTTATGAAATTATATAAAACCGATACATTCTCGGCTACACTGCTTAGAATCTAAAAAATTATGTCAAATAATACCTTATTGACTATACTATCTATTACATCTACTTCCGGACCAATGCCTATGCCAAATGCCAATTCTAAGTCCACTTTTCTCGGAGAAGAGGGCGATCGTCCCCATCGCTCGCCCCTCAGGGACGCACCTGGTTTTCATTTGAAAATAAAAAGTGGTTAGCGTATAATTTTACCTACAAAGATAAACATGACGAAAAATAACGGGAATGTAACATTTTAAAGCTGCTTTATTACCGTTATGTGTTTCTTAGTTTTCGAAAAAAATCAATAATTCGCGATACAATGAATATTTTACCTTAAACGAATCGCCCTGCAAAATTATTAACACGTGTATACCTGTGCAAAAAGTCGAACCGTTATGCGTTTTATGTATCTACGCTTGTGTGTCATAATTTGTGTTAATGTTACGGAGTACCAGACAGGGTACAGTTAGGTGTCGTGATTATGTCCCGTCGTCGTCACAACGTCGCATTCAGGACTGCGGTACCGCGGCAACTTTGGATTGAAAAATTTGAATTTATTCTACTCTCGCAGCATAAAAGTTCGGCGGGTTACGCCGTTCGTTTTCCCATACCGTGCGTACACGAATAAACTCGAACCGTCTAAAAAAGTTTTTTTTTTTTTTCGGTCTGATAAAAAAAAAATGCAAGAACGTCGTTCCCTCGATAACTTCTGAAAGCTTTTTATACGCCATAGTGCAAAGTTTCCGCGGCCGCCGCCGTCGAGACAAACCGCAACACCGGCCAAAGTAAATCCATGCGTATTCGTACACAGCCACCGCAATAAGAACATAATATTTCCGTGTTTTAACAAAAAGTCTGTTTAACTTTACAATTTTATCATATGTATACATGTACACTCCCGTACATGACAATATAAAACTTTATTCGATAACGGTTTTTGTGTTTCGGCTATACATCATATAAACTTTGAATTTTAATGCGATTTATTACTAAACGGTAAAATTATAATGATGTCAATTTATAATACGGTCAGGAAACGATATCGTTGACTACGTAGTGGCTATACTTACAATGTCTGTGTAAATGCCATACGCCTTTAATATTTACGTGGTACACTCGGGCATGTTCTATCGAAACCGTTTTACTTATCTTGCACAAAAATAAATCCACGCAAAGCCAAATCGCTCGGGCGGGCTTTTGTTTTTGGACCGGTAGGCCGAGCAGTACAACAATAACGTCACTCAGGGAGTCGTGCGGCTGCAATCGCACAATTGCGGGCGCAACGTTGAAATTATTGTACACAATATTATAACGTCGTTAAACCGTTCTATGATAGCTGAAAACAAAAAACAAAATTTTAATCAATGTTATCGCATTTTTAATCGTTGGATCGTGATAAAAATATCTATTCTGCACGGTTGTTATACACTGTGTTGTATTGTATTCTATGCTATACAAATAATTACAATTTCAACATTTCCGGTAATATACATATATATATATATATTTAGTATCATGCACTCACGTTGCTGCTAACGAAAACACAATTTTTTTTTTTTGAATATCGAAAAACTTCACAAAAAAAAAAACAATAAAAAACTCCAGTTTTATAATACTACACACGTATATTATATCTCGGATTTTTGGATAAATATTCGTCAGATTTTCGCGTTAAAATTGTATTCTTTTAATATTAAAATCTAATAAAATTACATCAAAAATTACAATACATAATATTATCGTATTAAATCGATGATATACAAACACACACAGTTTCTGGGTTTTTTGTTAATTTTTTTTTTTGTCTACCGATGTCGTGATTTTTTGACACAAAAATCATAACATAAATATACGGTTTTTCGCTTTTAACCCCACTTCAAGGCCGTAAAATATAATATTTGTTTACTGCATAGGTATTTCCGTGTGAATAAATCATACAAGTCGATAATTCGATAAAAACGTGCGGTATGGTTCTTTCTTTATTAGAGTTTTTTTTAAATTTTTATTTGGTAGCTACGATGTGAATGAAATTGTTAGACCAAACACAGGAACGCTGGAATATTAAGTTCATCATAAGTTGTAATTAATGGTAAAAAAAAAATTGTGATGAAGTAAATGTAATAGCGTTTAGTGTAAATTTTGTACGTTCAAATTTTGAAAAAAAAAAAAAATAATAGACATTTAAAAATATATTTAACCAAACTTCGTTCAAAACCGTATTTCTTTATCAATGATTTATTGTTTCATACAGATATAAATTAAATATATTTCTGTACCTTCTCAATTTACCATCTATAACAGTAGCATGACTTGGTTTTACATTGATGTTTATTTTTTTTCCTCTGAACTACTTTTCTTCTAGAAATCTTGCTCTGATTTTTAATTGTATTACTTTTTCTGAATTCAAATTTTATTTAGGCTGTAATATTTTGATTTTACAAGCAGCTTTCATAACAATTGGGAAAAACGGGAAAATTTACGAAATGCATTATTTTCAATTGTTATTTTCTAACTGGAATTCAGTTAAAAATATTCGTGAGAAATTAAAATTTTGACAAAAACTTATATTTTCGTTTTCTAAACACGGTAAAACTTTCAAATCATTTTAGCAATTTTTGAGCTATTATCGAGTTTTTCGGGTAATTTTTTGTTCGGTAGATACTGTGTGGATAAAATTATTAAACAAAACAGAAATGCTTGACAATTTAATAGAAAGTTCATTAAAATTCGTACTTTGTGATAAAAAAAATATCAATCGTAATGTATAATTTTTTTTTAATAAGAATTTTAGTATTAAATTTTGACGAAAACCTTAAATTGTAACGTCCTTTGAAAACATGTTTAACCGAACTTTGCTCCGAATCGTTTTTTATTAGCAATGGTTTATCGTTGGTCACAAGTTTAAACTAAATAAATGCATCTATACGATTATCCCAATTATCCACCAACAATAGTGGCCACACCCATTCCCAGTATTAGTTCCTTTGAAATCGTTGACGACTATATACGTATCGTAATTATAATATTGGTAGTATTATTGTGACGTGCTCTTAAAATAATATATAATTTTAATGTGATAAAAACTGCAATTTGTACGGTACTTGTTGGTTTTATCGACGATTACAGGAACATTAAAAGATATGTCGCGTTCGCGCGTTTACGTGATATCATAAATGGACGCGTCGTAAAAATTACAACCGCGTAACACAGTTTACAAATGTGAATAGTTTTTTTTCGAGTATAAAATCCAACGGGTGTAATAAATTAAAACATGCCCTCGCCCAGGATTGTAAAATAAATTCATCAACTATTGGTTATATCAAAAGCCTTAAATACAAATTGTAATTTTTCAACTATACATTATAATTCTAGAGTGTTGCAGAAGTATATAATTTCTTTTAATTCGATAAGACCAATACATAGCTAATTCCAATGACCTATGTCCAAAAAAAAAAGGACTATGGGAGTGGTTTGAACCGCCTCAACTTACCCCCATCTCTCCTTGCGCACGGGCTTGAATTGAAATAATAATAATATTAGTATAGGCACTACAAATGCAGTCTTGTTACTTTGTGTCGGGTATTTGTTTCGTATTACACGAGTTACGTTGGAGATTATTACTACACGGAATTTAGATTCTGAACGGAACGATAAATGCATTGGTTTTACTATGGATTGTAGATACTTTTAGTTATTTAATTTTGAAAAAAAAAAAAATTATAAATCATAATTTATTAAAAATGCCAATTCGTTAATCGGGTCTTTCGTATTTAACAATCATTAATGCCGTATTGCCCGTATTAAAATTTAAACAGAGAGTCACCGGCACGTGACGAGTCCAAATCTGTAATTATAAAATATAGTTTTACCATTAAATTGTTTTATTATTTAAACTAAAATATAAATTGAAAAAGAAAATCACGAATTTTATACTTTATTGAAATCCGAGCGCTGGAGAAAAGTTTTTACTCCCCCCCTCCCCTCCACTTATAAGTACTTTGGTTATAACGGTCCAAGTAAATTCTGAACAATTTCAAACGAATGACGAACTAAACTGATCGTGGTATTCGGAAACCCAAAGTTCAAAGGGAGGGAGGGCGATTTTACGTGCGTTTAAATTACCGATAGAATAATGTGAGTCTGTTTACCATTATACCAGTATATGATGGCGGGTTATTATTAGATATGTTTTATTAATATTTCGGTGGAGGAAAAATGCTTTTGCACCATCTGTCGCGATGGCGGCGAGTCGATAATGCGCTTCGCGTGACGAGGCCGCCTCACACACACACACACACACACACACACGTGGAACCGGGTCAAAAGTGCAATAACGAAATAAAAAATACATTTATTTGCGTTTTTTGTACAAATGTTCTCGGGGAAAATCCGACCGGCTGTGCAAAGGACTCTGTTCGTGTTTCGAAAACTTTACAGCGCAGTGTATATTATGTGTAGTATAGTCATTGCGACGGAAATAATAACATAAACACGAATAAAAACTTTACTAGACTTATTATTACACTTTTTACACTTTTTGGTCACAGCCGTTTCGGCTTTTGCTCGTACGCGTGAGACCTTTGACTGTAATATTATCACCGTGATAACAATATAATATATACCAACTATCGTCATCCGTATGTACAATGATAAAGTGGTATACTGTAACGAGTGTAACGAAATGTTTCCGCGTTCGCAAACATATAATAATATGTTACCGGAAATGTTGATAATTCCAGATACGGTTATAGGAAATCATTAATATCATTGCCCTGGTATCATTTCCGTAGTTTTTGAGGCGATATTGTCGAAGCCGTTATATTTACCTTAATCTATACAAAGCTAAGTTACTCGATTTGGCTCCTGTTTTTGGACAGACAGATCGAGGAGCAGAAAACCTAAAGACAATTCGCATGGCAACAGAGCACAGATCACAGAATTTTAGGTCAAATGCTCTAAATATTTTAAGTAACGCCGTCAAACGATTTTGTAGATAATCCCTAGACCATGATCAAAAAAAATAAAACCAGTATACTATTCTCCTTTCGGACATTGCCAACAGACTATTTACCACTCTTAGATTCCGTCAGATAATATTTTAAATGTTTACATTTTTAAACTCCCTATACAATTCTAATTCTTTGAACATAATTAGGACACACAGTGTAATGCAAATGTACACTATTCTATCTATTTTGTTACCTATTTGTATTATACAAATATAATCATATACATCGAATAACAATCGTTTCAAACCCCCGAAAATATGATATTTTAGCGCTATCGTTGGAAAATGATAACAAGTACCAACTTTAGATGCAATGCTATGATTTTCTTAGCGTGTTAGGAATTGTCAAATATTTCCGGTAATATATTTTATTATATATACTGTTGTCGTCAAAAGAACTACATATCTTGAACATTGAATAACTTAAAAAAAAAAAAAAAACCCCAGTCTAATCAATAAGGGTATGGCTGAATTCCATACCTTAACTTAGCTTTAAAAACAAAAATCTCCGTCAGGATATTATTCTCCCTACTTTTTACCTACCTACGTCGTCATTTATAAAGTAAAATAGTCCTTCGTGAATCGTAAGACGTCGCCGCGTTCTCTCGGCCAAGCCCTATTGTTGATTATAATATCGGAAATATCGCGGTAATACCCGGTATCTTCGACGTAATTGCAACAGACGTCGGATCAAACTTGGCCTTTTGACCCGATAGCCAGGGAGTCGTAGACAGAGGTATACGGCTAGGATCGACAATATATTAATATATTATGCGTATTATTATGGTAATAACCGGACATCATCTGAAAGCACGTTTTCCCGAGTTGGTGACGCGGAGTGACATCGTCGCGCTGCCGTCAGAATAATCAGTCTCTACTAAAATGTCACCATCACTGTCTATTTTTTCTTTCATAATATATAGTTTTATGTTTCAGCCGTCACGCGAAATTCGTTTACGAATCCCTTACTCCATAATGTCGAAAACTACAAAAGTTAAATACTATAGAAAAGTCTTGCTTGTAAAACCGAGTGACCGTGAGTAAAACAACGAGCAGCTAATTCCCATGACTTTTATTGTGTCCGAACTTTTGGGACGACTTACCGGTGTGGCATTTAAACGCGTTAAAACAAATAACTATTTACCGTCTCATATAACCGTTTGAAAAACTTTCAGTTTTAGTCACCAATGTCGATTTACAGTGTAGTTTTAATATTTTAAATGACAAAATATATCGCATTTGTCACATTTAATGACAATATTGCAGTCTTCCGTATACGTAATTAACAGATTGGTTTCAAAACGATGGATTTTTTTCGTGCGTGTTTTGTAAAGTACTAACAATTATATTATATAAAATCGCACATTCACTGACATAAAAGTTCAGTTCTCTTTTAGTTGAATATGTACCTGTAGGTGATTACTAATATACTAATTACGTAAATATAAAATTCAATATAAAATTTATTATTTCTTCACAATTTCACTTTGATTTAGAGAAATATTAGTATACAATGCAACGCACATGTAATTCACTTTGATTTAGAGAAGTATTAGTATATAATGCAACGCACATTCCATTTCGCTTTACATTTTGAATATGCATCGCACACAAGTTTCAATACAGTATGTTGTTTGAATATTAATCATTTATCGATTGTATTTATTTAATCCATCATTTAAATGCATTCAGACGATATGGGTGTTTTGGTATTTGGTATGAAAAAGCACATCGAAATTTTACCCATATGAATGATAAACTCTTAAAAAGATTAAAATACAATTATAATACTATGTATGGCAGTACATGTGCGTCGACATTTTTTTCTGTGACAATTTATAATGATAATTGCACACTCTAATAAGTTTTTGAGGATTTTAAATTGTTTAGGGTTTCTACGAGTATTAACTTTCAAATGCATTAAAATGTCTGTTACATTTATTAAGCCAATAAATTAACCTAAAAATAAAATATTTATACATCATTAAGTCATAGAATTTGATATATGTTTAAAATACGAAATACGAGTTCCTATGTCTTCATTTGGAACTGTATATATGATGAATGTGTTGTGTACTATATTCGCATGACTTTTACAATTTAATTCAATACATTTTTTATTTACACTCAAAATACTTATAATAATAAAAAACACAACGAAAATACAAACCCTAAAGACGCATTGATGTTATTCGGTTTGGTATACGATTGGATAGTTCATTCCACGGTGACGGCAGAATGCTAACTCATCGTTGTCCGTTGAGGGTGACTTAAGTGTGGAAAAGTGAGAGTACCACCGGTGAAAAGAAAAATGGGCGTGGTTTTCTGATCAATAACATTTTGACGTTATCAGAAAAAAAAAATCTGTTTTCTTAAAGTATTGGGTATAAACATAAAATATTATTGTTTCGCGATTTCATTCTTATATGAATTTAGCTACTTCACTTAAATCGTTATAAACAGGGCTGTACATAAAAGGGGATTTTGATGGTTCAACCTCCGTCTATCGAAATCTATTCGTGTTATATCATGTTGTTGGAAAATAATTATTTAACTCGATAAAATTAGAAAACCGCGCACTCATAGTTTAAAATCCCCTATTGAAATTATTTTCAAGTTATACGGCCAATGGTAACAATAATGGCAACATCAATGATAATACTAATGATAATAATAATTACGATACTTTATGTTATCGAATAATAACAATAATGTAATTATTAACCGGATTCATTCATCTCTATTTTAATAATTATAAATAGAAGAAAAAATCAAATATGTATGTCGCATCCACTCAGTGAAATCGCTATTTAATGAACTGAATATCCACACAGGGAAATTCGTCCAGATCGTGAATTTTGACGAAAATACAATATGGACATCCATTTCATCAAATGGACAACACCTACAATTATTGTACACTTTGTGTGTAAATATTATAAAACAAAATGTTTTATTTAACAATAAATTATATTATAAACCTCTATACTTTTCTTTATCGTCTTAAACAATACTATTAATTTAATTTTTGTATTTGATATTTAATTCGATTAAAACAATAATTAATAAACTATACCTATATATTTTTCTTCCTTATTATTTATTTTTACATGACAATTGATTATGACGTCGGCTGTTAGCATATTATTTTTGAAACAAACACACCTACTTAATTAGCTAGGAATTTTCGGCTTACACGAACAAGACAAAAGTCCTCACCCTCCTGAAATTTTTTTAATAATTTCTCTCACTGAAAATTCAACATTTTCATCAATTTAATAATTAGTGACAAATTTAATTGTTGATGTGTTCAAACATTCACAACTGAACCATCCTTTCAGTAAACCATATTTTGTTCCAATTGTATACAATCCTTTTTTTTTCTTTTGTCTGTGATCACAGAAATTATGATTGTAAGATCTGTGGGTCCCCTATCAACTTTCGGTACACCGAATACAATGCACTAGTTAACTTCAAAATCGAAAGTTCTTTTCATTTTTCAGTTTATATTAAATTTAAATTAAGATCTGAAAAGTAAAAGTACATTATAACTGTATTTTATTATCTACCTTGTTCATTTTCTCTACGGCTATAATTTGACCTTCATGTCCACGTTCACGTTGAATTTGTATTTTTTTACTTGAGTCGCATAATTGACAAATGATTTCATTATTTTCAGCTTTACAAATACTGCAGTCAATTAAGCGTTTTTCAAATTACCTTATTTGAAATATATATTCGATGTCTTCTTCCGTTGTTAATTTCTTCAACAGATGGCAAATTTAATGTACTTTGTTCATTTTTCGGATCATGCCCAAATAAAGTTTTATAAAGGCTACGTTCTATAACAACCCGCATTGAAATTGGCAATGTTTTATAGTAGATTTTATTTTTATCCGTTAGAATTAAGCCTAAAAAAGCGATTTACGTTTATATCCTGTACGTGTCAAAACAGCGGTCGCTCGTAGGGTGGCAACATTAATTTTGATATGTTTAAGGATTCTCCCTCGGTGAAATATTAATCGCGCTCGTGTTATTATATACATATACAACGGTACCTCGGTATTTTTAAAACCGTTAAATCGATATATTATTATAATATTTTAGGGGAGGACCGAATTTGTTTCGAACGTCATCATATTGTGTCACGACCATAATAAAACTCACTGGCAGCCGTCGGTGAAACGTACGGGCCGAAATGCGAATGTGTTTTTTTGTGCACTCGGGAGAAAAAAAATATCCACCTATTATAATGTTCGTCAAACCGGGTTACGTAGCGAAAAATGCATTTTACACAATATTATTGCATTCGATTATAAACAGACAGCGTAATATTCGATAGACGTCAAAATATTATTGTACTCGTATGTTTATAAAATGTTCCGCGGACAAATGTCAGTGGTTAGCTTGTTCGACTGAATGGTTCAGTATTTCAAATTGACGTGTCATCATTGTAACAACTGCGTGACGATGATTTCTTGTGGGTAAGCGCAGCGTTTATGAATTTCAAGTGTCCTGCATATTCGAACCCGATAATTGTAAATTTATTTTCCCGCCTTTACGTAAATACGCGAATTCGTAAATTTCCAAATGGCTCCGGTATTCGACAATCAAAAGGAAGTCGCGACATTTAGATAGAGGGTCGTTAATAATTTAACGCCAAATGAAAAAGGTAAGTAGATAAAACGCGTATTTTTCGTAAAATTATTTCGTACCGTCGTTGATCGCGTAATGTTGCACGTGTCCGACGCGGAAAACGGTAATTTTTATCTTACGAAAACCATGGCCAATGCCGGTAAACACGAGGGATGCAGATTTCATTCGGATCAAAATTGGTAGCGAATGGTTCAGTCATCGGAACTCAAAAATAAATCAATATGGTATTCCGAAATAAGAATAACACTAAAACGTATTTTATTTTGCATTCCATAACTATACCGCCGTCTAAAGCTTTGGACTGTTTCATAGACGATTAAATGGTTATCAAGCCGAAAGACAATATAGATAACATAGACAGGGTTCGACTATATTTTTTGGAAATTTGAAAATTTTATGATCATTGATTGTATCGATGAAATAACTCGACTGGAATGCATATAAAAATGTGTCTCAGAAAATTATCTTTAATTTAAATTCTAAAAACGTAAGCACACATTTATGATTTATGCATGATTTTGTTTTTGTTTTTTTTTTTTTTTTTTTTTTTTTTTTTGTCTAACTTTAAACTATCGGGAATCGCTCGGAAATTGACATTTTTGTAAAATGGAAACCGTTTCGGAAAAAAGGAGCCAAACGGGCTATATGTTGTTTTTTTTTTTTTTTTAATCACAAATCGGGGTTTATTTTCGATTGAAATTAGCGAAAGAATGAAGACTTTGAGTCGAAGCAATTTTACTACTACAATAAAATACGATCATATTTTATATTGGACAATCAGAAATCATAATTTTACAGTGTAATTTAAACCAGCCAATGCGAACAGCGTATTTGGATATGGTGCTAGAACTCTATAGATACCTCTAAGTACACCACTCGGACTCTTCTGGTATATTTTAGTCTTGGTTTTTGTCGAGATGGACGTGGAGTGATCGTCGTACGAACTACAATATAAAAGCGTAGGTATATAAACGGTACACGACACTACCGTATCCATTTCCACCACGACCTAGTTAATTTTTTTGCCCCACCTCCCTCCTCGCATGTGTATATTATATACGACCGAGTTTTTTCTTTACATTTTTACTCTCCTTTAGGTCTGACGAGAAAAAATAAACTCCCATTCGTCATCTCTGGCGGGGCTTGTCATGAGTGCCTACCTACTTCTCTACAATATCCCTCGTCACTATAGCCCCCAGCGTTGCCGACCTTTAACGAATCTCCGTGTACAGAAAACACTGCAGCGAGCTTTTGTGCCATTTTTTTAATTTTTTTCCGTACAATAATTAAAACCGCGAATTATTATACCTATATACTATACACGCGAGTGTACGTACGGGTCGGCTTTAATTAACATCGGGGAAACGCGAAACGATTATTCAATGCATAAACCAGTCAAAAGCGTAGATACGTGCGAGTTTTCAAAATTTTCTGTGAGTTTTGAATACCCGTTTAAAAAAAATTGGTGAAATAAGAATCTAAGGATCTAGTAGGTTGTAATGGCGGGAAGGGTACGGCTGAAAAATATTTCGAAAATATAACAAACATAATATAAGTACATAAAGTAGATATATTTTTAAAAATCTTAGCAAATATTATATTAGTAAGTATAAAATATAAAGTTAGTTTTTTTTTTTTTTTCAACTAATATCTTAAACCTTCATTCGACATTGCTATATTGTCTTGAAAATCTATCATTGACATCGTTGACATATATAATAAAGGAATGCGTGAAACTGCTAATACGTTCAGTCTTTTCAGTAATTTTTACGTCCGAAGATAGAGGGGGTCAAAATTTCCTTAGTCCTTCAACATTAAATCCACGGCCCATGGAATACGATTGACAAAATTAAAAAAAAAACTTCAAACTCGATAAACCATCCCCGTAATTTTTAGCCTGATGATTATTTATGAAATTGTAGTTTTAATTACAATCCGATATTACTTTTTCCTGTAGAATATTCGGAATTGGTACGTGAATAATTATGAGATTTTGGATTTCGAAAAAAAAAATATTTAAAAAATACTTATCGCTCTGTTACAGATGTTTCTAACTGAGTAGTCAGAAACTTCGGAGTGTGTGAGTACCAACCCATGGTGCGATGTATGCTTGCCATTTTTTCCCCTCGTCTTTCGGCTTGAGGTCGGGCTAAAGTTCGTCTCGCCCGATCCGTAGTCTCAGCTATGCTCATCATCGTTATTCTTTCGGTCAATAACTCGAGAACGCTATATTTTAATACGCCGAGCGTACCTAAAGAAAACCCTAGCAAATCTAGTCCCATATATTATGTATACAAAAACATTTTATTCTAACGCAGCATTCTATAGATTTTTCTGTATTATTCGTTCCGTTCAAAAACGAACAAATACATAAACAAGGCTTTACAGAGTGAGACCTAAGACTGGGGTGGTACTTTAAGAATTTTTTTCCCAAAATAAATGTGAAAAACCAGGAAAAAACATGGGAAAAATGGAAAAAATCGTAAATATTATAACATTTCAAAACATGTATAACCAACCTCCGTACAGTATCGTTTTTCGTTAGCAAAGATTAATATTTCTGTGTACAGATATGTATAAGATTCCTTTCTACATCCTACCCTCCAAACTTCTCACCTACAACAGTGGCCCATCAATCTTACAAAGTATGTCCGGCTTTTTATATATTATTAATTAATATATTACGGTTAATATTATTACAATATATTCAATTTTTAATTTCTTTTTTTTCCATAGGATTTTTTCTAGGAAGGGTCATAAGTATATTAAGAAAAAAAAATTAATTTAGATTATGAGGTACTATCACTTATTTACTAAAAAAAAAACTTTTTGTTTTGTAAACTTTTCGAAATTCTTAAAATAATCGATATGTAACATATGTTATTCTAAAAATTGTAGTATAACCTACGTGCATAATATCCGATTAACGATTGTCTCTTAGTAATAGCCGTTTTAATTTCTAGAGAAGTAGCGTAAAAATATATGATATTATTTAATTCAAATCACGCGTCAGGAACACAAAATCCGACTGGAACATCATGTATACATGTACGACATATATTATAAAATTGTTTGACTGATATTTATTCCGATTGTTGATCCTTTTTAAGAATTTCACAGCATTTCTATAAATGAAATATTGTTATATAGTTACTGATTATCATGTACGAGTTTTAATATTGAATCGTGTATACTTTGTTAGGTTTTCGTGTCGGGGTTGATGAATATTATTATATTATAGGACTTCAATGGGTCTACGGTTATATTATCATAATGTAATCACCGAGACTCGATTACACGAATAAGCCGGACTGCGCGGCACTTATAGAGAATATCAAATAATATGTTTATAATATATACGGGACTAGATTATACAAATAATACAAAACCTCGGTGTTTTAAATTTAAACTGCGAAAAGGTAAAAAAAAAAAAAAATGAAAACATATACAATAAAAATAATTAAAAAAGCGAGTACATCTGAGGGTCGGTCTGAGTACGTTTTAAAGGAATTTCCGCCGTCGTGATACGAACTTGCGGCCTGCTACGGTGATAGGATTTTTGAAAAAAATTATTTTTTTCGCACAATAATATTATAACATAACTTTTTTTACGGTTTTTTTTTTTCTATTATTGCGTATACGTACTATACACACATATGAGGACCAATATATGGATACTTGTTGGAATAACAATATTTAATGAGAGAAGCCCGACGTGGCGCAGGTCTCTCATCATTGACCTCGTATACGGTCATAATATATTGATAAACACACCACTTCCCCCGACCCCCATCGACCCCTTAATTTCGTATTTAACTCCCTACGTTAATGACAAGGAATTTTTATTTATTTTTTTTATCTATCAAGTGTTAACTCGTAATTTAACATCTTAACCCGAAAATCTGTTTCAATAATAGAGTGCTATTCAATTTTAAGCCGATTTTTTAATTTTTAATTAATTTTTTTTCAGGTACTTATTTTTTGCTCTACGATTTTGTCGATTTCTTCGATCGACAAAAGGCAACGGCTCTGCCCAAGGCGAAATTCGAGCAAATCATCAACGTGATATTCAAAGACCGAACGCAGCTGGAAAGGGACGCTATTATATATCAGGTGAGTGTTAAAAATTTAACCTTGTCGTAGACACTCACCCGACGAAGAATTCAACTACAGTTGCGGTACCCATCTACATTATAGCTGTTCGGATATATGAGTACAATACTGGTTGTGTATATGAATATTCTATTGTGATGGGATTTTTTTTTTTACTTTTTTCAGACACCTATTATTTATGTAACGTCATCATTACGGAAAGTTTTGTGAAACTCCAATTATTAAAACTGCTACTACGCACGTATAGTAATAATCCGAAACGCGTAAATATTTTAAAGCCGGCATTAGGAATGTTTCTTATTACGCGCGCACTCGACACTCGTATATAATAACGGGCCGCATTAAATATGCGAAAACAAATGAACAAAAATGTAAATATTATACGTTCTCTGTACACTAAACACACGATTGTACGGGTGCAAGTGTAACGGTTTTGTGCGGGGATCCTGATAAGTTTTGCACAGAAAAAAAAAGCTTCACGGGGATAAATATTATATTACAAATCCGGCGAATAGGATGACGATGATTTTCAATCATCACACCGCGTAATTTACTTTAATAACAAAAACCGCCAAACCGTATTCGATTTTCATTTTTTCTCTATCCTAATCCATGCTCCATGCTCTCGGGACCGAGTGGGTTCCGTCACAAGTTCTCGGACACACTCTGCATAGCTTTTCGGTGTGGTTTTTCTCTCGGGCTCGTTCTCGTCAACTATCTAACCTAGAAAATCATATCGATCGCTATACTACATTATACTGGATATTATGTTAATTATTAATATATTACCTGTACGTCGTTAATTCAACGATGCGTTAAATTGCAGTATTCGGGATTCGAAAAAAAAGAAGTGGACGACGTGTACTCCAATCAAAGACTGTTGAGTGACGTGGTAGCGGATTACTTTTTCGTGTGCCCGACCAATTTGTTCGCCAACATCGTGTCGAGTCGGGGCGCTCGCGTGTATTATTACTTCTTTACGCACGTAAGTATAATAATTAATAGGAAACATAGTCATCGGAAAATATGATTAAACGAGTAAAGCAAAGTAGTCAATAGAGGTATTTTAACGCCTATTTTAAATATTTACACGCCATCGAACCGTGTTATACGTACTTTACGTCCGAGCGATTCCATTCGAATCGGAGGGGAAAAAAGTGTTTGTATCCCGAGAGTAGAGTATATCGAGATTTTGTATATTTTGCCGAAAATGTTGACAATTTCTATAGGAAGTGAAAATGCGGTAAGGATATGATATCACAGTCTATATATTATAGTTTAATTGTTATTTCCTATCGATACCGTGAATTAACGGTTACTGGCTGAGATTATATTATTAGGACATCCGACATTGGGTATTATTTTTTATTACATTTTTGTAATACAATATTTCTTTATCACGGTCCAGTAATTATCTACGAAGATTTTGAGCGTGATCGATTTTGGTTTTTGTTACCAGTCGTTATAGAATGTTATTTATATTATTATCAACATCGCAACCAGAATGCCGTTTGCAATCGCTAATTCCCGAAGAGTCACTATTAGATTTTCTGCTTGATTTACCGGCTTTTAAACAGAAGTCAGGTCGTGTAATTTGACTTTACGTGTATTTATTTTTGTTCTTGCAAATAAATACATTATAATATAAGTGTTTCAATAATATTATCTATTAAACTACGAAAATGATAACAAGTAGTATTAGTGATCATTGATACCATTTCCTAAAGTACTATGGGAGAATTTAACGTTTTCTAAATTGTCAACATTTCAGGTACGCATACAATTTAAATGCATAGACTCGTGAAATTGCAACTAGTGTGAAATCTTGACCTGCAAAAAATCGAGAGAAGATCATATAAAATTAATATTATTTACTCCCAATCGAAAGATCGAAGGTCGTGAGTAGAGTGATAAAATGATTTTGGCGTGTATTTTAATATTTTATCATACGCTAGCAGTGTTGTAGTTGCATAGTCATGATAAATTACTCGACTTATTGACGATAAACTCTAATTTTCGACAGGCAGTTAATCACCTATGATATATTTGTCGACGAAAAAAGTAAATTATTCTTTATACAAAACTACACCTTAGACCGCGTTGTTTTCAAAAGAATCACCATAGCTACTGTCCCTGAAAAACGTGATAGTATTTAATAGTCACCATAATAAAAGCCATTCTCGTTATTGGATTCGTACAGATGGTACCTAAATATTTCGAATTTAACTACCTAATTACTGGCGGGTATTCATATTCATTATTTATTCGCAATCCCGGACAACTGAGTGAACCTACCTAGTTTTATAATATTTCTGCGGTATAATATTATCGTTGCAGAGGACGAATACACATATGTGGGCCGAGTGGATGGGCGTGTTGCACGGTGACGAGATGCAATACGTTTTCGGTCATCCGCTGAACATGTCGATGCCGTACAACGCCAGGGAGAGAGATTTGAGCATACGAATAATGGAATCGTTCACCAGATTCTCGTTGACCGGGTAAACAGTGTTGCGTTTTTATCTAGATAATAGCGTAGAATAAGAAAAGTATAATTTTGTATTTTTAAGTTATTTTATAAGAACAGTATAATATGAGTAATCTGAAATTAAAAACTCACATGTTTCGAAAAAACCATTTCTCAAAAAAAATAGTAAAGGGTTTTCCAATAAAAAAAATAAATCAAAAATGCATTTTTCTTATACAATTCAAAACTGACGAAAACCTTAAGATTTCACTCGTGATCTATATTTTTTTTTTTAGACTAACGTTTAGAACATGTGAATTTTCATACTATAGACAATTTTGTGATTTTTAAAATACGAGTTAAATAGGGTTCAATATCAACATTTCCACGATTCAATAAAACTTGTTAGTTTTTTACATCTACCGCTACAATATCAGGTTGAATTTAGACCTGTTGTTGTGCGTTTTTAAAATGATTAATTACAGAAATAAATTCGGAAATTAAACAGTTCCCCGTTTCCCCCCTTTTTATATATATACGATTTTTAATTATATAACTTAAAGCGCATATATTCATTACTATTTCTGACTGCGGCGAGTATATTCAATATTCACACTGTATCTATATCGATAACATACTCGCATTTAACATTCATACACCCTGTAGTGATGGCGTTATAAAAGTCTACGCGGACGGAATCGCGGGTAACGGCTATAGTATTGTAACATAGCAATATAATGTATTATGCAAAAGTCGAGTTGCCGAGAATCCGAATTTCGAGACTAGTATAGAAATTTTAATTTTTAATCTCGAAACGGTTTTATCGTCGATTTCGTTTTTTTACTATCGTCGAATGTACGTTGAAAATCCAACATAAACCGTACCACGTGTAACGCACTAGTAACGTATCAAAGCGGGTTTTGTATAAGTACCCGTACATATGCTTGTATAGTCCGTATAGTTTACCATAAAACATAACGACATCAAAGAGAAAATACGGTTGAAAACTAAAAAGGCATACACCTATGTATTATATTGTGACGAAAACACCGCGGTTACTGGCCGGTAGTTGCAATATTATTATGCGCTGCAGTGCTGACAAGACATAGGTAACTAACCCCCTTTAACGCCTAATTGTATATTTTATATTTTGGAACGTAATATACACATATATAGGTGGTTATGTCTTGGAAGAAAACCGAAAACCTTTTAGTCGTGAATAATTTATTTTAGACCCGAAAGGTTTTATTGTATGAAGGGGGAAAAAATCTGATTACAACGTGCAGGCTACACGGTAAAATGAAATAATGGTATACGGTTTCAAATGGAATTCTGTAAGAAAATGAAATATTATTTGAGTATGAATAACGGGAAGGAGGAAGGAAAGTTAACGCACAATATAAAAAAAAAAAAACTAAGTCTTCGTTGGCGTGCAATGATGAATTAAACCACTGAAAAAAAAAAAAAACCAGAATTAATCGGTAGCGGTCACGACGTCTTAAAAGGCGGTAATCCTGCTATATAATATGCCGACAGCGGAAGAATCGAGCGATTAGTTTGAAATCGTCCGACAGACTTACGAATTACTTCGTTTTGTTTAAGTTTTTATTTTTTTTCATACTGTGACCTCAAAATACCGAGGTCCTGTTTTATAATATTATATTCTGTCGAGCGTACACCTACCAATACATACACATAATCGTCAGTCGTCACTCGATTTCGGGACCTGTCGTTCGTGGGCGACTTATCGATTTTTTTTTCTCCCCATGAACATTTTTACCGTTCTATTTGGATTTCCTGTGAGGTTAAGAATCCGACCCTTCACCTCCCCCGCGTCCGGCAACAACGATGTTATAAAATACTAAAACTAATCGTCTTTATAAAAGTGTCGTCTCGACGCCATCGCAAGGATTAAAATTAATAGTGGCGACAGTGTTTTATACTACACACTAAATGCATAATATTGTACTTTTATGTAATATCATGATGCCCTTGACGTCATCTCGAACGTTTAAATCTCGAAAATCAAAACGCCGGACGGACGTCCGATGGATTTCAAACGTAGTAAAACGCAATAGAATTTCAGTGAAAAATCTAAACCTCCTTAGCTGCCATCGCCGCTGCACACAATCTACGGATTTTTCACCCGATTTCTTCTTGACCTACATAATATAATATTATTGCAGATGACGATTGTTTGGTTTTTCGAAAATTTCTCTCGTTTTTGTCAGCCCGCCGGCTAGCTATTCGAGTTAAATATATATAACCAATATCAAACAAATCAGACGTCGTCGTCGGTTTTATTTATCGTGTCAACACGACGAAGACGACGACGGCGACGATGACTGTGGAAAATATCAAAAACTTTTTTTTTTTTTCATTCCATCGTCATTGTCGTCGTTCTCGTCGATGCGTGGGTATTTTATATAATATGCGTACGATTTGGAAACGAGTGGGTACAGGGGATTGGCCGGGACTTATAGAAGGGCGGTCGGGGTATCCCAAGAGTTATAAAACGGTTTTGTAAATATTATTCGCGGGCAATGTTTGTTTCGCGCGATCCAGACCGGAAATTGATTTCGCCGACGCCGCCGGTTCCCGGGGCACCGCAGCCGAATAAGAAAAGTCCTGCGAAAATAAATAACTTGAGATTATTTTAAATAATTCATCCGGTCGAAGAAGCGCACGAAACTCTTGTACACAAAAACGAACCTGTGAAAACATGAATACCTATACCATCCATGTGTTTTCGAACAAACGTAAATTAATTATTACATTATCATTATTATTTAGAGTAGACACTAGGACAATCACATGCTCGAAGTCACAGAAAATTTAACTAGTCAAATTATGGCCTATTAAATCATCAATTAATTTTAGTTATTTCAGCGTCGTGACGTTATCTTCATTGCGAGCTTAATGAACATTGTGTAGATATTATATTAGTGTTTTTCGATTTTTATATTATTGATGAATGGTTTTTATTTAATAATTTTAAAATGTTTTCAATATCCTTATCTCTAGAAAGTTCTAGTCAAAATTAAAAAAAAAAACGTCCTAGAATAATGGGGACGGGTGCAGCCACTGTTATAGATAATTTAATGTACACCTGTAAGCAACGATAAACCATTACCTACGATAAAACGATTCTGAGCAGAGTTCAGTTGATAGTGATGCTTTTTCAACGATATATATATGTAATTTTATAGTAAAATAATTAAATAGGCTTTATATATTTTCTTAAATAATATTTATTTAATATTGTACCGATTTTTCCAGTTTTCCATAGTTTTTTCCGGTTTTCCCATGTTTTATCCCAGTTTTTGCATTTTTTGAGAATACTCTTGAGAAAATCAGTATATGACCTCCTTAAAGTATTTTCCATGCCGTCTTTCTTTCAGAAAAAATGCTTCACATAAAAATCCGAGCAAGTTTTCTAGTAAAAAAATTACGCACAGGTAAAAAAAAAAACATCTTTGTAAAACTATAAGCTTTTTCGCTCCACTCAGAATCAAAAATCTTAAAATGCTGCACTTGAGATTTAAGAACACATAATTTTATTAGGTAATAATTATGTAATTACTTTCGTAGACTTACAGAAATCTTGCGACAATGTGAATTGGAAAAAACTCATTAGATGTATAGGAGCTATTGACATAAACTAGAATGATAAAAGGATCATAATATTATATAATCCGTAAATCAATGTAATTGCAAACAGAAAGGTCTTATCCAGGAAGAAACTAGAACCGCTAATGGTGTAAGATAGAGGTATAGTAATTTACCACACCTACCTTAATCAATCTATATATAGAAGAAATGTTGAGAGAAAAGACTGAAAAAAGAGTATTGAAGGGATTAAGTTAGGTGAAATATCCGTAAAAATGCCATGTTTTTCCGATTATATTTCAATAATTGCAAAAAATGGGAAAGACTTAACCAATGTAATGTTCACCACATGACAATAAATCTGCGGAACACTAAAGAACTTGTGTATAACAAACATCAGATATATGCCGAAAAAGTCTTAGATGGTATAATATTACATAAAGTACATATTTGTACTTACCTAGGTAAAATCGTACGTGACGGGAAAATCTATAGAAATACAATAAGTAGAATAGCGCAAGCTAAACAATCATTCAATAAAAGAGGAATCTTTTATCGTAATCGTAAAAGGTTTTGTGTGTAGCGTAGCTACAAATGAAGCAGTAATGTTTAGTATTCTAAAGACCGGGAATCTCAAAATAGGAGACTTTCCAGTATCCAGTCCTCGGATAACCACACTAATAGAAGGGAAAATAAAAGGTTAACCAGAAAAATGAAGGCGTTTCATGAAATAAGTATTGGAATATACAGAAATTAGAACATAAAGGGAGCTTAAATGCTTAAAAAAGCTACAAACGACTGGGAAAAATGGAGAAAGACATCATTTATCATTCAGCCAATTGTATGATTGAAAAACAAATACATTAATATTCTAATATTTTAAACGCCGCAAGTTCCTTCGGATAGGTTTACATAATATATTATACATTGTATATTATACAACAATGTTATTGTCACGATATTATTATTTTCTTTGTTTCACGGACTATAATTGGATTCTATATCGTCTCTGCAGAGGTATACCACACCTGCGCCCAAGGAATTTAAAACGGAACATGATATATACTTATAGTACACACACACTGAGTTTTGATTAATCGTCAGTCGCACCGTTTACTCGTATTGTATACGACGATTATTCACACGGGCAGCACTTCGGGGGAGGGAGGAGAGGGTAGAGTGTGCAACTATTCTGCTTGCGGATTATTGCTCCCCTTTTATATTTATACTTGTCGATGCATCTTAAAATATGTCTGGTCCATAGATTAAATTTAGTTCAAATTAAATAGACAGTAGAATTTTGTTGATGAGATCATTTCTATAATAATTGGCCAAAATGATTAATTCTGTAAACATGTCTATGCTAATAAGGCTTTTCGAGTCACCATTTTACATTTACTTGTGATTTAGTTGTTTATTGTAAATTTCTAATACTAAGTGAAAAATTTAGACAATCTTTGCTCGGGACCAACAAAATGTTTTAATCCAAACTATCTCAAACCCCTTCTTATTAAAAAAAAAAAAAAAATCGTGTATAAAAATTGTCTGTGTTAAACACGTCCGAAAAGATATTACACCTGCTCTTACAAGAGACTAAGGAACATTTGTCGGCGGTAGAATTACCAAACATCCAAGGCAAAATCCCGAACGATACTTTTATTTTATCGGGCTGCACTTATTGTGTCGCATTTCAGATTTTACTGGAAAATACTGGGTAATGCAGTTAGTAAATTATATATATATATATATATATATAAATGAATAGTATATACGTATACGTATATTATATTCGAATGGGAAAATACTTTTGAGAGAACGTCTCACCCGTGTCTACTGTATCAATCTAATTATTAATGGACAACATAGCAAAATAACATTACACAGAACGTACATTTAGGCGTTTAGGTTGAAATTATAAACAAATTTTAAAGAAGAGAATATTTCCGAAAAACGTGGCGTACGAAAATAATACAGCCATTCAAGGAAAACAAAAACTAACTTGGGTATAACTTTTGCTGTACAATTTTTTAAAACAGCAAAACTACTCGAAAATAATTTTGTTATTTGTGTTTAAAAATAATTTTAACCTAAACGCCACTAATAAACCTAATTATGTTATGTTGCCTGTTAGTAAAGTCAGACTGAGACCGTAGATGCGGTTGTGGCCGTAAATGACCCTTCGTGATAACAATAATAATCACGACCGTGAAAACGTATCCAGTGACCATGTGTAATAAATTTAGTACAATATAATATGTTATTATTTTATTTTAGAATACCTGTTTCGGATGATATTGTTTGGCCATTGTACAACGAATCAAAACCGGTATACCATGTGTGGAATGCGGAAGAACAGAACGTGGGTTATGGGCCAAGAGCGACAGAATGCCAATTCTGGAACGGATTTTTCCCAAAAATAGGTATTTATATTGACTCTGTTCTGAAAACAAACGCACATTTTTGTTACATGGAGAATGATAACAGTCGAAACTGGTGACAATAAGGTTTTAGATTCATTGTGCAGAGAAAAGTCGAACGTGAAAATGGCACCAAAAACTACAGAATAACTTTGCGTAACTATAGTCAACAAATTTTTTCCTAAACCTAAACCCCGTACCTCATCCTAAACATCAACCTCGACCTAAACAGTGGATTAGTAGATGTTAGGTTGAAATATCGAAAAAATTGCTAGAGACTATATTACACTATGACTTTTTGTTCCAACCGGGACTGATATAGTTCTATAATGCACCCACAATCTAACCACAACCATCATCGTCCTCAACGCCGACTTCAAACTCGTTTTCGTTACAATAACTAAATCCATTTTACTGTAATACGAAACGTTTTACATATTAACATCAATACCTACATAATATAATACTGACAAAATTGTGTTTTTATTTCTTTGAATAGCGCAAACTTTGAACGACGCTTCGAAGGGCAACTGCGAATATTATCAGGAACCGATGCCCACGACCGACGAAAATTGTACCGCGATCGTACCGACTTCTGTAGCGGCCGGCACCAGACAATACGCCGTTTTCTCCGTCATTTTCATCTTCGTTCTGCCGGCGGCGCACGGGTTGCAGTTCTAAACGGAACAAACGGATATTTAATTGTAATACGAAACTCAAAACGCGTATTTCTATACGCCCACAACACCATCTACATAATATCATTATATACTTACGATTTGACGGTCGGGCTAAAAATATCGTATTTAACGCAGTAGGTTCTACCATAAGAAATAAATAAATTAAAAAATTAAAAAAAAATTAAATTAAAAACAAACGGCCGGACGAACATAATATAATGTCACGTGGCTCAACGGGAATGTCGCGAGACCACCGGCATTATAAATTTATATGCGATAAAATCAAATACATATTACACTTAATAAATACATATCATATCATATCGTTTTTTTACGAAAACCGAAATACAATTAGATTAATATATTATAGCCTTAACGGAATCTGATAAGAAAAAATAAAAAACACCCCGTGATAATATTCGTTTGGTACGTGATTTTTCCGAGGGTTGTAGTGATATTATAGTTGTATTAAAATTATTAGCGCGTTCTATAATAGTATATAAGATAACAATATTATTAATACAAAATTACAGTAGTATAAATAATACATAATAATCTATAATAATAAAAAGCTTGATGTTTACCGAATGCTCGTAGACTGCAACGCCGTTCGTGGCGCGCGAAAAACGTTACGGCATTAAAAATAATCGAATAAATCGATGGTAATATAAAATTTATTAGCGTGACTTTCGATGTAAAAAAAAAAAATTGATTTAAATTAACCTAGGCAAAAACAATATTATAGACAAACAAATAATAATAATAAAAAAAAAAGAAGAAAAAAAAAAAAGAAACAATACTATATAATCATATTATATTATATTTTAGTGTTCTCACCAGCACGTTCTTTACATTATACTATTATCCGTATTTCGTCCAATCACACTGGGATCACAAATTATCGACATGCAGACAATCTTAGTACTTTAAAAATATATATATTTGATATCTAACGTTATCGAACTGTATAAGTAAAACTTTTGTATAGCTCAATTACATTTTTACGTATACGTGCGATAAACGGCTTTTGACGAGAACGAATCTTTTTTGTACGACCTAGCTATAGTTGTGTTTATGATATTATATTGTGTTATTATTGCCGTGTATCTTTTTGTGAACGGCAATTCTATATAAAAACGACCCGATCGTTTTTTTTTTTCGTACTTTTATACCCGGGACAGAAATTACATTTGTTTTCGTTTTTTTTTTTTTTTTTTCTTTAGAAAATATGCTATTGCTATTGTAACAATTGAAATTTGATATACTTTTTCAAAATAATATATTATTATCGCGACTTAATCGTTAAAACAAAAAAAAAAAAAACAATTAAAATATATATGTTAACATACCGTCTGGTTGTCTAGCAATAACCTCGGAAGTTGGTTTTTTATATTTATCTGAACAACTTTTCTACCAGAATTAATCTCGTTCAATCTCGTAATCGAACATTTTAAAAGAATTTTCGTATAGCTTTTCTCTGACTAAAAGGTGCGAAGGGAAATTAATTTCGTGATTATCCTTGTAGTTCCCTTTAATAACAGTTTCCTCGTCGCGGTTTTGTAAAATGTATAAAGATTTACGTTCGGGGTATTGCCGGTAACCGATTGAACGAAAAATAAATACCGTTGCCCAACGAGTAACCAATTATTGTAAACCGAACTTTTTCCAAACGATATCATTACCTATGTTAACACCCTAAAATACTTTGTCACACATCTTGTTCGTGTGCGTCTATTTGAATACTTATAATTTTATTTATTTTGTTTTTTCTAGACGATTATTGTCACTTACATATCAAACGTTTTTGTACGGAAGTAAAAGCTTTTATCTTATACATATCACATATATTATACTACTATCGTGCGTGAAAAAGAAAACCTTGAGCTTTGATAAAATACCGAAAATTATAAAGTTTTTTTTTTATGCAACAATCCTCCCCCCCGCACAATTTTGAACGTTGCCGTAACACCATATTGTTTCGTTAATTTGTTCGCGTTTTAAACTCAATCAAAAATCATATCAAAAACGATCAACTCGTATAAGTTATCGTATTAGATTGTAGACGATGGCGGTGTGCTTTTTAAAACGAAAATTCGTACTACATTTCTAATTTATTTTTGCGACAAGGATATTTATTAAAATGTACACACTGTTATTGCGTGTTTTTTTTTTTTTTTTTTTATAATTTTTATTATATATGTATAAATGACGATTTTTACATATATTATAAGGTTTGTAAAGTCCGTTATACGTTGTTGACGAGAGAATTTCGAGGTCGTAATGAATTATTCGTACGCGTTCGTCGTTGTGGCGACCACCGCAATGAGACGTATCGATTCGAAAAATAACATTCTATAACACTATCGAATGGTCAGTAAACGGACTTGGTTCAAAGCAAAATCACAAAATTACAATGATCTGACGTTATAATATAATCGAAAACTGACGTTGATTTGTTCTGTTTTTCCGTTTGCGAAATACCGTTTTGACGCGTCAAGATTATATTATATTGTCATTATTATTATTATTATTATTATTATCCACGTATATTATAGTAAAAATACAATTATATTTTTAAATAACGCGCGTTTAAAAAATAATAATGATAATAATAAAATAAAAAAAAAAAAAACTATATTTTATTGATAAGTAAAAAAAAAAAAATTAAAGGACCTATGGTTACCTATCTAGAAAATAAGATTATAAACGTTTAGTTTTTTAAGCGTTAGATTTAAGTATATTATGTTATACACTATATTATTATTATTATATACTGTAAAATAATATTATCGTATGACGCCTAAATCATTATTTGTTGTTGTAAACCGCCGACTATATTATGTTATATTAAAAAGCCGTGCGATATATTATTTTTATGGCCTCGTTATAATTTTCCGAGCAAAAAAAAAAAAACTCGTATTCAATATTCAATAGCGTTATAAATATTATCATCGTATTACGCGTAGTAAACAATATATTACAGAATTTTCGTTCATAAAAAAATAAGAAAGAAAAAAAAATCTATTATGTAGTATGAAATATCGGGGGGTTTTCGCGTCACGCGCACGTAAAACAACTCCGCGAGTAGATCGCTGATCAATGACAATGTAATTACCGAGCGGGCGAATTGTATCGATCAACCCGAATGTAGACGAATTTGTTTACGCCCCCACCCCCCTACGGAATAATTGCGCGATAAATATACGACCGGTAATAACGTGAAAAGCGTTTGAACGCGCGGTGCTTTTGCATAACATATTATTGTATCGAAATTCTCGACGTGCACAGATATTTACAACTTCGGTTTCCCGGCAAGAAAGGCTCGCGTCAGTGGTTTTCGTATACGACGAAATCGAATTCCGAACGTCGCTAAACGGCGTGATATAAATGCTGAACGGCTATAAACGTCACTATCCGAACGGCTCGAGTTATGAATTTTGTCCTTTTCGCCGAACAGAATATGTGAATTTGAGGTATTTCAATTTTCGGTTAGTGTTTATGTATAAATACGAGCAGTACGTGTTAGAAGAACAACCATACGCGCTTGTGCGATTCGGATCGAAAAATCAAACGGGCGGAAAAAAATCGCACGAGATACGATTCTGAACGGCCGAAAATCGATTTGAGCGCTTCTTTTCCGGGGGACCGACGATACAATTTCATCGGTTAATCGATACGATTTGCCCTCTCTCTCTTACCGTCATATTTTACGATTAATATTCGTTTGACACCGTGTATATCTACGTCGTCTTGCGCAGACCGCACCTCTTCACTGCCCCTCCCTCCCCCGTCCCGTCCCCTACAGGCACGCTGTATCGAAGCCCATATGCGTTAATGTTATTATTATTATTATTATTATAATTACATAGTTAAAGGCAAAACAAATCGTATGTGTATTTCATGTCAATTAACCAGACTGCGATTTTAGACGAATATAAAAAAAAAAAAACCAAAAAAAAAAAAAAAAAAATAGAACATTTATTTTCGGCTTGCCGCCTAATAATATTATACTCTGTCGCGGCGGACTTACCTGTGTATATTTTGACGGGGAAATCTCGTGACGTCGTGCACGATAGGACATATTTTTGTACGCGGTTTATTATATTGTATATGTATACGTAGCTTAAGTAGTAAACTAATATAATATACAATTAGTATAAGGTAGTTTAAGTTTGAAAAAAAAAAAAAAACCTATGACCAGTTTGACATATTATTTAGGAATAGATATCGCGATCGAAGGGTTTATAATGATATATCGTGTTGCCGGCCGAACTCGGTTTGGCGTATAGATCTTCTGTATTATTGTTTGTCATTTATAGTGACAGTAAGTCAGCGTTACTACCAATTTTTCGAGAAATTTGAGTGCGTGAAATACTTAAATTACGCATTATAGTTTGTTCAGACAAAAATTACACATCAACTCCGTCAAACTGTTCAAATATTGGTTTGTACAAATAATAAGTTCAAAATCACGTGTATTTTGGAAAAATTTAGATCGTTTCCGTAAATTTCGTTTTATATCCGTCGCCCGAAATAATAGAAAGCACGCTATTCATATTGCTATATAAAATCGCTGAATGAAAAAAAACAAATGATTTTTTTGATTACATTATTGAACAAAAAACTATCGTAGGTAAAATTTTGATATTTATGCTTCAGAACGAACGACGAATTGTTGATAATTATTTCGGAATTAGAGATTCGGATAATTATTCCGTTCACCCGAACAAATGTTTATTAAATAAAAAATTTAAATAAATTCAATGTAAAACGTGTCTATGTTACCCACGCATGTAAAAACTAAAGAAGCATTCTTAAACATCGGCCGAAAAGTAAAGTTTATTAATTAATACGCATTCTAGACACACCCCGCGAGTCAGTGTAAAACGGTGAAGAAATCGCTGTTGGTCGGTTGGTAATCCTAGGGGGGACTAACTACGTAACTAGTCGCGAAGTTAATTTAACAAAGCGTTTTGTTGTTAATAATGAAAATAAATGAACGTGCATTGAAACTGTCGTTCGTAATTTAACGCCCGGAAACTATTTCTGTAATAACTATTAGGAACCAAATCGTGGATCCCGAATAGGGGTTCGGGGGGCCGGTAACACAAAACGATTATCATAAACGCGTAGATCCAATAATATATGCATAACACACGGAGATGAGATCGAGGAGCTGCATACTCTTATAATATTACATAATATAGTTACCAAAGTGGTTACCTATACACTTGATTATTGTTAAGGCCGCGGTGGTATTCTATACATCAGCATTATGATATTAACGCGCAATATTTTTCGGTAGCGTTTCTTTAGCCACAACAACCGCGTGGCATAAAGGTGTCTGCACATTACATCGTGTCGTCCATAAGGGATATCGTGACATCGTGCTGATCGCGCGACCCTTGTGAATTTGTTTGAAATTGACTTCTGGTACTTAACTATTTCATGTAAGCCGTAGTAAAATCAAACGATTTCTGTTTTGTACTTTTTTATACAGTATTTGGTATTTCGAATATCTGATTCGTTTTTTGAAACATAACAAAACTAAGGAGAACAAATTTTATTACTAATATAGGTATTTTTATTACGTAGATGTATTGATACATATAATTTAAATTCAAATTGCACGGGAATCGAAACAAAATAGAATTATATCCAATAGTTTACAAAATATACTTTCTGTGACCACTAGAAATATGGGCGTTTATTTAACATAATAAATAATAAACGATAGGAACCTATTAAAAATAAATATTATAAAGTAATTTCTAATAATATTTTTGTCCTTTACACGAATAATATTAATCAGATCAATATATTGTAAATTTCAATAACACGGATCTATTATTGGAAACTTAAAAATTTGTCAATTTGATTGAATATTTTTCAATTCTGAGATGACAATTAGTGACACGGCCAATGAAATGTGTAACTAACTGCGAAGTCAACTAGACGTTGGATTTTTAAGACGACACGATGTATATATGTATATGCACCTTAACCATCATAATATTATGGTAACCGAGTAGATACTTGTCTTTCTATCGTTAAACAATAATAATCGATAACATATCATATTATGTCAGTACACATATCAAAAAAAAAACTAATAATAATAATAAATTAATAAAAATATTAATAGGTAATACGAGCATATCATATATGGTTAAAGTTTAGTGATTCTATTATTATTATTTTTGAATAATATTCAAGATTGATATAATTCGTATCAGTTTCTTATTTTTGTTTATTTTTTTGTTCGCCGAAAGTATAATTAAACATAATAAAACAAATACTGTATTTTATGTTGTAGTCATACGCTTATTAATAAATACTCTATTGTACGTGTCAATCTATATGTGTAAAACTTAAATATATTATTATTAACCTATAATATGATATTACGAATAAAATGTATAAATGTTGAACATGCTATATATATATTATATATTACAATACAGTATTCTGTTTTTTTTTTTTTTTTTTCCATTAATTTTCCTCTAAATATTATGATTTTAACTCCGTTTAAAACTGTGGTAGACGGAAAGAAAGAGCAGTGGAACACTATTCGGCGTCACACGCTTAACCGCCACACAAATTAGTCTCCACTACTTTCCCCTTATTCAAACTTAAAAGAGTAATAAATTATCTCATTGACGGATTGACGAAAATTTAAAATACCAACATCAAAATATATTTAAATTAAAATTCCATTTATTTTTGGAATTTTTAATAAAGGTTTCGATATGAAAATTAAAACCGGGTATTAGTACCACCGCAAAAAAATAACGGTAAATGTAACATTTTAAAGCTACTTGTTTCTTAGGTAGTTAAAATAATTTCCGAGATAATGATTGTCTTATTGGAGGTTATTCGCCCTGTATATAGTAATTGTATTATATCACACAACTATTGCCGCTTTTCAATATCAAACACTTTAACACATTATGTTGATTTTCCATCAAATTATTTTTATTATCGACATCGACTATCTCTGAGACTTTTACAACTTGGTTTATAGGTGAATTTTCATTATTATACAACTCCTGTAACCATGTTTATAATACTAATAGTATTATTATACTAAATTTAATTTGACGAATCGGCGTTTCACATAGGCAATATCGCTACACGGACGCACGTACGTTAACAATACGAGTATCTATTATGGTTTTTTCTTTGGATTTTATAACATTTTCGAGGAGTGTGAAGTTGGCATTACATGGTTACAATAGAACTTTCCAAAACATATCCAACAATGTTTAGACAAACTTGTTAAACATTGGTGGAATCTTGTTGGGATTTGTAGAACTTTTTAACTATCCCACCTTTTATTTTGTAATGCTAAATTCCCACTTAGCATTACATGTATACTAAAACCGTTCATAAACCTTCCAACGATGTTAAAATACACTTGTTGAACATTGTCGAAAACTTATTGGAGCCCCGATATAGGACGCATTTGCTACCAATGCAACTAAAATTAAAAATCCTAAAAAAGTAAATATTGAAATATAAACAAATATAATAATATCTTGAGTAAAAATGTACTCTTTAATAAATACTACACATAAACTAAAACCATTTTAAAACCATGTAATAAAAATATATAATAAAATGATGGACATACTTCACATATGGATGGGCCACTGTGGTAAGTGAGAAGTTGGGAAAATAGAGGGAAAATGTATATCTGTGCGCAACGATTAACCATTGCTAAAGAAAACCGATTCTAAGCAAAATTCGTTTAATAATGTTGCTTTGTCAACAATATACATGTCATATTATAGAAAAAAAAAATTACATATTCATTATATATTGTCTTTAATAATATTTATTTTATATTTCACATATTTTTCCGTTTTTTCTATTTATTATGAAAACAGCTAGGAAAATGAAAAAAATGATCTCCTTAACATATCACACCAGTCAGATTTTCTTTCAGAAGAAGTGATATAATTAAAAATTGAAACGAAATTACGGGTAGAAAATTTGTTGACTGTTAAAAAAAAAAATAAACATCATTGTAAAATCAATAATTCCACGCTCCGTGCAGAATTTAAAATAACACCTCAACAAATAATAGTATATACATATAAATGATAATTCTAGATATTCAACAATCTTATTAAAAATAAGGGGGGCTTCAACAATGTCCAATTAATAACCAACAAGTATATTTAAACAGTGTTGGAGGGGTTCGAATACAATTTGAATTCCAGTTGTGAATTTCACTGTACAAAGTTTAAATTAGAATTAATTAAAAAGGGGACCCCAACAAGTTCCAACAATGTCAAATAAGTGTATTTGAACATTTTTGGAAGGTTTTTAAACGGTTTTAGTACATATATTACGCTAAGTGTGAATAGTTATATAAAATAAAAAGTTAGATAGTTAAAAAGGGTGGCACCCACAAATTACAAGTCTGTCTAAAATTTTTGGATATGTTTTGGTAAGTTTTACTAACAATGTAATGTTAACTTCACACCCCTTTACCTAGTGTAATAAAAGTAAAATATATCAACTTGTAAAACTACATGAATAAATTGTAAGACAGTGATCGCCATAACATTAACTAAAACACACCGTAATCTTAGAAAAAAAATCTATACGATAATAAATAAATTATCAATTATATAAATAAACCTATTAAACAACACACAGATTTAGTTCGTAATTGAATTAAAATGTATAAACGTCTTATTGCTGTATTATTCGTATATTAAAATATTGAATTTTGAATTTTCCCTTTAATCTGAAATTTGTAGAACAACGAACTTACAATTATGTAATTAAAAATATAATAAATAAAATAATGAATGAACTAATACATATTACCATAAAGACCCAGTACACTCAGAACGTTACTGATTGGCGTGGCAGATGACGTGAGTACTAGATGCAACTAGATGCATGAGGTATATAACAATATTAATGACAACATTTTTAATTTAAAAATAAAAAAAACATGTACTATTTAAATTTTCCAGACTACTTAGGTTACATGATGGTTTTTATTTTCGAAAAGCTACTGAGTTAAAGTGGTTTTTTGATATATTAAAGACAATTTAAAAATAAAATAAATGTCACGATGAATAATCGACTACATATGCAATACCGATCCCCCGCACACACGAGTACACAACGAGTCTACGACCGTTCTATGTTTTGTTTAAAATGTTATCGATAGGAAATATAAATAACTGTTGCTTTACCCGCTTTAACATACATATAGCGTATATTTCCATGGTAGGTATTATTCATAACATTATTATAACGACTTTGACGAACAGTGTTGCGATTGATCGATTTGATCAATTCCATAAAAACAATTCGACACATAATACTGCAATTCTATTTTTTTGTTTACTTCTACAGACCATCTGGTTTATCGTCAAGTAACCGTTTTATTGTTTCATGTATTTAAATACAGATCATCTTGGCATGCCTTCGGCGACGATGACCAACGTTTCTTTCGTTACGGCCGAGCAGCAAATCTGCACATAGGTATTTATTTAAAAAAAAAAAAAAAAAACAGATCTGATCACTGATACTTTTAGAAACGGGTTTCACCTTTTTCCGAGTACGAAAAATCCAACACGTATTTGGTCGATGTATCGTCTTTCGATAATTCTTCCATCCTGAAAAATCTATCGACAATCTCTTTGTTATCGTCATTGAGTTGTGATTCGAGGGTCTTGGAAACTACATTACATGTACACAAAAACCAAATACAAAATATGTAAACTGTTTTTTATATAAGTGTTTTGAAAATTATTGCTCTTTTTCAATTACGTTTTGTGAACTCCGGCCGATCGGATTTAAAAAAAATCGCTAAACGGTTAAACTAGTTGATGAATTTGTTGACAGATATGTCACAAAATAAATTTTGTAGAAATCTCAGGTATTGATTACTTGCATTTCAGGTGGAAAAATTATTAGTTTCAAAATGCTACTACACTTTGAAAATTGCTAGGGAAAGCCAAAAATCAGTAATGTAATATTTGGAATACCCCTCAAAAATTAATTTGTTTTGCCAAAGTCTTTAGTAATAAATATGAAACCATGAAAATTATTAAAATTAATACATATATAAGGAATGCAATCAAGTGTTTATAAAAATGAGGAAAAAAATCAAAAACTACTAAAATCAAACTTTGTGTACTTAATATTTAGAAAACGTGTGAATTGAATGAAGTAAACGAAAAGATAGTGCGATTATATAAGATTATAAACGTGAAATTGATAAAATGAAATGAAATTTTTAATTATAAATTACAAATACCAAGGTCAAATATGTTGGAAATTTGATATTATTATTAGTGCCCGGATTTAAATACACTAAAAATTATCGAAAATGCTCTAAAAAAAACCTAAAAAAGGCCTTTAAAAATTAATTTTATGGTAAAAAATGTCCTTAAAAAAATGACATAATTTTTTTAAATTTGTTTCATTGAGTAATTTATAATATATTTTTTTTTTATTTAAAAAAAAAAAACAAAAAACAAAAAATTGAATAATTTGAATTATGACTAGTGACGATAGTATTCTGAGGTTAAGTAGGTATTTGACTGATTGACTGGAAAACACGAAAATATTTTGAATTAACTAAATTTAAATTATTAAGTCGTATGATAGATTAAATATGCCAATTATATTCGATTCTTGTATACCCTATGAAATGCGCCACTGAAGTTCCCTTAATACAATGGCCTATCCATGGTACGTTATACAATGTTTTTTTTTTCTGTTTTAGCGAGTACAGTATTCGAGAGAATTCGAAATTAATTACATACAAAATCGATTAATAATTTCAAAGACTGGTGTAATTACCTAGTGTATTATAATATACTTTGAATAAATTAAGTTATCTATGGCAATAACACATTATCCCGTCCGATGCGATGTTCACTCGACATTATTATGCAAAAACCGAAAACGAAAGATGATTATAAACAACTAACCCGTACATGGACGATCAAAGTGATACATTGAAATTAACATTAGAAACACACAGAATACTATCGTTTCATTGGCATAATATTATTTAAAATCAGATTACACAAAACAAATTATAATAATTCAATTTCCGTAGAATTTATCATCTATGCTGCAGATATATAAAGTTGTTATTATAATTATGTATAAATTATGCGGAGCATTCGAAATTCGTTTATATCGCGCTGACGAGAAAATTAAAAATTGTGTTTTATTCATTATACCTTTGGTTTAAGTCAATTGTTGGCATATTTATCAAAATTGTACATATTTTACGTTTTCGTTTGGTGTTAGATCAATTTTAAATGGTTTTTATTTTTACTTGAGTACATACTTTTACTTCGTTTGGGTGGCATAGTTAAAAACCATCCTACCGTGGTGACCACCAGGAACACCACGAGGAAAACTAAGAATGTGTCCCATACAAAATATTTGCTGTTATTTATGTTTTCCTCCATCTTAATCAAGAAATTTCGGATAAAGAAAACGAAAAACAACCGATATTTCTGTAGTGTTTATTTGTGTTTTTTTTTAATGATAAACATCAGGTAAATGTTTACTGTTTAGGCGGGATCCACGTTATGGTTACCATGATTATTAAAATTATAGAATAACTATGGTCAAAAAGTAATTGTTGTATTAGTTATACGTTAATTTTGAACATATAATTAACTTTTGCTACAATTTGTATACAAATCTTCAAAAATTTGAGACAGTAATCAAGAACAATTTTAATCTAGTGTGTACAAATCAATACAATTTCATTAGAATTATCAAAATATGATTGACCGAACTTCGCTCAGAACTGTTTTACATTATAATTATATGTGAAAAAGGTTACTTTTAGGTATATTATCATAGAAATATAAATATCTGTAAGTTACATAGGATATATTATATATCTATTTAGCTTAAGAGATAATAAATAATACAAAATAATGCTCATTCATAACAGCCAGGATTCATATTTTATAGATATTTATTAATATTGTAAAATTTCAAAAACATTTTGGCATTTTTCGTGCTATTTTTTTATTTATAAAAATATATACACAATATATAAACGTTTTAAACTTTTAAGTTCAAATTTTGACAATAATCATACAAATTACGGTACCTATTTCAAAACATGTATAACCGAACTTTGCACAAAATCATTTTCGTTCGCAATGGTTTATCGTTATTTCCGAATATAAATTAATTAACTTTATGTATCTTACCTTTTTTGTAAATAAAAATACTCCGAATTGTTCATTGAAAGATAAACATTTTTGCGCTGTAGTACGTTGTTTAAAAAAAAATGTCTTGATTCCAAGCAGATTTTCTAAACAATTTAAAACAAATGACGATAATTGGTTTTCTTTTATTGATTGAGTTAGTTTGACAACAAGGGAATGTCACACAACCAATACCAGATTACATAGTTCCACTGAGTCATGTTTTATTTCCAATGATTGGTCATAGATTTCAGTTTATGAACTAAATTAAATTGTATCCTGTACTTTCGAAACCAGGTATCACTTTATTTGAATAATTTAACGGCATTTTCTACAGTTCACATCACACAATTTTTTAAGGATATTTTGGAGATTTAGAATAGTTGTTACGTTTTTAATGATTTCTAAATGCATATAATATATCAACTAAATTATCCTTTGTATCGAGCTATAAAAAAAATCCCGATTGACGACTACTTTTCTAGATGTACATATTTATTATAATATAGGTATAGTATTGTTTAGAAATCTCAAACATCCTGTATACATCCTGGTGTTCCAACCAAATGTTCTTAACAACACTTTTGTTCATCCTATTTTTATTTATCCTATTCATATTTTGAATCATCCATGACATTAGGTTCCTTATTTCTTAAATTGTATAATTTCAATTCGTTTTATCAATTTTAAATGAGAATAATATCTAGGGAGTAAAATGATTTTATGAGCAAAATATATTTAGATTAAATATATTGAAATTAATCTTTATAATTACTAATAAGATTATAACTTTAGGGTTTTTTTTTTTTTGTTGCTTACTTTACTACACCGGCTAATAGCCGATAGGTAGCAGTTAGCACGCCTAGCAGTAGTTGCTAACAAACACCGTATGATGTCATACAATCCGTTAATACCAGTGTGAAAAAATTACTAAGTTATAAATTTAATTTTTGAATATAGTAAATAAATATTTAAATAAAAAATGTATATATAATATAAAAATAAAAATAAACAAATGCGTCACCTGGAGTATTATAGTAAGTATATTATACGACCAGTTTCGAATTAAAAATTCATCATCAGGTATATCACAGTCAAAATGTAAAACGCGACTGAATATAAAAAATTAAATAAAGGAATATATAGAAAAAAATTAATTATACAAATTGGTCGTTTTACATAGAAATAATTTATTTTAATAGAAGAGATTAATGGGTTATTATTAGACATAGATATGTTAAAAATATAAATTTGTTGGCTAATATTTATTATTTAAAATGTATTGATGTAAGATATTATTTTTAAAATTGTTTTATGCATTTAAAAGATTATTAAAATTATTATAATAATCTTATCATAACCAAATAATTTATATTTCTTAATACATCTATGACTAATAAACCAATTTAAATAATCTCTCATTTTAAAATAAATTATTTCCCATGTAAAACGACCAATTTGTATTTTTTATTTACCCATATTTTTATTGGTTTAGACCGTGTTAGGTTTGCTTGGAAATATTTAGGTGGACTATTCGGCGGACTAAAAGTTTTCTATTATAAAATTCGAATAGTGTTATTAATAATAGTAATAATTATAATTATAATAGTTTTCATATCCGTGACCAGCAAATTATCATCAGTATCACCAAGTTAACTTGAACAAATAAAAATAAATAAATAAGCAATTAGAAATTCTTAACAAATACACCTAAAATTAATTAATTTTGAACCTCCGAATAATTTTCTGCGGAAGCATATATCCCAAATATCCTGTATTTCAGATAAATAAATCTGAAATCCTTAGGTATATTTAATGTATAACTTTATAAGATCTTTATGACTTCTACTGATAAAATACAAGAGGAGTAGAAAAAAAAATTATTATTATATGAACAAATGTATAATTACTGAACTTTCGATTGGAGTAAACAGTCCAAACAGAGGGAAGGTTAATCTCCACCAAAAACCCAGCCAAGATTCTTCAAATAAATTCCTTATCAATTTAATAAAAAATATTTATGTATAGGGACATAGTCAATATTATGAGTAACTTAAGCCCTTCCCCGTAAATTATGTTTACTATTTACCTATAAATGGTGCAATGGTTGAATGACTTATTGTAGACATTTTAGAAGTAGTAAACACTAATCAATAAACATCAACAAGTATCTATTACGTAATTTTAGAACATTATACATTATATATTTTATTTTAATAAAAAAAAAAAACGTATGAAAACAATTAGAAACCTGCATAATTTTGGTTGAAAAAACTCATTTTAAATCAATCAGAACTTTAAAATGCGTCATTTGACAATTATTTTCAAAATATGTGTTGCTTGTTATTGTTTAACCGGCTAGAGTACATTCTTCATTTGTGTTATTTAAATTGTTTCAAATACCTTAAACAAATAGCATTTTTTCAAAGTGAAATAATTATAAATAAAATTGTACCGCGACAGTATACCTACCAGAAATTGAACCAATTTTTAGTTATACCTATTACAATTTAAACTTTTAGACGCGCGAGTATCTTTGATGTGTCTTGGCAATCGCCTATTTCACCAACCTCTAATTACAGCAACTGGTGGGAAATTTAGAAGCTTGAATTTATGATGTTATTTAATTCATATCTATGTACAACGATAAATCATTACAAACGAAGTAAAATTCTGAGTAAAGTTCTGTTAAACATGTTTCAAAATACCATGAATTTGACAATTTTAATCAAAATTTAAACTTAAAACATGTATATAAGATTAAAGAGTTCCCAGGAACGAAGTCTTGTGGGAAATCCTGTAAATTCCTACACAGAAATAATCAGGAATTATCGAGAAATTTAAATTGTTTTCATATGTCGTTTATAGATTATAGACATTAGAATATATGGGCCATAAGCAAATTTGTACATTGATATTAATAGATTTTAAGTATAATTTTTATTTGGTAGTAAAAGTATTGACTAGACTTTGATAAATTGCTTATGGCAATTTATCGTGATTATATTATTTCACTGAAATTAATATTAGTTAATTCGAGTAGCTATCAAATCACTGCACAAAAAAATGTAAAATTTGTTTGGTTTTTATAATGTATTTATACAGTATAATATTTACAACGATCGTGAAAAAAATCATATACCATTACTTCAGATCGAACAATAATATAATGAGAATAAATTAAGTTTTATTTTATCATATTGACCCAAACAAATTTAGGTTAACTGAAAAAAAAATCAAATGTAATACATTCACAGGCGCCTACACATGTAAAACAAAACAGAAAAACTTAAACATCAGTCAAGAAAACCGGCAGTAAGAGAAATTGTATTATTAGACAAGAGAAAAAAAATATAGCATTGAAAACATGTTTGTATATACCACGTTAATTTTTTAGTTTAAGTAATATCGTTTATTTTTAACTTCGATCCCTTTTGATATTTAACGTAGAGAAAATGTTAACACTTGTAGGAACTCGAACAATAACCGGCTGGATTCTAAAAATTCCCAGCGAGTTCGTACAAAACAAGAAGGAAATATCGAAGCGAGATTTCTTTACGAAAAGTTATTAACAAACAGACAAAAAAAAGAAATCACATCATAATAAAACCAATAGACCGTTTTCTATGCTCCGAATCATAAACACCTATATATGCATATTATTATAGTTAATTTTTCTTTTTCAATAATATTCACGATTGATACATCTAATGTGTATAAGTTTTTATTTCTGGCCACCGAAAGTATAAAAAAAAATACTGTAATGTTGGAGTCATACGCGTATACATGAAAACACCAACCTGTACGCGTATTAATAAGTATTCTATTACCTATAAGTATCAGTTTATATATGTGGAAAATTTAAATATAAAAAAAAAAAAAAAACATTATTGTTATATATTATATAATATGATATTATAAACGTTGAACAAGCTATATATATATATATATTATAATACTGTCTTCTCGTTTTTATTATTATTATTTTTTTTTCATACATCTTTCTCTACATAATATTAGATTTATTTTTGTTTAAAACCGCGATAAAAGGTATTACACAGACAGAGAAAAAAAATTGACGACAGGCATATAATATAATACCATGGCCGTTTTCATGAAAAACTGAAATTTGTCGCAAAATTAAATCAGAGACAGTTTTTCAGTTTGAGCTGCTGTTTTGGAATTGGACGAATCCCTCGATGACGAAAAACTAATGTATTTAATAACTTTGCGTAACGTCAATGCTGAAACTCATGCTGCTATGGAACACTGCGAACCGTCCAGGAAAAAAAAAGGATGAGAAATTACTGGAGGCGGCTGTTTTTTTATTTGAAGATATAAGACGTATTATAATTATGAATTGTTCTTTGTTCCACTACTGCTGCGGCAGTTCACATACTAAAGTCGGTTCAGCGTCTATGTCAGCTGGTCTCATAGCCACAGTGACTGCGTTATGAAATTGACCACTTGACACGAGTCTCACAGTAGTTACGCCACAAATGATAGTTTTAGTAGAGCTTTCTGAAAAAATTACAATAGATATAAATCAATGATATTAGTTTTTTCAAAATAATTTTTGGTCGTTATTCTAAAAAACCAAGTGTTCTGTGTAAAAAAATAATATGAAAAATAGTTCAAAATCCCACCACTAAATGCTTCACATTTAAGTTTTATTTGTTCATTGAATATGAAAATTTAAATGTTTTCCATTTTTTTCATTTCCTCCATTAATCGAATAAACCCTTTTTAATTATATAAATAATATGCATTTATAGAAACAAAATGTTACATAGATACAAGACAAAGCTATCGTTATTGTAACTATAACTAAACTATTGCATCTCTTCTTTTTTAGCATAATAATTTTTCAAGAATCATTGCTGTCAACATAATTTCTTTCCGTTTGTCTCTAATTCATTGTTCCCGAATCCTAATCAATGTTTTCTATATTCTCCGGGTCTTCTTAAATTCGTAATGATTTCAAATATTTTATTTCCAAATTAAATTAATTTTCTTAATTTTAACATAAATAACCAAAACTATCCTTTCTTTTTCTTTTTTTTTATCGAAACCGAATATCTTCGAAACTTAATACGTGCACTTTTGTTGTTGTGCAAAAATATTTTAGGTATAACATACTTGAAAAATAAAAATAAAAATTCGTTAACATTTTTTATAATGTTATAAATTATAATTTACCCACTCCCAAGGACAACGTGCTGTGTACATCATAAGAATGTATTATTATACATACTTCGATTTATCCGATTCAGCGTTTCATATAAGCAATATCGCCATAAAAGCGTACTTGGGTCAAAAATACGAGTATTATACCCATTATTGATTTCAAGTTTTCAGGTGTAAAATCGTAGAATAAATTGACTTTTAAAACCAAAAAAAATTTTATAATAACATGTTAACCTAACAAATAATCCTGTATTAATTATTTTCTTGTTCAGTGATGATAGTCGAGTAAATTAAATTGACTTCCTATTACGATTTAATTTAAAACTTTATAAAACCGTACGTCTTAACCGTACATCTTTGTCCTAAGTCCCGTAGATAAAAATAAGTACATATAGTAAAAATAAATAACACACTCAAAAGACCGGCTTATAAATTATCGGGATCGTGACCATCGACCAACCGATCAACTACGGTATCGTCTACTTTTAGTAGTACATGTAGTTAAGTAGGTATAATTCTTTGATATTAATCACAGTACTTACCCGGTTCCGAATTCGTGCCACAAACTGAATCCACAACCGACAACTGGCCCAAACCGTCTCCACCGCCAACCTGAACGAAATCAGGCAGTCCCATTTTTTCGCACTGTCAACAATAAAAACAAAAAAAGAAACGTTAAACAGATTACCTTTAAAATCTCAAAATGGACAGAATAGAATCAATTAAGTTACCGGGACTAATACATATAATAAAGAAGTTGATTAAGAAAACTTTTTGAGATTACATCGGTAAGTGTTAAAATAATAAGTTTTATTCTTTTAAATGTAGAATATATAAATACCTAACTATTTTGCAAAGTATAAATATATTTGCAAAACAATAAATAACCAGAAATATTATACAGGTAGTTAATTTAACTGGAAACACTCATTATGAAGGAAATTTTGGTGCTGAAATTTTTTATTTCCGTCAACCCGTTGACGAGATTTAAATTTGGGTTGGGGAGAGTAGTGGTGTGTTATTAATACGCCGCGCGCCGTACCGCCACACAAATGATACTCCACTACTCTTCTCAAATCCAAACTTAAAAATGGAATATCTCGTCTTAAAATTAAGAGGTACAAAAAAAATGATAAAATAACATTTTAGAACTATTTAATTCTTAAGTTTTCAGAAAAAAAAATTTCGAAAAAAGTTAATATTTTCCGAAATAATGAATGTTTTCAGTTGAGTGAATCACTCTATATAATAATATAATACTATATGATGCTGAAGTTATACTCCTAAAACAATCGTGAAATCTGAGCATAATATTAGGTGAAGTTAAAATTTCAAACAAAGATACTCATCGTGTAGGTCCGGCAGCTAGGATTGTTTCTTAACCTTGAAAAATGTCATGTTATGACCTTCTCTAGAAATCGAGTTCCTATCAATTTATAATACCAGCTTTCAGATGTTTCCAAAAAGCGTGTTTTCTGTTACGAAAACCTCGGTATTTATTACTCTTTATCTTTTGATCATCATTTAAATAAGGTTATTTCCAAGGCCTTTAAGCATTTAGGATTTATTAAGCGCTTCTTTAAAATATTTACTTCATCTCTCTGTCTCAAGACACTATATTATGCGCTGGTTCATTTCACTTTAGAATACAGTGTAGTTATCTGGCACAGTGGCATCCCTATCATATGTAGGATAAATTATGCATTAAAAGGGTTCAAAAACCTTTCTTTTGCCACTTAAGTTTCAAATTTCCTTTAAGTTTTTATTATTTTAATCTTTTTTAAACAATCATTGATGTTATGCAAACGCACATTGTTGTAATTATTTTACCGTAATATGACACACATATTGTTGACAAAGCAACGCTAAACTCAACTGATTTCCACTCAGAATCGTTTTCTTGGTGGAAATGGTTTATCGTAGCTTACAGATATACATTAGATTCCCGTCTGTATCCTACCTTCCCAACTTCCCACCTAAAACAGTGGCTACACTCACGTGTGAAGTATGCTTGTCTTTCTTTTTTTAATACCTACTATGTACAAAAATTCTCCTAAAAATATTGCTCCAATCAAAACATGATAAGAGACCTTTTATGTTATATTTTGGCTCTAGTTGGTATTTTAAAAAGGTCATTTTCTGAAATTTTTGTTTTTTGAGTTAATACTAATAATTAAAAATCAAAAAAAAAGTATTGATTTTACGCCCGAATTCAGTGGTGACAAAAAATTTTGAATTTAGAGCTGCTTGTTTTTTAAATTAACCAAAAAAAATAAATCTGAAACAGTTAATACTTTCTGAGATAAGTGTCTTTTCATGAATTAATTACCACATACATAAACATTTGAGTAAATACTCAATAATATTTTTTACCTTGTGAATGGTTCCGGTCTCTTGTTCCGTCAATGTCCTTTTCTGTTCCTTTCCTAGTCCGACGCCCAACGATAGTATTTTCACCTGGGCTGGATACAGAGTCGTCAAACTGCAGTTGACGTGTTTCCCATAGTTCCTCAGTGTGTACACATCAGTCAATCCTTCCAAGAGTATGTTACAGGCTGTACAAAATTATATAAATGATAAATGCGTTATTTGTTGGTTGACAATTATATAATTATTATTTATTGCATTTATATTAAAATCGTTTTCAGTAAAAGTTTCATTATTTTCAATTTCAATTTTTCTACAAACAATCTTACTCCAAAGTAAAAAGTGTAGCACCTTTTCTGAAGGGAAATTTTCTCTTATGTGTTTCAAAATAATTGGGAAAAACCTGAAAGGAAGTAAAACGGCAAATATTTACGGCGTTATGGTATTCATTATTTTTAATTTTCGCAAAATTATATTTTCTATCAGAAATATTGCTCCAATCGAAAAACAACAAAGAACTTGTATTGTCAAAATTTTAATCTGATTCGTAAATAAGCAATTTGGTTTTTAATTCTTTCAGTAGTTTTTGTAATAATTGGATAAAGTTTAAAAATACGTAAAAAAATACAAGAAAATGTACGAGAATAAATCTTTTATTATTTTTAATTTTGTATTTTTTGATGTAATTTAGTTAAAAATATTCTTAGAGGCTTAAAATGTTGATAGGGAACTTATGTTTGTTTTTTCTAGACGTCTGAGCCATTTATGAGCTATTTGTATACATTTTAATTTAGCAAGTTTTGTACGTAATTTTTATTTGGTACTGCTTAGTACCATTTTTTTTTTCTTTTTAAGAATTAATATCAAATTTTGACGATACTCGTAAATATTACGGTCTTTTAAAACATACATGGTTAAACTTTTCCCAAATCGTTTTTCATTAGCAATGGTTTATCGTTGCATACGGATATAAATTAAATAACCTTATGTATACTATATTCCCAATTTCCGACCTACAACAGTAGCAGTACCCGTCCTCAGTACTAGCTTTTTTTTTTATTTTTAAACAGTAGGTATTTATCGAATATATGTTTAGCCTTGATCTATGTTATGAATATGTTAATTATTATATTACTGTTGTTTCAGAATGTTGATATTTGTATTTAAACGCTGGTCAATGTTTTTCCTTAAAGTTTAAGTATTTTAAAAATAGAATAGCTATATATTTTCAATTCTTTTTGTAGGGTTTGTCTTATTGTCTCAAATAATATTTTTCTTATCTCTGCAGATTCCGGTTATGGCTAAAAGCTAAAAGCTCTTCAGCTAGTGATGTTAATCCTCGTTAACAATCCAGCTGCTGTAAGCTGATTAGAAAATAGTGACCACCTGTTCTTCTTGTTTACCGTGTAAAATAAATAAAGACGGACATATTTCGCGCGGGGGGTGAGCAACCGTAGTAGGTGAGAAGTTGTTAAAATAGAATATAGAAGAGAATTTAATTTGTATCTATTTGCAACGATAAACCATATTTAATGAAAAACGATTCGAAACAAAACTCGGTTAACTTGTTTTGAAAGGCCGTAATATTTACGATATTCGACAAAATTTAAAAAAAAAAGTACCACCCCAATCCAATTTTTTTTACTATAAAGTACGACGTATAATGAACCTGTTAAATTTTAAGCATTTATTTTCGGTCAAACGTTTCCGGACAAATATCTACAATCTATATAGTACCTAAGGAATACAAATTACGTACAAATTTGCAAAATTAAAATGTCTATAAATGACTCAAATATAACACAAATGTTTTGAAAGTTACTACGTCTAGAAAATGCATAAATAAGTTTTTTGTCCAAATTTCAAGTTTCTGTAAATATTTTTAACTGAATTATAACATAAAAACCAAATTGAAAATAAAATAATAAAATCATTAATTCTAGTTTTTTCCAATTATTATAAAAACCACTTGGAAAATCATTAAATGATATTTTAAAAGTACCAATCGGATAAAATTGTCTTTCAGGAAAGGTGCTACTTGATATCAAAGCAAGGTTTCTGGTAGAAAAGTTGTTCACAGAATAAAAAAATAACATCATTGTAAAACCAATACACTTTGAATCTAAAAGATTATATACAATTTAGATGAACTATTTATTTCATAAATTGTTAAAAAAAAATTTAATTCTTTCCGAAAAATAAATATCTTATCGAGGATTGACCACTCTGTATATTCTTGTGCAAATACAACTGTTTTTTTTTTAATCTACGTGTAAATCAAACATTATTTGCTCAGCAAATAATATTTGTAAAAGAAAACTAAGGATGCCGTAAAAACGACAAACGCTGGTTATAACTATTACTGCAGTTTCAACTTCGAAAACCTAACCTCCAGGTGATTAGGATCGTCATCGACCGTAATTCCGATGTCACGATAATAATTATTCTTAATCACGCCTAGTCAAATCGAAGCGGTTCTGGTTGGCTGACATAAGATAATAATTATTATTGTCAAGTTTTAGAGGTTTTGCAAAGAACTGAACGTTTAAATATCGCAGAAACTGTCTTTTTTTGATTTTACAAAAAAAAAAAAAAACACTTAAAATGTATCGTGCGCCCGTCTTATCGGGGACGCTCTGTTTAGCGTATCCGGATTTCCGGGGCGTTGTTGAGTTGTAACGGTTTTGTTTCAACGGATTTCTTACGATCGTCCGAACAAAAATATAAGTATATAAGTTGTTTGAAAAACAAAATATCCAAAATCATGACAGAAACTGAAACCTAAATTGTTAGATTGATTAAAATTATTATTGTATAGAAGTGACTATTGTTGAACAGAAAGATATTTGATGAAAAAATTTCATATTTATTTGTTAAGAAAAAATAATTAAGTTCAAAAGCAACAGAAATCCTAGTGACGACAACACAGGTATTTCATGACGACGTAACATTTTTAGTATTTATTATTTTAATTTTTTTAACTTTATCTGTGGTTAGTTTTTTCTTCTGTTTCGATGACCTATAACTTTCAACGAAGAAATTGATTATTCTATATTTTGTATACAACATAATACAATATATTTTGTATACAACATAATATAATATATTTTGTATACAACATAATATAATATATTTTATTTCTATGCAAGTAAACAAGCAGATTATAAAGGTTCGATGGGCTTTTATTTATTTTTTTTTTTCATATTCTCCTTTTTAAAACTCACGAGCATTAATATCGGCGATTATTATATAGACGTGTATTTAGGATTGTAAATGTTAAACAAATGGCGTCTATCTACGTATATAATATAAAAGAATATAGGTTTTATTTTTTTTGTCAACGTAAAAAATGATTATAAATATTTTAAGTTGTTTTTTACGTTGAAAAGAAAAAAAAATATAAATATTCTCCCCATGTATATTATAATTCTCTTCGGCAAAGCGGCAGAGATTTTTTTAGATTGGACCTAATACAATTTTTCTGAGATTTCGATATCGTATCATATAATAAGGATATAATAGAAGCATTTTTTTTTGTCCATCGAGGAAAAAAATCGTATATTTACTCAGTTTTACAGCAAGAGTCTGCGCTCATTATAATAAAATATAAGTACTCGTATTACGTTATATGTTTGACACTATTGCACGGTACGAATTTCCGGTCGCGAAGAGTTTCCATTATCCAAAACGTTTTCCCCGGTAAAATAAAACGCATTACCTATCTGTTGTTTTCGTAGGGCAAAAAAAACGAATTCCGTTGCATTCCGAGACCACTCATATTATACACGTGCACTAATTTTATCTGAGACGTATTTACGGGGGAGGGATAGAAGGAGATATGAGAAATAAATCTCCGCTACAGAAAAAATTTAAATTATGAAATAAAATAGGTACCTAATTTCAGTATGATTTCTACTTGTCTACTTGTTATTTCCATAATATTATATTATATAATATATGAGTACTACTGAAAATTATGGTAACGGTAGTTAATCTAAAAAGCCCCTCATAATATAATCAGACATTTTTTTTTCTATAGTTTGTATAGTGTATTTGTTCCCCCAATTTAAGTTAATAACCTCTAATAAGCGTAATCTAACTACATTAGTGTATACTGCAGTGATACCAGATTCCACAAGTATACTTGGTTTGATAATATGGTGAAGTGGAACACAATTATTGTCTACTGTTGTAATGTATCATTTATTTGATAATAGTAATCAAATTAAAGTGCTGATCATTTATCAAATACTAACCAAACATAATCTACACCGTCAAAATCGACGGTTTTTACACTCGTATAGATAAGATTGCACTACACCGTCGTATGGAATATACAGTATCTACTGCATTGGTAAATGACAGGTGATTAAGTAGGCAAAAAGTATACACCAGTGTACACGAGTGCAGTCAGATGGAATATTAGAAAATTACCCATACTTTGAGTGTTGGGCATCGAACCCATTATTAATTGTTGAACGTTTCATAACGTGTTCTTACGTGTGGGGTTATTAACGACGGATACGTAAAAGCTGAATCCGCTGTCACGGCGTGGTACCCGGTACTGAATCAAGGCGGCGTTCTGGGATGACTTGAACACCTGTTTCGGCTTCTTGGATCCGCACATCTCAAAGAAACGATCTTCTATCGGTAGCTGATGATCCAGTTCGTTGGGAAACAACTGCCCGTTCAGTTCCCATCCGTCCACAAACTGCACATAAGTGAAACGTAATAATTAACACCATTCATCACAATAGTTATAATATTATTGACAAATTTTAATTTCAATTGTTATTATATTGTCATCACTAATTCAATAGGGCCGAACCATAAACAGTTCGAAAATAGCGGGTAACCTAACTTAACCTACTGGAAAATAAATATACGATACGCATTCTTTTAAATCAAATATTTAAATTAACAAATTTTTTCGCTCGATAAAACAGACCACTTTTCAATATTTTATGGCTTTCTACGCTTAAATATAAGTATCTACCTAGTCAATTATATTTTTTTACAACACCATATTAGCCAACCTCTTTCTTGGAGATATAGTTTGGCGCTACTGATTATTATAATTTATGTTTCATTCGTGTTCAAAATAATATAACCTTCTACTCGTAAAAAGTTTAAGCTATTTTGATGACTACCCTCATATGGCCAACACTGTACAATAAAATGCTTAAAATCGCCACAGAGTTTTTTTTTTAAATATTCTAGACGATCAACTTTTATTTGCAAAATTCACAACATTCAAAAATTGTTAAGTTTTTATTTTTCTTAACGCCTCAAAGTTAAAAATCGATAATTAAACTATCGAATTTAAAACACGTATATAATTGATACAAGTTATATATAAAATCATCAGTCTTCGACCACTATCGAGTAATTAAAAAATTACCTCACCAATGATAGATTAAAAATGCTATAAGAAAGTCTCTATGGATGTTTTCGATTATAACAAGACTGCTGATAAAAAAATTATTGACACAAAACACATACACACACCCTGTTTGATAAACATACATACATACATACGTACATACAAACATACATAGTAAAAACCAATAGATTCCTCGTTCCACTCAGAATCGAATAGCTCTGTATATTATTATCGTAAGTTTATTTAGACGGAATAGGATTTCGCGAAAGTACGGATTCAAAAGCGGTCAACTACTAATCACTACGAGTTATTATACAACAATGGCATTAACGAAAAGCCTTAACCAGTGCTATGTTTTTGACACGACGACGACGGTTCGACTTAACAACATCCAATTTTGGCCAAGGTTTATAGTTATAGTTTATATTAAATAACTATTTACCATTATATTACCTTCTACGCGCGATTTCGCCAGAACGGACAAAGCGATTCCCGGATCGTATATTAATATATATCGCGAGTACTTTGAAGTATAAAATCTATTTCGGAAGGCAAACTTTCGGTTATTATAAAACATTTCTCATAGATTTCGCAATAATATTGTAATAATATCTATACCTTACTGCACAATAAATGGGCCTTAATATTATCATAACCGGTAGTTCTCATGCTTTGAGTATTATACATCGACCAAAGATATTTTCCCGATTTTTCAGGCGAATTTTTTTTTTAAAAATATAGTTGAAATTTAACTGTGGAGGTACACTTCCTTCCCACCCTGGCATGTGTCTACAATTACGATTCTTAAATTAAATTTAGCTACCTATTCCATAAATAGAATTAATAGGCATGCAGACAGGCATTTTTTTACCATCTATCTTTTACGTAATAATAATATCGTAATATTATTACACATGATAATAATATTATTTTTTTATTATCTAAGTGTGTTAATACTATTAACCATCGGATATCTACTGTATATCATTTTTAATAATTTCTATGTGCTAATTATTTGTTATCACTAAAGGCCGGATTTAATTGATATTTCAAATTTTTTTGCAATAAAGATAAATCAAATCTGATTAAATATATAGCCGATATAGACTAAAAATATTCTGCCTATTTTATAATGCAATTTTTTTCAATTTTCGACATTTTTGCAATTTTTACTTTTTTTCCCACGTTTTTAAATCATAGGCGTTTATCGTTCGTCTGGAATTTTCTAAAAGCTTGGAGATCCTAGCGAGCGATAAGCGTCTATATATATATGGTAGTAATTAAATTTAACGTAGTAGTACAGCGAATTATGTGAGTCTCCCTGTTAGTACCTATTTCTTTGATCAGTTTGGTCACACAGTGAAAATATTCGACGTAATGCCTAAAATAAAATAAATTTTAAAAAGTAAAATTTCAAATTAGATTGCTCCTTACAATGAATATAAAGAAGTATTTTCATCAGATGGAAAGGTTATATATTTTCTCGTATATAACAAACCTGTGTTTACTGAAAAAATGTTATTTTAATATTTTCCCCGAAATTAATTCATATTATATGTATGGTGCACGCACGCAGTTAATAGAGTTCTAGAGAAAATTCGAGAATTGTATCCCGACATTAATGAATTGATTAACAATGGTAATATATTAAGTACCTATTTAAAGTTTAAATACATATGTAACTTATTTCGTTTATTTCGGGAAAAAAAGCTTTCCTAAAAGTACCATCAAGAATAAATAAATACAGAAAAGAAATACCGGTTATACCTTTACCATCCGAACCTATTATTACAAGATGGTGAACATGGTTAAATACTGCACTTTTCTATGCAAATAATTTTGAAGAGTTTAAAAACGTGATTTAAAGTTTAACAGATGATGCTGCAAGTGTCCAAAAGCTGAAACAGCTTGTACAAAGTGATTCAGTCAAATTTGGTTTAGTATTCAAAAAATTACACTTATCCGAGTTATCCATGAATCTTAAAAATTTGGAAGAATTTAATAGTCAACTACTAAAAAGCAAGGATATTTTTAGAAAAATCACATTACTTTTTTCACCATTTAAGATTCTAAGCGAGGAATGTATTGAATTCACAAGGTTTATTTATTTTTTTTCTGTGAACAACTTTTCTGTCAGAAATTTTACTCCAAATTTCAAGAGTAGCAATTTTTCTGAAAGAAAATCTGACTAGAGTGATACTGTTAAAGTACGACTTCTTTAAGAAGTCATTTTTTTAATTTTCCCAGGGGTTTTCATAATAAATAGAAATAAACGTAAAAAAAAAAACTGGAAAATTTACAAAATTCATTATTTTTAAATCGTATGCATTAAATTTCCCCCCTTTACCTTCCAAACTTCTCACCAACAACAGTGACAACAACTCCGTTTTTATTTTTATTAATATTATTATTTATTTTTTCATTTTTATGCTGTTTACAGTAAATATCAATATTACACTTTATTTGAATAAATTATACTTTATAATTTTCATTTGTTTTGTATGTTTAATTGATTATTACTTACAATCATACTTAAAAGTTTAGAAAAATATGTTAATTTTATTTACAAAAAGTGTTTATTTAAAAATTTACGAATATCATAAAGTAAACTTAGGTTTAACTTTTTTAATATTTGAACAAATTAACGATTTTTTTTTTGTTTTTATAGAACTAAAAATCATTCATATTTATTTTCGAAAAAAAGCCAACGCGAATTTAAGAATCGAGACAATGTTTTACTCTTTTTAGATGTACCCGTGATGGGTTCACCACGTACACGGATGTTTTATTTCGTATAATGTGTACATAGTACCTGAATTATTAAGTGTATAGAAGTAATCAGCTAAGTGCAAGTATTCAGAATTTATTTTCAGTTTTACATTTTTTTTTTTTTTTTTTTTATATGATACTTACAAGTCATACGTAATAGTAATTGAATATGTTCATAATGGTATTTTGAAAGAAAAAACCAAGAGAACTAGAAAATAAGCGCGAAAATAATTACTTAATTATACCTACTTAATTTTATTCAAAAAAATATTGTGAACATTGTACAAAAATAATTTTGTTTACTTTATTAAATCGAATTTATTCTGGGTATATAGGTAAATGATAACACAATGTCAACTGCAAAATGTCAAAATTATTATTCCCACTAACTGACTATAATAATTAATATTCCCCTTTTATGATGACGTTAAATAATTTATTCATATCCATATTATAATATTGGGTTTTATATTGAAATTACGTGTTTATTTATAAACCAATCAGCTTAATGCGAGTGACGAAACGACGGGGAGAGACGGGTGTAACATTAATTGCTGACGACAAATAATATTAAATTGTTAAATCAATCCTATATTATAAGTACGTAATATAAATATACCTAGTATATTATTATGAATTATTGGAATTATAAATATTCAAGACACATATCCTATTAATTATATAAACGGGAAAAATTGAAATTATATTTTCACTTTTCCGAAATCGTAATTCAAGTGTGATATTATAAATAGGGTCCAGATTTTTATTTTCAAAAACAACTGAAGTATCTATAATGCTAAAACTTTAAAAAAATCTACAAATAATTTCTTTATACAATTCTCTACAAATTCGAAATATGTTTTTTTCACGCAAAAATAATCAATACATATCGAATTATTAAGTTTTAAAATGGCTGTTACTTGGATATACATGTGTAATACATTACAATTTTCAGAAAAATAATTTTTACAGAATGGCTGTCTTAACTTTTTCCGAAAATAATAAAATAAAGCTTTATTTTTAATTATTTTTATAAAAAAAAAAATAATTCAAATATAAATATTTTTGGTCCTCTTCTCTTTGAGAAATATAAAAAAAAAAACAGAATTTATCATCTTTATTATCTCAAGAAATATACAAGGGGAATATCTTCGTAAGACAGCCTGTATATTCTTTTACAAGGCTTTTAATTTTTAATTAGGTTTTAATTTTACGTTGTAAAACTAAGAGTTTATTAAAAATAAATAGTAAAATAGTCATAAAATAACAGGTGATAAGTATTCTAGCTTAACAAAAACTAGTTAAAAATAATGAAATGCCCCCCCCCCAAAGTTTGTTTTGGCTACGATACTAATATCGTTATTTTTTCACCATATACCAATTTATTAGATCAATATTTTGTTTTAAAGTAGAAATAAATTTTTAAGTACATATTTTCTAATATTATGATGGTAATTATTTATGATGCAGAGTATAATATGATGATAAGAAATATCCCCCCCCCCCGAATATTTTATACCGTAAATTGTATACCGTATAGAATTTTAGTTCAATAATATTAAATTGCCCGTAAATTACCTTATGTTATACTTTTGAAATAAAAGGAAAGTTATCATAAAATTGAAATAAATCAATCGGCATGTAATGTGCAGATAATAATATACTCGCAGTAAATAAAACGAGCACCTTGACAACTATAGGGTTCGAAACCATCTCCAAAACGAGAGAAAATAATAATATATTCTAAAAAATAATAGGTACCTAATAATAATATTGTAATACATACATTTTATAGAAAAAAAGAAACAAAAAAGTGAAACAATTTTCGTTATCGAAAAACGTTAACCAATATTATATTATATCGTTCGGTTTATGTTAAAATATTGCTTTTTCCATATTTTTATTTAGTATGCGTTTTATTATATATGCGTCGACACCTGTTAATATAAGAAAAACGCTCTTACATGACATTTTCCATAAACTATTTTTCTATATTATATATCGATTCACGATTATTTTACATAAATTTGCCCCTTTCAAACTTTTCCAACAAAACATGCAAACATTAGCGTATATTAATTTTAAACAATTTTATTTTGTATTAAAAATTGATTTAGTTATATCGGAACTATTTTAATAATAATGTTATAGATATTTGTTTATATGCTATATTTGGAGTCGATATATTATTAGAGGTATTTTTTTTAATCCGGCAAAATGATAATACATTCTCATCCCATTCACATCCCGAGTCCGAATATTGTAATATGTGAAATCATTATAATCTAATACAAAACATTGAAATTCTGATTTGTATGTCTGTCAGTAAACTATTCAAATGTACAGTTTTATTCCGATATGAATAAAATATAGTACCTTTAATATTCACAAAACAAAAAGAAGTTAGCTTTTTAATTTTTATCTCGAAATTCATCTACCAAAGGTTGGCTGATACAGGCGTTTTGGTATTTTCGGAAGGAAAATTAAATTTATTTACCGAGTTTTGGGCTTACTTGGCGATACGAATGAAAACAATTGTAATTTATATTTAATTTGATTTTCACGAACAAGGGAGAACGTTTTTTTAAAAGATAAATTACGAGGTAATAACGATTAACTGTGATAGTACTATGATGAGGGTAGGAACGAGAAGACACATTCAATTTCTTTTATTGATTTCTGGTTTTTAAACAATTGGTCCACGTTATAGGGAAAATAAATCATAAAACTATTGGATATGTTGGATATTTGAATACAGATGGTTTAATTGAACGAAATTTTTTACATAGACCCATCAGATCGGATTAAAGATTTATATGTTATTAGTGTAAGCTTGTATTATACAACAAGCGATAATAATTTATAATATATTAATGAATAATGTTAAATATACATTGTATTATAGATAAAGTAAAATTGCTGAATTTATAAACAAAATTAAACAAAAATACCTAACTACAATACAGTTTTTTGCACCACTCAGGATGCATTTATACAAGTAAAAATAAAAAATAAATTATTTTATTTTATTTAAAACATCCTCGGATCATCATAGAATATACTTTGTACTTTTTTTATACTTAAGTCAACAAAATCAGTTTATGAACAAAAAAATCTGCAAACATTTAGTAAAATAACGATTCTTAAACAGTGGCATGCACAGGGAGAGGGAGTCACTTTATACTGTGCGTTATTTAAAATATGAAAATCGGAAACTTTGTTAGGTCAGGTAAAAATATAAATTACAAAACGCAGACACTGTACTATTATTGTGTATATAAAACATACATTTACAAATTAAACTACATACTTAAATAAAATAAATATAATACGAATTTTAAAAAATTATGGCAAATCATAGTAAAAATATATAATTCAAAACTACAATAATAATAAATTAAATTTAAAAATGTGTAATTGATTAATTTGTTTTGTTCATGTTGATTAAATAAATTTAATTTGATTATAAATATTACTACAACTATCAGCCAAAGTATAATGTAAGATTTTACAAATCGCTCCAAAATCTCGAAAACGTTGTGACTCATTTCGTTTAAATGAATAGAAATGTCAATACAGTACCTAATCATTTTAAACTCTGTAGAAATTAGTTGGCTATCTTTTTATAATTTTGTTAGTCCAACTATCCAAGTTACTAAATATGTCACCATATAGACTGGCATAAATAAAAAATTATAAAAATACTAGTTGATGTAGCAATGCTTTGCTATTTGTCCAATTTTTAAAACACTTGTCATAAATACTTTTTAATATATATGTTTAAATTTATATAGTAATAGTACATTATCCTCGTTCTGTCATTTACATTTTTATCTGGTCATGCAAAATGTCCACGTTTCGTATTTTTACTAAGTACGAAGTAACCTAAAGAAGGACAGAGAAAAGCATAAGCGAAATCTGGACAGGCAAGAGAGGGAAATTCAATTTTTTGAATTCTTTTTGCCTTTATTCCCGTTTCGCTTAGTATATTGGACGGAAAAAATAAACTAAAATAAACTTTTATTTACCTAGCTTCTTTAGATGTATAAATTAACTAACGATGTATCAAATCGTTTTTCTGAAACCAATCTCAATATTCTACAAGCTTTATGTGAAATACTATATGTGAAGAAAACCCATCAAATCAGGTTATTAAAAAAGTATTTACAAGATTAATCTAATTAATTTAAACTGTTAAATTAATTAGAATGTAGAATTTTGTCTATTTTAAATAAAATGTTAAAAAAAAGTGAAATAAATGATTTATTAGAAAATAAAATATGTATATGACTGTAATAATAAATTTGATGAAAATTGAAAAGTGAATTTGAAAGTCAAGCAAATATTTAATTATATTTTTGAAAATTTGTACCAACACAGCATTAAATTGAGAAGTTTTTCTTAGTTAAAGTATCTTAAAACATATCTACAGTTTTCTATGAATCAAATAATTACTAAATCGAATTGCAAATCTTTGCATTGAAACAGAAAGAGAGATTAGTTTTGATCAATTAATTGAAGAATTTGATGAAGGCAATGAAATAAACTCTTAAAAACCCCTCTTTTTCATACTAAATAGATTTTAAATTTTACCATAGCTTGCCTTCTCCCAAGAATTTACCCCAGATTATATAACTATGGAGGAGGGAAGAGGTTTGGGATTTTATCCTCCCAAATGGCTCAAAAATACAACAAAAAAAAGATTTATTTAGGAATTTTATTTTGAAATTATACATTTCAACCAAGTTAGAAGGAAAAAACTTGATTTATTGAATGAGAAATTGATTGATTTCATGGATATGCAATGTGCAAATAACAATAATTACAACAGTGATGATGATATTTATATCGCCACCACCATGCACTATTGGATAGTCGTGGTCACTACATTTAATGTATTATATTATCGTACATCGATCCAGCGGCGGTTTGCACCGTGGTTACCATCACACGGAAATCGATGCTATAGGTACTATATTCACTTCGTGATAATAATGTATTACTGCGGTTGGCCTAATTCTGCTGCATTGTTTACCTGTAAAGGCGAGACATCACAAGAATTTGAATATTAGGATATGGTTAACTATACGTAGAACTTGACAGATTTTGCGATCGTGTGGTTGCCACACATTTAATCGTATTATGCCCTTAATATTTCACTCGCAATAACTCCGTGTAGTACACAACAGATAATAATATATTATAACGTTAAACTACAATATCGACAAAGCCGGACAATAAACTATTATTAACATAATTCATTTTAAAAAAATAACTGTAAATTGAATGTTTGAAAACAATGTGATTATTCAAATAAATAATTTTTAGAGAGACACCAACAACTTTATTTTAAAATCGAGCGGACTGCCTAGTATTCATAGGTTGTCATTAAGTGACACAGCATACTAATTAAAACAATGGTAAGTATAATGTAAAATTTTATGATTGTGATGACCGTAATAATAAAAATAAAAATCCACATAGATAATTAAAGAAATAAATAAATATATTAACGCATAAGTAGCTAAATAAATAAATAAATTATTGCAATTAAAACATTTATAAACTTAAATATAAGGACCGGATTTTGTATTTAATGCATGTTCATATTTTTATAAGCAATTTCATGCAGTAAATGGATTTTTATCGATCATACTTAAATAAATAATACTGCAAATTTGTATTTTGCATGTTTTTAGTGTAATTGCGTATTGTCCATAAAAACGTAACTTACATAATTTTTTTTCTAAAAGTTGTTTACAGACACAAATAAGAAAATATAAAAAAAAAATATATATTGTAAAACCAATATATTCCTCATTTCACTTAGAATTTAAAATGCATAGTTGAATTGCTCACATTAATTTTAATTTAGCTTGGTTATTATTATTATTATTTTTATTTTTATTTTTTTTAACATAATTTAAAATAGTTCTGTTTTTTTTTTTTTTTAAAGGTTAACTTCAAAAAAATGGAGTATTATAATATTTTATTATGAAAGTATTTTCGATTTACCGGAATTCTCGATAAAATAAAAATGTAGGTAGTGTTTTTGAATTTATACAACTTTTAAAACTTTGTTCCTCCCTCCCTTATTTTTCATTCGATTTTTTCGTAAATATTTCGCATTTTGGCTTGTTTCCTATAATCGCAGTCATCATATTGTTATGATGGTTATTTATATTATTATAATATAATATATTGCAACTCATATACAGTCCTCGTGATGCTGCTGCGGTTTACCGACTAAACAAATAGCTTGGTAGGTTTTGTAATTATTTTTAAACGGAATTTTCATCATCTAGAATATGTCAAGTGTTAGTTTGTATAATTAAAAAAAAATACAAACGTTCGATTGCATGCGCCATAATCGAATTTGTCGTTGTGGTAAACAAACACAAAAAAAAGATAGAGGGAAGAGGGGGAGGGAAATGCACCCAAATTATTTTACTCGAACATAACGAATTCGTGCAGAGTTATTATTGACGAGTACCCGCCTATACCTAGCTATACCAGTCTAGTGGTCACTGCGGTTAACGGTTATCGCAAGCACTCTGTGTATACCGCAGTAATTATTATTGAAATGTCATGCGCTTACCGCTATCAAACCGCCCATGTTACAAGGCACGTCCATAAAGTCGAAGTAAACGTGTACCGTCTGCTCTGGTTTCGCTATTATATAAATGCCGCACACCGTCGGGTCATTGTTCCGTGATTTGTAGTACAGGTGGCCTTCTCCTTCGGTCCACACGGTCATGCAATCTGTATGTTATAATCAAATTGGATGAAACAAAAATCACGCGTTACACGTGGTCATATATTGTCATAATATTGTCGTTTGTGTGTACATAATAATTAAAAAGTATTATATTATTATGACCGCGCAAGTCCGGATTAAAACTAGTATCGCGATCCTACACGGTATGTTTTATCGTCACGTTGTGACTTAACAATGGCAGATTTTTCAGAACAGTGAGATTATAATAATATTATATGCACCCAAGTACCACGAACTCTTATACGTATATTTCGACCCAACGTAACGGAGCAAAACAACTTGGGAATATACTGGATACATTATAGAGTTATTTTATTTAAATCTATACGTTAAGATAAATTACTATTAATGAAATATCAGATTCTGAACGAAGGTCGGTTAAACGTGTTTTGAAACACTATATTTTTTGAAGATTATCGTTAAAAAAATTTAAATTTAAGATATTTCTTTTTTTTTATAACTATTTTTCAGTTTTTTCTACGTTTTTCTCGGCTTTTCTTATTTATTAAGAAAACTCCAGAGAAAATCAAAAAATAACCTCATTAAAGTACCTTCTCAGTCGGATTTACTTTTAGAAAAAGTACTATCATTGTAAATTGGAGAAAAATTGCTGGTAGAAAAGTTGTCTACAGGAAAAATAAATAAATAAACATCACTGTAAAACCAGTACATTATAGTTAAACTAAATACCTCCACAACACTGCTTAATGTGCTCAGAATCTAAAAATACAAACGAATTAAATCTCATTAAGGGTATGTATAATTGTAAAAAAAAATCCATAACAGATATATGAAACAAGTAAAAAAATATTCTTATATAAATATTGATGCATAAAAAAGTCCACAGAAGGAGATAATCCCCCTCCCCCACAGTTCATACTGATCCGGACTTGTCTGCGGCTAACCACGGTCTCCCTATGGTTTTACCCGTAATGATTTTTTCTTGCATCTGCTGGGTCCGTTTCATTTGCACCGGGTATTGTAGCGAATAAATTTGGCGATGCTGATGCTACAAAAAAAAAAAAAAAAAATTAATGCTATCTCATAATTTCGATTTTCAAGTATATGTCTAACAAAATTTAAATTTCGTCAATAACGAATTATTGACACCGTTCCGAAAAATATACAATTTATATGATTTAATGCACATGGTTTAAAACAAAGATACCGTTTAAATTGAAAGGTACGATTTTTAAATGACTATTAATCTAAATAATAATATGCATTAATATTCTTCGATATATTCAGTTGGGGATTTTTTTAAATTTGGTTTTGTTATTTTTTTTGGTAAAGCTTTCAATTATTTATTTATTCAATTATTATGGCTCGACATTCGACAATGATATATTATAATTATTTTATTATAAACGTTATTATCTGCCGATACGCTAAATATATTCCTCAAAAATACCTCTAATATATTATTAATAAATGATTAGCAATATTCAGTGTCCGTCACATAAGTCATGCGTATTCGAGTTTAAAAACAAAATTGTCCGTATAAATGATTGTCATTCATATGTAAACTCGTATCAAATTTAAAAAAGACGGACGTATTCCCCTTGTGGGTGGGCCACTGTAGTAAGTGAAAAGTTGGAAAGGTAGAAGGGAAATTTAATGTATATATGTAAACTGTATGTACGTAACGATAAACCATTACTAATGAAAAAACGATTCCGAGCGGAGTTCGATTAATAGTGTTACTTTGTCAACAATATTATGTGTCATAATGTCGCATTATGGTTAAATAATTACATATTATACATTATACATTATACATTACATTATATATTTTTTTTAATAATATTTGTTTAATATTGTATCTATTTTCTAGTATTTTCTATATTTATTCCCGGTTTTTCCACATTTATTGGGAAAACTCCTGGAAAAATAAAAAATAACCTACCTAAAGTACATCTCCAGTCAAATTTCCTTTCTAAAAAAGTGCTGCCTCACTAATAGTCATAATGCGATCCCAAAAATATCCATGGTACTACTTTTAATTTCTATGCGATAATGGGCACATATCATAATGAAATTCTATAATTTATAGAAGCGGAACAGCAAAGAAAATTTTATCGAAATTCACCGAGTTCAAGCAAACTATCATACTATTTTGTTAGTAAGCTAAACGAGTGAGATACTTTTAAGTTTTAGATTCTGAGCGCAACATATAATTATGGGTCTTACTGTATAGGTATTAGGTATTCAATACATTTTACAGTTCGTTTTTTTTAAATTTGTTTTACTGTTTTTCTTGTTTTATAATTCGAGTAAAAATAATGATAAGAACCTGAAATTTACTCAGAATACTTAAATAAACATTTTCTAGATGTAGTAAAATTGTCAGTAATTTTTAAGCTATGATATATATATAGCGGGTGATTCATTTAAGTAGGTACACTCATTATCTCGGAAAGTATTAACTTTTTCCGGAATTTGTTTTCTAGAACATTTAAGAAACAAGCTACTCTAAAATTTTATATTTATATTATATTTTGTCATCCTTATTTTTGAGGGTAAAACCACTACTATGTTTTTATTTTCAAATGGCCGATCAGAAACACTTAACATTTTTACACGATATTTATTATAAGTCATATTTAGTGTTCAAGAAATAAAATTTAGCATATTGTAGCACTTTCTTTAAAATAAAACCAATACATTTCTCACTTCACCCGCAGTCCACAAAATGTGGTTCCTAAATTTAAAAAAAGTCAATACGGAAAGACAAAATAGTACAAAGTATTAGTTGTGAGCCATTTTAAATTCTGTTTTAAAGCGACCTTGCCCTTTTGAAACAATTTAACAAAGGTGGCAAATAGTTCCCCGTGGTGGCTTGTCGTCGAGGGCTTTAATTTGACAAATTAATTTATTTTTACTAGGATAATAACACTTGCGAATCACTTTTCAAATCTCTAGAAATAGCCACAGGGTTAATAATAATGATGCGTTCCATTTTTTATACTTTAAAAATTAATTTAACAATTCGAATAGGTAAACAAGATTTTATAGCTCTACGTTAGTAGCTAAAATTGACGGAAATATTTCATCGTTGTAAATTCTTAACAATTTCGTTCCTAAAAATATTTTTATACCAAAAGATCAACGTGTTTAATCGAAAAATATCCGAACATACTTTGCACCAGAGAGTAAAAACGTGTAGAAAAATTTAGTTTTTCATTGTATACAAGAACGTTTCATATTTTTTTCCGTTTAGCGTTTTCGATATTTTTCGTTTTACGTTTTACAAAACGTTATCGAAAATATTTTTACTCCCTGTTTTACGCCACTGTTGTATATGGGAAGTTTGGAAGGTATTAGATACAGAATAATTTAACTGGAAGAAACGATGAGTTAAATAAAAACAAAAATAAAAAAAATAATGGTTCTCACTTGAACTTGATAAACTTGTAGGCTTCATAGGTTTATAGTAATAGCAATATGTTTCTCTTATAACCTAAAAATTAACACAAAGAAAACCAATGTACCTATTGAAATTTTTTGTCAGATTTTTAAAAGTTTGTTTAGAAAATTGTTTAAGATCTATTAATTATTTTAGACAAAAAAAAAAATATTGCAATAGTGTAAAACCAATATCTTAAGATACAATGTGAATAATTTGAAACATTTTTCCAAAGATAAAAAAGCAAACACTTTGTAAAACTATAAATACTTTCTCATATATAGTCAGAATAAAAAAGAAGCATCTATCTCGTCGTGTATTTTAAATATTTACTTGAAATACAATGTGTCCCACAGTATTCGATGGATTTTCCTAGCCTTATTAATATTACATTTGTTTGATTTTTCTTCGAGAAGGACATCAATTTGAAGAAAAATTAATAAAAAAATGAAATAACTTTTTATTTATTTACTTAAGAAAATGTTCAAAAATGCCATTTTGTAAAAAAAATATTATTCTAAAAATTTTAATATTTGAATGTATCATACATTTATATCAGATTAATAGTTTCTCAATTATAGCTGTTTTAATTTTTTTTAAAATAGGCGTGAAAACGGTTATAACTAAAAAATTATTGAATATGAAATTGTGATATATAAAAATTGTTTGTATGATATTTTTTACAAAATGGTTATTTTTAAAATTTTCTAAAGTGAATAAATAGTTATTTTTTTATTTTTGTCTTTAGAGGATAAAAATAAAAATTAAATTTTTTCCCAAATCGATGTTTCTTTTTTTCAGGGACAAACAGATTAAAAAAAATCGAAAAAAATGTATTAACAGCGCAAGGAAAATCCGTCGAACATGGTGAGATACGCTGTAACATCTGAAGTAATATTTACTTTAAAAGATGATCATAACATGGAATATAATGATTTTACTACAATAATTCATTGTAATATTGGTAGTGTACTTTTTTTTAAATGTTTTCTGTCTATAAACAACTTTTCTATTAGAAATAATTCTCCAGTCCAAGCTTTTTCAGATCAAAGTGGTACATGAAAATATCGGTTTTTAATTTTCTTTATTTTTTTTTTAATAATTAGAAAAACAAGGAAAGAAATTCAAATTTTAACAAAAATTGTAAAAATTACTTTTTTAAATTTATTTAATTGAAGTTCACTCAAAACTATATTTCATAAGCAATGATTCTCTTTTTTTTTTTTTTGAAGAAAGATATTAGATTCATACTGCATAAATGATCGACTATAAAAACTGTAAAAACGACGATTAAAAAATTAACATTTCATACGCAAAAATTAATATACAAATAAAACGACGGTGGATTTTATTTTTTAGCCGGATGAATAATAAAAACCGTATAAATATTAATTATACGCACTGTAATAATAAATTACAAAAGATGAAAAAACACGTTTTTTTTTTTTTTTGTTCGTTTTAATATTTAATGCCGTAATGCTTTAAACCAAACAAATATAATAATATCGTTGGCTATTTAACAAAATGATAAGTACTTACCTAATATTTTATAGTCGGTTAAACAAAATTATACTTAAATTTAAAAAAAAATGTACTATTTTTTAGATGTATAAATGTCCTAAAATTCAATGTATCTTATAATGAAACAATAATGCAGTAAAAAAAAGTGTACACAATAGTCATTTTTAATGCCTTAAAATTTGAGAAAATTATATTATCGATATTAATAAAACAAAAGTTTCTAAAAATATTTTATTCAGTAATATTTTTTGTTAGTTACACTGTAAATTACGAAAATGATAGAACCACTAATATTAAAAACTTGTATCAACATAACATATCTGAACACTGCCAATAGAGTTGAGATAAGTGTTTTATTTTCCAAATTTTTTTTTAATAAACCATATAAAACTAATAAAACTGCGATACGCAATGATATATAAAACACTATCTAACGATTCTAACGGAATTATTTATCTATTCATTTTAGTCTAAGCCTGGTTCAAGAGCCACACGAAACTGATTTAAGAGCGGTATGTGGCTCGCGAGCCTCGTTTTAGCCACCCCTGATATATATAACTGTACTTGTTTAACCATATTAAGTTTCATAATTATTTTGATCGATTTAAAAATAAAATTATTCTGAAGTTGATAAAATATAATATAATAAAATCGTCTACAATATAATATGATACGCCATTGTGTCAGTTCGTTAATTTTAATAACCATAAGTCCATAACTTTGGTATTTATAATAGTTCGGAAAATATACGGACATCACTTTGTTTCTAAACATTATTTTATAATTTATCTGGAATAGGTGTTTTATAAAAAAGCAAAAATTTCGTGATGAAACCGTATTCTTATATCAACTACGAGGTTATTTGAAACGATTTTAAGCGATTCTTATGAAAATTATACGCTTGACTCCCTGTTTGTGTACAATATATTATGATAGATGATAAATAATGTCTAATTTTCTAAAAAGGGTACATGAGGATATATTATTGATTTTTTTTTATATATATAAAATATAAACCGGAAGAACTTACTATATAAAAAAACGCAATTAAAATTTTCAAACTTAAAAACGATAATTTTATTTCAGTATACTTTTTACTTTTGACGAATTTCTGACTAGATAGAAAATACAATTTTATATTTTGCGCAAACTAACCCGTATAAGGTAATGATTAAAACATTAAATATTTACTATAGGTACCGAACGGATCGTTACGAAATTCGTGAAATAAATTAAAACAATTGTTAAGTGCATACGTTTTGTTCTAATAAAAACAATTATCAATTTAATCAAGACACAAAAAACTCAAACACAGCAGTATAATAGTGTCAATTGAAAAACATGTTGCAAACTCCCACATAATACACTGTTCGATTTTCTTTTTATCTCGTTGCTAACGTATTGAAACGTTAGGCGGAATCCTCAAGGGACACGTAAACAAAAACCTGAAAATACTGGCATCCTGTATCATTCAGACACAAATATTTATCCTATTTTGTTCATTTGTTCCTTCCACTTCATTCGATTAAAAAGCAATTACATTTATGGTTTAATTTATCAATACGCGTCTTTCATTATCGTATTGCGAGAATAATTAATCAATTATCATATACAAGTGTTTAGAAAAAGTATTTAATTTAAATAGATATTCGTTTTTACGGATGTTATACATTTTACTAAAAAGAGCTAATAATCGAGACGGGTTTGCACAGTGCCGGATCTTACATATTTTTTCAACCCGGGCCAAAACATTGAACTGGCGCTCTTTTATCAAACACAGAATACAAAATTCACTATATTTTAATATTTATTTAATTCAGGCATAATATTAATTATTAACTTTACTACCTGATATAATACTCGTATAATATATTTAGTTTTGATACATTGTAATATGTTTTAAAATTAACGTAGAATTAATAAACACATTTCAACAGGCAAAAAAAATATAACTATAACTCTTAATTCTTGAATACCCCTCCCCCTAGACACTGGGTGTGCTATTATTGTAAGTGGGAAGTGGATAAAGTAAGATATATAGAGTAATTTAATGTATAACTATATAATCAACGATAACGAAAACGATTCGAAGCGAAATTCGATTATACGTGTCTTTAAAGGCCGTAATATTTACGATCTTCGTCAAAATTTGATTTTAAAACTTTTAAACCAGTAAGTACAACGTGTAACTAACCTCCTCTTAAATGTTCAAGTATTTCGCTTTGGTTGAAAAACTGAATCCACTAAGTGCTTACCAAACAAAAATAATTTTGCCACGTCAAGAAAAAGTAAATATAAGTTTTCTGTCAAAATTTCAAGTCTTTTTAAAATATTATTAACAGAATTACACCAAAAAAAAACTAATAAAATTGAAAACAATAAAAGCATTATTTTCGTTTTTTCAACGTTTTTTTTTTTTCAATTTTGCTCAGTTATTAAAAAAAATTCTGGAAAAATCAAAAATAACTATCGTGAGTACTAGCTAGATTAAAAATTTAACAAACAAGGTTTCTTATTTTTAAAATGCCTGATAGAAAACATAAAGGGAACAAATTTTAAATAAAAGGATTACGTGGAGGTATAACGCTGTAAATTTTTCAGTTTCCTTTTTCCGTGTTTTTCTGTTTTTTACCAATTATTACAAAAATTACTCAAAATAACGATTTATTTTTCAAGAAACTTGATCCAGAGACCGTAAAATTGTTTAACTATTATCTATATCTATATTTCGAACATTTTCCTGTTTTTCCTCAGTTTTTTTACGGTTTTCACATATGATGAAAAACTCCTAAGAAAATAGAAAAATTACCTTTCAGAAAAGGTGCTAAACTTTAAAATTGTAACAAGATCTCAGATAAAAAAAAATTATAAAAAAATTAACAACTTTGTAAAACCATAGCTTACCATAAGTCAAAAACCATAAATTCTTCACTCCACTCAGAATCTAAAATGTAAAAAAAAAACCAGAAAGCATTGAACAGACTTAAGGAAAATCAAAAAGTTTTGGATAATATTAAAGTCAGAAAGGACTTAATGATAAGGTCATTTAATGCGTCACAATTTTTTGACGAAAAGCCTTATAAAAGGCGATCCTCGAAGGCCATGTTCAAAACAAAAATGAAACCAATTATGATAAGCATTGATAAGGACAACGATGGCCGAAGGTTAGTTAAAATTTTTGAAAGGAGCATTAACTTACGAAAAAATGAGATCAACAAAGATCTGCGAAAAAACCAATCAAATAATTGAAAACGAGAAAAATAAAATTGTTTATTAATTACAATAATTTTCAATTAAAATGTTTTCGAAGTATAACTAATGTTATTTTCCAACTAAAGATTTATATTTTATACCTATTTTCGAATCCCAATTTATTATAGTAGTTCATTGTTGTCACTGAAATAATCTGACTCAGTATATTTGAATGCGAGAAATAAATAATTTAAAGAATTTCACTTATATGTATATTTAAGATCTGCATTTCTCATTATGTTGTTGTCCATGGTAATTTTAATTAAACAGTATCGACAAAAAATATCAGCTCGTTAATAATATAATTATCTACCTACGTAGGTATCAGATTAGTTATTCATTAGTCAGGTCGATTAGTTATTTTGACATTTTTAGTATGGGTTATTATAATACCAATCAATAGATACATAAAAAGCATTTCGACCGTCGCGAGTCTCTCGTGTACGAAATATAAAAATAAAAAGTAGACATTAATTAAAAAATATACATTTTTTTTGTCTGATGAACATGACTATATTATTATTTTTTATTCAAATGTAGAACATTTGGAGTTGATAACGATATAATATTATATTATTTTAAAATGCTTTGTTTAGTTTAATTAATTGAATTTGTCCAATTACTGCACTCGAGATAATAGTTATTATAATAAGAATTTCGGAAGTATATATGTATAGCTAAAGTTCTATGAAGATATCATAATATATACGTGAAAAAAATATGTAGACAAACAGAATAAAACAATTAATTTAAAATAATAAATATTGAAAAATGATATATTATCTTTAATGAGTTATATAAAATAATCGTATCCATTTAATGTTTTCGTCCATTTCGCAAAACGAATAGAAATTATTTCAAGACGTAAATACGTAATTACTTATTGCGAAACGAAAACAAAATATATGAATGCTATACATAGCTACAAATGACTTATAAATGACTTCGGATAAAAATACTATGCAATATTGAAAAAAAATATTTTACTGTTATAAAGCTTCTTTTTTTTTTTTCTTTTTGGATAAGTGTGAAGAAGAAATTTAAAAAGAGATATTTATTATATCTAATAATTTGTTTCTCCTCTTTACAATGAACCAATAAAATATTTGTCTGTCAAATTGTATTATTATGTTATATGTATTTTTACGTTGATATATGGTTACTGTGAATCCAAAACGAAAGTTTGGTAAAAACTGCAACAAGAGTATAAAACCATAGACCTATAATAATTATATAAGATAATTGAAATTTATTAATAAAATAATTGATTTCAAATCGTATTGAAATTTCTTGTGTTTGGTCTCAAATCTCATCTATCTGTGTTCCTAAGTATGTAATTAATATTGATGTCACAGATTTATTTGATACTATAAATTTATGTATGTGGTAACACGCATATAATACCACGTACCTACAGGCTATAGATACCCCGTGAACACTAGTTAGTGTTATCCCTAAAAAAATAATCGTATTCTTCGGGTTTTTATACCTCTGTTAATAGTCAGTTTTATAAATTTTATTTCCCAAATTAGATTTTATGTCAGGGGCTACATATTATAGGCATACGTAATGTAGAGACAAATTAAATTATTATTTTCAAAAATGTATTATGTTTGGTGATCAAGGGGTAGTAATAAAAGTTTTAATTTTTCTCTAAATATAATATGGCTTCCTGAAAGAAAATTCCATTGATAAAAACAAAATTAAAATAAATTGAATATAATTGATACACAAAAATCCGCAAAACACGGTGTGACATCCTATATGTAAAATAGTACGATTTGGATATGTTTTGTATTCGTATCGAATCAGTTTCAAAGTCGTTATATGGCACAGACTTTAAATACGTTTATAATGTTAAGTCACTGCAATCGATTAAAATCTCATCACTTATTACTGTAGACAACATTAGAAGATAAAACAAATATGAATATCTGTGCGTCGGAGTATTACAAAAGTACCGAGTGACCCGAAACGCAAACATATTATACATACACATACATAATAATATATAGTTCTCAATTTGTTCTCCTCGTACTCATTTCCCACGCTTTTTGTTTATACTATACGACGGTGTATCTTCATAAACTACACTTTCCCACATCATGTTAATTGGTGTGGATTGTTATGACGTAAACGTCTCCTATAGCAGTTAATATATTTTCAAGTTGTCGTATTTGAAATAACACTGGAAAACATTAAACACAATAAATCACCCGCCATGCCCTTATATTTTTCTATGACCAAGCCTATATAGTCCTTATAAAACCACCGCAATAGCGTCTCCTCAATGCGTCTTTTAGGATTTTATATAGGTACTATTTTTCTAACCATCAGTGGAAATAACTTTTTTTTTTTTATTATTTCAAAGGTTTAAAACCCTTATGTACTTATTAGTTTTATAACTATATTACAATAATTATATTATACACATATATAAATTTAATTAAAACTAATTACATTAAATTACCATAAAGACCATATACCTACATTTATTGTTCAAGATTTTATTTGTTTAAATTATGATAAAAATTAATAAATGTGTATGACATAATCATCAGTGTTGTGTTTTATCTAAATAAATTAATCTATATAAGTATATTTTTAACTTTTGTCGTATATAGATAAATCAGTAACTACTCGAGCCATTATATGAGATAAATAATTATTAGTAATTAATTCATCTCGATAAATTGTAAAAATTTCAATTTATATAGGTATTTAATAAAAACAGTAAGTAAAATATTCAATTTATATTAATATGATTAATTAAATAAATTATTAGGTTACAGCCTTTTTGAAATCTAGATGTGTACTTTAACACCTACGTGAAGCTGGCACTACAAACATAGCACAACTTTACGAAACTACTCTAATAAACCCTACTCAAAGTTATTAGACATTGTTAGACAATTTTTAGAATTTGTTAGAAAGTTTCAGAAATATTTCACTTTATATATGTAGTGTCAGGTACACACTCTGCACTACAATAATATAAAATTTAAAAGAACCACTGAAAAAGTTAATTTAAATTCCAACAAGTTTAAAAACACATCTAACAAATCTATTTTAGTGTATCGCAAAAAAGTCCAACTATCTAAAAGTTTTTTTTTTCAATTCAGAGCATTTTTTAGACAGTACTAAAAATTTAACCGGTTGTTTTACATCAATAAATACCTAATAATTATTAATTGTAATGCCTATATAATGTTGAAAAAATTAAAATACAACTTTCATGATTGAATTTATTACTTTAAGTACGCAATTTTATAATATTTATTAACTATAAATATAGAATTGTTAGAATGTTATTTGTTTAATAGGAAATATAAAACATTATAATAACATTAGTTTTAGCAAATCCTGGCAAACCTGCACAAATAAATAATAATTTGTGTAGTAAAAATTGTACGCATAATATTGTAATACTATAAATTGTATAATACACGAATATAACGCAACGGCCAAAAAAAAACCACACGATAAGTTGAAAAGAAAAATGAAATTACGGATTTTACCAACACCAATATTTGTTTAGCCTATAATTTAATAAATATCATTGTTAAAAGTCTAAACTACAAAAATCATTCAGGGTTTAACCTAACTAGTTTGCATATCCTAGGTTTTACCAGTATTCGTACTTTTACGTAACACATATATGTATAATTTAAATAATAAGTCAAGGATTTGTATCTTACAAAATTCCAAGTGTCTATTATCGATTTATTTTTGTTTGGATACTTCTGTTAGTGATGTTCAAATACTTGCAAAAGATACTACCTAATTTTGTTCTTCTAGATTTTTAAGTATTCCGTTGAATGTTGTAATCAACGAAATTCCACGGTCGGTTACATAGTTCACTCTTTTCAGTATTGAACTTTTATGTGACCGTCTGTATAATTTTTGTTATTTCCTAGGTACGTGGACAATGATTTTAAATAACTAGTGGTATATACAACACCGTAAACAGTTTTAGAGTATTTTTAGAATCAAATTCATACAATTTTTATTATTGAACAGCATTTATGTCAATTGTGATAAACTTTAGATAGGGGGGATTTGCTTCTTATTCTATCAATAGTTTTACCATATTCACTGTAACTATCAAATCTAGTACACTTGTACTACTTTTAACACTTATTTTTACGATAGTTAATGAATAAAATAATCTTTTTTATTTAGATTAAAATTTCTGATTATTAATCTTTATCAAGATATATTAAAATATATTATCTTTATACAACACTGATAATAATCATGCTGCAATATCAAACTTTACATTTAAATCATTGATCGTTTTCGAATGGATTTATTTTTAACTAAAATTATAGGCTAATAATATAAGATATGAAAATCGTTAAATATGCTGATTTACAATCTGTTTTCTCAACTGCGAATTATATTATACATTTAGTATTCCACTAGTGTATATAACCCGTAATTTAGGCACCTAATAGGTAGGTATTAAGAGAACGTGGTCCGAATTAATTGAAAACAAGCTACTGTGCACGCAATTATAAAGACGCTCCTCGGGTCAATATTGAACAACTAGGTAGAACACGATTTCCAGGAATATTTACACAGCTATATATTATCGCGTTAACGTAGGAAATTATAAAGCTAATACATAAGTTAAACAATGTCAGTTAAATCACTTTCAAGCCCTATACGCTAAATCCGCAGCTCGTTTTTCTTCTCAAGATTCTTATTATTTCGTATAGAAGCTAAAAAAAAAACCTGTAAACACTTCTTATGCGATTGTATTATTGTATAATATACAATTATCCAAATTTCGCTGTCATACCTAATGAAATAACAAAATATAATCGATTACGAACGAGCATCGTAGTCGTTTTGGTCGGTGATTGATTTTATGTTTTATCGACTTATATAAGGAAACACTGTTACGTCAAAATTAATGTGGAGTCAATGGACGATACTTTAAACAATAATAGTTTTGAAACTCTCGGAACACTTTTTAAAAGTGCTTTTCAGAAGAAAAAAAATATATAGGTAGGTACTAATAAAAAATAAAAAATAAATAAAAACAATATTTCATAAAACTGATTATCCTACAATTAAATAATTCACTTTAATATTTTGACCATCGGTCAATTGTGTATACCTACAAAAATATAATAGTTAAGACAGCGTCACAACGCTGGTGGTGTTTTTGAACAAAATAATACCCTTCGAGTTGAAATTTAGAAATAAAATAAATACATAAAACCTAAAAGAAAAATATACTTTTCGCTCTCGGAAAGTGTAGTGTTCCGTAATAATATAAATTGTACGGATATATTTGTTCAGCACAACAAATTTAATGAAAAACACTTGGTCCGTTCTCGCAGATGATATATATATATACACGTAATATGTCTGAAGACAGGTAGGTATAAGAAACGATTTTTCATTTTAAAAAAAATCGTTCGATTTCACACTCGTAAACACACATTTTAACTACATAACTAGTATAATATTTGAAATCATTCGCAAATTAACTCCGTTTGGGCTTTTTTTTAGTTTTTAACATGAAGAAATCCATCGAGTCGAGAATTAAAAATTACCTCCGCCATCAGTCCGGAATCCAATAATATTGAAAATATTAAATGTCACGTAATGAATAATAATTCGAATACTATACGAGAATATAATATAATGTTCACACGCTGAGAAATATTAACATACCTACTGACAATTTTTAATCCTATAACAATATTCCAAGAAATTCAAAAACGAAACGTTTATAATACGAATTAAATCGATTAAAAATTAATTCAATAGTATCAATTCAAAGCGGTTTATTGTATATTGTTCATGAACCTATTAATTAAATTAATACAGTAATTTATTATTATTTACGTACGCGATGGAAACTTTTCAATTTGCGTATTATAATACACCAACTACACCGTCAGTACCAAATAACATGTAAACATTAGGTCAGCTAATTTTGACGATTCTTGTTTAAATAAAATTATATTATCGACATAATGTATTAATTTAATAGACCACTTCTTAACGAAGATCGACTAATTATTATATATTATTATTACGAATATCATGCTGTGACATAATTAACCTTCTGAATAATTCATCAATAGCGCGTCATCGCTCTTCGTCAACTGCAAAATGTATTTTGTCGACTCTTGTTTGCGTATAATTTAATTTGATTTACGTTAAAATGATTCAAATGGAAGATATGTGACTATTAAACTATCAAATACAATTACTTAGGTATTAACATATCAATGCACGTGATAAAGGAAATACAGGTGATGTATTTAGTTTCGTATAAAATAATTGAACGATTTAACAATACTATTGTTAAATGCTAAATTTAGGATTATTAAACATTTCGGGTAGAATTATTATTCCCTTGACTAATAACTCACTAGTGACTCGAGTGAAACGAGTGATTCGACATTTTTTTTAGAAGGCGGGGAAGAATAATTAATTTACACACAATTGGCAATAAGGACTCAAATTTTATACGTATACATTTTACTCGTATTATTGTCATCTTTGTAGTGATTTTAAAGCGGGGAAACCACGACTAACTTTTTAATTAGAAATTAATGCACTTACAAAATTTCAAAATCAAGAAATAATCTCGGATTTCAGCTTGAAAAAAAAATGGTCAACATTTTAATATCGAAAAAACGAGTGTGTTGTAAATACATAATATATGACACGTTTTTTCGAATACAACATTTCAAAACAGAAAAATTACCCCCGCATACAAATCCGAACAAAGAACGACCGACTTACACAGTATAGAATTATTTATTCGACTGCATACGAGTTATGTTGCCAAAAATAAGATATCTAAAAAGACAGAAATATAAATTACACATCACGTAGTATGATTTAGGACTCACATTGTAAAGTATATGTCAAAATGCTTCCTGATTTCGTAAATAATTTAAAACCATAATTTTGTTTATATGGCTCAAAATGGCCATAATAAAATCTAGTGTGAGACTATAATAATATACTCAACGCATATGACGCCACCAGAGTTCATTTTTGTGAGACGGAAATGAAATGTAAACAAATTACTAGGCGGATTTTCAGAATAATACGTTACTAATACAAGAAGTAACTGAAATACATGATGTATACACTTGTTCAAAATTACAAATAAATGTCTTAAATTATGATTATGTAAATTAAAATTATGTATCTACAAATCTACGTATAACGTAGAATCTGTACTACTGCGTAGTAATCCGATTATTACGTAATCCGTTTTCTTTTATACCTAATTAAAATACTTGTTTCATGCTCAAAAATAATCAACATGCAGTTCTTGTATAACAATATATACTATTATGACGTATGAAAGCATTTTACATTATTGAAACGTGAGTTCTTGTAATCTGAAATGCTATAATATGCAATATGCAATATTGTATCTGCCCTATATATTTAAACCGTTTTACCGCTATAAAACTCGAGTTCCGGAATCATTAAAAGAGCACTTAACCCGTTTCTAAATTTTTACATAATTTTTCCCAGAATAATAAAGTTAAAACATTTTAAATACAATAAACCGTATTCTTTTTTTAACGATTTCCCAAAAACTATACGAACAAGTATAACAAAAGATTTAACTAGTTCCGAATTCGAATTTCATTCATTTAAGGGGCTTGGTATCAACATTATTTATGTCTCAAAAACATGTTTTATATAAGAAACCGGAAAAACTCTCATGCCTCCGAATTGAAATGATCAAATTTTGACGATAATTATTTTTTTGAAAAGAGGAAGACTTCCTACAATGCCCGCATTTAAATTCGTTTTCCAATATTTTTTAATCTCAAATTTGATGGTATGTCTTCAAAAAAAGTAAATTGTAAGTTTTTAATGCCATAATTTAAAATCCAACTTTAATGCGTACAATATTCCAAATTATTATTTTAAAAATATTCCTATAATAATATTTAACTGATTATATTATGACTTGTAGTAATTTAGGAGTTATCTATATTCCCTTGAAGTCATATTTGTTCGTAAAAACAACCTCTTGGTCTCTTGGTTCTTTTACCCCTAAAGAGATGATAGTTTTTGGTGATTATCAAAATGTTAAAAATAATGTTCAAATTTCATAAAAATGGAAAATAAATTGAAAACTGGCACCGAGTCCCTTAAGACTATACTACTATCAATAGAACTATGCACAGAATGTTGTTGGTATATATTATACCTTCAGTGCCAGGAAAAAAAAGCCTAAGGTAATTGTTGGCTATTTTTTATTATTTTGGTGTATAAAATTGTGTTCCTTTAATTTTTTAGCCTAAATTTCATAAATGTTTGTATTTTAAAAATTTGAGTATGTCGTGTATTAGTTTATAGAAACTACATGATATGTATTTTAAATATTTATTTTACTTGTTTTGAAAACCATACAAAATTGACATAAGGTCTTCTTTTATAAAACCAAAGATAATTAATAAAAATAAATTTATCTAAAATAAAACTAAATAATTTTATTTATATTAATAAAAATTTCTTTTTTTAGTTTTTTTTTTTAGTTAAAAGTTTCTTTTTGTTAGGTACAACAAGTAAATTACTTAAATATAATAGTATGTAACAATTTTTAAAAAAGCCGATATACTTTGCACCAGGCCATTAATGTAGGTGGAAAGATTAAAAACGTGTAAGATATACGGTGGATAATTTAATTTATGTACTAAAAACAACGAATAAATCACTAAAATAAAATAACGATTCAAAGTGTAACTTGGTAAACTCGTATAGTCGTGTTTTTTCTTGTTAACATTTTTCTTGTTTCCTTTTATTAACGTCAAAATAAGGTAACCCAGAAATCAATACAAATAGAACCAATGTAACGAACAATGAAACATTTACTGTTAGTTTTTTTTTAAGTTTTAAAAAAATCTGTTAAGAACCCGGAAAAGCCGGTAATCAGGGGTACTTATTTTACTAAGCAAAAAAAAATATTTTTCGAGAAAAACGTTTTTACGTCTAAGTAAAACGAAAAGCATCTTCACCTACACACTATAAAATTATTTTCAGAAGTATTTTAATCTATATAGCACTTAATTTAATGCGTATATTAATATTTTTGAAAACTCGATATTCCTTTGATAATTTAAATCTTAAAATATTAATATAATGTGGAGTTTTTATTAAAAAATCTAAAAGTCTCAAATAATCTAAAAAAAAAAAATGAGATAAACCTACGGGCAAATTTAAATTATGAAAAATATGGAATTAGGTATATATTGTTAAAAGTTTTATAAAATATAAAAAAGTTACGAATATTTCCCGAGATACACTTTGGTTCACTTAAAAATAAACCCACAGTGTAAACACCCAACTCCTACCTACTACATGATAATATTTTTATACAAATATGTGCAGCGGCAGTCATAACGAATACATCCAACGTAGAATAATATAATTTCACAGATGAAAATCATTTGAATAATAATTTCCAAAGAAAATATCGAACATTATTACTAAGTACTCGAGGGTTGAGTCATTTTTCAAAATTGGATACCTACGTAAAGTTTCACGGTATTAAGGAAAAATTCAAAAGACTTCGGAAGTTTAAATCTCTTTCCGCATGCCGTCACTGCGGCTATGTTTATACTTTTCTAATATTATACATTAATAATAATATGTATGAAAATCCTTTCATTTGGGTTCTTGGGCCACTAACTCTGAACAAAAACCGTCGTTACAACACATCGCAATAATATGATTATTATAAAATCCCTACTTGAACATTTTATGTTTTCAGATTATTTAAACTGCACTAAGTCCCTAATATTGTATTCAACGTGGGTATAACTACACGCATAATTATATAGGCACTATGAAATATTTTATACTCTCAAAGTTTTTTTTTATACATATAGGTACTTATATCCAGAATGATTCACTAAACGTGTTCACCCCATTTTTTTTGGTTAAATTTTATATATACTTGTATTCAAATTTTGATTTTTTTAAATTTTTTAGTGTAGTTAAAGCCGACATTTGTGTTGTGACACGGTTCACAGTATTTTATTAGTGCTCCACTATTTTCCCGCTACCTCATCAATGGGTTGACGGATATCAAAAATGTTAACACAAATATTTAATTAAAGTAATATTTCACCTATTTAATATAAGTTTTCATTTGAAAAACCAAAGTTTGTATTACCACTGGATACTCCTTAAATGTTATAATATTATAAGTATTCTAAAATATCGGCTTTAATTGTACACTTAAAAATACCAAAAATCAGAATTTGAATATATGCAAAATTTAACCAAACAAATTGAGTGACCACTGAGCACGCTTAGTAAATTACTGTGTATGTTAAAAAACAATTTTATGCGACAGTATTTATAATAGAACCCACATCGAACAATTATATGAACCCAGTGTATGAAAAAGAAAAACTATAATTTTCATATCTACAAATAAAGTTTAATAAAGATTACCCATTTATTATTTACTATATAAAATTAGGTAAACATGAAACACGTTGAATTATTTTCTTATAAATGACTTAAATTAGTACAATTGGCTTTTTCCTTTATTTTAGTGTAGAATCTATAAATCATTTTTATTTTATTTAATTACTATGCGTATAAAATTATTATAAAAACCTTATTATTACTATATTTCCAAAGATTTATTTTTCGAATTGATAATGAAAACTTTTGGGTGTTAGGTAAGATAAGTATATTAATTTTAACGACCAAAAACGTGTTTTACGAAACTCTGCAAATTATAATATTTCGATTTACAATAATTTGACTATAAATTATAACACATAAACTTGTTAATTACTATGGAAATATTAGCACATAAACAAATAACCATAAACATTTCAAACTTTTCCAGAATATATTATTATTATTTTGCTTTAACCTTTAACTTATACATACAATATAAACGTAATGCAGACATTGAACTCTATATTTATGTAATATTGTGTTCAAGTATAGAAAATGTATTCAACAATGAGAAACCCAAGATCCAAATGGATGAAAATATTGAAATTTGATACATTTTATTACTTAAGAATTCAGAACATTCTCTCTGTGTGTTCGTGGGTTTTTCAATATTTTACTTTTTAATCGAAATATGAAATATTATCTGAAATATCACATTTTAAAAATGTTTACATTTCCCTTAAAAATTAAAACAACGAAATAAAGCTAATTTACAAACACAATACTTATATAATATTTTCTTAAATATAAATTTCATCGTATATCAAGGCAAAGCAGAGACGTAATTAGAAATATTTTTCTGGGTAAGCCAGATAAAGTAATATAAATGTTTGAATAGGAAAGATTACTAACACAAATTTTTGATTTTAAAATAATATTAATTTTAAGGAAAAAAATGGGTAGACCCGAAACTACTAGACCTACCCGCTGGCTACGCTACTGGGTCAAAGCACTTTAATATGAAAACCAATAGTCCGAAATTGGTTGTCATCACTCGTAGCTAGTTTATTATAAATAATATTGATTCATAATATCTTCTACTTATATATTACTAGGTAGCAAATAAAATAACGACATTGTTATATCTTACTGTCGTTATATTTTTTTATTACAGTTTATTTCTGTTTATGGTTTTATATGTTTTTTTTTCTTTTCTATGATGTTTCTAACAATACAAATAACACGTTGACAAAACTATTATATTTTATTTTCTGTGGGAACAACTGCGTTTAGTAGGAGTTTATGCAAGTATATAATATACTCGCACATTTCAGCAAATCCCTATTATATTATATACTGTTTAGACTTGTCGCTTCAAAAGTAAAAGCTCACCATTGCGCTGTTCTTTGAGCCTGAATTATATAAAAAAAAATCAGTAATTCGTTTATCGTTAGTATATAATAGATTTATTCAAACGATATCTCTTAGTTTTCACTCTGTATGCATAAATTCGTATACTATTTAAATAACGGTGAAATGTCCACAATAAACATCATCTGCGACTATTTTAATAATAATATATTGAATTTACATATTCAATAAAACATATACGTAGGTACCGAAAAATGAATCAGTTATTATCCTCGCCCTATCCTTTACTTTTTCCTCATTGAGTAATTTCTGTAATTAGATTCTGAGTGAAGTGAGGAATATATTGGTTTTACAATGATGTTTATTTATTTTTTTTATCTGTAAACAACTTATCTTAATAGTAATTTTTTGATTTTACAAGCGGCTTTCATAATAAATAGAAAAAAACGTAGAAAAACTGGAAAATGTATTAAATATATTATTTTTAATTTTGTTTTTAGTTATGATTCAATTAAAAATATTTTCAGTGATTTAAAATTTGGACAGAGACCTTATTTTTATGTGACAAAATTTTCAAATTAATAGTAGCATATAGAGAAATTTGGTTTGTATTCAGAATGCAATAAAAAAGACTGACATACATCGCACGTGGGTAAACCACTGTTGTAGGTGAAAAGTTGGGAAGGTAAAGGGAAAATTTAATGTACATCTGTATGCAACGATAAAGCATAACTAACGAAAACGAGCCGAGACTCTGAGCCAAATTCGGTTAATAGTGTTGCTTCATCAACAATATATATGTCTTATACTCCATTTATATGTACAATTAAAGACAGTTTAAAAAAAAGATAAAATAATGGATACGGGCGCAGCCACTGATGTAGGTGGGAAGTTGGGAAAGTAGGATATAGACTGGAATTTAATGTACATCTGTAAACAACGATAAACCATTGTTAGCGAAAAAACGATTCTGAGCGAAGTTCAATTGATAGTGATGCTTTATCAACAATATACATACTATATTATAGTAAAATAATTAAACAATGTAGATTTTTTTTTTAATAATATTTGTTTGTTGTATCGATTTCTCCGGTTTTCCTACGTTTTTTCCGGTTTTCTCATGTTTTTTTTCCCTTTTAAAAAATTGCTATCATTAAAAGTTGGAGGAAAATTGCTGGTAGAAAAGTTTCCACAAAAAAAACAACTTTGTAAAACCATAAGCTTCTACTCAAAATCTAAAACTAAAGTAATTTAATCAAACATCATGTAAACGCTTTAAAGCAACTTAAATAAAATAAACCAGTTTTAATTTAAGGAAGCTCGAATATGTGGTTTAACGAAATTAAATCAGTATTATAAATAAAATCGGTACATTTGTACATGTAAATTGAACAATCACTTTTATTATATAATAAATGATAACATAAACCATAATACATACTATTCAGATTTCGTTTTTATAAATTATTACTTATCACTTTAATATTAAAGACCAATACGTAAAAAAATCAGGCAATTTAAGTCAACTCATAATAAAATCAGTTTAAATTAAGAACGGTTTAACTTGTATCATGTAAACGTAGTAAGATTATGGTGAAATAATTACATATGTATTAAACATTTTCTTTAATAATATTTATTTATATTGTACCTCTTTCCCCGTTTGTCCTACGTTTTTTCTCGGTTTTCCCCATTTGTTATGAAAACTCCTTAGAAAATCAAAAAATAACCCCACTAAAGTACCTCCCCAATCAGATTTTATTTCAAAAAAATTGCTATTGTTGTAAATCGGAGCAAAATTGTTGGTAAAAAAGTTGTTAACAGGAAAAAAAGGCCGTAATATTTTTTTACTAATACCTACATTTTGTACATTTTCCCATTTTTCCTTCTTTAAATCTGAGGAGCTGCCAAACCCTTAAACCTGCAGAAAATCCAAACCTTTTAATCGATAACTCTTCGCTTAATAACGGGTGCTCCTCCTTATGTTTCCAACTATACATTACACTCTGACCTACAAATAAACACTTTAAAACTGCCTCCGTCATTTATAAACGATTTCAATATCGTTTATCAAACTATCCAAATCCCATCATTGCAGATCGTAACTCTAATAACATCCACAGAATCTCGCCTAAACGATTAGCTCGTCATTGGTGTAGAGACCTTGTGAACTCTCATTTAATAATAGCTAATCAATGCTAAAGTAGCCAATGGTTGGCTACTTTTTCTATTTTGCCGCGATTTTCAAAATTACCATAAAATATTTAATAAAAAATAAATTGCAAAATTATATTACATGATAAAATAACGTAATGGCCATAATTAGGTACCTACGGAATAAGTAACCGTATAGTCGAGAATTATTATTAAAAATAATTTTCACCATGCAAAAATCGTATAGGTGTTGTAATATTACAATATATTTTAAATATAACATGTAAATTTTAGATTCTCGTAACTTGTTAAATAACAAATTATGCACCATACAATTTTTATATACTATTAAATAGTATACATAATAATATATTATTTCGGTCTGCTGCGTGGTTTTGACAAGATTCGACAATTTTAAAACCGTTCGGCGCTATTATTGGTGTTAGGTATTACTGAACATAATATGCAAAGCTTCAGTTATCCCGCACAATAATAATAATATTTATAAAGTATTTGATCTCACATGGTCAAAGGGTTTGTGGATAATAAATTTTCACCTACGGACCAAACAAATTGTACGCTTAAAAATACAAAGGATTATGATGACATCAAACATTTAAAAGTGCATAGAATTCCGTAAGTGCATAAAGGTTATGTTATATAGTAATAACATTATTATGTGTATGGTTGTAAATTCACTTCAAAAAAAATGTGACCGTTTCGTCCACTATAGTTGTTAAAAATATGATATTCGTTAAAATGCCAATTAATGAATGACACAAGTACGACTATTATATATCTATTCGACATTTGTAATTTCTTTGACCACGTTCAAGGGGTAAATTGAAATGTAACAATTATAGTAGATATAATGGAAATAAGTGAGAAAAGTGTAAAAAAGGTTGAACGTTTGTTGATAAACGAAACGTATGTCGTTATGTGAAAATCGACAAGAAAATGTTGGAAATAAGTTTACTTCGGTTCAATCCAGATATCAATATGTTTGTATGTACTAAGAAATCTAAAATGTGCACCTGCCACCAGTGTTATACTCGTATAGGCAAGCCACGAGGCTCCGTGCAAACCACATTTTTGTTTATTTTTTTTGTAAAATTTAAGTTACACGTGCCCACTACGGAAGTCCGGAAAAATAGCCACTGGACTACAAACCATTTATTGAGTGCATCATTTTCCATCAATAAAATAATTATATTTAATTATATATATAATTATAATAATAATACGTTTGCAACATGATATTAATAAATGTATAAAAATATCAAATATTTTTTTTTTTTTACCAGAGATATTATTCACAAAAAGATTTGGTTTTTAACATTTTATACTAATTTTTGATTTCATTAAGGTTTATGAGTTATACGAGTATTTTGTTATTGCAATTTTACTCATTAAAATAATATTAACACACTCTTATTTATTATTAATTCTCCGTTTTTTATTACGCGTTACAATTATGAATTGTAAATTTATTGTAAGCGTTTTAGTTTAGTGTTTTTTTTTTTTTTATAGTATAACAAAATAAAAACGTTGTAATCACAGTATCAAATTTCTTTTACTGTGAATCTCACTAGAAATTATTTACTTCTACCGACTCCTGCAAGATATGGTGTAGATTAAGTGAATCGGATTCTATTTATACATTTATCTAAATAGTATCACAAAATGAAAATCAAAATATTGTAAGTACACAATTTATTTAAATATAAAGCAATATTTCCGACGAAATAGATGTCTTTTAAATTAGAAATATAAGAAATATAATTCAGTCTGGGGGTTCTATATATTGTTAGAATAAAAAATACTCTGCTTATTTAAATTTAAATTTAAATTATACGCGTATATACCTATTTACTTATTTTATTTTACATACATTATCAATTATAATATATTGAAATATTCTCTCGTTTCAAAATGAAAATACTTCAGTCAAAAAAAAAATGAAAGAAAAACGGTCACATTGTAAAAAAAAAAATCGATACTACCGAAGAGTATGCCAACTTTGTAAGTGGGAAGATGGAAAGGTACAGTATACATGCGGTTAATTGATTAATATAACGATAAATCATTGCTAACGAAAAATGATTCTGAGAGAAGTTTGTTAAAATATATTTTAAAATACCGTTATTTTTACGATTGCCTCTACAATTTGAACTTTAAAATATTATGGAAAAAAAATAAACATTACTACATAACGTTCAACTTTTTATCACTGTTTACAAGTTTCATGATAAACCAAATGTATAATTTATTCGTGCACCAACGACCATAGTAATTTTATCCGTGTAAAAATAAATAATAACTAATAAAAAACTTAATTACAAGGAAAATCGATCGCATCCATACATAAATAAAACAAAATTTACTTTTAGAAAATATTCTATACATAATGATCAGAGCTGGATTTCTGATATAAAATTTGTTCACAGACAGAAAATACATATCACAATAAATATATTATATCGAGTTAATTGTTTGCAACGTTTTCATTAACCCACCCTGCAGATGTACTATAAACTGATTTATTAGTTTGGTAACGTAAAACGTTTGTAAATTATAATAGTAGGTATAATAATATAACAGTAACAATAATATAATAACTGTACCTACCTATATTTATCGTAAATATGTATTACATGTCCGAAAGTAATCTATCCCGTCAGATTAATCATTTTAGTCAGTTTACCCGTAATTTATTTCTATTTCTAAACCTTTTAATATTACGTTTGACTATAATAACTATGTTATGAGTATAGGTTATAATTATAACAATTGTGTATAGGAACGTACACACTTTAATATTATGGTTTCTGTATTGAGTTTCTATTTGCCTTTTGTGAACGCGCGGAAAACGTTTAAATCGTGTTTCTTTAGTCGAACGAGTCGAAATAATAATACACCTAGGTCGTCTACATATATTCGAACCGTCCCACGTTCGTTTTGGTCGACAAATATTTAGGTTCCCGCTGACAAACAACCCGACGTTTATTAAAGAATCTTTCCGCACAAAATACCGTCACCAATATACGTTTTGTATAATGAACTCTAATAATTATGCACAAATAAATGGTAATTTTTCGTTTTATTTTTCGCTTTATTTTAGTTAAATCTGTCGCGTATAGACATTAAAAAAATGTATTATTAAACATATTTACCTACTATGATAATATTAATTGTCTACCATATAAAAAGTATTCATATGACATCGAAAACAATATCTAAAAAAAAAGAAAGTACGTTACAAATATTTACCCGAATAATATTCAAATACAAATTAAACTAGTATTTTGGTCATTTTTTAAGAAGATTTTCTGTGTGAAAGATTTCGCTTAGCGTGTGTCCGCTACCAAATATATTTAATATGATTTAATTAGTATATTTTGTAAGAAAATGATATATGAAATACCCTCATTTGTGGAGGGAGGGGTAACTAGGAAACGTTCAAAACTTTGAAAGGTTTGGTCTTATCGACTCGTGAAGGTTTTTTTTAATGAAGGGGAGTAAACATAGAATGAATATTCACTAAAAAAAATACCCTAGTTAAATTAATATAAAACTAACTAATTATGAGCTAATATTTAAATGTCAATCAATTAACTATTTTAATTATACAAGTTGTGTTTAAAAGTAACATTTTCGATTAATTATTAGAGGTTCCATATTCTACAGGATCTAAAGTTTTATTTTAACGGTTCTTTGATCAATTACTGACGTAGATAAACATTTGCAAAGGTTTCGCTGTTTCACACATATACTACATACAATTCTTTGAGAAAACCAAATTAAACCTACTTATTTGCTGTATAAAACTGTGAAGTGTTTCAGAAAATCGAAAAATGTGATATTTGTTAGGTACCTGTACTTAAAATATTAACGACTGGAAATTCGGGAACTTAAACGATTCGGAAACTTGTCGGTTATCTCTGATGATTAAAGTTCCTAAATTACAAAGCTTTTAAACTATATATATTTTCTAAAGAAAAATTTTACTTCGCGTTTTATTTAGGATTTCTATAGACTATATTAAACGAAAGTTTTCGAATAATATTGCATTGTAATAAGTATTCATTCATATATACCTATGTCTTACAGTCTCATTATTTATAACTTATTTATTATCGCATTACATTATCAATACGTGCAGCCCGAATAACTTGGAAACTGTCAAGTTCTCTTGCGTTCAAGATGGATTAAAGATGCAGCATATAATATTATATTCATCTTAGATTATTTTCAAATATATATTAAGGAAGTTTCAAAGGGTAAGAATCCACGACTCTCAATGTGAATATTATAATAATATCACTCAGAATGATTATACGATTATTATTATATTATATCTATTTCAACCTTCCGCGAGTTCTGTTAATTAAAAGCACATAATATAATATTCCATAGGTATCTCTGGTTTATTTTATGATTTCACATTCTGCAACTGAAATGAAGAACTTAAATAAATAACGTCGGTGATGCACCCAGCAATTTCCAACGGGAGAAGATTTAGTAAATAATGATAATCAATAATCTTAATTCATGAACAAATCTTGACATGTTCTCCTCATATACCTGACCCGACAATGAGAATTTAAAAGCCAAATCCAAAAATAAAAAAATAAATCAAGCTTTTTTCTTGTAATTTTATTGAAATATACAATGTCAAGATAAAATCACTAAACAAACACTTATGGTTTGTTGTATTTTTAAGCTAATGCGAGGGATACAACCCCCAATCATCCTTCCGCTGCACACGTCATTTGCGCCTCGTATTTTATTTTTCCAATCGATTCGATAAAGTATAAAATTTATACCTACGTGCGTAGTTTTAGTTATACCAATATAAGTTGTTATCTAGTTGAATAACCAGACGCATACTGTTCCGCCGTACTGAAAAATTGTCCGGTAGGCCCTTCTCATCTAGGCCCTTGATTCATACACATTGTCCTACTCCTATTTCCTTAAATTACTTTGAGAGTATATTTGTAATTTTTTAGGCTGGTACTTGAGGAATTTTTATGATTTATGTTTATAAGTGTGTCCCATTTAATAATTTCCCGGTACAAAATTAACATTCAGTAGGCGCATGCCTATAATATAATATAATTATATTATAAGGTTTGCTTTTCGTTACCTAATTTAAAATAAGTACATTTTCTTTACGGTTTTCTATAATAATAATTGCATGTCACTATCGATTTAAGAAAAAAAAAAATATATGATTTTTACAACGTAATGTCGAACTACTGAAAAGGTGCAAAATTTTTTAAAAATTATTATGAATGTGTCAATGCATTGACATGACGTATGATTTTTTTTTTTTTTTTTTAATATTAGACAAAGAATAACGAAATATTTACGTTTCGTATTGAAAATAAAGTCTGTTGTTCCACATTTTATACACAAATTATAAGAAAAGAGTATATTTTAAATGATTTGCCTACCATATAATAATCGTATGTTTCACGAAATAAAATATTATAATATGATTAATTCCAATAAATTACAACCTTAATTGTTGTTTAATATTTTGCAAACATTTAAATTAATACGAATGATTGACTACGGCTAAAAAATATAATATTGACCTTTTTATTTATTTAATCCAAAACTACAGCAAATTCCTACGATCAGTAAAAATTGCCTTTAGTCGCGTATTTTTTTAACAGATTCATAAAAATTGGTTAGAACTTTTCACACAATTTTAATTAACTAACTTATTGTTGCATAACAATAAACTCAACTAATTAAGAAAAGTTGTAACTTACCACCGCGGTATGACCACGAAAGCGTTGTGCTTTTTTTTTACTTTTGAAACTCAGTATAATCGACAAATTCTCCGTAGTGAATCCATTCGATAAAATATATTTAAAGAAAAATCGTCGTAGTTCGATTATTATTCAATCATAAAATCCCAGTTTGTTTTTATTTCTGATAATACTCATACACCACACAAGGTGATTAAGTAAATTTGATTTATAAATCATTTGTAAATTTTAAAAATATTCACTATAAAAAATTAACCTTTAACAGCTTTATCAGTTTAAAGATGTGAAGTTTTGGCTGGGACTAATGTGGATTTATTAATGTATTTTATAAATTAATAAAATTAATTAAGACCTTTAAGACTTTAAAATTATTAGTTATGACCGACCATCATAAATTATAATTTAAATTTAATATTCTTAAAAACAGTAAAACGATTGTTTACCGAGCTATACCCGACTAATATATATGTATAACAATACTTAAGCTCATTTTTTATTATAAGCTTATATTAAGTCAAATTTAGTCAACAATTTAGTCAAATTTTAAGTCTACAAATATTTTTAACTGAATCACAAAAAAAAATAAAACTGAAACTAATACATTTCAAAAAATTTACTGAATTTACTACGTTTCATTCCATTTATTATGAAACCCCTTAGAAAATCAAAAAATTTAACTCTTTAGAATACCACACAGATGAAAATTATCTTTCAGAGAAGGTATAACACTTGAAAATAGGAGCAAGATTTCTGGTAAAAAAAAATAATCATTGAAAAACCAATACATTCCTCGCTTCGTTCAGAATCTAAAATAAAATTGATATATAATCATAAGAAAAACAATTATTCAATTTTCAAACCTAATGCAATGTGCGCCGTAGCTTTACATATATTTTTTATATAATGTATATTAAGATTTTGAATGAAACTAATTTATTATTTAAATGTATTTCTTATTAAATTACGACTTACGTTAAAAAGGATTTCACAGATTCCAGGAATATTATTGGAATATGGTAATACGGGTTGATAGAAGGTAGCAGAATCGGGTATGTTTACAAGATTTTTAAGGTAGCCATTTTTCGACGGCTGTCTTGAAAAAAAATCTTCTAAATCCTCAATTGAATAATAAGTTTTCAAAGAAAAAAAATAAATATTTAAGTTAAAAATATAATATTAATAAAAATAATCTTAAAACATTTTGTTTAAAGCATTTTTTGTGGTTAACATCGATGAGTAATACATTTTTAAATTCTGTAATAATCAACTTTTTTATATTTTACGCTGTTTGAGGTTAGTTGAAGTTTTTCAGTTTACAATTCCATTCACAAATATTGAACCAAAGTTTTTTTATCGAAGTATTTTAAATTTAAAAAATTATTCTTGAATATTTAACTACTAAGAATCGTAAATATGTATCACATTTCCTTTTTACGATTATTTTATTTTGGTAATAATTTTTTGGTTTTTCGTTCGTAGATCGAATAATGACTATTTTTATAACAATACGCGGGTTTCAATAAACACTTTTTAACGCGGATTATACAACTTAAAAAGTTCCGTACAGCGATTTATTAACGAAAGGTATAATTGACTGGTAGGTGTATAGGTATATAAGTACTTTAGAAAGTTAATTTATCGAAAAAACCATTTAAACGTATTACTTAATATAATATTAAAAAAATGAAGTGATACTGGTGACGGGTACGGTCAGTGTTATGGTTAGATAATTGGGAATGTGGGATGCATAAGGCTATTTAATATATACCTATAACCAACCATAAACCATTGCAAACGAAAAACGATTCGGATCGAAATTCGGTTACATATATTTTGAAGTGCCGTAATTGTTTTTTGCAATTTTCGTTTAAATTTGATTTCAAAACGCTTATTTAAAAAAAAGGCGTCCGATGATTTTGGGAATTTTACCACGTCTAAGGAGGTCATTGGACGTAAATATAAGTATTATTACCAAGTTTCAAGTTTCTACGTGTATTTATAACTGAATTACAGCAAAATACCTACCAAAATTTAAAATTCCTTAAATGCTCAAAAAGGGCTCAAAAGTTTTGACAACAAATTCGTAAGAAAGTAAATTTAAAAGGCAACAAAAAAAGTATCTTGTGATTTTTCGATTAAATCATTTTTTTCTGGTAGAAAACGTTATCCGTGTTTTTATAAAATAATAAAATCATGAAATTGTGCTTTTTCCTGGGTTTTTTCCAACTTAAGTGCTTTTAATTAAAAAAATTTCGTCCAAAAACAAAAAAATGACGTTTTTAAAGTATCATCTAGACAACTTGAGCTTTCATAAAAGTTGCTACAAATAAATATTGGAGTAATTTTACTAGAAAAAACTTATCCACAGACTAGAACAAAAAACAAAGAAGAAGAAAAGAAGAAATAAACAGCATTAAAAAACCAATAGTTCCCTCGCTACGCTGCTTACAGGTATAAATTAAATAACTTTATGTATTCCACCTTTCCAATTATCCACCTATAACAGTGGTCACACCCATCCCCAGTATCAGTCCATTTTATTTTTTTTCTAAAATTAAATATTTACATGTTTATAAACATATTTTAAAAATTATACCTACTTTAATGATATCGTATTGTATCATATCGTTAATGATATCGGTCATTCAAATGTGGATAAAAATAGATTATTATAATTGATTATATTTTAATTTTTACCTACTTAATAATGTTATATTGTTATTTCTTTCATGAAAAACCACCTGTTATCTTTATCAAATAATATGGTTAATAACTACTGTCACGAATAAATTTAATTTAGATATTAAACATTTCGGGCTTGTTTATATTGTTTCAACGTGTTAGCCCTTTTTCAATTGTGATTTGTACTTGCGATGTATTATTTTATTATAATATAATACAAGATATAATAGAATCTAATTAATATAATTAATATAATATAAGATCATATATTATATGATCTTGTATATACATTGTATATTATGTTTTATTAGTTCATGTTAAACATGACGCTTCTAAGCGTCAACAAATAACTTATTTTTTCACTTTAATGATGAAAAAGGTAATTATTACAATTAAATGATTAGTAGTTACAACTTAATAATATCATTAACGTAGCTAAAACCATGACAGTAAATTTTAGTTTATTTTTATCTTATTATGTTTTAAAACTTAAAATATATTTTAAAAGAATCATCAAAGATTTGTTTAATATTATTTTGCACACTTAAGATTTAATTTTTAATTTACTACATTAATACCTAATTATAATTTTAGTGTTTTAAAGCATAATAAAATTGTTAATTCAAATGTTTACTAATAAAATAGGTATATTATGCAATGATATTAATTTAATTATTAATTCTATTAATCTAAAAATATGTTGAAATGTTTATTAAAATATACATGAATTTATTGGAGAAAACAAAATAAACTAAATAGTATTCATAACCATAAAATAATTGTATACCTAACTATATGCTCATTTAAAAATTCATGGAGTTTTACTATTTAAGTTGAGTTTTATACTATAATTTTTGTTATCATTTTTTGACTAAGTTTTAAAATTTATGTTGCAATTATTTTCGGTTATTAATTTGTAAAAAAAACATGGCGTATACGCAAGACATTTTTTTACCAATACTTCCCTGATTATTATAAAACATGTTGTAAAAATAACTCGATTTTCCGATTTTATATCCGATAGTCCGACACGGACGCGTATTATCCAGCGATTTTTTTCGGGGATAGTTGGCGGTTTTTTTCTTTTATAAAAGCCTTTTAGAAACCCCCCTACTTTTATTTAAACCTCAATTTTCCGAAAATTTAGGGAATAGAAAATACCCCATCTCCGTAAATATACCCTTGATACGATTGTAGTTATTCTCAGATACAGATTATTTTTTACACGCAAATATTTTAACCACGCCGACTTAGAGAAGTCGACAATTCATGAATATATAGCCTTTCTAGTAAAAAGAATTATTGCAGTGTTATTTCAAATATCTATTTTTAATAATTTTAGTTTGTTTTGAAATTCTGTTGGTGGAACACAAATGTCCGAAACGGCTGCGAAAAGGTAGAATCTGCATAATATTATACACGCTATATAGATACTCGAATTCTCATAATATTATACCTACGAAACAACCCGAATATTAAATTTTAAAAGCCCTTTACGTGTTATGTATGTAATATTATAAGTATGTGTGTTATAATATGTTATTTGACACCCGTACTTTAGTCACAAATCACAACGGAAACGCGTGATTTTTTTAATATTTCGTTATTCGTCCCCAGACATCCTATACACGAGTTATTTAACGAAATATTTATTTTCGTATATTAAAACTAAAATACTTTCAGATGAGTCCCACCAGGCCATTATTTAATGAATATCCACTATCTTTCACTTGACAATGAGTGGATCATCCCCTCCCCTATTTGGCATTTTTAGTAGTGATGTTTTAATCACGGCTATAACCTATAGGTAATAAAATACAATATTATTTATTCTCGTGGTTTATTACAATTCTTAAACCACTATCTCCCCTTAAATGAGGTCCAGCTACGCCACTACATTCTACCAGGTCCAGTAGGGTATCACCTTTTAACGTATTAACTTAATTAGATTTTTTTTTTTTCAATTAACTTATAACTTGACTAACAGTTAATATTATTTATTAACTTCCTTTAAGCCTCTTGATAACGAGATTATTAACTTAATTACGAAAACAATGTTTTATTATTTTCAATTTAATGACGCGCTTTGGCGTTACCGATTTCATTGTTTTTAATTTTTGCAAACTATGTTTAGTTGATTTTCTACCATAAATATTGATCCAATAGAAAAATAACAAGAGATCTGTTTAATTGAATTTTTAATCTAGTTAGTGACTAATTAAGTGGTTTTTTAATTTTCTCAGTAGTTTTTTTAACAATTGAGCAAAAACAAAAAAAAAATGAAGAATGAATAATACTTTTATTATTTTCAATTTTTTTTTTATTTTTTTTTTTTTTTTTTGCTGTAATTCAGTTAAAAATATTCATGGAGACTTTAAATTTTGACTGAAAACTTATGTTTACTTTTTCTAGATGTGGTAGGTATAGTTTTGAAAACATTCGAACCATTTTTAAATTATTTTTAAACATTTGATTTTACGATATTTTATTTGATAGATTCTCTGTAGAAAAATTTATTTGTGGTCAAATTAACTAAATTGAGTGCAACGTAGTATTTTTTTTAATAAGTTTTACTAACAAATTTTGACAAAAATCCTAAATATCACGGCCATTTAAAACATGTACATCCGAACATCAGTCCGAAACATTTTTCATTAACAATGATTTACCGTTGTAACACATCGAATATTACAATTTATAGTACAACATTGGTCATGTAGTTGAAAATCCCGATGAAAATCACCGTTTTTAAAAAACCAAATGAATATTTAAATTCGACTGACCTTTTTTTATTTTGTGTCTAAGGGATAAATATATATTAATATTTAAACAAGTAGGTACACACTTACTTGTATTATATGTTTTAATTATTTTTACTTTTATTTTGTCGATCAATAAAAGAAAAACTACCGGTGAGAAAAACCTTTCAACAAAAAAAACATTGTTTTTAAAGAGGATTTAATGGGGTCGAAAAAACGACCCAATAGCTAGACAAAATGTGAGGTTTGGACTTGGCGGATTTTAAATTTCGGTAATTTTGTATTCTAGTTTTCTAGGTTTTGATCTAGGTGATTTATGATAATCGAAAAATTTAATGTTCTACATTGGTAGGTGTACAATAATAATGGGAATTATCGTGAAGGTATATTTTATTTTATTATTATTAATAGGTGTGTTTATAATAAAGTTGATTATCAAAAGCCGTCACTATCGAAACCTAGAAGATTAAAAGACAAATTCAATTATGTATGCAAAATGTTAGTTCGTAAAAACGGCAGTAGATAATTAAAAAAGTCATATAATTAAGACGATTATACAAAGGTAAACAATAATATTTAAATTATAAAAAAAAAACTGGGAAGATTTAGAAAACCTGCTTGATACCGTGATGGAATTTAAATGAAACACATTAAATACACATTTAACGAAAATCAAACGCCGAGATTTTCGGAATTACCATTATAATAGGTACTTGAGATGTTCTGAACTCGAATAGCCGCTGAGAGTTAGAAAATCTACTTAATGTATTATAATACATAATACTATTATTTCGAGAGTGGACTGTTTGTCGGAATTCAAACGACATTTTTTACATTACAACATTATTATAATAATACGGTCTCACGTTACATATTATACAGACGGTAACTGAAATACCGTGTCTTTAAAGGAATGCCTGAGAAAAATATTCGGCCGAGTCAGGCATTCAGGCCCGTATTGCGTTTTGTGTTTATGGAAATAAAAAACGATTGCGGTATATCCCGTTTTGAAACGTTAACAACGATGATTGGACCGCGAGCACGATAATCGTATTAAATCGTTTAAGCCGCGCGGGATATGGGGAAATAAACTCGCGGAGAGACAGAGGAAACCGACCGGGGACTAAAAACAAAAACCGCGCTTTGCAAAAATAAAAAAAAATAAAAAAACCAAGCTCTAAAATAAAATATTGCGGTATAAATCGTCGTACGCACGAATGAAGTGACCGATTGTAAAAAACGTTACGTTAAAAAATGCCTTGTTCGCGAAAAACGGCGTGTCGTAACGTTATAGGAATTTTCGGCAAAAAAAATCGACATTTTCGCACCGTTTTCGCGCGACGGCGACGGCGAAACGTATTATCTATAATAAATTGTCGCATCACAATACAACACGATAATACTGCAACATATCATAATACTATTATTTATTGACGATAATTATTGTGTCACGTACTTGGGCCCGGGCGGCGAACACGGTGGCCGCCACCAGTGCGGGGACGGCGACGATTAGCAACAGATGGTTCATCGTGGTAAAACGATCGCGTATCTCCCTGGAGTAGTCGTCGTCGTCGTGTGTCTGCGTGTGTTTTCCCCGATACGTGGTTTCGGTACAAATGACAGTGTCCGAGTGCCGGCCACCCTTATATACCGCCCCGGCAGCCGCCGACGACGACAGCCCTCCGCCCGGGGCCGGTTGTGTGCGATGCGCGCAAAGGTGTGCCGCCGCGTCGCAAAAGTCCGCGCCGCCGCCGCCGCCACCGCCGCCGCCGACGCCGCCGCTGCAAAGATTATACCGCGCGCGCGAGTATAATAACAATGATGTAATAATAATATAACATTTTATCACCGGGTCTCGCACACGTCGGCGAAAGGGAGTGGCCCACATAAATTATCCCGGAAATTATTAATTTTCTCCGATTTCCGTCGAATTTTTCGGACGAAAGTATAGTACCCCTACGGTTCGGGACGATTTTCCTTCGGGATAAATATTAACGCGTCGGGAGGTCGGCTTTTGTACGATATTATAAAATTATCATAGCGATTCTATAGGGCTAAATTTCGATCCGACTCCCGACGTGGGAAACGACCGAACGGATATATGGCCGTGGGAGCCCGCAAACAAAGCTGTACTCGGGAAAAAGTTTATTTGGACAATAATAATTCTACGTCTGTATTTATACTGTCATGGGGGGAAAACGTAACTTTATTCGGGTGGACAAAAATACATTTGACGGAAACGAATAACTAACGTAATAAAAATATTAAATCGAGAAAAAAATTTGGGAGAATTTGGTTAATATAGGTACTGAAGTGGTTGAGTTATTATTATAACGGAATTATTATTATCAAAAATGGCAAATGTGTCTCTTTGTTTATTTATTTACGAAATTTACGATCGTGGACATATATGAATCGTAAATGTCCTCAAAAATAATCCTCGATAATGAAAAACTAGTAATGGTTAAATTTTGTACGGCCGTACTTCGCGTTTGTGTGTTCGTGTTTTATATTAAGATTTCAAAAATAAAACCGTCTGTTTGTAAATATATTTAATAATTTCTGAATTTAAAGAAAATATTTTACAACTTTTTAATTCATTTTTTTATCAATATTATACATTTTTAAACTAAATAAATTTAACTAAAATGATTACATTTGTTAGCATATATAGGTATATTTACATTCTGTACGTTTTCAGTGCATATATATTTCCGGGATTAAGATAACGAAAATATGGTAAACTTACATAATAATATACATCAGACAATTTTGAAAATCGTACCACGTCTATAGAAAGTGCTTATATAATTATTAATTCGATTTCAAGTCACTGCGATTATTTTTAAAACAGACTTACAACGGGTAAACGAAATCGAAAACAACAGAAACCATTATGGTAAAGCGCAAATTAAATTTACTACCAGTTTTTCCCCGCTATTAAGAAAACTATAAAGGAAATCAAAAATGTACTTTCTTAATGTGCCAGCCGGATAAAATTCCGTTGCAGAAACCACCCTTGATATTGATGACCCGAGAAAGAGATTTCTGGTCTAAAATTGTTTACTACGTTCAGGGTTTAAAATTGACCGTCTTATATTATTATTTTTAATCGTTACGTATGTTTAAGCGGATAATGAAATTCCCATGATAACGAATTTAAAGCTTTGAAACTTTCTACCTATATAATATATACATATTATATATAGAGACGATGTATTTTGCATAACCAATAATAATATAACTCGAATTTAATAGAAACAGTTTAAAAATACATAATATAAAGCGATGCTATTATTATTTATCAATTTATGCAAAGTAACAGTCTAAGTAGACAACTGAAACGAGAACAAATATCTAACGCGGATCGAAGTAGGTATATAGCTACCACTTTATTTTTTCGAATCGAAAATTTAAAACAACAGGATACAAAAAAAAATAATACACTTAGAATCTTAAATATTTAAATAACTATTATTTAATCATCAAATTAAAATGTATACATATTTAGAGATTATTTATTTATCACAAATGTAGAATAAAAAAGAAATACATACAATTATTATATGATATCATAATTTTATGCTACTTAAAAAATGTATTCTTAGTATAAATATGGTTTTATTTTCTTTGAAAACACTTTTGTGGTTAATACAAACAATACTCCGGTTTCTTTCATGTCAGATACCGTAAAAGATGCGGATTTGTTTTACTTGAAACATTTCTCAAAATTCCCAATATTATATTTTTAACAGATTTCTTATTTTTTTTTTTTTTTTTTTTTTTTTTTTAAACACTTTGGGATAGACAAATACTAGAATTTTCCTATGGAATATCTCAATGGATATTCTCTACCAGAGATGACTTAAATATCGTTGTGTTTTACCAGGCAAAGTGCCAGGTGAATGTTAGACAAACTGTATAAGTTTAGACAAAATTCTATAATGATTTAATTATATACCCTTATTATAGCTTTATCCTACATTTAAAACTATTTTTAGTAAAACGGCCGCTATTAAGTTAAATGTTTTTTAATGCTTAATTATTAGAAACAGTTAATAACAATTAAAATCAGTAAAATAGTTATTCCAAACCTTAGATGTACACAGTGCTCGAATTGAGGAGAGGCACAGAGACGGAGAACCCTAACAAATTGTTCAGGAACTTAAAAATACCTTTACTATTAGTCTGAAGAGAACGTATAGGCCGGTCTATATTTTGCATTTTCATCAAAATTATTTTCAATTAAAATTTAAAGTTAGGCGATTACAAAATAATTAATGTATTACGTTGAACTTTTTTTTCCATTAATTGTAAGTTGCAACTCATAATAATTAAAATTTTACACAAGGTTTTAATAGTCGAACATTTTCGTCAAAATAATTTTAATCACACAAAACCAAATCAAATCCTAACAAATTCAAATGGCTATGAATATCTAAAAAATTGCGAGAATATTTTGAAAATTGTACCGTCTCTAGAAAGAGCTATATATAAAAGACTATACACCTACATAATTATTCAGTGAAATTTCCAGTCTTTACGATTATTTTTCAATGAATTACAACAAAAAAAAAATCAAATCAAATATAACAAAACCCATTAATGTGTAAATAATAAATATTAATGGTTATTCCTTCTTTTATTTTTCCAATTCGAGCACTGGATATACATTATATTTATACTTTTGAATATTGTTCCTTTTTTTTTTTAACAAAGTTATTTTAAAGAAAAATTCTTTATAGGGTGTACTTGAGGAGGAAAGAAGAGTATATAGAATACTTAAAACACCAAATAAAATACCTTGAGCCCTAACCTTTTTGGTCCAACGTGTTTTTATTGTAAATAAAATAGAAGATTGGTAAAGAAAAAGAAGTTTCGGGATAATACGATTTGACATTTATAAACGTAGGTAAGTAAAAGTATGATACTATCGTACCTAACAACCGTTGATTGTGTGTTTCTAAATAAATCCTTCGCCTCGGTCACACAAACAACAAACGACGGAATTTGTGAGTTCGATTTCAACTCAATAATCTAATAATACGCGAATAGGAATACATATCATATGAACAACACGTCATGCGAACACAATAATAACGAAATTTCGATATCGAATTTTTCGACAACACAATCCATAATAGGTGGTCATATAAAAGTGTATTTTTTGGGACGAGTTAAACAAAATACTGTACTTTAATTGATATCCCATCGACATTTTCCGATCGATCTACTATTAAATCCACCATCCATTCCTCCTTAATTTTATTTTCCTTATATTGCCACAAAAAAAAATCTATAAAGNCATTATTCCTAATATATTTTTCTGTACTATAATTTTTTTCTCAACAAAGTTTTACACAGATAAAAATATTAACCAATACTTCACTTTAAATATAAATCATATTATAAAACATTGGTACATTTTCTCCAAAAATAAAATGAATTATACTTTTATACTTTTCGATACCACTCGTAAAGTTATTTACCATAGATATATGCGTGAAACTCCCTCTAGGGATCGAATTTCCAAAATACATTTTTGATTACACATCTGCATTACCTATACTAATAATATATTATATATAAGGAAGTGACTGAGTGAGTGAGTGACTTAGTGATATTTAGCTATTGTTACAACGATTATGATCAGGGCCGGCTCTAGACAGAATATATAAATAGGCAAAATCCAAATTTACAGCCCTTTTGTTTTGCATCTCTCTATTTACTACTTAACCATATAATATAATTTTAATAATGTTCGTAAAAAATCAGTGCTGTTTGAAAAATTTTTAATTTTTTTTTAACTTTTAAACTTTGTTTAATTTTTATAATTCAATAAATTAAAGTATAATAAATAATAATATCATGAATATATCCTACGAAAGAACGATTGATGAAGAACAAATAATACTATTATTGAAATTAATTATTATAGAATATAGACGGTTGCTACAAATCCACAAGTAAATATTATCATCCATAAAAATTATCAATACAAAAACCAAATGTAATGTAATAATCTAAATTTAGTAATTAAGGATCAACTACTGTTGACGTTCCCATACCCTACAGTAAATATAGCACGTATAACATATTTTTAAAATTAGAAAAGTTTTGGATTAAAAATAAACCTACCTACGTAGTTGATGTTTGTATACATTAATATACGTTATATTAAAGGGATTGGAAGTAACGAGTCTATGTCTTACACATGTGAGATATAGAGTATATATAAATATGTATATAGGTGTACAGATATTTTAATTTTTGATTATAATTTCTCAAATAATTTAAATATTCCACTTTTTCAATTACAATTTATTAGTATGGCTATTTTCTAGAATTTAAGGAAATGAATTTAAAAAGTGGGAAGTCAACCTCAAGTAGACTTAACGACAAATTGAAATTTGCTATCAGAATACGTATCGCTTCACTACATTAATCAGTAAGTTGAAAATAAAAAACGTCTAAATCTCTATATCTCATGTGTTTAAGACAAAGACAGAAACTCGTCGCTTCCAATCCCCTTAATAATAAATTAAATTTCAGTGTATTGTACTTATACGTACACCGTTTAAACCAAGACTACATTTAGTTTATCGCCGGATATCAGTTATTATTTTAAACATTTTAACTATATAGCATTAACATTTTTTTTTTTTTTGCTCATCGGTATTTTAAAACAGGTTTTCAGTTTTTAGGCTGGTTCTAGGAACCAATACATCCTAAATACAGTCCTACTAACACAAAGAAAATGCCGCCTCTTACATAGTGCCACCCCAGACATAGGCCAGTGTGGCTTATGCCTACCGCCACCCTTTATTATAATCAAGATTTAGTATTTAATATACACCAAAGTATTACATTTCAGATTCTTAGCGGAGCGAGAAAAGTTTTGGTTTAACAATGTTTTTTTTTTCTGTGAACAACTTTTCCGTCAGAAATTTTGCACCGACTTTCAAGTATAGCACTGTCCCTGAAAGGATATTTGACTAGGGTGATACTTTATAGAGGTCATTTTTAATTTCCCTACAGAATTTCAAAATAAATGTGAAAATCTAAGGAAAACGCAGGAAAAATGGAAATTTACGAAATTTATTATTTTTAAATCGTAAATGTTACGACTTTTTAAAACATTTATAACCAAACTCCGCTCAGAATCGTTTTTTGTTAGCAATGATTAGTCGTTGCGTACAGATATACTTTAAATTTCCACTTTACCTTCCCAACTTCCCACCTACAACAGTAGCCTACCCATCGTGCAAATTATGTCCGTTTATTTTTAATTTATAATATGCTCAGATTAAAATTATTATCCTACTAATTATAGATACAATGGTATCTATAATATCTAATACAAATTACTTTCACAAAAGATGTGATACTCAAAAATTGGAGTAATATTTTAGACAAAAAAGTTATTAACAGACAAAAAAAAAAGCACAAATCATTATAAAACTACAATACATTTCTCGCTGTGCTCAGAATTTAAAACAAGCAACGCACATCCAGCTTTTGAAGTAAATTGAGAAATTCTAGCCTTAACGATAACCTAATTATTGTATATATTTTAAAATTTTGTTTCTTATATTACAATTTTATACTTTACATACACTGCCTAATATTCCCAACAAATATGTAAGCCCCATGGACAACTTTATGTATGTGGGTCGATCCTAAATGTGATTTAAAACTTCCTACATTATATTTTATCATCTCCTTTAAACTTTAAGGTAACACAATTTAATTTATGTATTAACAAACTACTGTAGCCTATACAATATAAATAAATAGGTTTAATATTCAACACGCATATTAAAATATATTTGTTTGTAGGTACCTACGGAAATGCATTTTTTCTTTTAGAAAATTTCAATTTGATTAATGCATTATATAGAAACGTATATTATGCAGCTTATAAAAACTTAATATACAGGAGTATGAAAAATGAATTAATAAATTTAATTCAAAATAATGTCATTATACATTTATTTATTATTCAACAACAATTATTATTTACCATATCGAATTCTTATTTATTTTATTTTTTCAGTTATTATTATTATTTTTTTTTATATATGTACATGTATTATAATAATATATTGAATATCAACTATGTATATTTAACAAAAACATTTTTTTTTAAATTTTTACAGTAATAATTTTAAAAAAAACCCCCATTGAATTATAGTTTAAAAATATTAAAGGGATTGTTATCGTTGAAAAAAAAAGTGGTATTAAAACTGAAAAGCTTCAAAACCTAACCTAATCTATAAAACTGTAGGATTTAAATTCGACGGATTTTAACTTAGAAAACCAATCTTAACTGACTAACAAAAGTTTACTAGGTTTTAATGAAGGCAATTTTAAATATTCCAAAAATGTTAGGTGTTATGATGAGAAATATAAAGTAGACAAATACCATATATTTTTTCATCGATATCACAGCTGAAAAAAAAAAATATTTAAAATTGTTTTCATCCAAAATCAAATATACTTATTGTTAATCAATCAAAATCATTTTACAAAAAACTAAAATCCGTCAAAGCTACATTTTTGTAGTCATGTTCGTCCGTAAAAACAGTCGTAACCCATTATCCTTATTGAATAGATATCAGACAGTAGATAAGTGAAAAATAAGTGAAAAAGTCTTTTTTAATTTTTAAAGATAAAAGAACATTTTCAAAAGTGTCTCCAATCTCCTTAATAAAAAAACACACTATATAATATTAACATTATTTATCATATTATCCTGTTGGGAAAATGTATGCACCTTTCACACGAATTCATGGTTCACTTAATATTATATTATTACTTACTAAATTTATATCAAAAAATAAGTAAAAATAGCACTTACATGGTGATTATTTTATCATGACCCGGCGATTTTAAGTAAATTTGATTTCTGTTTTTTTTTTTTTTTAGTTTTTTTGACTTAATTTTAACATTATTTCCAAATGTTTATCTGTATTCTTTGGACGTTAGAATACACGAGTATTAATAATTTTTAATTTCCCCTAATCTATTTTCAACACTCAAATTCGAAAAAAAATAAATTGTTCTGACGTTTTTGACATTATTCAATGTATTTTGGTTTTAAAGTACGGGTGCCAGAATAATGCACCTTAATATATTGATCATAATAATGGAAATCAAGATAACAGAATCACCTTCATCTGTCATATGCATTATATTGTTATAATGATTTGCATTAGAAGATATGAAAATATTCTTTATTTTCGTATATTTTTTTCATACGCTAAGATCTAATATTAAATAAAGATATTCATATATATATATATATATTATGTATACAATAATGACGCTGTTTAATTCAAAAATATAATAAAATCGAAATAAATCTTTTATGGAATATTTCATAAAAAAAACAAAATTATTCTTTCAAAGCGTGTTCGTAACTAACTTAAACAAGAATTATACATATATATATAGAGAGAGATTTTTGTTAGTAATATTCTGAAATAACTATTCCATTCTATTTTATTTATTTAAATGTATTATAATTTACATAAATAATTATGTCTACTGTGATTATATACTTTATAATAATTTCAAACCAGCGTACTTAAATTTAATTAGAAAAAATAATGTATTTATTTTATATTTTATATTTATTAAACGACAGAGAATTTTGTTATTTTAAAAGCACGTTATTTAACCATAATGGCGTTAAACAATAATTTAACTACAACATCATACAAAATTAAATTCTGTTTTTTTTTTATTTGTTAAGTACGCACTTAAATAATTATTAAATTAAACCCTAGACTATTATACATAAATAATATAAATAGATAAAGATTTACAAAGTTAAAAAAACTTTCAAGAAGTGGTACAATTTTTAAATTTTTGAACTATTTATAGCCATTTGAAATTTCGAGGTTTTTGGGTCTTATATTCTCTTTCTATTTGGTTTTGTTTGGCGCTTGAAATTAGTATTTTAAAATTGGTACCAATAATTTAAGACTAAAAACCAACACAGTTTTCATTTATAAAAATTTATTAGCGATAACTGGTTACCGGTAACCGAATAAATAAGGTACTCTGAAATAAGAACTAACCAATTACCAATAAAACCAATTAACCAATAACTGTTTCTCAAAAAGTAACAATTTCGTGACCAAAACCGATTCTCGAAAAAATCCAAAGTTTTTTTTGTGTTATTCATCAAATGATAAAATTTAAAACAGTAATAATATGATAATATTATTATTATAATATAGTATGATATTTAAATTGTCTAGCTAGGTATTTTGAGTTTATATATTATCTTCCTTGATTGTTGATCTATTTTCTGATAAATTTACAGGTAATCGCGAATTTTCCAAAAATGTAATGCAAGTTTCACAATAATAATATCATATTTTAATGATTGTTAATTAAAATACTGCGAGGTAATTTGATGTTTTTCTCAAAACATCGCACTTTCGTAGTACTCAGAAACATGATCAGGCCCATTCCCCCCTCCCTTTAGTTTGCTGTTCTACTAAAGTAATCCGCGATATTTACAAATTATTTTTTTATCATGACTTCATTTCAGTTTCAAATTAATAATTATTAACTAATAAAATAATAAGAATACCGAACTATTTCTAAGGAATTAGTTTACTAATTGTCATACACCATAACCCATAGGTAACCATGTGATGCCACTAGTCCACGCAGTAGCATAATTGAGAATGTTTTAAGGGGAGGGATATGAATAGTCATGGCAATTTCGTAGGAGATTAGCCCCACACAACCCCCCCTCCTTACAAACATTTAATAACTCATCACCATGGCACGGAAATTGTATATTAAATGGCACGTCTACGTTTTCAAAATCGCAACGTTCAAATCACGTTCGAACGCGTAATATTAGTAAGTAGTAGTAGTAAAGTAAAGTAGTAGTAGTAGTAAAGCTTTCAGTAAAATTTACCATTTATTTTGAAACTATTAAACTACTAAACTATTAATAATTTTGTTTATCTAATATAAACTATGAATATTTTGGTACATACCAATACAATTAAACATATAAATATTTAAAACTTCATAATAGTTTTGAAAATTGACATTTGAACTTCCAATTTGTATAAAATAACAATAAACTACATAAATACGTCATATAAAAGTGTATTTTTTGGAACAAATTAAACAAAATACTGTACTTTAATTGATATCCCATCGACATTTTCCGATCGATCTACTATTAAATCCACCATCCATTCCTCCTTAATTTTATTTTCCTTATATTGCCACAAAAAAAAATCTATAAAGTGCATGTCTTTTTCAACTGTCTTCACATAAAAGAAGGCAAGTATTATATTATGAGAACCGTCATTATTCCTAATATATTTTTCTGTACTATAATTTTTTTCTCAACAAAGTTTTACACAGATAAAAATATTAACCAATACTTCACTTTAAATATAAATCATATTATAAAACATTGGTACATTTGTATAAAATAACAATAAACTACATAAATACGCCTCATGGGGGAAATCTATCCCCGATATCCCCCCCCCGTAATTACGCCCCTGAACCCACTAACTATGTTATTATTATTTAGTTGGTCGAGTACTCAGCTAGTCAAGCCATGTAAATCAAACTCGAGAGAAAAATATACCCTTAATTGGAAACCTCCAGGAAAAAGACTTTAGGAAGACCTAAATAATCGTGGCTGAACAAAGCTAAGGTAAATTTGGAAAGCTTAAGAAATTACAAAGAGTTGGCATTATAGTAAGAGACAAATGAAAAATGTGTATGATTTTAGCATTAGGCTTAAATAGTGTATAGAGCTGAAGAAAGAATATTGTGGACAGTGTTATTTTTGATCAGTAAAAATGCGAAATAATTTAACACCAATATAAATAAAAATATTTTAATTTAAAATGTAAAACAAATATAAACATAACACGGGAATTTATACAACATTCGAAATTTTAAAAAAAAAGCTGATACTGGGGACGGGTGTGCCACTGTTTTAAATGAGAAATAGGAATGTAGGATACATAAAGTCATTTAGTTTATATTTGTAAACAACGATAAACCATTGCTAACGAAAAAACGATTCAGAGCGAAGTTCAATTATTGAATTATACATATTTTAAAAGGCCATAATATTTACGATTTTCGTCGAAATTTGATATTAATTCTTATAAAAAAAAACTCTACATTAAATTCAACTATTTTTATTTAACCTCCACCAAGTACTATTTATAATGAACCGCATGTTAAAATGTCAAACAATTTTACCCGCCGAGTATCTAACAAGTAAAAATTGTATAAAAAAACGCGCAAAATTAATTTATCTATGAATAACTTAAAAAATGGCAAAATGTTTTGAAAATGCCACCACGTCTAAAAACGGTAAATATAAGTTTTCCGTCTAAAGTTCAATAATACGTGCGTTTCAATAAACACATTTTTACGCGAAACATATACCATTTGAAAATTTTCGTACAGCGATTTATTTATAATTGGCTAATGTTATATTATGGATGGTAGAGGTAAATATAGATATTAGTATTTTTAAAAGTTAATTTCTCGAAAAAACCGTTTAAACGTATTAATTAACACATAGTATTAAAAAAAAAAAATAGCTGATGCTGGTGACGGGTGCGGCCACCGTTGTGACTAGGTAATTGGGAATGTGGGATGCATAAAGTTATTTAATTTATACTTGTAACCTAAATTGCTGCTATACAAAACTCTCCTCAAGCCCATCTGAGCCTATGGTGTCCAATTATATGGAGCGGCTATAAAATCTAACATTTACACAATTCAGATTTTCCAATCCATATCCCTCCGAATAATAACTAATGCGCCCTTCTACGATTCGAATCACACTCTGCACTCCGATCTTAATATACAGACTGCCGCCAAAGTGGCCACATCGTACTATAAGCGTTTTCGCTGACACCTCATGAACAACACAAATCCTCTTATCCTTTCTCTAAACTCAACCAACATTCCCGGAAACCCGCTAAGAAGGCTTAAGAGACGTTGGTTTCGTGATTTGGCTCATTAGATATAAAAAAAAAATCCTACACAAGTACCATAATCTAACAATCGCGTCTCAGTGTTACTGCTAGGTAGCTTCTCTCCTCACTCTCTCATGTCATTTTTAATATATCTGAACGCTCATACGCTCATCAGAAATATCATTACAGAATTTATATATAATAATAATAAACATTAAAAAAAAAAAAATACCTGTAAGGCTGTAACCAACGGTAAACCATTACTAGAGAATAGCGATTCGGAACGAAGTTTGGTTGTACGTATTTTGAAAGGCCGTAATATTTAGGCCCGGCGTCCACCAAAGTAACGTGACTCGTGATATAACAAGTGACAAAAGTAGAACATGCAGTACTTTTGTCATCAACAAAATTTCAGAAGTTATACAAAACTGATACATGATCTGACAGGTTTGATCAGTGTACGGACATGAATGATTTTTGTATGTATGTAATGACAAATAACTAGTATGACATGTCACTTGCTAAATCACTCGTCACGTTACTTTGGTGGACTCCGGGCCTCACAATTTTCATCAAAATTTGTTTTTAAAACTCTTATACGAAAATTTAAAAAATACTACATTACTCTCAATTTTGTTTTTTTTTTTTACCACTAAGTACGACTTATAATGATTCTACTGTCAAGTTTTTAAGCAATTCTGTTTAGTCTAACAATTTTATCCACACGTTGTGTGATCATAACATTGCAATGCCTACCAAATAAAAATTACGTAGAAAACTCGCAAAATTAAAATGCCTAGACCTACATAGCTCAAAAACTGCTCAAATGTTTTTAAAATTATACCACGTCTAGAAAAAGCAAATATATGGTTTATTATTTAAAATACACATCATTGTACTTTTTTCAATCAACTTAAAACAAGATTTACGCAAAACACAAAATAAACCACAATTATAATAACAAAAAAAATCAACACTAAAAATCTAAAATTCTTCAAATATGAGACATGGATAATTGTATAATATTTTTAATTCCTGATGCGCAAAACAAACGAATCCAAGCAGGTTCTACTATTTTCATTGGTAGCCTATGATAATTTATTAGCTCGTTTATTATCAATATTGTTACAGAATCAGCGGGCTCTGATTACAATATTATTTTTGGTCACTTTACAACTTGTGCACGATGCTGTTAACATAATAATACACTGTGCTTGCCGAAAATTTATGACGTCAAATTTAACGATAGCTATGGTTCAAAATCGATACGTATTTCGTATAACCGTGTTTGTATACGGTTTGTACAACGATAACGATAATATTACATAATTCCGCGATAAAAAAATAACAATGTCGTCGATAGAAATCTCAATGACCTCTCTACTCGAATAGGTGCCCGCCTAAAGTGCTACACCTTCAATGGAATTTAACGCAATATTATATTACCATCGAAGTTTTAAATTGCGTGATTGGGTTTTATGAAACGCTATAATGATATTTCACGGCTACGAACCGAAATAAAATTAAAATAGGTACTTTACAATCGAATGGGAAAAATAAATAAATATTGTACACAAGTGGTGTTATAGTTGTATTTTTGAAAAGTTCCCTTTTCCGAGATAATGTAAAAAAAAAAAAATAAAAATAATGACGTGCAAGAAAATGCTTAGGTACTCACCGTTTCGACTTTGACACCACGGCCGCCATTATCGCGGGTACCGCCGTATACTTTGCACTTGGAATTCTTGTTGACGAACCAATAACGAAGGCGCACGATTGATTTATCATAAACATAGAAAAAAAAAAAAGTAAAACGAACTCGGAGCAACACTGAAAATAAAAAGAAGACAAATTTTAATTTTTAATAATAATTCAGTGTCATTTTATCACAGCGATGTCCGTCATTTTTCCATGGATATATTATGTACTTCCATTATTTTATAGTATTATGCACCTTGGTATTTCAATCACCAATGACCACGGCCGTACAGCATACCGTTACCGTGGTCGTATAGTATACCACTACCGTGGTCATGATTTTATGACTCTAGACATGATTATTCTATGACCATTCAAACGAAAAAAGTTTCACCGAATAGTAGATAAAGTAATATCATCGGGACACATCTTTCGATACTCACGCCGTGTATATTTCATAATATACGAAATTTTATCTTCTGGCTTCATATAGAAGGCCTGCAGGGGTAGATACAAAAAAAAAAAAACACCCTTCTCCCGAAACATCACGGTGAAATTCATACGTACAAATCGCAGGTTATTTTTACGCGACTCGCACCTTATAAACAAAACCAAGTGTAAGTCACCGGGTGCACAAGTAAAAACAAGCCCGGATTAAAGGGGGAGGGGGCAACGTACCCGGGGCCCACGTGTGCAAAGGGCCCACAGTCTTCTCGGCTTAAAATCACATTGAGTGGTAATTTGTGCTTTGTATGGCGCACAAGAATATTTTCATTTATTATTTTTTCTTGTTTGAACTAACAGGCCTGCCACAACAACCCGCCCCTACCGTGTTTAATACCACGGGCATGGAAAGTGGGGGCACATGGCCAGGTTTGTGTGTGTAGGGAATAAGGATTTATTTTGTTATCGCTGTATTTAAAATAGAATTATTGGGAAAATAAGCTTAAGTGAATATGTGACAATCGTATTTACTCAGAACTCAGATACCTACAGATTAAAACAGTCTGCTGTCTGCAAGCTAAACTGCACGGTTAGTTGTTGCTAATTATTGTACCACAGAGAGAGCATTTGCGAAGTTGCCCAGAATTAAAAATAAAAATAGATCTTCACAGACTCAAGATGTCATCACTAATGATATTGTTCACAGAAAATGACATTCTACAAAATATAAACTTTGATAAAACCTTAGAAGCATTTGCCGCACAAAAAACAAGAAAAAGACTTTTACATAAAATACGTACTTAATTTTATTTTATTTGTATGTATTGTAATAAAAAAATAATATGGTTTTAATATTTGTATTATACTTAATTAAAAAGGTTTACATTTGTTTTATTATACATTTGTATTGTTTTAAAAAGCTGTTTTCATTGGTGGTGACCCACAACTATGTATTGGCCCCTGGGCCCCTGAACGTCTAAATCCGGGCTTGAGTGAAAATAATACGACGAGAAACGGCTGTAAAATGAAAGATAATAATAACACCTATCGCGAAGACGGCGTAAAATAATTTTACATCGTGTCCGTAGCTTATAATTTTAATAAAACGTAAACGTCGTGGGCATCAGCGGCCACGTTTCTTAGTAATGTTAATTAACGTCGAAATAGATACGTACCCACTGATGATGCCATTCGACTACCGACTACCGCGCCGCCGTCATTTCTTTTGTCGGACGATTATCGGTGCGACGTCACTTCTCGTGTAATCCAAAAAAACAAAAATAAAACGAACTCTCATTAACTCTCAATAGAAAACGAATAAACCCGCCAAATAATAATGTAACATCATTAAACGCGCACACGAAAACGCTCGAACCGGTAGCCGACGAAAATTTAACAGCGCGTACCGAAAATAACCCTAAACAATTACACGGAGGCCGACAACAAAGAAACATTTTCAACGCAAAAACAAACAGTACAGCCAACATAACAGGTATTTATGTTATGCACACCCTTTGTGGCGGCCAATGCCCCGTGTTTCCCGTTGGTACCTGCTGCACGGGCGACGGGCTCGTGCGCATGTCAGCCCGATCAAGTGCAGCTTAACTGTTGCTTCGCCGTTGAGACGCGGCCTGCGAGCGCCGCTTCGTCCGCTTGTCCGTTCTATTATTCTATACAGTGGCCATTACACCGAACGCCCGAACCCGGGACGTTAGGCCGGGATCCCAAATCGCGTGTCTGCACAATCCCACAGCCCGCGTTTCTAGACGCGCCTAAACCTCTCTATTGATCCTCTCCTAGTGCATCGTCGGGTCTGTATACTACAATCAGCACCGGTTTTTCATCGACAGAGACCGACGGTCGCCCGGAACGAGCACCTATCACTACCACGTCGGCCATTCGCACGGCATGCGTCTCGATCCGTGAGATCCCTGGTCATTTTTATGAAAAATGTAACGGGTGTTTGTTGACGGTTGTATTTGTTAGGGGTGTGAATGAAAATCCAAAGGAAGAGCATTTGCCTCCACTGGAGTATACCCGGATTTTCAACGGTGGTAGCAAAACGGTATTGAATAATCGCCCGTTCGCGACGAACGGGACATTTTCCGATCATGGAAATAACGGCGCGTAAGTAGCGAATGATATTCGTGAAGTTTCGGTTCTTACTTGGCCGCGGCGATAATCGTGGGCGTTAGCAAACGTATGGAATTATTTTCGAATTCGACAATCGATACAGACGACGATAGACAAACGTAATACGGATTATATTTCTAATGACAATATTCAGGTCCGGATTAAGAGGGGGGGGGCCAGAAGAGGCTGTGGCCCCAGGTCCCTGGATATCGTAATATTTTAGGCCCCTGGGGATTTGGCGGGCAGTTCCTTTCCTATAATATATTACGGACAATGGATGTATTATTATTATTTATACTATCATAATATCGTATATATTTAACAGGATGAGACGAAAAGGGAATACCGTCGATTGCAAATGTACGACGATCTCTGAAATATATTTATTTATGAGTCATTTTTGTTATGTTTATGGGCCACCAAAATTATTTGGCCCCAGACCCAAAATCATCTTAATTCGAGTTTGATAATATTTTACCATTGATTATACTTCTATAGAAGTTATAATCAATGTTATGACTACCTAATAAATATTATGCTATATGGTTATGATCAGGTAGGGCTGCTTGAATGTCCTCATATCATCACCTCAATCGCACCCAACCACTACTTTTTCAGTTTTTTCTTTCTTTCTTTCCTCCCACATCTATTTTCATAACTATTCGTACTGCTTCTGATTCTTCTATCCTCATGATAAGTCCAAACCATCTTAAATCACACCTTAAAATACCTGACGCTTCTCTTTTACGTTATAAATTACGACATAAAATCTAATAAAAATCAAAATTAAAATCCTACAATAAAAATCGAAGCAAGTTTACTAGGAAAAAACGTGTACACAGACTAGAACAAAGAAGAAGAAAAAAAATCAAAACTAAACAGCATTGTAAAAGCTCTCTCGCTACACTCGGAATCTAAAATTGGATAATTAATCCAAATTTAATAATCGCGTTTAATTTGTTTATGCATGTTAATACGTAAATACGTATACAAACTATGATTAGTTAAGGTTTAAGACCCATAAAAATGTAACCTGCCGCCGCAATGACGTACAGATTAATAAAGGTATTATAGATATTATATTATATTATTATCGCCCAACACGTGTTAGTTTTCATCACTCAACTAATTATTTATGTATTCTTCCTATCTACCTACTTATATTTATGTTGATTTTGTTATTTTTTTTTACATTATTTATGATTTATGTTTTATCAGTAGCACAGTTAAATTCGACGGTAAAAATCATGAACTGCGTTTATTTTCATCAATATCTATCAAAGTCTGTTAATATTATTATTATCGTTATTCGTAGTTTTTTTTTTTTAGCTTTTCATTCTTTATTGTTTCACGTGTGAGTATTAGCGCCACGTGTTAATTGTTTAACGTAATATCCGGATTGCATTACAAAAATTGTATATTTCAAAAATATCAGCCGGAATAGCCTTAAAACTGTGTATTTTTGATTAATAAATACAAGTACAGATTGCGTTAGCCAGTCTCCGTGTATTATTGTGAGTACCACACAGTTCCGTAACACTTTATTATTTGTTCGTTTTTTTGATTCTGAATGGAGCGAAAAAGTTTATGGTTTTATAAAAATGATTTTTTTTTCGTTCTGTGGACAACTTTTCTACCAGAGATCTTGCTCCGATTTTTATTTGTAGCACTTTTCCTGAAAGGAAATCGGTGTGAAGAGGTACTTAAAAAAGGTAATTTTTCGATTTTCTTAGGAGTTTTCTCATCAAATTTGAAAAATCGAAAAAAACGGGAAAATATAAGAAATTTAGGTATTAGTTAAAATATATAACGGCCTTCTTTTTTCTGTGAACAACTTTTCTACCAGCAGTTTTGCTCCAATTTATAATGATAGCAATGTTTTTAAAAGGAAATTCGACTGGAGAGGTACCAAAGGATTTAAGGTTTTAAGGTTTTAAGGATTCAGTTTTAATATTAAAAAACCGAAAAAACGTAAGAAAAACGGGAAAATCGGTACATTAAACAGATATTATTAATGATAATACATAGTGCCTATTTAATTATTTTACCATAATATGACGTATATATTGTTGACAAAGCATCACTATCACCTGAACTCCGCTCAGAATCGGTTTTTCATTAGCTATGGTATATCGTTGCTTACAGGTATGCATTAGATTACCTATACACTAGCTGCACCCGTCCCCATTTTCTTAGGACGTCTTTTTATAGTTATAAGTTACTAGCTGACCCGGCAATGCTTCGCTATTGCAAGATTTCTCAGATATTAATTTGCTATTTATTTTCTGGATGTTAAATAATTATTTTTATTTTAGACCACTTTTAGTCACGTCTTCGTGGTAATGTAGCCATATAAATTTAGCGTCACCACCGCGGATTCTTCATAATGTTTAAAAAAAATTATTTTGTATGTAGTGGTAAATGTATATGTATGTATATGTATGAATATTGGATATACATGTCGTTGGTGTACGTGTGATAAACTTCTCGGAACACCGCCGATATCAAACGCAATACAATTTGACGAACAAAAAGGTCAGGTAGCAGGTAGCAGGAAACCTGTGGCCCGCACAATATGTACAATAATATATATATATATATATATATATATAGGTATACAATTAACACGTTTATTTTAATTAATAATAACTAATTATTTATTAACTTAATCGGACTAATTTTTGCCTTAAACCTTCTCTGCGATGTTCTCTTTAATTTAAAAAAAATTGCACGACGATTGAATAAGTAGTTTCGGAGTTTATCCCGAACAAAAAAATGCGACCACATTTTATATAGTAGTATAGATATATAGATAACTGATAACCATTGAATTGCAGGCTCCCAATATCAGGTAAGTACTTCATCGACCATTGCTCCCAAGAAACATAATATTGAATTGGCTTATAATAATATGTTTAATAAGTGTATCTCAAAATAGAAAATGTACCTATATGCGAAATTTATATTTTTAGCAACAAAATGCCGAACTGCTACTAAAAATATCTAATCGTTCAGCCAATAAAGCATTCAACGGTCACGATTTAACCATATTAGATATGTGTACACCAGGTTATCGAGTACTTAAAATTAATTGGATTCGATATCGTACAATACAGTAATCACAGTTCGCCAAATTCATATATCAATAGTTTTGATTATTGAACGCTTCGGTCGAAAAATAAAAAATGAAAAAGAAAACCAATTCATGTGAATCTTTTCATTCTAAGTTTGATTCTCAATTTTATTCACCACGCTCAAATATTTTACAATTTCCTTGATATATTAAATGGTGTTCAAACTGATAACGAAAATATTATAAGAAGTTGGTGTAATATCCAGATTTCAATATATACATTATACAAGCACTAGCTAACAAACTTAAGCCTACAAAATAATATTGTTAATATTTTTAATTGTTTATTATATACTTTATATATTTATAACTATTTTGGCTTCGTAAAAATTCTGGTACAATGTAGGTTCATCATAAGCTGTACGGGGTAAAAACATTTCGGAGGACATTTTGACCAGTTTTGTAAAAGAATTTTCCGAACTGGTCATCTCTTGGGAAATTTCAATCCGTTTTGTGTCCTACGTAACACATTATTTATTGTTATAATAACGTCACACGCGTATTCCGATCTGGCGAATCGACGACAGTATTGTGTTGATGCGTAGTCGGGTCAGCGGCGTTTGCAGTGTCCGCGAACATACAATTTTCTTCGGTCCGATAAACCCGCCTGCAATCGAACCGGAAACTCGTTTACCCGAATGCGTCGTAGGTACCAATCGGAAATATCCGGTGCGCTGCGGGTCGGACGGTCACGTATAGTGATCAACGAATTGTCAATTCCGTTTTCGCGCGGAAGATTATGGGACAGTGAACGCGTTTAAAAACGGCCGACCGGAGTCACGGTGACCGTACACGGACCATGGACGGGCTACGAGGAACAACGGTGTTGTCGTTGATGGCGGTCGCGGCGATGACGACAACAACGACAACAGCTTCGGCCGGCCGACCGTATGCGGCGGAATGGTTCCAGGCCACGGTGAACAGTTGCCGGTCGGCCGGATGGCCAAACTGCGTGGCCCAAAACGTGGACAGGACGTTCAAACTGTTGGAAGACGCCGACGACTTGCGGATAGCCGGAGGCGTGCGTTTGGTCCGGACAGCCGCCAGAACGACCCATCCAACGTAAGTATTATCAATGAAAATTTGTTTTATACGCGGGACCCGAATTGACCGGTGTTTTCAATACAATAATATTATGTGGTTCTTATCCGCGGTTATATCATTGGTCCCGGGTACCAAGAAGGGGTAATGTCAATTTTTTTATTTTTTTTTATAATTTTTTTCTACGTAATTTATTCCCCTTTACTTTTCGTCTTAAATTGCGTACGCGTAGGTATACAGTAGGTACGATATATACAGTCCCTTATAGCACTGAGATTCCTGTCGGATAGTTAATAACTGTTCTATGTGGGACTCTTTTTGAGTTTTACTTCTTTGAACATACCCACACAAAATCCCTGAAAAATTCCTGACAAAATTCCCGAAATAATATAATTCCCACTACTATCCCATTACTGTCGTATTCTACTTCAGGCAGTGACAGGATACCTTAAGATCACCATTTTAGAACACCCAAACAGGTATCCTTTCGGTGTGCATTCGACGACTGACAGGACTCCTCGTGGATTCCCTCATTGGGGACTCCTGCAGGAGCCCTCTGTATCTCCTAATGCCATAAGAGGTAATGCCCCGTCTACCTCCTAACCACCTAACTCTTTTTATCTTCTAACATTGGTTTTTAACTGTTTAGTTTTTATTAATTTTATTTTGAAAATCTATATGAAAGCGCGTGTACTTTTGTGTTAGACTGTGATATTTTTATTATCGATTTGTTTTATTATTTATTTACTGTTTATATTTTAAGACTGCATTGTGGTTGATTGATACGAGATTAAAAATATTGAACTATTCGCTACTATTATATTATACAGCGTCATGTCATTCGTAATCGATATGACAAAATTTAATTGATTAATATAAAACGGCCAAGTTTTTACAATAATATGTACCGATCCGCGGTTCGTTACTTTACGGACGTATAATTTGTGAAACATGTAATACATAATGACACTTGATTTTTAAATTTCATACCTTTAGAAAGTGTTATTTACCGTGTAAAAACCCACAAATTCGGGAGAGTAAAATAAATGGTCCCCATTCGTTTTCTCTGACGTTTTCATTTTACGTTACGCTTAAAACACGTTAAGTTCATTAAGTGGATTTGTTTTATGGAAATTTATTTTATTTTTTTCAGCTTCCAAAACGAATATCTACCTACAAATAATAATGTTTTTAAAACAAATATACTTTTTTTTACGATGAAAATATCAAACGCATATTATTATATTATTTATAATCAACTAACGCTTTGATCATTTGAGTTTTTCATATTTAAAAAATAAATATAATTCAATAGGTTTTTAAATAACACAATTGTAAGGTTTATCGTTATCTGAAATTTATATCGAATAAAATTTATTTTTAAAACTACCCCGATAAGTAAATTATTATTTCCGTGAAAAGAAATAATACGGATTTATTCCAAGCGTGGGAAAAATTACAGTACTAAAATATATTTTAATAAATAAATGATAAAAAGTCTCGCTTTCGAATAAATAAGATATAATCAAATATTACTACCGTTCGATGAAGTTTTAATCAAAAGAACTCTTATGTAAACTTAATAAATTCAATTTACCTAACCATGGATACCAGAAAAGGTCCAAGTAACTCAATACTGAAATCAGAACCCACGGATAAAAGTTACTCTTTGCAGCTATAAAATTACTGTCATTGTATACTTGAATGGACAGTAATAAAAGCATTCTATACGTATACATTAAAATAAAATCAAGCGATAAGTCCACTGTAAACTCATTTCTGCGGTTTGAACGTTTCTATATATATATAAATATAAAAAAAATAGATAACATAATAAACACGATTTTTTTTATTGAATGATTTATTTTTAAAAATTATATTACTGCTAGTAAATAATAAATTTATAATAGCGTTCTCTCAACTAGGTCCAGTTATCTGTAACAGCTCCGCAGATTGCCTAAATTGCGTGACAGATGTAATGAGGATGAGTCTTAAGGGGTTTAAGGTAGATTGAAACTGAGACACTGAGTTATAGATGGTAATTAACATAATGACAGTTTGATGCGTGCCAATCTGCATTGTTCAAGACATCAAATAGACAAATGTGTATAAATTAAAAGTTTATCTTAAGTTAATTATAGGTTATCTTAACCTATAACCTATAATTTTCAGAGTGTTTGAACTCATTAATGTTTCGTATAACACATAATAAAACATATAAAATTGACTATAATCATGTTATCAAATTCTGATAATTTTATTTTCCAACAAATTTCATGTCGATTATTTCATATTCCTTAAATGTTATTAAAATGTATTGCACAAAACTGATGTATTTTATACATTTACATATTTTAATGATTTCAGATTAGCTACCTACTCCCCACCACCTCGCCGAATAGATTATTAATTTCGAAATATCGATTTATCTTTTCCAAGTAAAATTGTTATGCAAAATATAATTATATTTTCGTTTCAATAATAAATAACAGTTATTGGAGTAGGTCCATTCTTAAATAAAGTTATTATACAGTATCCTATATTTTCTACGCTTTTCTTGATATTTATATTGCATATTATTTATTTAATATTATAATATTAAAAAGGGATTTCATTATTCGATGAAAAAATTTTATTTTTTTTTTACTTCGCTGAGCGTCTTTGGGTATTATAATTTTAAGCCGCTCGTTGGGGTGAAAATCGTCGATTCCGGAATATTGTACATTGTTGAAACGATTCAACTTATCGTAAACTAAATTAAATTTATTTTCCGACCTATATTGTCTTGTAAATCAGATTCAGCAACTCGGCCGTTTGCGAACAATAGTGACGTATAATAATATTATCATATGAATTATTCATGGCAAAAAAAAACAAAAATGTAATTTATTGAATGAATTAAAGTACAACGGGATATTTTTTTAAGGAAGTTTCCCATGTCAAAATGAACACCCAGTATAGTAATAGTTTTCTTATTGTGTGTCCCCATTCGAAAATAAATGGTAAATTATCGAACTACTATAGACTTTATAACAAAATATAATTCCAAAGGAACTAACTCTCGCTGATAGAAAAAGTGGTACCTGGACAAAGTCCAAAAGTTAAGGGGAAGGTTTCGTATATCTGCTCGTGCAGCTTTTTAAAGAAGAAAAATAACATACGGTATATATATATACACTAACAAAGTACCCTGAAGCAAAACTACAATACTTTATAACTCTTACTTTACGGCAATAGTAATATAGTGTCAATATAATTTTGAAAAACAAACATAGTACACTGAACAAAGTTGGTACAAATAATAAAGGTTCCACGTTCCATTATATAATTACTATGATATACATGAATGAAATCTACAATTCGGCCATGTATGATTTGTACTTATATAGTATTTATATAAAGTAAAAGTATAGCAGCCATAAAGGTAAAACCTGTAATAATTATTCATTAGTATAAATTCGACTTTCTACAAATAATATTACTTTAATTATTGTAAATTAATAAAAAATAAAAAACATATGTTTAAAACAGACAATTTCATTTACAATTAGAACATTTCATAAACAAACAAAAATGACGTTTAAAATAATTAGTTTTAAATGTCGAATAAACTATTCGACTTTTAATACTTTTATAATCTTCACAGGTAAACACGGTAAAATTATAAAATTTTATATTTTTCAATTATTTATCGTTAAAAGGAACCTGATAAGTCATATTTGGGGTCCAATTTTAAAGAAAAATATAGTTTCATGGTATCTACGTTATGACGTAATCACGCCGTTTTATGTTAAAAAAAGCCTTTCGTCGTACTGTTTTTGGTGCCTTTATAATATTATTAAAAAAAAAATATTAATAATTGTAATAATGTTTTTGATATAAAAGAGTATCTACATAACAATATAACAGTAAAAAAGTTTATTTTTATTCTTGAAATTTGACATTAACCCCTTTTTACAAAATATCCTACAAAATAGGCTAATGATCAGCAGCCACAGCTAGAGACTATACAATAATATCGTCTCATTGCGTCTTTATTACACTGGAGATATTCGCGCGTGTGAATTTCGGAATTATTTCGATCATGTGTACTAATAATATTAATATCGTTTTTCTATACAGGAATCGTTCTTCCGACGTAATCGATAGAATAGTTTCGTTTATGGACAGTCATTCCTTACAAATTGATCTTTGGACACCGGACAATAACGTCACCGTCGAAGGTTTGCAATATCATTTTAATAGTACTTAACTAATACATGCAAAATATTCAAGTTACAGGCTCTGCTCTCGGTTAATTATTCACTATAGCTATCCTACGTACATTTAATACATGTAACAAAAATTTAAATTACAAACATACGCGAATTTAAACGGCAAACTACTTAAATCGGTGTGAATGAATTGCGTCCCATATCCTGATAGGTACCCTCGAACAACTGCCGGGAAGAAATAATAGCGATCACGTTTAAGAGAACGTAATATTACGATTAAACTTAAAGATACGAACAATATGTACGTGTTTGTACGTTGGTTATTTCTCGGTATTTTAATTTTAACGCGAGACAAGAGCATTTTTAAATTGTGACGTTTCACGTAAGTAGATAAAATTAACATCTCGCTTAAAAATCAAAACATCGAAAAACCCTACCTAAAAACACGGAAGTTAAAGTCAATTAACTTTATAAGTTTGATAGAATATCGATCCGCTCTAATATTAAAACCTGCAACAACGCGAAATCGGTCTCGCTAAAGACAAATTCGTAATACGGAGACAGCACACGCGGAGGCGGGTAATACGTCCTCTTAAAATTACAGAAAAGGTTTTACAGACGGTCTGCGAACACATAAAATGAATTCAATGTACCAACGCACAATTATTTACATATAATATTTATTCCAAACACGCAAACAATACCTACGTAATCTATTTAAAATTACCATTATTTTGTATTTATTATATAGCCGTTGTAGCGGGGTAGGTATATTTGGTACACCTCAGGGGCACAAAATATTATCGTTTACAAGATCCGCGTCACCCGTAATGTACTTATACCATGCAAATACGATATTATATTATTATACAAAGAATACCGCAAGAATTTACTGTACTTAAGTACTTAAAGGTATTTAAAAGCAGCGGGTTGCAATGTAAACACTGAACTCCGTTGAAACGGCGTAAACTGTACTGCCGAAACTAACACTAAAAACAAACGTATATAATATATTGCACGACGGGCGGACCACTGTTGTGGGTGAAAAGTTGAGAAGGTATACAGAGGGGAAACTGTTTATCTTTACGCGACGATTAATCATTGCTAACGAAAAACGATTCTGAGTGGATTTCGGTTACACATGTACCTATTGAAAGGCCGTAATATTTATGATTTGAAAACAATACATATTGTACATTTTCCCGTTTTTCCCATTTATTATGAAAACCCCTGGAAAGTTAAAAAATGGCCTCCTTATAGTACCGCCCCAGTCAGATTTCCTTTCATAAACAGTGCTATAGTTGAAAATCAGAGCAAATTTCTAGTAGAATAATTGTTTTTCACAGAAAAAAAAAGTAAATAATAAACATCATTGTAAAACCAATACATTTCTCGCTCCGCTCAGAAACTAAAATTAAACAACCTCCGACTGTTTATTATGTATAATTTGTATACAAGATGGATTATAGGTAGGTGGATACCGAATACTATGGCAACGATTATAAACCATACCAATCGAATTTTCTCCAGACATTACTCAACATTAGTAGACACGTTTTCCAGGTTATTTAGAAAGGCGATTTTCAATTTTCAGTATTAAAGGCCTCCACGGCTAAGATATTATTTTTGTAAATTCTGTGAAATAACCGCATTATATTTGTGTGTATTTTGGACGCGCCAAATTTTAAACCGAAAAATCGACTATCTTAAACTAGACAATTTATCAGAATAAATACTTAAAAAGTTCAAATCGGACATTAAAAAATATATTTCTGATCTTCCACCGCTAATACTGGTTTAAATTGTAGACTCTTAAAACGTCACATCATGCATCCATAAAAACGGCCCTATCCCTTCTCCTTAAATGGTTATAGAACACGCGATTAGTGGAAAAAGAAAAGTGTTATCATTAAAGTGGTCATTGAAAAGTAAAAAATAATTTTCGAATTTTACAAAAGAGTAAAACATTTTGTAAGCCCGTTTCCAACTCCCTCAATACAGAAGGTAACATTTATATTTTTCCCGATACTTTTGAACACTGTTAGCGGTACTTTCGGGAACAAATTAGTTTAATCTCGGGAGTTATAATTGTTTTGTAAGCGGATTGAAGTGATAAAAGTTTGGTGAAATTTCAATACGGATTTCGCCGTGTTGTTGCTGGAGTAGGGTGTCCTTCAGCATCACAACACTCATCTACAGACTCCCCGAGTTGAGTCAGAAGGATGCATGACGTTAATTATCAAAGACGTGCCTTTTGTGGATTTCATCTTTCAACCCACGCCCCTAACATTTTGTTTGTTTTCATAAATAGTATGAGTATTCGCTTATTCATTATATTGAAATAATATTTCTGTGTACCTGATACAATGTAACCGAGGTCGGAGCTCAATTGCTTAAGGGGGCGCATTGCTTTTTAACGCTTTCGTAATGACTGAAAAAAAAAAAAATTCACGGATTACGACTTAACGAAGACGTGTTTTTCTTCTTTTTTTATATACGAGGTTTGTAAATAAAGTAATAAGACTGATTTTTTAAAATTTTTTTATTAAACTAAAATGACTACTTTACATTGTCTCCTTCAAAGTAGTTACCCTGAGAATCCACACAGCGCTGGAGTCGATGTTTCCATTGTTTATAGCAGTTCTGGAACTCAGTTACTGGAATAGCTTTCAGTTCATCGGTCACAGATGATTGAATATTTTCTAGTGTCCCAAAATGTCGTCCTTTAAGGTGAATCTTTATTCGTGGAAAGAGAAAAAAGTCACAAGGGCTCAAGTTGGGTGAATAAGGGGGTTGAGGGGCCACAGGAATATTTTTGGTTGCCAAAAACTGGTTGATTGAAATGGCTGTGTGACAAGGCGCATTGTCATGATGCAGCACCCAGGTGTTTTTGATGTTTGGTCTCACACGAATCATTGGTCAAAATGTGATGAACGGTGGTGTGAGTCAATCCTAACTGTTCTCCGATCATTCTGACGGTCAACCGACGATCGGATCGGACAAGATCTCGAACTCTGATGACGTTTTCATCAGTTTTTGCAGTTGAAGGTCTTCCACTGCGAGGTTCATCTTCAATCGCCTCTCTGCCTTCAGAAAATGCCTTAAACCACCTAAAAACCTGAGCCCTTAAAAGTACACTTTCTCCATATACTTGTTGGAGCTTTTGAAAAGTTTCTGACGCACTGTGTCCAAGTTTGAAACAAAATCGGATAGCACACCGCTGCTCAAAATTGTTGTCACTCATTTTCAGAACGTACTAAAAAAAATCGGTTTACGAAAATAATTGTCACAGACCAACACGCGACACTACGGAGTTTAAATTCGTACTGAAGGTACATTAAATGTTTACCTACAAACCTTTTCAAACGGAAAGTCATTAGTGTTATCATATAACAAGCTACGATATCAGTCTCATTACTTTATTTACAGACCTCGTATATATATATATATATATATTAATTATTTTTTTTTTTTGCCAGGGCGCAGACGGCACGCTTACCGGAAGGTCTTCCCGATCATAGTCGGCACGTACATGATAATGTCGGCCGTACTGATACCGATGGGTTTTATGTTCATGTCCACGCTCGGCGGCAAAGCGCTGTTGGTCAGCAAAATGGCGCTCATGATATCGCTGATGAGCAACATCAAAAAGATGTTCTCGTACGAGTATTACGTGCCGCCCGCGCCGCCCGCCGGGCCGCAGCACTGGAAGAGAACGCTGCTGGCGCACCGCACAACCGCCGGTCCGCTGTACTCGTCCTACACCGCGTACTGAACGCCGCGCGGCGCAGTGAACGCGAGACGGGCCCGTTCGCCCGCGACAACCGCTCGCTCGTCCGACTATTTGTCTAATATATTTGTCTATAATAATTTATTGCTAATCGTATTTATTCAATTTAAAGTTGTACCCCGGTGTACTGTACGAAATTCAGAAATAAAAATTGATTTAACAACTACGAACGCGTGATTTGTATTTATTACACTTCTTGTGACCTCTGTCCGCGCCGTGATCCGCCGTGAAAGTCGCCCACGCTAACCCCGCACGATTCCCCACGACCATCCACGTTTCCGCATGGTTTAGACTCCGGACTCGTCGGTGTGACTGGATGCAGCGGGGAGGCGGCCATTAGCAACCGACAACCCCGCGTTGTGGCGGCGCCCTAATTAAATTCCGTTGTTTATCACCGACGGAAAAATAGTTTTTTGTTGTTTCCGGGTTTTTTTTTTTGAAAACTCACGCCGTCAAAGAGTCCCGACGGTATGCGCGCATACTTGAACTTTTTAGTTCGAAATTACTGTTGTAAACGAATGTAGTTTTAAAAATAAATCTCAATTATTGCATTGTTCGCGGTCCGCGCGACGGCAGGTGTTTAGGGATTTTGCGGGTTTGACGGACGTGTGTTGAACGGTTGTCCGAACGTCGCTCGCCCGTGGACAGTTACTATTAACCCGGAACGGTGCGTGCTGTGCTGAATTCACGGGCGTGTTGTCGACCGAACAATTGTACAACAACTAGCCGATGACAGTAATAACAATGCGATAATATCCCGAGATCGGCGTTCGCCCGTTAAACGTTTATTACGACGTGCGGGCGGCGCGCCCGAATCCCGGCGGAACGACGCGCCGCGGCGGTTGAACCGGCGCGCGAGTGGTGAAAACGCGTTGTTATCGTCCGATTTCAATAATGTCCAGAACGATATTTATGTTCGGGCGCAGAACGATAGTGTTGCCGTGTATTTGACGACATCGGCCGGTTGTCTTCGATTCCGCGCCGCCTCGTCGAACGAACGAACGAACGAACGATGCGATACGACGAGAGCCGAGAACTTGAATTATTCCCAGCCCGACGGCCGCTCGTTTTCGGACCGTTTGCCCGGACGACCGCGCGTCATCGAATCGTCGTCGTCATCCGATATTCGTTTCGTTTTGGCCTTTTTTTTTTGTTCCTCTCTCCTTCGTTTGAATTATATTCACTGCGACATTGTTGCCGACGCGAGGTTCTTCCGTTCACAATAACTATAAAAATCCACAACAGTTTCAATGCGAGTTGTACTACTTGCACTGCGCGTAGCGGTGTCCGTTACGTGCCGTAAACGCATAAAACCATAATATTATAACATGCGTATCACCCACGGACCCCATTCAATAATCGAATCCGTAATTTTTGTTTTAGATTCCGAGCGGAGCGAGTTTATTTTTTCGTTCTGTGAACAACTTTTCTGCCGAATGACTCGCTCCGATTTTCGAGTTTAGCGCCATTTTTTGAACGGGAATATATTTACACGGGTGGTGCGTTTTCATTTTCCAAGCGGTTTTCATAATCGTTTGAAAAGACCGGAAATAAACGTAGGAAAAATGGAAAAATTTACGAAATGTATTATTAGATTCCGAGCGAAGGCTTTTGGTTTTACTACTGGATGTTTAGTTTTTTTTTCTAGCCTGTGGACACGTTTTCCTAATAAACTTGTGCTCCGATGTATGTAAGTGTAGCACTTTTTTCGAAAGCTCAAGTTGTCTAGCTTGTACTTTAAGGAGGTCATATTTTAAATAAAAGCACTTAAGTGAGAAAAAACGCAGGAGAACGTACAATTTCACGATTTCATTATTTTATAAAAACACGGACGACGTTTTATTAATCGAAAAATTATAAGACACCTTTTTTGTTGCCTTTTTGATTTACTTTCTTACGGTATCGTTGCCAAAACTTTTGAGTACTTTGCTGTAATTCGGTTATAAATAAACGTAGAAACTTGAACCTTGGTAATAATACTTATATTGGACCTTCCTAGACGTGGTAAAATTTCCGAAATCGTCGGACGACTTTTTTTTTAATAAGCGTTTTGAAATCAAATTCTCAAAAAACATTACGGCACTTCAAATTATGTATTACCGAACTGCGCTCGGAATCGTCTTTCGTCAGGCAATGGTTTATCGTTGCTTACATATACAAATGAAATAACCTTGTGCATCCTACCTTCCCAACTTCTCACCTACAACGGTGGCTGCTTCCACCCCCAGTATCATCTCTTTTTTCTAATTTTGTTTTGATTCGGTTATTCGATATAATACATAGTTATTTGTGGAGACTTAGAATTCGGACAGAAAAATTATATTTACCTCTTCTAAACATGATCAAATTTGCATAACATTTTAGCCATTTTTTAACTATTTATAGACATTTTAATTTTGAGAGTTTTTTCACGCAATTTGTATTCGGTAAGCACTCTCACTGTGCACACGTCGACACGTATTATACATTGCGATCATTTGTTTGACACTCATTATCTTGGAATTTATCAACATCTTTGGGAATTTTCTTTTTGAAAACTATAATTTTAAAAGCTAGTACCACGTGGTTTGTCTACTCCTGGACTATTGCACACTTATAGATCGACCATTTTCGATAGCTATCTCGGCAATACAAGCAATGAACTATTGTTCACTGTAATATATTATATGGTATAATACCTATATATTTATCACAAATTAGATGAAATTGTTTAGTTTTTAAGCAGTTCAAATTTGTATATATGTAGTAGACCATCGTAGTATTCCATGGTCAGTTCTTATTACGTAGATAGATTTGATACAATTGGAAAATTGATTGGAATACGGAAAATAAACTCGAGAAGAACAAGTGTTTTTTTCTGTGCATTATGTTTTTCGGCGTAGTTAATTTATTTTTATTCGTTGGATAAATTTGTTTTTCGTAATATCAACTTTGATTTTTAAACTTAAATGAAATTATTGCATTAGTCTGATAACTAAAAAGGTTATCAACATCCGGATAAAATAATTTCGTAAATTCAATCAATAATTTGTATTAAACAATAAAAATTCTATCTATACCTAATGATTAGAGTGCGTGTTTTAACTAGTGCAATACTAATAGTATTGCAAGTAACATACGATTTTTGTTTCACTAAACAAATATTATTTACACATGTGTATATATTTTCCTTGTATTGTAGATTGGGTCGAAGATGTCACTTTTGTCAGAAGTTTCGGTGGAGCCAGCTTTGTTTTTCTACTTCGTCGTGATGATCATCTCCAGCTGTCTGAACACTAACTTACTATTGTACAAGGCGTGCGACCCGACAAGCGCCCCGCAGGTGGGATCAAAGTGCGACAATGAAAAGGAAGCGCAGCACGTGGTGGCGTCGATCAACGCCTGGAAGACGATGATCCAGCAATTAGTTCCCATCGCGCTGGCCATGATCGCGGGCACTTGGAGCGACCTACATGGCCGGCGCCGGAAGCCGCTCATAGTGTTGCCGATTGTCGGTCAAATAGCGTCGGACGCGCTGTCGATGTACTGCACCGTCGAGTGGTCCGTGTCGCCGGCGATGACGGCCGTCCTGCAAGTGATTATGTTGTCCTTCTCGGGTGGCCCGCCGGTACTGTACAACGGTGTGAACTCGTATGTGGCCGACACTTCGTCTGAAGAATGGAGGACCATCAAGTACGGCGTGCTCAACGGCGTGATGACCGCCGGTTGTATAATGGGCATGCTCGTCTACGGGTGCGTGATCGTCCGCTTGGGCTTAGTGTCCGCGTACGCGTTGTGCGTCGGCTTGGGTATCGTCGCCCTGGTGCTGACTTACGCGTTTATAAACGAAGTCGCCGCCCCCGACGTTGACGATAAACAAACGTCGGTAGACAAGGTAACGTTGTGCCAGGACATCGTCCGCACCATCAACCCGATAGAGACGTTCCGAAACTGCTACCGCGTGCTGACCAAACGACGTCAAGGCCATAACACCGCGATTTTGTGCCTAGTCTTGTTGGCGTGCGCGCCACTCACATGCGTACCGTTTGAAGGTCAGTGGGATTAGATTTTGTTTGTCGGCACTCGGGATTTCACTTGTTCGATACACGCGTCAAATCATTTACCGCGAATATTTATTTACATGATAATATTGAGGGAGTTAATGAATTAAATTATTAGAATTCTTTTGAAAATTAAACAGCATATTAACTAAATATTTATAACTAAGTTAAAAAAATGTCAAATATATGAATTTGCTATATATTGTTATAAGTAAAATAATAATAATCATTATTATCTATATTTTTAGGTGAATTTTCGGTTATTTATTTATTTCTGAGATACAAATTTCAATTTGGAGAAATCGAGTTCGGCATTTTTAATGCTTACATAATGGCTGTCGTATTTTTAGGTAAATGTTAAAGTAACTGTAGAGCCAGTAGAAGACATTTACATTTAGTTGGCTAGCTATGAAAAATAAATTTCTAAACAATTGTTTAATCCTAATAAATATAATTTATGTTCCCCATTATATAGGTAATATATTTGCATTGAGCATTTTAAGTCATAAAGTCGGAATTAACGATGCATCGATTGGTATTATTGCATCAATATGTGACTTACTAGCAGCAATCGCTTTTTTTTTGGTTTCCCAAACATGGCAAGTCTATTTAGGTAAGATAATATATTATCACGTTAATTAATTATTAGACGGCCAACGAGATACGCATGATATGCACTATGATATGTACGCGAATTTAATAATATTTTATAGGTACTAACCTACTAAATAATATTAATAAACAATTTTGTACATTGGATTATTTGCGCAATTTATTTTATGCTTGTTTTTATTATGCCTATACGTTATGCATATAATATAAACAAATAGCAGTATGATATATACAATATGTATAATGTATACATATTATACATTATAATATACAAATATATATATATATACATATATGTTTGTTATTATTATTTTAGAACTTCCAAGTATTTGAATATAATTTAATTGAACATTACAGTGCCACCCTTAGAACTCTTCCGTGGCGCTTCTCTGGCGATAACAAGTTCTATAGCTTCGAAATTTGTGGAACCCACAGAATTAGGTAATTTATTATTGAACGCAATTGCAATAACTAACAACCAATACCTATCCGATAAAACTACATTGTTAATATACCTATATTAATATGTTTTTAATGTTATTGTACCGATACAGGCGCCATGAATTCGGTAAAACAGTTGATAGAAAGTACGAGTAAAAGTGGATTTTTACCATTGTATAATATTATATATAACAATACACTCGAATCAATTCCCAGTGCATTTTTTTTAATTAGCATTTTCCTGACAGCTCCACTGATACTCATTTTTTGGTAAGTATTTTTCTTTTTTATATATATAATCTATTGTCAACTTTTTATGCTAATTTAATAATATTCTGGTATTCGTAGCGTACCTACGCGATCTACCCACATATATTAATTTGTATAGGTATATAAATTATATAGTAGGTAGTGTTAATAGTGTTATCTTACTTGGATACTTGGATCTGTGTACCTACTCGATTAATCTTTATTATTAATTTGTCAAATAGATAAACAATAATTAATTTTGGTTTTCGAAACGATTTCAGATATTATATTTGCTTCCCCCTATTTGGAAACGGCGTACGTTTGTATTTGTTTATGTTATTTATAACGTCATATATTTTGAACGCTAAACAAATTAATAAAATAACTAAATCGTATGCGATAGTATAATATATTATGTAGAACATAGTACGTAGATAATAATAGATATATTGTCATAGGTTAACGTTCCTTTTACATAGAAACCCGTTCAATTCCTCGTACCTAAAGGGATTCGTTCCATTCCTCGTTCCTTTGAAAAATTAACTTGTTTTCTAACATAGGGAAAATGAAGTACAGCCGTTTTAGCACCAATATTATGTTTTATACCAATATGTCATACACGTATTTGAGAGGGGGTAATGGAAAATGTCCCTCGCTAAAGCCTGTGCCCTTAAATTTGTTTTCTTGAAATTCCTAAAATATTCTGAATACTTTTCATAATACTTGTAAATTGAGTACTTTTAAAAATTATTTTATCCAAATCTGTTCAAAATTGAAAATTAAATATCAACTTCTTAAAAAATCTAGAAACTTTGTCAACAATTTCATACATATTTAAAAATTGAATTGGAGATTGGAAAGTGTGTCTAAGAATATCCCTTTCCCACCGCCTATTGGTCTAAAACTTGTGAAAATTAGAGTTGTTCCTAACCCCCTCCCCATCCTCCATAACTTTAAAATAATTAATGTTTATCATAAATGTACCCTCACTCAATGAAATTCAAGTCGGTAGGTATACGCCCGCAGGTAAATAACCACAACTAAGGAGGCAAACAAATTGCAATTATTAGAGTTCAATAAATTATTTAAAAGCAAAAGTAAATTTAAACAAATGTAAATGAAACAATGACTTTTAATTTGAATTTATTTTGATTTCCAATAGAAATAGGGGTTGTCTCTATTGCCTGTGGGCGCCTTTAACCTGAACTAATATTGCACGAATATACCGATATCCTCACCCTTAATCACTTTACAGTTCTCAACAAAAAAATGAACTAACTATATTATGAATAATTTCTGTCTTACTATATTTACTAGGTTGATTAAATATTTAAATCAAGGCCAGAAATCGTGTTCTATCGATGACAGTGAAAACAGAAAACCTGACAACAATGAGATTTCCACAATCGAACGTCTATAATATTAATGGGCTTGGTGCGGTTATATCATTTGAATTATTTCAATGCATCCAAAAAAAATAAAAATTGTAAATACACCATTGGCTCCTAATACCTAACTATTTATACATATTATATTACTATATTGTAAAAGCTATAATCCAGAGATGGGTTTTCTGGGGCCCTAGATAATGCTTTAATATAACTAATAATTATAAATGTATAATAATTTACCGCAGGCCGCCGAAATCAAAACAGACACGGGACCCAGTCACCCTGAACATGTGTCCCATTTGCCTTACTCCAGCACCGGTACTACTATAATCTGTTTTCTTTATTAGTATATTATATTTATATACCTACTTAAAAACCTGTATAAATTATGTGACTATTTAATTGTATTTGATTTAAAATATACGAAGCCCAATTACAAATATGTGCATAATATTATATGTAGTACAGCAGTGATAACAATAGATCAAAATAATTATTGGTAGGTAGGTACCTATTTACGATATTTGGATAGTAATGTAAAAAGAAGAAAAAAATAGAAAAAGTAACAAACAGTAACACCTTTAGGTATAGACGTAATACATAGGTATTGTTACCGAACAAATTAAAAAACAGAAGCAGAAGAAATAGGCAAAAATAAGGCTACTTTATATTATGTATACAAATTAAAATAGATCTTTTTCAATGATATTTTTTGTCTTGTGAGCATAAAGTGAGTTTAGTTGTTTTTACAAAATTTTTAACGACAACCATTTCAGCACTTAATAGATTTTTATCAATTAAAAAAATGTTCTGAAAAATGTAAATTAATTGCTTAATATTAAATAATAAATCAACTGCAATCATTATCCAAATAAGTAAATCAGAAAAATACCTCATAATGGTTAATAAAAAGTAATGCTTCTTTATAATCTAAATTTAAAAAGCTGTCTGCTGTCATTGCAAGTTGTTGACTTTCTTCAGAAGATCTTTTTTTTTCAATGGTTTATAATAGAATCAATTATAGGATAGTATACATGATTTTATTTATTAGACCATTTATTGTAGTGGTAGTTTTGCCTAAAGTTGTATTTTTTTTATCAGAATATTTATTGCTTGTAAAATATCATAAAATATAAACAACTTGAACACAAATGACAATTGTTTTAAAACGCTTAAAAAACCTACAAAAGAAAAAAAAAAGAAAATAAGAGCAACTCAACAAAAACTTGTAAATCTAGAAGTTATTCATTCTGATGAAAAATTATTTAAAAACTACCATCTTTTACAAAGTGAATTGTTAAGAAAATAATTAACATATACCTACCATTAACTACAATTTAATACTCAGTAGTGATCACAAATATTTTACTAGTATAGTTTCTGAGTACAAAAATTAACTATGGCATATAAAATATGATAATTAAATTAAATAACTTAAGCTAATTATACAATTTTACCTATAGCTTGAGGTGTGTCTCTATTCGCACCTTCATCAATTTCCTTTTCCAAAATGTTAACGATTACACCACAATTATTAAATACTGCTGCACAATTTTTATAACAACAAGACTAACACGTTTCACAGAGTCTTGATATAGATAGTGGTTCGTATCAACCAGTAATTCATTTAATTGAGTATTACAACTTGGCTAAGCAAAATGTTCATATATAGCTTCTAAAGCATTAAAGTTTCTTGATTCCTAGAAATGAGAAAAAACATTAAATATTTAGCACTCTTACTTCAAAAAACTGCATATTTTATAATTGAAAACTATATACATTAAATACCTTAATATCATTGCAAGTGCTACAAACAACAAGATTTAACTTGTGAAACAAGTTAAACATTAAACAGTGTATATACACCGCTTAAGAGTATAATTTTTGGACTCTGGTTTTGAACACCTGACAATGATCTTGACATCACACCAGCACCATCATACAATTGGACAATCAAAGGAATTTTATGTAGATTATTTTGTTTTATTGAATTAATGATTACTTTTGTAAGGTTCTCAGATCCTCTTTCACTAGAAACATCAATGAACTCAATGAATCTTTCATATACTACTTTTAAATCTTCATCAACATATCTAATACACAGGGACATCTGTTCTTGCTTGAAAGACCTGTTGATATATGAAAATTAATTTAATTACAAAAGTTTGAGTTACAGCAAATATTGTTAGAAGAATATTGTTATGAGCCAGTTTAGCATTGGTAAGTGAAACAATAACCTTTAACAACACGGTTAAAATTTAACCAAAACACGATTTTAAAAGCATACTTTTGAAAGCTGTAAAAGAAAGTTAAAAAAAACTTACCTCGTCAGGTTCATCCGTATTTTCATCGTTTATTGTTGTCATTTGCTTTGGTAGAGTTTTAAAGTACAAAAATAAATTATTAACATTAGTTTTGTTACTTTTCTCCATTATTTTAAAGCTTAAACTATTACAGGGCCGTCAATAATACCATAGTTCGTTCTATTCTTAGACAATAATCAACTGTAATCATTATCTTTATCATTTTAATCTTACATAAACCAACATACATCTATAATCCATATTAGTTAATAGTTAGTATAGAAGTCTGTGCATAAACGACATTACCTCTATAATAGGGTAATATCAAAGATATTAGACATTATAACATATAATAACATCTAAATTTAATTTTATCTAATCTGTGGTTATATTATATTATTACTCTATGGAATCTGAAAATAAAATAACAATAAATATTATGTTCACTCTACGGTAGATTTATACACCAATAAATTATTAATTATAGTAGGTATAACGGAATGCAATGTAAAATAATTGGAGGTGTTAATTTGTATTTTGGGGGCACCCCTGGGCTTTGCGCCAATGATTTCCACCATTGTACAAAATTAACAATGGTCATATCAATTAAATATTAATCAATTATTTAAATTATTACCTGTTCTTCCCATTTCCCGCTTATTAGTATTAGTATATAAGTATTAATTTTGTTAGGTATATAGTTTTATTGAATTATCGATATCACAGGCATTAAAATTAATTTGAATTTTAAATATTTATTGTTATCAATTTAATTATTGTTATTACTTATCATTTATCTGTTTGTTTATTATTTCGAGGGGATGAAACCGGTGTAAATAGTTTACACCATATGATCCAACTATCTTTTATTCATATTATTGTTAATTAAAATGTATTGAAACTATATACCTACACTTAATATAAATACTATACCAAATTAGTAATTATAAAAAGTGTTATTTATTTTTTGGACAAATATTTCTAGTAATTTATTCAAAAGTAGGCAACCTAGCATAACATTCCATTATACGAATTATAATAGTTATATAAATGGACAATGAATAATTATAAACATTGTTGATCACTAAACAGTGAAAGAATAGACAAGGCTCCCTCAGTAATTGTAATATTTGTAAACGATGTATTGATGTAAAAGAATTTGGACATTTGGCCTGAGCATTTTTAAGTTAAATTTGTCAGTGTCAAATTTCTATGGATACCTACGAATCTAAAATATACGTTTTCAAGCAACTACTTGCATAATATAATATTCCAATAGGTTTATAATTAAATTGTATACTTAAAATGTTCAAATATTTTATGATTTAACTAAATATACTTGAAACAAAAAAGTAAATTACCTTCATAAGTCATGAAGTTGATGTTTACATAAACGGGCAGCTAGTTTTATCTAGTATGCTGTTATATTACATTTTATTTTTTTCACTATTGTATTATTGCCGTATCGCCGAATTGTTCACACACTGAAACTGACATTATCGAATTGACATTTCGCCGAAACGCTTCATTCCCAATATAATAGGTAAAAAATATATCTTAAAATATTCTAAAATTAATGATTTCATAATAGATAGGATCCTATAGGTGTCCTGATTGGAGCTATCCAGTATGCCCAATATTATGTACCTACTTAGAACCTCCTGAGGAATCCCAAGCAGGAGTTCTGTGGCATACAGCAACGAATCCAGAAATCACCCAAGGGTTAATCAAATTAAATTACCTCCTTTTTTCTATTTAACCTGTACTGGAGGCTAATTATTTTTATTATTTCTATAAATTCATAAAATAAATGGTATACAAGTATATGACTATATGAATGAATGAGTTGTATAATATATTAATATGACATATGTACGTAAATATAAAATCATTGGTTTTATGAAATACACATAAGATAATGTGTGTTCTGTTTCCCAACATATTCTGTGACTATTAATAATTTATTATTAAAGATTGAACAATTTCCGGTGATACCAAATCAAATGAAAATTTAAAACATCTTTAAAAATAACCAATTATTTATTTAGAAATTATGAGACAAAGTAATTTTTTCTATTTTATGTAAAATATATTTTTATAAGTATTTATATTTTCCGTTAGTCATAAAATAATAACAGTAATAATTTTTAAAAAAATCATGGGGGTTACCTCACCCTCCCCCCATGGATCCATGCCCAGTGGGATAGACTATTCAGATTAACGTAATAGCCTTCTTGGACTCAAATAATAAATGCTCCATAAAAGCTCCCTGGGACTCCTCGTGATGTTAGGGATACCTACATACATAGAGCTGTTTTCACTTGCTTTAGGAAAACCACAATACATGTATGATTTTAAGACTATTTGACTACATTTTATTTTACCACAATAATTTGAAAATCTAATTAAAATTTAAAACTATTGATTTAAATCTAAATTGTATGATGGGACAAGAGGAGGGCCACAAGTTTTCAGGGTGGGTCATAGCCCACTCTTGGCGCCACCATTGAATTTGAAACTTGAACTGAGTATGACAAACAATTTTGTTTTAGGTGAACATTTATTGGTCTATTGATTGGAAACAAACCATGGTATGGATAAAATTAAACTTGTAGACTGATATTAAATAAGCCCAGAGAATATATTTAATTTTATAGCTAAAGGTTTATAGATTGGTATACATTTTTTAGTTTAATTCCATCTGAAAAATATTTTTATATTTTTATTTTAGTGACATTAAAGTCCAAACATTAACCAGTCAAAAAACAGTTATCAAAGATGTATTGAAAATCAGGACTTTTTCAATTTTGGAATATCATGAATCATGACTTACAATTTTCAACCAAATTTGAACACTATTCAAAAAATGACATTACGCTCACACTTTTTGTACCAACAAAAAATGACATTACGCTCACACTTTTTGTACCAACCACTAAGAGCAATTTGTAATGAACCTCATATTAAATTTTTCAAACAATTTTATTTATACAATACTTAGATAATAAATAAAAACTAAAAAAAAATTTGAAAATGTCAAACACATATGAATAGCTCAACAATTCACCAAAATGTTTTGAAAACTTCTAAAAAAAAGCCAGTTAATGTATTGTGAAAATTACAGATTTTTACAATTTTTATACAAGAATTACAACAAAAAAACAAAATTAATAATAATGAAACTGTTATTCACGTAAACTATCACATTTTTCTCGGTTTTGCACAATTTTTAAGATAACTACATGGAAAATCAAAACATGACTTTCTTATTTACAAACAATATCCAAAACACAATAAAATAGTTTATATATTTATATATTTATATATTTTATATAATATATAATCTGTGCAACAATAAATCATTGTAAATCAAAAAGGATTCTGAGATAGATTACAGTTATACATTTAAATTAAAAATTATATTAATTTTTAAGTGTGTAATAAGTGTTTTTTTTTCAGCAAGTTTTATCGCATCTTGAAATGTTTTACAATAATTAAATTATATAATTGTATGATTTGTTTGTATTAAAAAAAAAAGAAAAAAATTATTATTTTAAATTGATATTATAAATTTTATATTCTAATATAATATACAATCAAACAAAACAAAAAAAAAACTTTAAAATATTTAATTGAAAAGGAAAAAATTAAATCAATCAAATTGAAAATTTAAATTTAATTATATAACATTTGTTTTGGCTTTCAATATATTTTACATCAGAAATCACTGGAGTAAATGGAGTGTAAAAAATACAATAAATAATTTATCCTATCTTCTATAATCATTATAATATCTACTTTTTTTATATGGTGTCTTATTGCTTGAGCCGTCATCCCTACTTCTTTTGAATCCTCTAAATTTGTTATTGAAACTACGATTGGAAAATGGTCTATAAGAAGGAATTAACGGCGGAGTTTTACATGGTTTCATTGCAACATAATCTTTATCTTCATCTGTATATCGATAAGCAAATGCCTCTTCTAATTCCTCTAACTTTTTTTGCTGGTCCTCTGTTATTTCATCAATAAATGACTCAGACAATTTAACTATAGTTATATTGTTTTTAATCTCTACTTCATAAAAACATTGGGTTGATTTTGAATCACAATCAGAAGCCATTTTTAATCTGCAATTATTTCTATTGTTGAAAAATGTTTTGGTATTACAATTAATGAGTCAGCATCTAAAACAAAACAAAGTTATCAAACTGACATACTTACTAATTACTAGGTAATAAAAAAGAGAATATTGTAGGATTGTGAAAAAAATATTATAAATTATAATTTTAGCAATGAACTGGTAACTCATAATTGATATTTTTATACATTCTTCAATATCCAAACAATAATAAAATAATTTTTTAAACAGTTAGATAGAAATACGATTATTTAGGTAACTATTGGACACTTTGATTAAGAAACTAATACCCATTTTCACAAATTCATATTTAAACTCGCCTTAACTATACTTTGCTTAATGATAAATTTATCCTTAAATAATGATAAAGTTAGGTTGTGTTACACTGTTAGTTTTTAAAGATACTTAGGTAAGGAACACCTAAAGTAATTTTTTCGATATTTTTGTTCCTAAACAATAATTTTAACAATTTTGTAATGAGGTTAGGAACTAATAATTTTCAATAACTGTAAAATTGTGAATTAGTGTTTAAAAATCTAAGTAAACTATATTTCACAAACATCAAAATATCAATTTCATGTATTAAAGAATATTGATAACATATTCAAGAAATACTTAAATAGCTAAGCAATAGTTGAACAACAATTTAGTTTAAGTATTCTTAAAACAAATTAAGTTGGCAAATAACATTGGTCTTCTTTGGTATACAACCCTAAGGTTGGTTTCCCATAATTCCTCCACTTATTTATAGTACCAACTAACTCTACAATTCCTGGTAATTTATTATTAGTCCTACATTGTACATTAACTTTTTGATAAAAGATGTTCTTGACTGTCCTCGGTTTCTTTTACCATTTATCTTCCCTTCTATTATAGTATGTAGAAGCTCATCTTTGTGTCTTAGGCCAAGTCTAATCATATACTATATTTTGTCTCTAATTGTATTCAATAGTGATGCACAACAATATTGTATAATGGTATCGATATCGAGCAAATTTTACCGATATCAATGTTATCAATATTCGAGTTTCTATTTTCTATTTATTTTAACAGTTAATTAATAGCAAAAACAATAAACACTAACACATAGTCGATAAGTAATAATTCTTTGAGTTGTTTAATATTTAATAACAATATTTTTATAGTTTGATCGATAAGGGTCCTATATTAAACATTTATCTCAATGACAGGATTTGTAAACGGGATAAAATAAAATAAAATGTAAAAAAATAAATAACAGAAAAAAGACGTTCTAGGATAATGGAATCGGGTGTAGTCACTGATATAAGTTATGAATACCTGTAAACAACGACAAACCATTGCTAACAAAAGAATGATGATTCTGATTGCCGTTTAGTTGATAGTGATGTTTTGTCAACAATATATATGTCATATTATGGTAAAATAATTAAATAGACATTATATACTTTCTTTAATAATATTTATTTAATATTGTACCGATTTTTCTATGTTTTTCACATTTGCTGGGAACTCTTAGGAAAATCGAAAAATGACTTTTCTAAAGTACCTTTCCAATCAGATTTCCTATTAGAAAAAGAGATATCATTGTAAATCAAAACAAAATTGCTAGTAGAAAAGTTGTCTACAGAAAAAATAATCTTAATATATTTTATTTATTTATAAACACCTGATAGGCATAGAGTAGGTGAAGAATTATTACATAAATATATAATTGTTAAAATTGTTTTGGTAAATAGTGTAGATATATATAACAAGGAATAACAAAAATAAGTCAGGTAAAACAATATCAGTACTATGAACTATAAAGTAAACATTCAAGACAATAATACAACTTAGAACTATAAAATAAAACTATTTTTTAAACTATGTTTCATCTCCAAGAGGGAATTAAAGACAAAATAAAAATTATTAATTATATTACCTAGAGTTAACATTCGAATAAACCAGATTTACTAAATTTTACAAAAGATTTTGTACATTTTTCTCAGTTCTTCACAAATTGTCCCATTTATTGGGAAAATCAAAAAATGACTTTTCTCAAATTACCATCGGGATAAAATTTTCTTTTAGAAAATTAGTTACATTTAAAAAATTGGAACAAGATTTTTGATAGAAAAGTTTGCACAACAAATTGAGGGGTACTTTGGGATTAAAATAGTGCAAGTGATGGCTTAGGTCTGTAGGTATACCCAAAATGCATTTGTTTTTTTCCTTCTTTAGGTGAAAGGAAAAAAGAAAACACAAATAACTTTTTTTTTAAAACACGCGAACTCTAGGATGAAAATAGGTATGTATAACCATTTAGCTACGACAAACATACTTTAGAGAAGACAATATTTAGTTACTTAAAATAAAATACACTATCCGCATTATATCAGAACTTTAAAAAGCTATAATTTCAAAACTTAGTCAGTCCGATCAATTCTGACTTCACCATCATTATTAAATCAACAATATACATATGTTCAAAAAAAAAAAACAAATTTAAAAATTAGATTTGTTCCACATCATTTTTTACTCAACAATTTTTGTCAAAGTTTGATATTAAAATTACTTTATAATAAAAATACTACATTAAACTCAAATTTTCTTATTTGACCACAAAATAAGACTCTTAATGAACCTCCTGTTAAATGTTCAAGCATTTCTATTAAGTCTAACAATTTTACCACAAAGTACCTATTGAATAAAAATTACGTACAAAACTCGAGAAATTAAAAAGTTTATAAAAAGCTTTAAAATGGCCCAAATGTTTTGAAAATTTTACCACGTCTAGAAAAGACAAATATAAGTTTTCTGTCCAAATTTCAAGTTCCCATGAATATTTTTAATTGATTAATAACAAATAATAAAAGCATTATTTTTGTGAATTTCCCATTTTTCTTACATTTTATCCTTGTTTTTCCCAGATATTATGAAAACCGCATGGAAAATAAAAAAATAACCTCCCTATAGTACCATCCGAACAACATTTTCTTCCAGAAATGGTGCGGCGCATAAATATCTGAGCAAGATTTCAGGTCAAATTTTTGTACAGGATAAAAAAATTAAAAACAACAAAAAAATAAACATTATAGTAAAACCAATACATTCTTTGCTACACTCAGAATCTAAAAGAATATTGTATATTATTTACAAACTTTGTTTTATTTTCTTTTATGTAATAATATGATATAAAAACTTTTTTTTTGTCTACAAATTTACTGGTAACTATAGGTATTAGACCTATAGTTTTTAATAAAATAAAAAAAAATTATAATATAATTTTTAGTTTCATAAATTACATCAATATCAATATTGATATGAACAAATTGATATTGATAATTGAAAACATATTGGTGAGCATCACTCGTATTAAGTATCGTCCTGGTTTCATATATTTCATCTAGTATACTTTTTTTCGTTCTTCATTCATCCACCTCACTTGCAATATCCTTTTCCAACACCACATCTTGAAACTTTCAAGACATTTTTGTTCCGCTTTATTCAGTATCCAAGATTCACATCTGTATAGTGCAACGTTCCACACATATACTTTATTAGCTATTTTCTCACTCGTAAGCTTATGTTTGTAGAACACAGTAAGTTTCTATTTTTCATGAATGCTGTTTTCCCTTAAGCAATCTTTAATTTTATTTCCATGATACATTAATCAATTAATATGAACTATTTTTGACACATTATTACCATGAGTATGTGAAACATCACAGTTTAAGCGCTTTAATCTCACTTAAAAATTTAAATGTTGAAAAACAAACTGATTAGTACTCTTAGATTAGAACTATAGTAAAAAACCATAGAACATTATGGGACACCCTGTATTACTTCAACATAAATATGTTAAATATGTTTTAATTATATATTTATTTAAGTGAAGTATAAATGTTCTACTGGATAAATTAATCTTAGAGCAAAATTACTCTCAACTATAGATTATTGACATTTGATGGAATTATTTAAAGAACCTAGATATTAAGAATCTTGATCAATAGTATATTCGTATGCTGAGTATTGAGTACCCACCAAATTATTGATTAATATAATAATATTATAGATTTATCTTTAGATTATGATCACTAGTCAGTTGCTTAGTGGTTTATGACAGATGTTATCATTTGGTATTTGAATATATAATTACACATTGTTTAGAAAAAAAAATTTTATAACTACTATAATTTACATAATCAAAAAAAAAAAAAAATCGAAGACCTTAAGTTATCAACTATAATATTGTCTATATCCAATGTGGAATTGTCAATAATTGTTCAAACAAACTTTATAAAAATATAATAAATCATAATTAAATGTTAAACTTACAGAATTCATTAATTATACTCGAGATGATGACAGCATAAAAACCTTCTTGTGATGGATATATTCTATCATTAGTTGCCAAGTGCAAAGGTTCAAACATCCTAAAGTATAATAATTTATTAAAATAAAAAAAGTTACAATTTGTCATATAAATGATCATTGATTTGTTAATTTGATTAAATTAAGGAACATATTATCTTAAAATAATACTTAGATAGTTTATTTTATATTAACATATTTTTTAAAAATTAAAATTATCATTCAATTATTTTAATGATATTAAATTAGGTTATCAAAAAATAATCAATAAAAACAATTCAACTTTACATACTTCCCCTTATTCCAAATCTGTCTACTAACTGAGTTACTATAAACACTTAATACATACCATCCAATATGACGTCCACATTGAGCACATACACAAACTTTCCACACGTATCCAGGATACCAAGAATCTTCAGACTGCCACTATAATATAAAACATATATATATATATAATTTTATACTTATTTAATTATTAATAACAATTAATAGTAGGTAAAACAAAAATCTATACAGATCTATAAAAGTATTTCATTAATTAATAAAATTTGTTTATTGTTAAATATATTTATAATACAGTAGGTAGTAGAAATATTATAATCCTATGGTTTATATCATATCCTATATATTGGTTTGGTAACTAATGCAAATATAATATTATGTAATGTTATATATATTTATTTTTTATAAAATTATAATTTTTTTTTTTTTTTAAATATTATTTAGGAATAGGCAGTATAAAAATCAATGGTGAATCTAAAAAGATTTTGTAAATCTAAGTCAATATTTTTAAAACCAATTGAAGTCTTTCTTTATTCATAAAAAAAATTAATTAAAATACTACTAATTAAATATTATACCAATGCCGGGTTGCACCAAATATATATCTTTATAAGCTCATTTATCTGGAGTTTAAATAAATTCTGTTGCATAAGCCAAGTTTTAAATTTTTTTTGTTGAAAAAATGTACTTTATCAAGTATACTTTATTTACCATTGTGTAAAAATGTATGTATAGGTAAATTGTGTTATCAATGTTTTGCGTTACTTCTACTCATTGGTACAGTGAAACTGTTTATTTGTTAACCAGTATTCTAGTAATAAATTGAATATAAAACAATGATTGAGCATTACTCGTAAATTTAACACGTGTTGAAATTTTAATCTATCAACCATTAAGTTATCATTATATAAATATTTAACAATAAATTTATAAATAAATAACAACAAATTTGGTGCAACCGAGCATAAGCATTTTAAAAATATTAAGACTTCAATTTCAAAAAAATTATATATATCTAAATACATTTTAACATTATGACTCACATTGCCTTTACCAACACACAAAGTTTTTTTTAATATAATAATTTGAAATTGGAAGTTCAATGTATTCTTAACAGTTTGGACTTGGACATCATTTAAACCAAATAATTGATATGTTTGGCTTTGTAAAGCAGCTGGACTATCAATTGATATAAGTGATTGGACCGGTGAAATATCTGTACCACAGTGTCGGCAAAGAAAATAGTCAACGGCAGGTTTTGAAAAGTCTCTAGAGTGTATACTGGTGTCCTGAAACCTTGTTGAGCCCGCATATGCCAGACCGACAAAGAACAAAACCACAGCAAACACCATTAGACAGATACATTGAAATTTCAGTAATAATCTATAACCTAAAACATAAACGTGAATTATTAAAGTTCAATATAATATGAATAAATAACGTGTTACGAATATGAACAATAATAGAAGTATGGACAATTTAAAAGGAGCTACATAAGCCGGTTAAAAGATTTTACTTGAAAATGCTTGACTAGTGGAGTTATTAATACTAGTCAGACCCTCCTAGTAATTCAATAATAATATTACTGTTATTATTTATAAATTAATACAAATTCAAAGTGAACAATATGTTTAGTCTACAAATATTATGCATTCATAATACTTTATTAATAAAATAAATACCTAAATGTAAGGGGGCAAGTAGGTACCTACATACATTTTAGATTAGGTATGGAAATATTAATTTTTGAAATGTTACAATCTCTTCAAAATATTTCATGATAATATCGACATGATTTAATATAGGGGATTGCAAGATATCAGTAGATAACAAAAATATATACGTGTTACAATGGTTCCCAAACTAGTATGGATCAAATTGTTTTATTTGTATGCAATTATTTGTTAGATACAATAAAATAAAAAAACTAAATATTATAGCACAATAATTTACCCTTATATTATATTTAATCAAATAAAAAAAGTAGGTACCTTCTATGTAAATAATAAGTAGGTACCAACATATTATTAATTAAAAACTAAAAGTTAAAAATTACATTACATAATATATTTTAACTCCACTACCTCTTAATTAGTTAATTAAATTATTTGAATTCATTTTAAGAAGGAATACTTATTTAACATAAGCATTTAAAGTTAATAAAGATAGATAATTAAAATATTAAGTAAAATGTTTTTTTTTAATAAAAGTTATTTCTCAAAAACTAGATTAGATAATTTGAAAAAATTAAAATGTGTACCCATCAATTAGGTATACAGAAATATATAGGTAATTTGTTAAGAAATAAATAAAAAATAAACAAGGTGTTTACATCAGTTTTCTATAAATTAAATTGAAATGGTATCAAGTTCTGACATTTTTTTCTATATAATTCTTTACAGGAGAATTTGGAGAATTTTAATTGAGTACAATAGTACCTACACCTAATGATTTGGTAAAAATCAGATATTAAAATAAGATAAAAAAACCAAATGTAGGTATATACTTAGTAATATCAATCAATTTTAGTACTTTTTTTTTTTTGAAAAAATAAAAAATTAGGTGCAAAACTCTGTGACAGAATAATAAATAACACAGAAAAATGAATTTGGTTTAACTCCTGTTTAATCCAAATATGGTATTAGGCAAAATTCAAATTATTTCACACTTACCTTGAACACTTGGCGCCAGGACTACTGACGAGAGGTAGTGACTAGCAACTGGGCACGATCAACATTAACGGAATTACAGTAACCACATTAATTAGACAATAATATTTTAAAAGATAAATAATATTGTAATAACTAACAGAGTAGTATCCAGAGGGAAGCGGAATTCATAGAAATTATGTGGAAGACTGCACAGTGCTCGAGCTCTACAAAAATAAAATAGGTAATAACATGACAAAATAAATATATTAAATCTATTTTGTCATGGGTAACAATTCGTTAGTACTGTTACTATGTTAGTATCGTGGACTCCCGAATCATTTTCGTTCAGCCGCTGTCGTTCATATAATCTTATCGGTTATGAGAATCGTCCAGTGTTGCCAGTTGAATGTTATTGAAATCCCAAGATGCAACTTCAGCATCATCATTTTTCCTGCCAGTCAATCTAAAAACCCTCAAATTTGAAATTTCCTGCAAAAATTATTTTCTCATTTAAAAGTTCCCCTATGCAGACGTATTACGCTAGTTTAAGTTCTTATTTTTGCTTTGACTATAATAATATATTTCCTACTAATCAATCTATCAATTCTATAACCTTAACCATCACGGCTATAGATATTTCATCACGGCTATCATAATTCGTGATGGATATCTATAACAGTGGTAACCATAGATAATACATAACTCACAGACAATATGTAGAGAAGATTTACTCAATATAGTGCTCACAAATACGTAGTATAAGTTACGGTTTCAATGATGTGAAATCGATTAATGTTGTTATATTTATATATTAACCTATGTGTGCCGTTAATTTTAAAAATTAGAGTATTAGCCTATAATCAAACTTAAAGTTTATTCATATTGTTTGTATTTAGATGTTGGTTTTTTTTTTTAGGTATATAAGTTTTTAAGCGAGATACTATAATTTAAAAATATTAATATTTTACATATTATAAACTCTCTTGAAAATTAATATGTCGAAAATAACCTGACAAATATAGACAATGTTCTTATCTTAAGATACAATAATAAACTAATGCGCCCTAATGCTAAAATTAGAAAGTTAGTTAAAACTCTCTAGTAAAAACTAATAGCACACAATCGAATTTCATGTACAAAAAAGTATAATAACAAATCAAATATAACAACATTTACCGTAACATATTATACATATGATAGACCGGGTACCTGTAAAAATCTGGAATGTTCAAATCTTGAATCCAGAATTTTATGGATATCGAAATCTGAACCGTACAAACCTATAATGTACAAATCTGGAAAAATAATTGCCTTATAATCCAGTATCACTAATTTTGAATAAAAGAAATCTGAATAACCATGTATAATTAGTAATTACATATATATATATACATAAATATATATCCAAATTTTGCAAATTTCACAATTAAAATACAAGTTCGGATCATGGGCACCGAGTTTTCCAATTTGTATTGGGTGCCCAAAATTCTAAAATTATTCAACAAAGCATTAAGTACTCGTTTATTGACTTTACTTTTATATTTAGGGAGGGGGCGATGAGGCGCCATTATCCAGAGGCGGGTAAAATTTTTATTTTTTCGATGCCTACAAATAGGCGATGACTTTTTAAAGTGTAAATAAGCTTTCTTAATTATGCCTGAGAATGGCAAAACTATAAATACTTCTCTGCCAAAATCTTAAAAATAATGAAGGCAATATAAAGCAAAATAAAAATAAAACGTTAGTTTATTTTTAACTTAAAATATTTATAATAATTTATATTTTTGAATAAATAAAAAATAACATTATTTTTGTCCATATAGAATTTAAATAGTTAAAAATATGATTTAAAATAAAGAGTTGTACAGTAGATAAATTATATTTCTTCATTTTTCAATAAATCCCAAACGTATTTTGTCTGACTTTGGTCTTATCAATAAAATAGTACAGCATATTATTATTTATAACTAGCTAAATATAAAACGTTATCGCCAGGCGGCGGCGGCACGACCAAAATAACAAAAAACCCAAACATAAAAAAATGGTTTTTTCCACATAATATTAACGTAATAAATATTTGAGCGTTTTATTTATTTTATGAAATGAACCGTGGGTTGCACGACCGCCGCGGCACCCTAATGGTTGGTGCCCGTAAGTCCGTTGGAACAACTAATGGTTTATTTTGTCATTACATAATGTGGTGTACCGCAGGGAAGTGCGCTTATAATGGAAAATTTTTATAAAACCAGTACATATTTATTTAAAGTGATACATTAAAATGTGTATAATGTATTTGTTTATTATACAATCTTAAATGTTTAGAGGATTAATAACGTTATATTATTTAAAATGTATTATAATAAAATATAAAGGTGAGATAGATCTAGGGCGTCTCGGGTCTCTGGTGTAGACATCTTAATTATTATTTCAAGTTATTTTAAGAGTTGATTACAGTTCAAATGTGTATCCAATCTTTTTGTTTATGTATATTAATTATTTTGTTCAATAGTTTTGAAAAATAATTGAGACAACGGTATACTAGCATTAAATGTCCTCTTGACTATTGAGAATTATTTACTTGTTTTCCATTATACAAATATTATGTGTACTATATACACCTAAATAGGTGGCAACATAGGCCCCTTATATATTGCCATATATAAGGGGCGACTGTTTAATTTAAAATATTTCAAATAAATGTTTTATGAGTATAAGTATGGAGTGCAGGAAGAACGTTTTTTTTAAATAAAAAAAAAAAAAAGGGTGGACGGGTAGGTAACTTTTGTCAACTCCATGTGCTGTCAAAATACTTCTGTTCACCACTGATACTAGGTTTACTGTATTCATAAGTTTTAGTATAAGTTGTATAGAAAAGTTAGGAATTTATTACATAGTTTATGAATTTGAAATTTTGAACATTTATAATTTATATGTTAGTAAAATTATTATATTTTAATAATAAATACTCTATATTAAATAGATAACAGTATGTTTTTCATACTTTAGAATTAAATTGTTCATATAATTTTATTAACTAGTCTAATATTATTTAACTTAATTATAAATATAAAATACTAATTGTTTTATTTATAATTATTATTTATGATGTTAGGTATGTAAATTAATTGGTCATGCATGTGAACTATAACTCCCTATGCCACCACAAGCTTAGCTTAAGAGTGTAGGTAATTTTCGTTATTACTTTTATGTTTTTATTTTAATAATAAAAAATTATAAAGAAAAAAAAATATTTATACATAATATTAAGTATATTTAAACTATGGTGGTTATTGAACATGTGTTACAAAAAGTTTCGTGCCACAATATAATTTGTGAAATAAGTCATTTGGAAAAAAATGGTTGCAGAAAATAAGTACATCAGAACCAATTATTTGTGAAAACTGATAAATTTTATTGTGGAATAAATATTTTGTAATTATTGATCACTTGTTCCAATCACAGATGATATATAAGTACTAAATACTAGATGCCAGCTGACTCGGTGCTGCCCATACTTGAAGCCAACAGTCATAATGTAGATTGGGCAATGCTTACAAGCCGATGTTATCAATCTTAGTGATAACCAACAAAATTATAATAATTTAAAATATATTGATATAATATTAAATTTTAAGTTAAACGTATACTATAGTGTAATTAAAATTATATTTATGATAATTTGTAATTATGTTATCATAATAATATTGATAACGGATTGTAAACATTGCCCAACTCACTTGGCTTCAAAAATCCATACACGGTTAAATAGTAAGTCCGTCATCTATATAGTATATAGCAGCGTTTCTCAAACCGGGGGTCACGAAAATTTTTTTAAATCATATAAATTCCAAGAAATATATGTTTTAAAATTCTGAGCAGAGCGAGGAATGCATTGGTTTTACAATAATGTTTATTTTTTTTTTTATTTTTATCTGTGAACAACTTTTCTATTAACAATTTTGCTCTGAAATGTAGCATTTTTTCCGAAAAGAAATCTTATTGAGGTGATATTTTAAGATTTTTTAATTTTTCTAACTGTGCCTAGCTTAACTACTTTTTAAAAAGTGAAACCATGCGAGTCGCGTTGGAATTTTAGGGGAAAATTAGAGTAGCGGTCCTAAAAATATTGAGAACCACTGCTATATAGTATAATATATCTGTGATTCCAATAAACAACTTTCCGAAGACTATTTCTTCTAAAAAATATTTACTCCAATGGACTTTTGTTCCACAAAACATTTCTCCCACGGATAAAGTATTTTGTGAAACAAAAGTCCATTAGAACAAATGTTTTGTAGAACAACATGTAAGGTCCCTCATAAAATTACCCCTCATTCTCGTGTCACGCCCATATTCAGTGAAAATATTCCGTTCGCGAAACTTCGGAACACGTCCATTGACTATTTATCTATTTTCTATAGACGACGTGCATGCGATTTCAAAGGTTTGGACTTCAGAACAAGGAAGACTTCACTTAGAGAACAAACTTCATTCTTCGGTTTCACTCGGCAGTTACCCGAGGTCCGTACACGTTTTGTTTTTTTTTTTTGTTTTTTATCACTATTTTATGCAAGGTCTTTGCGCAAATCAGCTGTACAGTAGAGTTGTTATTGTGTTTGATTTTCTCTCTTTTATTGGACCGACCCTCTCACTCATTCTCCATCCCCTCTCACCGACACATCCCCCTCCGGTACGCAACCATTGAGCCGTCCGTGTCCCTCTCGCTCGCGCCCTATCCCTCTGTCTCACTCGCTCTATCCGAGATACAATTTTCATTTGGATATCGAAACAATATTACCATCCGTTCGCCAAAGTTCGCAAACGTTATTAAAACAGTTGACTATTTTTAAGCATAGTTTTTATTATTTAAAAATAAATCCAAATTTACATACGCATATACCGGAAAATTGCCGGTTCATTCGTGTCGAACCCGCCGGCCACCGGTCCATCGTACTTTTATCCCGTACAGCCGAACGTCGTATCGTACAGGCCGTAGTTCGCCGCGTAGGTTGCAGTTTTTCACCGGACGCCCGCCGCACTGTTTCTTCAAACACAATCGACATTTCGTCTATTTAAATGACAACGGCATTTGGCCGACCGAGTCCGCCGACGTCAATGTTTATCGTCATCGCCAGTGACGCTCGCGCAAGCAAACCCACTTTTGTCACTGCCACCATTTCACCGGTGCATCGGTTTTAACGACCGAAACGGAACGCCGTGAATAATCTGAAACCCGTCGTGCTGGTCAAACACCGGCCGTGCATGTGTATAGCTCACCGACTTTGTACATTTTCACTATCCCGTGAGTACCTATTTTTCATTTTGGTCCTCGCACTCTTGTAGTGCTTATTCATGCCAAACATCGTCGATTCTGTAGATTAACACGGTGTGCTGTAATGTACAAAATTATACCTTTACCCCATTCCCCAGCCCTGTCGACAATGATATCCATTCGCATAAAACAGTAATTTGTTTTGGTCGCTATCTGGATATATAACATGACATAATATAATATTTACAAAACTTTGTGTACTCCTAATTCATACTTAAGATCACTCTCAACAGAATATAATATTGTGCAATGAACACTTTTTATGTTCCAGGATGACTATTGTGACTCATGGACAAGCCGTCGGACTAGATTCGGCTGATAATCAGACTAATGTTCAAGTGAGTAATGTTTTTATATTGTACCCAAATTCATATATCATGCAACTATTTCTGGTTTTCTTCTAATTATAGAATGCATCTCAACAAAACACACAAATTCATAGTGTTCTGTCTAATATCAACATCCTTCAGCCCCAGGCTGTTGAATCTCTTCAAATGACAGAACAAGCTACCAATGATATCATAACAGACAACATTATTAGGAATGATGTGGAAAATGAAGAAGAAACCTTCAAAGAAGAAGATGAAGACGAAGAACTTATATTCCCTGTTAACAAACTAGCTAATCTAGAAGAAAAAATCCATAGCCAACGATGGATCGTACCAGTGTTACCTGACCAAGAACTAGTTTCACTTTTAAATGTATCAATTGCATTTTGCAAAAAAGGTTTGGATATCAACAATGAATCATGCCAAAAGTTTTTCCGTGATTCTTTGGTATTATCATTTACGAGAATATTGACTGATGATGCCGTAAACAGCTGGAAAACAAATATTCAACATTGTATAATGAGCAACTGTATGAAATTAGTAGAATTGTTGGTCCTCAAACTTGATGATGATAACTTTCCATCTACAGATATACTTGGAATGGTATTCAATCCTTTAAACAAGTGAGTTCTTACTATTTTCTTTGATCAATAAAAAATAACTCTGTTTTTTCATGGGGTTGGTTAAATAATTCAGAATTAACGTGATATACATATTATAATTGACCCCGTCATAATTGTTTACACTGTCAATTGGTCCTGGGACAATTTTTTTTTTTTTATCAATTATAATATATTGATTTCATTTTCGTAATAATAAACCAATTTTGGTTGGTAATAACTAAGGCTGCCATTCGTTTCGATTTGAAAATTATCATTTTTTTTAAAAAAAGAGAGTGTCTTAGTTGGAATCATATTTTTGTTTTAATTTCATATCAATTAACTATAATTATAATCTATATATTCTAAGTTAATTTCTTATTAAAAATGTAAAACCTTTAGTTAGTAACAAGGAAAGTTTTAATTTTTCATGTATGGGAAAAATTGAATTTTGTATTTAACTTTTAAATTAATCTCACTATTATGATTATTATTTATTACTTTTTTTAAATAATAATTCAAACTATATTATATTAGGGTGAAGTGGGGTAATTTTATTTGATAATTCAATATTTATAAAGAAAATTAAATAATATTCGTATTACCAATATTTGTATTCATTGTTTTTGTTCTAAAAATTAATTAATGGTTCTTTAAAAAATAAGGTTTCACATAAAAAATATATTTTTTTAATCTTTTATTTAATATTTACAATTGTGCCTTAAAAAAATTATGCAAACTTTTTTGGGGTTATTTTAACAAAACTGAATATACTGAATATTATGCAATTGTAATTGGGCAATATGAAATAAAATGATTCTAAATCATTTTAAGAGTCAAGTGAATTATATTTCTTTGTTACTAAATCTAGATACCTAGTTCTATTTCACTTCTCCTGATTTGCTATTTGCATGTATAATTAACTTACTTATCTATACTTTGGGCTAAGCTCATATTAAATTAAATAAATTAATATTTACAATTGCCTATTTTCGTGTTTAAAACCAATATCAAAATAAAAATGTAAAAAAAAAAAAGCATAACATTTTTTATATGATTTTTATTTACAATTACTACTTCACCCTATTATATTTTTAAAATTTAGTTTATATTTAAAAAAATTAAATGTTTTTTATGGTATTTGGACGTTTCCCCTGTGCCTTTACCCCCTCCACGAATTTTACTGGTATTAGATGTCCCCCCGGCCTACGACATTTCCTCCCTGAATCAATAAATATATTTTTACTCATAATAATAGCTTGGGTAATAAATTCTTTGGTTTTACTTAAAATATACTATCATCATATCAACATCTATCGACTATCATCGAACCATGTTATGGATTTATTACCCAATTTAATGGGTAAAGATTGATAAACCAACCTAAAATTATCTAAACTATTAATTATACATAGATTTTTGATTCGCGATATTGTGCCTGGCACGTGTAATTGTTGTAGTAATGAAAATAATGAAAACTAAAAGAAGCGGTAAAATAATTGTGTGTTTGATAATTTTATATGGATGGATTTTTCTGGGGGCTAAAAGGCACTGTGGGGAAACGTCCTAGATTCGTTTTATATGTATAATTATATTCTTTTATATTATTTGATTATCTTGTTAGTAAAACTTAAATTAATAAATTATACATATAAAGCCAGGGACCAATAAATTATCCTGGATTAATTTTCTTTAAACACTAATTACATTTACCAAATATTATTATTTCAGATTTCATTTATTTAATTGTACAAAACATACTGATTTTATACTACCAGAAAATATTTCAAATGATTATGATATATTTGCTAGAGCACCAGCAGATTCTAGAACTCCCAGAGGCTGGCTTGTTGATCTATTAAATAAGTATGTGGATTATATAAAGTTCATATTATAGGATGTGCATTTTTGATTTTATTTCATTTTTCAGATTTGGAGTCTTAGGTGGTTTTAAAAAATTATCTGAGCATTTTGAATCCAATAAACCTTTAACTGTATCAATTATTTCTGGACTGATAAAGCCATTCGGTAATTGTTCCGAACTTTTGGCTGAACCTACAATACTCAAATATTTTATGCCTATTGTGGTATGTACGCTTTCCAAAATGTATTTGGGTGTGATTATAATATTATTATGCATTTAAAGGAAAAAATACCTAGTATATTGGATGTATTAACGGATGACGAATTAAAAAAAGAAACAAAAACAGAAGGAAAGAATGATGCCATTTCATCAATAGTTAAAGCTTGCAAACAACTTGCTATGAAAGTACCAAAACAAGATGAATTAATTAAACAATTAGAAATATTTAGGCTTAAAATGTTACTCAGGTAATTTATATATTACATAAAAATGTATTTATGATTTTAATTGTATGTATAAATATTTTGCATTTTATAGATTATTACAAATATCGTCTTTCAATGGCAAAATGAATGCTTTAAATGAAGTTAACAAAGTGATATCTAATGTCTCATATACTCCACATAGGCACATAGATCACGATGAAGAATATTTAACTCCAGAAAAGATGGCTGTAAGTCATTCTTAATAATCAAAGACCGCAGTAATGCAAAATAATGTTTATTTTTTTCTATGAACAATTTTTCTACCAAAAATCTTGGTCTGATTTTCAAGTTTACTAACTATCTTTTCCGAAAGTAAATTTTATCTAGGTGATACTTTAGGGCGGTCATTTTTTGATTTTTCAAAGGGGTTTTTATAATAATTGAGAAAAACCTGGAAAATTTTACAAAATTAATATTTTTCAATTTTATGTTTTTGTTGTGACTTAATTAAAAAATATTAATAAAGACTTGAAATTTGATATTTGGAATTTTTTTTGTGTTCAAATTTCATATTTTTATGAACATATATTTTTTAACTAACAGGAATCTTATGTTTACTTTTTGTAGGTGTCATCAAAATTTCAAAATTTTTAACTATTTTTGAGTTATTTATAGACATTTTAATTTTGTAAGGTTTTTATGTAATTTTTATTCAGTAGGTTCCAGAAATTCGTGTAAATTTAACAGAAAGTTCATTATAAACTGTACTTTATGGTTAAAAATTAAAATAAATGTAATGTAAAATCTTAGTATTAAATTTTGACAATAATATTGATAATATTTTTGATTTTGCAAATGACCTGACCTTTCAAAATATGTACAACTGAATTCTACTCAGAATGTTTTTTTTGTTAGCATTGATTAATCATTGCTAACATAAAAATTCTCTTTATATCCTATCTTCCCAATTTTTCACCTACAACAGTGGTTCACCCATTGTGTGAAGTATGTCTGTTTGTTTTTTCTTTGATAATCAGAATACCAAAATAAAATATAATGAAATAATTTTTATACTTTTAATATTTCAATTCATAGTCAAAACTCTTTACAGAAATGGATTAAAGAGAATAATGTACTAGAAATAGTTCTTAGAGATTCTCTCCATCAGCCTCAGTATGTAGAAAAACTAGAAAAAATAATACGTTTCGTAATTAAAGAACAAGCCTTATCATTAAGTGATTTGGATGCGATATGGGCTGCTCAAGCTGGAAAACATGATGCTATTGTGAAAAATGTTCATGACTTATTAGCAAAACTTGCTTGGGATTTCTCACCTGAACAACTAGACCACCTATTTGAATGTTTTCATGTAATAAAATAATAATAATATTTTGCCTACTGAATGAATTAAATATAAATAATAACTAATTTTAGGCTAATTGGACCAATGCAAATAAAAAACAAAGAGAGAAATTATTGGAACTAATAAGGCGACTAGCAGAAGATGATAAAGATGGAGTTATGGCTCATAAAGTAATAATTAAACTATATATGTAATATATGTATACATATTATTAATAACTAAATTGTATGTAGGTTTTAATGTTATTTTGGAACTTGGCTCACGGAGAAGATGTATCTACTGAGATAATAGATCAAGCTTTATCTGCTCATGTAAAAATTCTTGATTATAGCTGTGCTCAAGTAATATTTTTTTTCTTTCTTTATATAATTTTATATTTAATTAAGACTTATGTTGTTCATATTCAAGGATCGAGATGCACAAAAAAAAGCTTGGCTGGATAAATGTGTAGATGAACTTAAAAGTAATAGTTCATGGGTACTTCCAGTTTTAAAACATATACGAGACATATGTTTACTATATGATATGACACCAGTTGGAGCTCATCAATCTCATCCTCACACTTATCGGTAAATAATAATTAAAAATGTATTTAAATTTTTTATTGCGCAAACATATTATTATTGTGTTTTACATTAGACTAATTCTTATTTTTTAGATAAAAAAAAAAAAATGTTAAATTATTTTTATCAAACACTCTCCTCCCCTTATAATTTTATTTATCGAAATAAGAAAATAATTTTGTTTATGATATCTCAACCCTTTGTGTCGCCAAAGGATTGTAAAATTACTAAAAATGATAGTTTTGAATTTAATTCAAAAACTATATTACCATAAAATGTACCAAACCTGAAATATAGAACATACAAATGTCATGGCAAAGAAGATTCTTATAAATTTATAATTTTCTGAGAAAATGTTTTAAATTTTTAGTTTTACTGGAAATTATAAATTAATTTACAATATTTCAAGTCCAGCAGAAAATGTTTTAGAAGTCCACTACCAGATAGCACAGTGGTGGAGTAATCGCCCGGCAAGCTAGACTGGTTCGATTTTTAATTTTTAGTTCTATTTTCTAGACAAGAATGGCCAATTAGTAATATATTATTTAATTTATTTAACATTTTTAAATTTTAAAAAAATTTTGTTAAGACATCCTTTTATAGATAATTTTATGTGTAATATTTAAGATCTTGGAAAGGTTTTTTTTAAGTTAATGTTACAGTTTTTAAATTAAATTTGAAAAATGGTAAACCTATCTTTAGTAATTATTCATCACTTTTTATTGCCAAAAAAACTGACACAAAACTGGGGTGGTTTTAAATTAAAATGATTTCACTTTGTTTCTTTTTCTAAAGAATAAGGACCACCCTTGTACTTATTTACACATAGTTCAAATAAACTTAATTGAATAAATAATTTATGCACCATTTATATTAAAAAAATAAAAATAAATAAATATATTTACTTATTATTAAATAATACATGTATATGATGTGTACTTATATTTGTTTGATATTAATGTAATGTATATATTTTTAAATTATGTACTCAGATTATTTATAGTTATCAGTGTTTAATCAATGTACATATTTACAGACAGGAAATTATATCACGTCTCCAAACTCAACATACTATTGTGTCTTTAGTTACTGATAATTTATCAAAGTATATGGATGAAGTGAGAAAAGTTGCTGAAGGTAAATAATTTTTGTATTTTAAATCAATAATTTTTTGATTTATAATCAAATTTTTTTTAGAAAATCAAAATTTGGATCCTGCTAAATATTTTCCTGATAAACGTTATTGTCATTTACAACAAGTTCAAGAAAGACTATATTTCTTAAAATTTTGTTTGAAGGTATATTCCAAGCAATAATTAAAAAATATATATGAAGATTTCAATACATTTTTTTATAGGATGGAAATCTTTGGCTGTGTGCTGAACAAGCGCATCAAGTTTGGATATCATTGGCTGAAAAAGCAGTATTCTTAGCTGATCGTGAAGCTTGTTTTCGATGGTTTTCAAAATTGATGAGTGATGAACCTGATATAGACCCTTCAATTAATACCAAATTTTTTGTTAACAATCTTTTGCAACTTGATCCAACATTGCTTACTGAGAATGGAATCAAGTAATCAATTTTCCTCGTATTTATTTTTATAGTTGCACAAGTGTGTGCTTACTTTTTTATTTGAATTTAAGTTCAAGTGCAACTATTTTTAATTTTGTTTATGTAATATGATTATTAATTCAAAACTGAACTATATAAATATTTTTAGATGCTTTGAACGATTTTTCAAAGCAGTCAATGTAAAAGAGGGAAAATTAATTAAAAAGAGGCATTTTTATCAAATGGAAAATATTGATTTAATTGGTGTAGATTATTTATGGAAAGTGGTTACTAATTGTAATGAAGATATTGCTGCACATGCCATTGATTTGCTTAAAGAAGTCAACACAAATCTTGCTCCTAAGCTGCAAGCAAATCCTCTAGAATTTCATCAAACATTTGTAGCCGAGTGTTTAGAAAGACTGCGTGCTCATTTTGACACAGTTAGTATTCTATCAAAAGTATCAATGGATAAGGATGATGTTATTGAGAGAAATATTGAAGTCACTAAAATGATCAGGGTTATGAAAGTTTTATATGAGTATTTAGGGGAATGTGATGCCTCTTTCAATGGTGATCGTTCTTTATTGCCCTTGCATAGGTATACTGTTTGCTTATTAGTTATTCATAATAAATAAAATACTATTAAAGTGTAACATTTATAGAGCATGTCGCGGTAAACATATAACTGTAATTGTTCGTCTAACAAATGCGAATCGTTCATTAGTAGATGACCACGAGCTTATCATGCATAGTAATGATAATGTATCATGTGTCAGACGGCAGTTGTTAAAAAAATTAAGAAATAGTGGAACAATTACAAGTATTACTAGTACATTAAATATAAAATTGGATATATTCTCTAGTAGTAATGTTGATCTTACCAGTTCATTGGATGATAACAAACTTCTGGGAGAACTTCCTTACAGGGAAAAATTGGTAATATTTCAATGTTTCTAACGTTTTAAAAAACTAAAGATAATCTATAAATTTGCTTTAAACAATTAATTATAGACACGTTTTAAGACTAAAAATGTATTTTCAGTTTCTTAATGCTCGGCTAATGACTGCTAACACAAATCTAGCCAGTTCACCAGATAGTAGTTCTGATAGCTCTATGACAAATAACCAATCTTTATACGATTTCAGTTCTAATAATATAGATGCTGAAAACTGTTTGCCTACTGTGGTATGAATTAAAAGTTAAAGTTTAATTATTCCGAATGCTAACTCAATATAAATCAAATTTACAGATAATTTCTGAAAATTCAAAATATGTTAATTTTTTTCTACAAGTGTCAGACAAGGGTATTGAAATTGAAAATGAAAATCTCCGAGAAGCTGCCTGGTGCATTTTAAAATTAATTCCTCCTGCAGAATCGACTGTGAAAAAAATTAAGGTACCTACTTTCAATATACATAATTATTATTGTATAATGTATTAAGTTATACAGACATAATTAAGACCTTATAATGCCAATATTTCTATTAGTAGGTAATAATATATGTTTATATTTTTTTTTTTATTGTTATCACCTGTAAAGATGGCCTAGAGTTAAAAATTTGAAATTAAAAATCATAAAAAAAACTTTAGGGCTAAAAAAACAGGGCGTTGGCTTTGTTTATTTCAATACAGGATAAAACTACGAAGTACTTTGTTTAATTTAAATATTTGAAAAATTGTTATTCTAATTGAAGCTGAAATTAATACTGAGAATTGGTGTGCCAATTGGTAAAATTAATAGATCTCTCACTACGCTAAGAGTTTGAAATAACTGCTCTTAACAATGTTTCAAATACACGAATACCGAATACAAAAATAAAAAATTATTATTTCAAACAATTATTTGTTATTTTATATTTGTGTTAAAATAAACTTGTTTTGAGTTATATAAAGTTGTCCTTTTTAGATAAACATTTTTTAATTAATATTATTTGTATGTATGACTTTTAGACATTTTTTTCAAACCAATTGGGTTCTTATGAAGGGACTTTCAATTCTAATATGCCAAATGATACTATATACTTCACTAAATCCCCATCTCAAAATGTATACAACTTAGAAGTAAGTTCTAAATATCGAGTAATACAAATTCAGTTAAAATATTTATATCAAATATTACTATTTTTAGGTACTATATTCTATGTTATTACCTGCCATTGATCCAATGGCTGACAAAACTTTGGAATTTCAGACTAATTTTATAACCAGTAGTCACGCTCCTGAAATTATTCAAATGTTAGTTTCAAATAAATTTATTTTAGCAAACGATCAAAATACTAAAAGGTAATAATAATAAACATTAATGTTAATAAATTTGTATGTTCCGGATTATAGATATGTATTTAATTTTTCCAGATCCATTTATTTAGTTGTGCTCAAGATTTGTAGACTTGTATTATGTGTTATGGGACAAGTTATAACACAGTTATGTCAATCTTCTGAATTAGTAATGGGATCATCAACTGACAAAGAACATTGTTTATATAAAGGAGTAGAATTACTTGAACAATGTGATGAAACATTAGCTTTAATGAAAGAAGCATTTGGCTTAGTGCCTAACCCCAATGTAGAGTATATGTTACGTAGTGTAACTTCTAAGCTAGCAAGAAGGTACATTGATAAAATTGCATTCAGTTGTGAAACACTAGAAACATTAAAATTGGCTATGAATAAGTCCTTATCAAAATTTATGCCTACTATGGACATGATCTGGACTACTATACAGTTAGCATGGGCAATGGCTGGATCTAATCAGTATGTGGTTGATGATCAGTTAAACAATTCCGAACTGCATAATAATTTATACGGAAAATCTACAGAAATGGAAGACATAAATGGTATGAATCAAAAAATTAAATTTTTATTTAATTTTTTTTTTTTTTTATAAATGTTCATTGTATTTTCAGTTTGTAAGGAAGCGTTAGAAGTATTAACACTTTGTCTATTTTTGAAACCAAATTATTTAAATCAAATAATGGAAAAAAAAGATTGGCAAACATTTCTGATTGATTTAATTTTATTGGCTAATAATAGGTATGCTTATATAATTTTTAAATTTAATTTGACTAAAATATACTAGTAAAATACCTATTTTTTAGGCAAGTTCGGTGTTCTGCTGCCGAACAATTTTTATTAGTAGTTAAGTTTAGTTGGAATGCAAAACCACTATTATCCACAATTTCTTTAATGTTCTCTGTTCTTAATGACACTGTACTCAAATTCGCTCAAAACTCGTTTGAGTACTTTCACGTAAGTTGGTTGCTGTCAAAAATATAACTGATTTTATTATTGTTATTATTATTATAGTTCAATTTTTTTGGTTTTTTTTTTTTTTTTTTAAGGTTCTAACCTACTTACTGAATTATGCTAATCACGAAAGAATTCCAGTACCAGATTTTGAATTGTTATTAGACAATGAGATTAAATGGTTAAAACGTGTTAGGGAGAAAATAAAAAACGACGGTGACACTGGAGTGGAAGAAGTAATTCTTGAAGGTCATTTAAACATAACCAAAGAGCTAGTCCAAATGATTTCTATTGAAAAGCGTAATGAAATTGGTTCTGATGAAACTGTTGGTATCATGTTGATTAAAGAATTACTTGAAGACTTTATTTTTCCGGCATCCAAGTTAATGGAAGACATGACCAAACAACAAGCTATTGAATTTGTAGATATTGATGTTACACCAGTTTGTAAATTTCCAAATTCTACAAATGCTGCTTTTGATCTAATCGTATCACTTTGCATTGGTTCTGCTGCAAATTTAAAATTGACTATTGAAACACTTACTCAGTACTTTTATTCAGGTACTTCCATCTCTATTTATATTTTGTAGGAAAGAATACACTTAACAAATATTAATATTTAATTTATATAGAACGTGAAGATCCTTTGGTTGAATGGGACTTTTTACCAATGATGGGTGCAAGGACTGCCCGTGGTTTTGTTGGACTAAAAAATGCTGGGGCAACTTGTTACATGAATTCTATATTACAACAACTATACATGGTACATCCTGTGCGACTAGGTATACTTTCTGCACATGGTGCAGCAACTGACACAAATGATGATTTTAATGGTGATGATAAAAATGAAAATGAGGTAGTTATTTATATTTATTATTATTTGATTAAAAAATAATATATCTATATATATCAGGCTTGGCATATATAAATTACATGAAATCCACCAGCTCAAACCGGTTTAGATTTCCCTTTAAAATAAACCATCTATTTTTAAGAAATTTGTTGGACTAAACCGATAAAAAGTTGAGACACACCAGTTTAGTTTATTTTTACTGCTGTAGTGGTAAAATACAGATCCTGATCCTTCCCTACTCCAAACCTGTCTTGTTTTCTGTTATCACTTCGTCTGTTATTAATTTTTACATAGAATAAAATCTTTTAACTTGACAATTATAATGTTTTTATCCATTTTTATTTTTAAATAAAAATATTTAAAAATGCAAATGTAGCAGTGCTGTATGATAACTGACAATAAGAATTATGGAGAGGTAAACCGTTTAGTGTTACAAATTTCTAACTAAATTGGTTTATTTTTACACTGAACCACAGTTATTAGTCGAAATTAGTAAAGCAAACTGGTTTATGCTATTAATTTCTTGTTGGAGTAATATGTTTTATAATATATGAAAGTTTTTATTATTTTTATTATGAACTGTAACTATCTGGTATTATTTATTTTATTAATTATTGTTTTTAAGTTTGTAAAGTAATTTCTAATGTTTATAGTTAAATGAGTATATTTTTTATTTAGTTGTTATTAATTAATTAAGTTAACTTTTATGAATAATTTAAATTTTTAAATAATAATAAAAAATACATTTGTTGTATTTATATTTTATTTTTGATGCATTGACCACATTGTTTAGGTATTTTCTAGCTAACCAAAATGTATGTAAACAGTAAACACTTTAGTATTAATACAGAATAAAAAATACCAGTGCAATTGAGTAAATTTTGGACAAAAAAGGTTATAAACAAAATTAATGGATAGTAGTTAAAATTAATACAGTGAATATTGAATAAAAAATAAAATTCATATATTTTAGTCATTATATAGTTTTGAACATGTACCAACCCTGATTTATAAATATATTTATATTATAATAATATATAGTATAAAATATTCTAAAAAATAATTTTACATTGAATGCTAAAAATCTAATATTTATTTTAATTAGACTCAAATGGATATTCCCGAAGATTGTAATAAATTTGAACAATCCAGAAAAGAATATAATGTTGGTATATTAAAACAAGTACAAGGTATATTTGGACATTTAGCATTTAGCAAAGTTCAATATTATGTACCCAGAGGGTTATGGAAACATTTCAAGTAATTATATATTTTATTGAATATTGTATGCAAAATAACTTCAAAATATATTTTTCTCATAGATTACAAGGTGAACCAGTAAACCTTAGAGAACAACAAGATGCAGTCGAGTTTTTCATGAGTCTTGTAGAAAGTTTAGATGAAGCTTTAAAAGCATTATCTCAAGACCAAATCATGAGTAAAACACTTGGAGGTTCATATTCAGACCAAAAAATATGTCAAGGTTGTCCACATAGGTATGATTAAAAACTAAAAAATGATTGTTATAATTTTACTTTAGGTATTGTGTTTAACAACTAGTGTATTTATTTTATCTTTAGGTATTCAAAAGAAGAACCTTTTAGTGTCATTAGTGTGGATATAAGAAATCACTCAAATTTAACTGATTCTCTAGAGCAATATGTGAAAGGAGAACTATTAGAAGGAGCTGATGCTTACCACTGTGATAAATGCAATAAAAAGGTTAGATTAAATAATAAAAAAAAAACCAAATAATATCATACATTGAATGTATTATTATTTTACATAGGTTGTTACTGTTAAAAGATTATGTGTTAAAAAGTTACCGCCTATTTTAGCTATTCAACTTAAAAGATTTGAGTATGATTTTGAAAGAGTTTGTGCCATAAAATTCAATGACTATTTTGAGTTTCCTCGACACCTAGATATGGAACCATATACAGGTATTTAATTTAAATAATTTTAAAAAATGCACATAAATCTATATGTTTATTTTATTATAATTTTCTTTCATTTATGTAGTTTCTGGGTTAGCTAAAATTGAAGGTGAGATAATTGACTGTGATTATGATGAGTCACAAGATGAAATTCATACCAAATACCAATTAACTGGTATAGTTGTCCACAGCGGTCAAGCTAGTGGGGGACATTACTATTCTTACATTCAAGATAGGTAATGATTTTAATATAAATAAAAATATTAAAAAATAATCAATACAAGTGTAATAGTTAAACATGTATGTTTGCAGTTTTCCTGTTTATTTATAATATCACAAAATTACACATTTTATTGTATAGATATAAGAATCTAAGACTTGCAGATTATTAATTGTCAATAATTACAATTTCATGAATTCTTATTTACAGTTCTAATAAAACGAAAATCTATTAATACAATTTTACTATATTGATATTATCAGCCTTAAAATAAAATTTGTTATCTGAAATTTGAAACAATCTCAAAACAAAAATCTAATAAAATTGTTTTAATTTAATTTAATAATAAATATTAAATTATTTTTCAAAGAAGTTTAGAGGGTTCGCCTAAATGGTACAAGTTTGATGATGGAGATGTTACTGAATGTAAAATGGATGAAGATGAAGAAATGAAAGTTCAGTGTTTTGGTGGGGAGTATATGGGCGAAGTAAATTTTTGATATATTTATTTTTTATAATAATTACATAGGTATTTATTAATTATTACTATTTGTATTGTTTTAGGTTTTTGATCATGCATTAAAACGAACTAGTTATCGAAGACAAAAACGTTGGTGGAATGCATATATGCTATTTTACACAAAAATTGACCCTAGCAAAGAATCTCTAGTCAATGGAATAAGAAAACTTAGTATTAGTAAGTTCAAAAATAACTAAAACTTATTTTATTGATTCTTGATATCATAAAAATAATATTATTTAATAGATAAAAATTAATTTTATTTCGGTGTACCTATTGTAGTATTTATGTATTAATTCACATGTGTTATTCAGGTGACCGCCGAGCAAGTAACAGTTGTATTAAAATGCCTCTGTGTATAAAACGTAGTGTTCAACAACAAAATATTCGGTTTTTACACACTCGCAGTCAGTATACTGAGGAATATTTTAAATTCATTCGTAACATTGCCACTATTAATGCACCAAACATGGTTCCTCCACCTACTGATGATTCACAACAATTACAAATTGTAAGGTTTAAAATAAAAATAATTAATTTCAATTTAAATATATTTACTAAATTATTATTATTAGCTTGCTGATCAAGAAGAATTGTCATTGTTAACAATACAATTAGTAAGTAAGTTTTTATTCTATGTTGGTCTACATACTAAGAAATCATTGCGGGGTAATGCCATGGACTGGTATGATTTAATAGCACCACATATTAGTAACTTTGCATCTGTGCGTGCTTGGTTTGCCCGAAACATATTGTTTAATCACCCTCAAAGGTAAATAATGAATTGTTACTTATTGTTAGAGATATTTGATTGTGTATTTATTATTTTAGGTTTGTTGAATATTTATTGCAATGTATGAGTGCTGAAGTACGGTCGTTTTTCATTAAACTTGTTGCATATTTGGCTCATTATTCTCTTCAAGATGATTCTATTTTAATACCAGCTGTCACATCTAGTAATATAAATTTATATTAAATAGTTTTACATTTTATATGCTTTTTTATTCTTAATTTGTAGATTCCTTGTTAGACACTACTGCATCATTAAGTGATCATTTGATTATTGCCGTGTTAAGTCTGTTACAAAAAGAAGTGGGAGAACACACAAATAGACATTTGCCACATTATTTCTCATTTTTCCTTATATACAGTAATTTAGGAATGCCAGAAAAACAACAACTTATAAGGGTATGTAATAAAAATAAACAGTTTCATGATAAATTAGTAATTCTAAATTGTTTTGTATACTATTAATTTGTGTTACAGTTAAATGTAGCAGCAATATTTATCTTAGTAGCAATAGATGAAGGCCCAGGTGGATCTAATATAAAATATCAATTTAATGAAATCAATAAATTACATTCAGTGATATCAATACTAGTCCGCTGTTGTGACTGTACAGAGAAGTGTGTGTCATTTTCTCCTGTAAGTATAAATGTATATAATTATATGTTCAACTAGCTGTCCTACATAGCTTCGCTGGAGCTCAGTGTTGAAAAAAAAAAAAAATAAAAACATGACGCGACATTTCTACCCCCATCACTATTAAAATTACCTGTTGCTGCCTAGTAATTTATTATTTTTTTCAATAGTACTTCATATCTCATGATAGTCAAATTTAATAATAATTATTGATTTAATGTTACTGAGCAATTTAATAATGATTAGTTTCATAACAGGGTATATTATAATAATCATAATTTTAACCACAATTCAATTAACCCTATTAATTAAGGTTAATTTCTGTATCTGAGGTATGATATTTTGATAAACAGTGATTTCATTAATCCATTTTGAATAAATATATAAGTTTAAAATAAAATACTTTATATTATATAATGTTTCAATATGGATATAAACAAGTAAGAAAACTCAAACCTGTTTTGATAGTTTATAATAGTGCACAATTGACTAATAATTTCTGTTTTTAATCTTTGAGAAGACCTTCAATTCGAACCACAATAAATAGGACATGATTTTTGGTTATCTGTACTGCATAAAGAATCCCTTATCGTCCAGTTTATTGAAACCATAAGACTTTCCCTATATTCATCTAGGACTAATAACAAAGTCTTCTTTGTCTTCAAATATTCACATTATTGCACAAAAAAATTTTTTTTTTTTTTTCAATAAATTGTTGAAAATATTTATGACGTGAATGAAATCTAATGAAGAAAAATGTTAGGTATTTTATATTGATAACAACTGAACTGATTAGTATTTAAATATGATCAAATCTCAACAGAGTATGGAGAAATTCAACAAGTGATTAAACTAATTTTTAATTACAGTTAATATTGGCTAGTGAAATTGAGCCTAAATGATAGATCAAACAATTTTTTATATAACTTATACATTAATAATTTCATTCAATAGTTCACATTTATATTGTATATTAAAATTTAAAAAAAATACTTTACAGGGAATGCCTTTCCTACCAAATCCATATGCGGAATGTCAACCATACTTAAGAAAAGTTCCTCAACAAGTTAAAGATTGTATTTTTGGTCGAATATGGTATATATATTCATTTATATTATTATTTAGAAATCAATTATAATAATTTGTATGTATCTAATATATATTTTTAGTTATTTAAAAAAACTTATTGACAATTCACAAATGAATGAAGACAGCATGAAAATGCTTCAATTTGTGTGTTGGGAAAATCCACAAAGTAGTAGTATGGTTTTAACTGAAATTTTATGGCATATTATGTACACTTACTGCCAAGAACTCAAATTTTATTTGGATTTACTCTTTGTTATACTAAGTATTGACGATTCATGGCAAGTGTTACGCATTCAAAATGCTATGACTGGAAATGGTAGGATCTGTGAAATATATTTAATTCTTAATATGATTTAATATTTGATTTATTTCAGAAGAAAGAGAAGGTGTATTAGACACAATTTTGCGTCATAAAAATCAGTATCAAAGACGATCTTATCAATGTATCAAAGGTTTAGTTGGTTTATTCATGAGAATAACAACAGCACATAAAGTTGTCCTATCACATAATGATCTCAAAAGAAAATGGATGGAAGCAGTTGATTGGCTACAGGAAGAACTTAATAGAGTATTTAAACTATTATTTGATTTTATTAATTTTCTTCTAAATTAATTTTTTCTCTCCAGAAAACATTAACTGGAGGCCAGTACAACACTTATAATAGTTGGACACCTCAGTCTAACGAGAATACTAACAGCTTCTTTTTAGAAAGATCATCTAGTGCTCGTAAAATATTACAAAAAGCATACGAATTTTGCCCAACTGAGGTATAAATATTACATTTTAACAATTATTTTTCTAATTCTATTTCAACTAAATTTATTATTCATACATAAAGGATTTTTTGGTCCCTACATTGACAACACAGGAAGCAGAGGATTCTTCTGACGAAGGTGACGAAGTGGAAATGCCCCATGCTAGTGATACATTGACAACTCTGGTAACTGAACCTTTACAAGTAGTACCTGACATTGTACCTGAGTAAGTTATTAATTATTATGAATTTAAATGAAAAATAAATAACAATAAAATAATGTAGGAATGATGATGATTATGATGCTTCTGTTATTGAATTCAACAATGTTGATGATTTTGATAATGGTGATGGTATTAATGTCGAATTGGTTAATACGCGGATTGTCGGATCGTCAACAGATATGCATTAATACAAAAGTTTATTGGAATATTGAACAATTTTAAACTGGAGATACCATAATTACCTAATGGAATAAAGTTATTTTTATTTGAATATTATCAACAATAAATCTTATTAAAATTTAGTATATTAAACTTTAACCCCTTTACAATTATTATATAATAATCAATTAGCATAACAGACCAATCAATAATTATTTTGGTATACAATAATTTAGTGATTTATAATGTTTGATTTAGGTTCTTAATATATGCTGACCTAAAGTTAAATTTAAAATCCTCCCATTCAGTAATTTTTTAATAATAATAATAATAAGTTAATTTATTCAAAATGTGTGTAAAAAAAGAAAATTCACAACATAAATTTGTTACTGGCAGATTTTATACTTCATAATATTAAAAATATATATATATTTGTTTTATGCTGTAAAAAAAAAAATGTTTCATGTTCAAATTGAAACCCTGCACATAACAAGTTTTTATATATACATGTATAATATGTACTTCTGCGTGAGCAAAAATCCTACACTCTTTACCCTGTCTTTTATTTAATTTTTTGTTGTATAATGTACATTTATTTGCTTTTTTACATTATTATTATTACTATTATTATTATTATTATTATTATTATTATTATCATTAATATGATTATTATTATTACTATTATGATTACTATTATTATTTTATTATATTTATTAAAAGTTGTCTATATAATATTTAGCTCTCAAGATATCAATATCAAATTTATATTTTAATATATCGGTGTCAATAAATACCAATAATGTTATGGTAAATTTCAATATTTTTTAAATTTTAATGACGCATTTTGCTAAGTGTAAACAAATTTTAACTTCAAAAAAAAAAAAAAAAAGTGATAATCGTTTTATAAAGGTTTTTGTGTATTCACACTACTTATTATATATTATAATTTAAAAACAAAAATATAATACATAATAATGAGTGTATAAATTAACTCACAAACATATTATAGAAGCTCGATAAATTATTAGATAATATCATGCTTTTGCTGAATTTTTTGAAGGATAATTGAAGTCTAATTATTTGTGTTCCACTATCATAATATTTCAATAAAAATTGAATATTGTATTTATTTTTTTTTTTATTATTATTATTATTTTGTGATAAATTTCAAAACCAAAAGTATGGTAAGGCTGGAGTATTAGTGTTTGTACATTGTTAATTACTGTTATGGAAAGAAAAAGTGTATAAAAAAAAAATATTTATATATAAAAAACAGAAGTGTATTGCATTTAATGTAATAAAATATGATATTTTAAAAAAGTATATGTATCTTTTGAAAGATTGTTCGTTTATTATTAACTTTGTTCTGTCAATGGATGCAATAAAAATATTTGTATTGAAATTCTATATTACTTACTTTCAACCTATGCTCTTTTTTACTACCCATAATAAATATTTGAAAGCAGCAGAATTATTTAATTTTAATTACCATTGTATATGACCATTCTATATAAAAACAACTATGTTCTATTATCCCAAAATAGCATTCAACAGAAAAGCTAAATTATGTAACTTTGTTTTTTCTCTCGTCAAATCGAAATCGGTTAAATTAATGACTGAAGAAACAAAAAACACTATATTGTAAGAAATTCATATGGAGGGAAGCAAGCAGCACATGACATGCGCCACAGATGAAGTTATGATTATTATAATCACGAATAATATTGCATTGATATGTAACAACAGTGTTTTACATTACATTTTGAAAAGACAATAATAGATATTTAAAATGTACAAGGCGCTTGCTGTATGTAATATTAACAGTACAGATATTCCTAAAGAAATTGGATCAAAAAGGACATAAAAAAAAAAAAATAAAAGAGTTAAAAATCCAAAATAGTTTTGTTTAAAAAAAATTATAGTGTAATAATTATTATTAGTCAATGAAACAGGACTTACAAACAAATTAATGTTATAAAAATTAATTTCAATTTCTAACGTTGTAGACTGAATAACTAATCAAATAAAATTATGAAAAAGTAATCTAGATTCTTAGTTTAAATATTATTGAATTATATTTTAGATTCAGAGCGTAGTGATGAATTTATTGGTTTACAATGATTTTAATATTTTTCAAAACTAAAAAATTTCTACCAGAAATCTTACTCTGGTGTATCAAATGTAGCCCATGTTCTGAAAAGAAATTTTATCTAGTTGGTTCTTTAGGGAGGCCATTTTTGATTTTCAAAATAAATGGAATAAAACGGATAAACAGGCAAATATTTACAGTGTAATGATTTCATGATTTTACGTTTTTGGTACTTATGTTTTCTACCAGAAATATTGCTCCAATAGGAAAACGAAAGATCCCTATTATGTTGTATTTTCGATCTAGGTGTTGTGAACGAATTTTCACAAATTGGATAAATTTTATCCTCTCAATCAATAGGGTTATCTTGCAACTAAGTAGCAAGGGTATTTTAAATATCCTGTTTAGTTTGTTTGACTGAACCTTAACTAAAAGCTAAGGCTTTAACTAAACCTTAACTAATCTAAAGTACTTTACATAACTCAGTGAGTAACGAGGTTTATCATGAACTACCCCTTTTAACTTCTGGCCAAATTGTACATATTTCAGTTACAACCGGATTCTAAAATTTCTGATGCTTTGAAAGTCGTTAAAATGTCTAATAATATGTTATTAAAATGTTTAATAATGTGTTACCTACCTACTTTTACGTGCCGTTTTTGTTTTAAGGGACGAAGTAGTACGTATTTTGTAAGGTGTTCCTCGTCCTGATAAACCAATATAAACTTATATTCATTGTGCTTGCATATCTATAAGGTCAATCTGACTGCCAGAAATTATTTCAGAAGATAAAATTGATTTTACAACTAACTTTCTTGGCTGTCCTTTTTCTTTTTTTTACACAATTCGCAACTATTTAAGTGACGTTGCTGGAGGTCAATCAGGAGGAAGGCTGGAAGGGTGAAATGGTAGGTATATATTTTGTATTAATGTTTGGGCGGTAAATTGTTAGATTAGGTTAGCCGTGGTAAATTGTTATATACACCACGGCTATAAATACTACGAGTATATTATTTTATTACCTATAAGCTATAGCCGTTATTAAAATATTACCATTCACCGCTAAAAAATGCCAAGGGGTGATCCACCTACCGCCAACCACCCTCTGCAACTATGTCACTGGGATATAAGCAATCGTCAATAGAAAATGATGACTGTTCAAACTGTGTTCAAAAACTTTTATATTATTTAAATACCTATGGTACATTTTAAATTTATCTGTAACTCAAATCAATTTTCAAATTTTCGACAGAGGAGGGGGCAATTTTGCAAATTTATACAAAGCATACATTTATGATAGGCTCAATGATGAATCAAGCTAATAGTATATTGTAGAGTAAACAGAGGGAGGGGGCCAGTAGTATAGCGATGGGGTGGTATGACGCGGGCAATAAGCCATTGGCCCATGACATTTAAGGACCTCAAATCAGGGCCCAAGGCATTATTGAACTAATGAAGACCTTTTTTTTTCCCTCTTATTAATCTTTATACAATATTTTTCCACGGGTATTAGAAGTTCTAATTACGCCACTGGAGGGGGCCATTGCATCTAGATCCGTCACTGTCTTTATAACATATTGTCTGTCTTAGTTAGCCTACTTAGGCATTCTCTAAAATGGCTGACCAATAATAATATCAATACATATAAAAAAAAACAGGCAGAGCCAAAATATACCTTAATTTTCAATAATACTTAAATATCATAGACGATACCCTAACATAGTATGTAACATAATACTTATATACAATTATTTGTTATTATAGTGTATCGATTTCATACCTATCTTGTACTGTATGAAGGATAACATATTTTTAACATAGATAGGTGTTGTACAATTTGAAAGACTTCAAACTTGAGTGATTTGTTTTAGGTAAAATGTTACGTAATAATAATGTACAAATAAGTACTTAGTAATTGCTTCACTAAATAAATATTTAAAAACTATTAAGCATAATATAAGCTATTATAGGTGCCAGGTAGCTACTTACTTTATCAATTTTCATTAGTTTTTGATTTCACGATTACGACAACTGCATAAAATATGCATGTCAATACACCGTCTATATTACCCATTTTAGATTCTGGGCGAAGCGAAACATGTATTGATTTTTCTATACATTTATTTATTATTTTTGTCTGCACACAACTTTTCTACCAAAAATCTTGGTTCAATCATCAATCAACTTTAGGAGTGGTTTCTGGCTAAATATATTGTCTCGTTGTTGCATTAGGGAATATAGGTAATTGTTTGATTTTCCTTGTAGTTTTCTATTTTAATAAGTAGGAAGAAACGGGAAAATATACGTAATTTAATTTTTTTTATTTTTAGTTTAGAAACAAAATATAAGAATTATAGTTTAAGGATCTAGTAATTATTAAAAAAAAAACTTAAAAATATTGAACAGAACAAGTGTATTATATTACATATTTCAAATCTTAATGAATCGAGTACTCTGTATATGACTTAGCAAATTTCCAAAGTGATTTCACCAATAAACTTATTGGAGTTGGACAAATGGATTGTTTTTAATATTAAAATCGACCAAATATCCACTGTTGAATGAACAAAAAAATAATACATGGGCTTAGGTTGTCCATTTCGTTCATTAAAAGGATGTTTTTGGAAATACAAATTAAAAACCATATATTGAAAATTCAGTTTATCTTGAAACAATTTTTCAATCCTCTTGTAAATTGCCTAAACAAAACCCCTTAAACATTGGTAGTGTAACCGAATTTACTGAAATAATTACATATTAATTATTATATTAATGTGAAAATGGCAAAATGCGTAGATATTCAAGCAAAACATAATACAATTGAGTTAGGTACCAACTAAATTAATCATAATATATGTCATGCCTAAAAAGAGGGACATAGTTCGACGTGGGTAAGCCACTGTTGTAAGTGAGAAGTTGAGAAGGTAAAGGGGAAATTTAATGTTTATCTGTATGCAAAGATTTACAAAAAAACGATTCTGAGCGGAGTTCGATTAATAGTGTTGTTTTGTCAACAATATTTATTTTGTCATATTATGGTAAAATAATTACATATGCATTATATATTTGTTTAATGTTGTATCTACTTCTCCGGATTTTTTCATTAACTGGGAAAACTCCTGAGAAAATCAAAAAATGATCTCCCTAAAGTATCATCCCAGTTAGGTTTCCTTTCGGAAAAAATGCTATTATTGTAAATCGAATCAAAATTGCTGGTTGAAAAGTTGTTTAGATAAAAAAAAAATTAAAAAATATACACCATTGTAAAATCAATACATTCCTCGTTCCCCATAGAATCAAAAATTATGTAAATAAATGTTTGTACCTATTTAACTGATGAGCAATGGCTACTTTAAATTTTACTTCAGCTTTGTGTCGGCAACAAACAATATTATCAACGCTTATAAGTTGTGTTAGGATTTTATCGATGAACTACTTCCGTCGATCTTAAACCAAAGTTTCGCGTGTTATCAGGAAACGAACACGGTTCACCGGGACTAAGGGACTAAGGGGACTTGAGCAACCTCCTTATCGAAATTTCAAAAAATCTTTAACTAATAAAAAGATGTTGTATTACTTTTTTTTATGTTATCTATAATATGTTGAGATAAATAACGTTTTCATGAAACAGGTGGATATTTAGATAGCAATTAGTGAACAATGGAATTTTTAACGAATAATTGATATTTTGCATACACTATCTTCTTTTTTTAGAGGGGAGACAGGGGGGGGGCACACTATGCGAAAAAATCCTGCGCACGCCTATGAGTAAATTATCAGTGCAACGGTTGCAACGGGCGAAATGTTTTTCGGATAAAATATTTTCGTCTTATAATTGCCGACTGCTGTTCGTTATTAAAGTATTATTATTTTTCCCTCATATACCTATGTGTAGTTACTTTCGGATAAAAACACGTTTCGTACGAAATATCTCCGAGTAAAATACGCCCGAACGATAGTGATTTTCCGGCCAAAATACATTTCTGACGAAATATTCTTCGGATCTAATACGATTACGGTAGCCTGCTGGTGGATCATAATACGCGGGCACAGCGAACACAGATAACACAATATTGGCCTATTATCTTTATGATTGTAGTATAGTGGTTGGTACCTAACCGAGGTAATAGTATAACCGCACGATCAAATTGGAATACGAACGCGAGCTGCCCCGGCCAGGAGGCAGGAACACGCGATGGCGACGGCGATCGGACACGACCGCGCGGCTACCCGTCACGATAATAACAAATAAAACAATTTTTCGAACGGTGTCTAGGTATAAATATATTTTTTTTTTTCACACTGGGTAGGTATACTGTCGGGCGGCGTTACGGGATATTATAATACCGGCTGCACAGCGTATCCGGCGTCTGCCGCTACAACTGTCTGGAGTGTCTGTGTCTCTCCGCTCTCGTACGTACGCGTCGACGGTATTTTTTTTCCCAACGGCGGACGGAAAGGGGTGGCGGCGACGGCGGCCGTCCAGTGGTTACCAAACGGCGGTCGGGCGACGCGATTCAAATGGGCGGTGTCGGCGGCGGCCGCGGCGGGCGCACCCAGTCGTCAATCAAACGGTAGTGTAGAGCGGTACGTCGGTACACTTCTTGTGGCACCGCACATTTAGTGCATTCCGCGGACTCGGCACACGCACAATATTCGCGCCCCGTATCGCGGTTACCGTTTCCCTTCTGTATACAACTGCTGTCTAAAATCGTATGACAATTATCGTCATCGCCGTCGCGATATTTCATCATCCCTATCGCGAATCCGATAACGTCCGCGGCGCCGACCGCATCGCGTGCGCGGTACTTTTCCCGTTTTTCCATACGTTATTACAAATTATTAAAACACCATTACAGTTCGGTAACATTACATTATCGGGTTACGTTGATTTACACGTTATTCTAAAACGACACCATGGTACAGCAGTCGACGGACACCGTACGCTGTTGCAGATTTTGGCTCGCATCACAACACTATGTAAGTACCTACCGAATACCTATTATTATATACCGGCCTACCGCCAATTCGTGAACGTCTAACTCCGAGAGACTGTATTATATCGGTTTGGGGGTTTCGTCAGAGTCCGTCGGATTTGATGGACGTGCGAATTCAAAGTTGTTGTCATTGGCATTCTGACGGTCGTCTTTTACGGACACAATTTTCGGTATCCACACCTGTATATACCAATGACCATTATTCGTGTACATTGGCTTGTATTCAACTTGAATAATAGTCGTGGTTTAAAAAAAAAAAAGTTATTTATTTGCATAAAGTCGGCTATACATTATGCAATTTTTTGGTTAACAGTCAACACTGACAAACATCAAACATGTTTGATATTCATCAGTTCAAAAATTTGATTGCCAAATGCTAATCGTTGCCATTCATAAAAATTGTCACAATCATAGTATGTGTGTGATTTGGTAATGTCTTATTGAGATAAAAATAACTTATGTCAGCCGTACACCATGAATAATGAAAGACTGATTGTTGATCGGCAGTCGTTATTAAGTTATTAGATTTATGATACACCATAACTATCCTAACTAGGTACCGGTCAAATATTTTTCTTTCAACGTTTATAGTGTATGGCTGGCTTTAGGTATTTTCAATGGTATTTATATATTATCTCATTTAGACACAACCAAATCACACGCATGCTATGACTGCGATCGTTTTTAAATAAATATAATGTGTACCTATGTACTTACCTTTGTAATTACTTGCTTCGGTAGATTTATTATTTTGTTTACTGTCAACATATTTCTATACAGGTTCATAGGTAATCTTACTCGTAGTATTTCTTGTGCAGTCTGATTTTACAAACCGACATTCCTATTATAATCTTATGTAAACAATAAAACACTTAAAGAGTATAGGCGCATATGAAAATATTATGTGCGCATTGCACTGCGCTAATTAAAAACTTGAATAAATAAAAGTAGAAAATGTCAGATAGTGTTATAGGTAACCTACCTATTTATTTGTTGATAAATATGTCTGAACAAAATGTAAACTAACATTAATTATGATAAGTAGTAATCACAAATTAAGATATCTTAATTTGTGTTAGTAGAATTTTGTTTGCTATCAATCTTGCAGAAAAAATGTTTTTATTTAACTTAATTCAAAGTGAATTGTACGGTATTATATGATTAGACATTATTAGTGCTTCATGTTTTTATTTAAGGAAACCATTCTCATTTCATTTATGCATAATGTGTAGGTATATACTGCTGTAACTTAAGATAGGTTCCTAGTATTTGAAATATCAATATTAAGTACATAGGTTGTAACTATGAATGCCCATGTAACGTTGATTATAGTTAAATTAGCTACTGAACTATTTTTTTATTTTTCAATGACTGAATTTATAATAAAAAAAAAACTATTAAAGTTTTTTTTTCTATATAATGACATCATATACTTAAAACTAATATCTAGATTCATATCATCAGGTATATTTATCTAATCTATGTAGTTATGATTTAAAGATTTTTGTTAATATTATGTATTTTAAGTAATACTTGAGTACCATTAATAAAATATGTAAGGTAAATTCTAACTACCTATTATGTCTTGTCGATACTGGATTGATATTTATTTATTACCTCCCTGATTATCTATGTACCTATAATATTACATGTTATTATATTTTAATTAATTGGAAAATAAATAAATAATTTAATGAGTTTTTTATAGTTTTTTTCCGTGTACCAGTTTTTTTTCATAGAGTAAATAATTATGTATCTTATGCATGAATACCAATTTCATACTGACTAAAGATTTTTGTATTTTTTGTCAATACTATAAACATAGTGCTTAGTCAAAAATAAAGTATATTTACAGTAGTTTTAATAATCCAGAATTTTTTTTCCACATCTTGGTATAATTAAAGTTTTTGGTTTAACTAATGTTTACAATAATTGACCAAGAAAAAGAATGTTATTGAATGCGGTTCTTTGAATTATTACCTGATTATGAAAATATTTTTGTAATGTTTAGGATACCTATTAAATATATTAAGTAATGGTGATGAACATATAAACATAATATGAGTAAATTCAAGTAGGTATTTGTAGATAAGTTGGTAATATAATAGGTACATAAATCATTGTTAAAGTTTTTATGATTTGAATATGACATGGAAACGTCTTTTAAATGATTTATTTATCATATTTATAAGTCGGTGGACTTAAAACAATTACAAATATTGCAATTTATGGAATAGCAAACTAAAACATTTGTAAAAGTACCTAATTATTTTTATCAAATATCAGCAACTACCAAATAATTAGGTAAGTGACTGCAGATAATATACAATAACTATCCCAAGGCTGGGTACTAACTAATTAGAAAGTTAGAAGTTAATTTTGTAAGTATCTTTTACTTAACTAGTTACTTTGTTTATATTGTAACTTAACTAGTAATTTTTAAAACAATTAAAAGTTATTCTTACAAAATGTGTACTCTGGTTTCAAAAATATGATAAAAAAACGTTTATTTAAAATTGCCCTTCGTTGGTATCAAATTGATATTGTGTTATTGGTATGTGGTTTACTGGTATTAGATTGACAATATAATGATATTGTTGATATCAATGATATATTGGTTGATGATTAGGATTGACATAAATTATATACTAAACTTGTTAGTTTTTTTTTTTATAATATCCTTAGAAATTATCAATTACTTGTCCTGGGCTGATGATTGATGTGTCAAGTATTTTCCACCCACAGATATGTAAAATGTATAATTATTGTTATACATTGTTTTTTTTTTGATTATAAATTATTCTATATTTGCAATACATTGTGTTAATACATCAAATATTTTATTAAATTATCAATTCAATTCAATTCAATTGATATTATCATCAATAATTTAGTGATTTTTAAGTTATGAAAAAAAAACTGACTTGTAACTTTTATTTTAACTTAAGTTAAGTTAAGTAAGTTAGTTTTTCACCAACTAAGTTAGAATTTTAGAAAATTTTAGAAACTAACTTCTATTCTAATTTTATTTGTATTATAGTAACTTAACTTTAACTAGGCAGTTGAACAAAATTACTAACTTACCCAGCTTTGAATTATCCTCATAATTTGCAAAAATTATTATACCTTTATCATAATTTGTAAAAATGTTTAAAAATATAATATTGTTTACAAATTTAAAACAATGAACAAACAAAACAGATCATGACCTACTACAATTATCACCTCTTTCATCTTAGAATATTCAAGTCAGTTAAGGTGTCTGAAGTCTAAAATATCTTTTTTGCTATTACACAAATGCAACAGAGTATTGTTGGTGATGGAATTTAACTCTGAATTTAACTCTCAATAATAATTTCTATTGTTTCAGCATAATGTACTGAGTAATATATTATGACCGTGTCTTTAGGCTAAAAAAGATATACAAGGTACAAAATCATTTTTGTTGGCGAAACTATATAATTATAAGCTTGCTAAAGAGTTATTGTTTAGGTATATGTGATAACGTAACCCACGATTGTATTTATCTGGTATTTATCATTTATATAACGTTTACAGCACACTGTTTCGTAAATTATTTAAATGGTTAATTTTACCCTTTATTTTAATATTTATGAAGTAGGTATATCAGAAAGTACATACCAAGGTATAAACGCAATAAATAAAACATCGTCTAGATACCTCTAAATACAAACGAACTCCAATAAATTGAATTAAATTAGTTTACTTTTTAAACACATAATTCGTTAACGTATATAAATTATTATATTATTAACAGTTATCGCAACTGTACAGATGTTTTACTTAATTATCTAATTATGGTACTTGCACCATATAACTAATAAGATTAAAAAAAAAAAAATCGAAAATATAAGTGCTTTACATCATAGTTACTCTTTTGACTGGAATATTGCATTTAGAGAAATTATTTATCCCTCAGAAAATCTGTCAAACACTCAAATTTTTTTAGTTTGCGCCATTTATTCATTGTGTAAAATGTGGGTGTTTGTGCGTGTATATACTGTATACTAAGTCCACGAACACATGATTTTGACCCTATTGCGTGTGTATGTAGGTGTTCTGCTGTTCCTTATTATTATACCTATTTACATTCCTCGTGTTCCATTCATTATCGTTTATAGTCATCTATAGACTTGTAGGTTTTAATGCGTGTGTAGGATTATCCGAACATATTGTAAGCTATAACACGAGAGGATGCTCGAGATGTCCATTCATCTTTTTATTATTATAGAGTGTCCAATACAAACTCAATTTAATATATTAGCATTTCCGTTTGACATAAATTGTACATTATAAAATACAGATAGGTCCAATGCTAATGGTCGAATAAAAATAAAACAAAAAACCAAATTATAAAAAGAGAGATTAATTTTGACATTTTTAAATCATGGTCACGAATGGTTCATGGCTTAATTCCGCGTGAATTTAACGCTTTTACCGGATTGTGTCCAGTGCAGCAGCAAGCACTATATTATTATTATAGCCGTACACACAAAATTATTTTCTGAAACGTGCAAGATATAGGAGGTCAAAAACGACTTGGTAGGTTGGTACACAATGGGTTCTTAAAATTATTTCGTCATATCTGATGTTTGGATTTGACGCATATTGCCCGTAGAAAAACACTAGATAGACATTTTTTTATTTACGGCGAAATTAACTAAAAACCAAAACGCATCGTTGGCGATTATTTCGAGTATCTAGGTATTATCCGCATTAATTATTGTATTTTCATATTTAATTGATTTTTTTTTTTAATTATTACTTTATAGATTAATAATACGATATCCACTTTATCCTGAAATGGAATAAATAGATACTACATTTTTCTTCAAAAAAAAATATAAAATAATAATAATAATAACAGAATTTAGATAAATCCATACACTTTCCTCAATTGTAAATTGGCGATTTTAATTTATATTAATTATTTTATGTTTATCCATAGCGGTAATATTTTTTTTAGTTATGAATTTCTGATATAAAAGTATCAATTATTGAACTCGTCGAACGATATCTCGTTTATTATCGACACAATAATATTGATGTTTGAAATTTAAAAGCGCGGAGATTTCAACAGTTTATCGCTATAATTCACGTCACTCAACATTCTCGGGACTTTGAATACTTCACATTATACATAGAATTTCTTGGAAAAATGTCTGCTTCGTGATATTAGATGCGAACGGGGGTAAATTTAACACATGAAAAAATAAAATAAGTCTGATTTAAAACGCTCCTTAACGAAGCCTCTAAAATTAATCATACGGTAATTTTTTTATTAAAATAAATCTGGTATTCTGCCAGCGCCTATGTACCATTATATTTTAGGCGCAAGGCACATAAAATCTTTGTTTAATAATAATCGGGACGTCTAGTCGAAAATATGTTTTACAAAAGTTTATTGTCGATTTCTTGATTATGATATTATAATCTTAAATCTCGATTTTTTTTTTAAACATTTTCAATTCAAATCTATCACCCAGTACAGGCAATAATTACATTTTATATGTAAAACAAAATATTTAAATTGAAATTGTTTAACTCAAAACCTTTTAAAACTTTCGATACTTACTCGTATTTTGAATATTTGAAGATGTTTTTTTTCAACTTTAATATTTTGATAATTTTATCTAGAATTAATTTATATTTTTTGATAATTTTATCTAGAATTAAATTTATCAAAAATTAATGATACTTTTATTTTTAAATGTTTAATAAAAGTATGTTGTATATCTAACCTAACCTACGGTGTTATAGCCATTTTATTTCGTGGCATTACGAACTTCAAGGAATCAGCCAAACATATATGCAGAGAAGTAAATAATTTAAATTCCTAGTGAGTTCGTCATTTGAAAATTTGGTTTAAAAAAAAAATGAACGGCCTCTAAAAATATACCTGTCATCATCTATTTAACTAAATTATAATATTTACGTATTTCTGAAAAAGTCATATCCCTTTAGTTAATAGTATACTTTGAAAATCTCAATAACAAAATACATTTCAAGTACCACTTATTATTTATGTAATTTTTTTTTTCTATATGTATATTAATGTAAAATATAAATACACGTTCGTCGATTTAATAGTCTATAAAATAATATTAATATATTTTTATGTGTATTTCGAGACATTTTTTCAACATTATTGTTGCAGCCTATTAAATTTTCGTTATAATTTCTGTTAAGTGTTTATATATTATTTTATATTATCTAATGTAATTTTATTTATTTTACGATTATTTTCCATTAAGTGCCTACCTATATAATACATTATCAGCTATTTTATCGAATCTTATAGGTTTTTTTTTTAACGAAAACTTATTTATTGAAGTTGGTCCTTAATATTACCTATCAAATGTGACGATTAAAAATTGTTAGCTATTGGACTTTTTTTTTTTTTTCATATTTTTGAGTTATTAACGTGTAATTTATTTGTTTTATTGGTGTAAAAATAATAGTTTTAACACTCGTATAATATCAACTATTCCTACGGTTTATATTATACACTGTTTAATATTTTGTTTAAAATATTTAAATGGGTAAACAATTCATTTTATCAAACAGATAATAATTTATAACAACAGTGTTACATTTATATATGTGTATACATTCTATTAAAGTACACATTAAAACGAAACTAAAAAAAATCATTATAAATTTGAATATATATAATGACAGTTTATATTGAACATTGAAATTGTTTTTTGATAATAATGAATAATGCTACAGGTACTCGTACTTAATCATTTATTTTTGTTTTATATTATAATAGTATGCATCACGATTGTAGATACTATATTTTCTTAATAACCTATGATAGAATAGTTAAAAAAAATTTTTAAAAATGTCTATCGGAGTCAGGTACGTACGCAGGGGGTAATTTAAGTGTTCAAATACCTCCCTACCCTTGAAACGTTTGTTTTTTATATAGTTATTCCATTTTAATATTATATTATATTTTAATAAACAAATATAATATAAAATTAGGTTTGTAGAACATCGCTTAATGCAAAATAAATATTTAATATTAATAACAATATTAGGCCTAATTTATAAAAACACCCTCAAAAACTTTTTTCTACGGATGCCCCTGACTGAATTGGATCATGGAATTCGACTGGATTTTAGACTGCTAGCGTTCGTGTGACTTGTAATGTCCCATGAATAATGTTTCCGAGAAAAGTTAACGTTGTAAACCCGACAATTTTCAATTTTTTCTATCTGTCAAATAATTCGCATTATCTAACGGATTGTGATTGAAAACCGGGTATAATAATATATTAGTTTGTTTACTAAAAATTGATGGGAAACAAATAACAAATTATTATCTTTACAAAATGAACTCGGCATAATAGTGTCCAGACTATACGAACAGACTGCTCAAGTAATTTTATTATAGTTTAAAATGATGAAAAAGGCTAGATTTATATCAAAATTTATTATTTTGATTATTAATTAATTATTTCAATGAATATCTAAAAATCGAAACTTTTTGACAATTTAAATTTTTTGATTTATTTTATACGGCGAAGAATGCGACTAAAATGAAATTATTGAACTCTTGTTTTTATTTATTGTACTCATATAATTAAATCTAAACTTGGTGATTTACAATATTTTAATAGTTAATGCGCACACAAAAGAATGCATTAGGTTGATATTTGACATTACAATCATTAATTAAAAAAAAAAAAAGCTGATACTGAGGATGGAAGTGGGCCACTGTTGTAGGTGAGAAGTTGGGAAGGTAGGATATATCCGTAAGCAACGATAAATCATTGCTTGACGAAAGACGATTCCGAGCGCAGTTTGGTAATACATAATTTGAAGTGCCGTAATATTTTTTGAGAATTTCGTTTAAATTTTATTTCAAAACGCTTATTAAAAAAAAAAAATTCGTCCGACGATTTCGGAAATTTTACCACGTCTAGGAAGGTCCAATATAAGTATTATTAAGTTAACGTGTTTTTATAACTGAATTGCAGCAAAAAACTCAAAAATTAAAATTCCTTAAAAGCTCAAAAGTGACTCAAAAGTTTTGTCGATGATTCGGTAAGAAAGTAAACCTAAAAGACAACAAAAAAGGTGTTTTGTGATTTTTGATTAAATCATTTTTTCTGGTAGAAAACATCGTCTGTATTTTTATAAAATAATGAAATCGTGAAATTGTACGTTTTCCTACGTTTTTTTCCACTTAAGTGCTTTTATTTAAAAAATGGCGTCGAAAATCAAAAAATTACCTACACAATGACCTAAAGTTGCTACACGGGTTGAACAATTTGTTTTATATAATAGATAAATTTTTAAAAGTGGCCTGGAGAGTGGCTGTTTCCACGTTCTAAATATTTAAATATTATGTATCATTATAAACTGCATGATAACAATCCACCAGGCTCAAATGAAAAATTATGAAATTGATAGCTTAAATGGAATAATTGTATGAAAGGTTGATATCTGTTTGGTTAAAACAAATTACGAATTCGGTCAATGGGGAGGGGGAGTAAAATTAAACAACTCCTCTTTCTCGCTCGCGATATGACCTTGAATTAAATATATTTTTCCGCAGTAGATTTCTAATTATCGGTCGGTTACAATAAATATTCGATTTTAGTTTAATTGCGTGTCCTAATAAAATTACACAAATATTAGTTCCAAATATAATTGTTGGTTTTTCAGTAACACGACTGATAAACTATAATGTCTTATAATAGGTACCTAGTTTATTACAATTAGTACTTATTTTTTATTACTCGTAACGAATATTTTTTTTCTGTTCAATTATTTCGTGTTTTATCGTCTTGTAAATTATATTATTGCGCGAATACTCTCAGATTATTATAATACCGATTACCTATATTGTATTTTTCTTTCACCACAAAAAAATAAAACGTTATTTATTATTGTCCTTTGTTTTATTTTCTGAATACCTACGCAGTATGTCTGAGAAATTATTTTTAAATTGTCAGCACGAATTGTCGTTCTACAAATTACCTAGGGGTAAAATACAATATTATGTTTTGTTTAATTTTAATTAAACTATTATTATAAACTATATGGACTATGTTTATTAATTTAGTATAATAATTGTATGTACGAGTATTTTGAGTAATATATTATTTTCGTCTACTCACGAAGGATCCCAATGGTCCCCCGCTACATTGATACTGATATTCTGAAGTTAAACAGATATTAAAATTATTTTGTGTATTTGTGTATTATATTGCGTGATAGATTATGTACCAATGCGTATTGTATGATGTTGTATTGGATGTTAAGCGTGAATACGTTTTTTTTCAATCACTACCTAGATGGTTACGCTCTACACCCATAATAAGCAATCAAACTTTTATTATTGTCGGTACTGATTAAATGCATAAAAAATATACGATTGGGAAGAGAAATATATCCGTTATTTTGTCGGCATTACTGCATAGAAAACAAAACCAATACAAATATGTTTTTTTTCTGAAGTATTGAAACTATTCGACTCTACTATAAAACATAAACGAGCCTATAAAAAAAAAAATAGGACCGACAAGCGACGTGCTGAAATTTATCAAGAGAAAGTATTATATTGTTTTATAGTTATGAATTGTAATTGAAGTCTTCTTTCAGTTGTTTCATTATAGATGAACAACTTTTATAATTTATGTAACTCGTGAGTTATAATTATTTTACAAATAACAGTCTTTACTTTTTTATACCAAGTGTTTTCTTAAAAAAAAATAACAACAACAAAAATATCCAACTCATATCAAGAATTTACATTTACACATATTAAAGTATAATTGAATAAGTTAAAAATCACATTTTTCAAAAAACAAAATAAAAAGAAAGTGTTTTCCTGTGCTATATAGAAAGCCGCGATAGAATGCCAATTTTTCTTAAATATATAATTTGGACTAAGAAAATTAAAATTAAGATTTTAATTGTTATCTAGATTTTTTCAAGATTGAAGTTTGAAAAAATTGAATTCAAAGTCAAAAATTAAAACTTTTGAGTTTTGATAATATTTAAAATGGAATAAAAAGTTTCCATATATTATATTAAGTGATTTTTTTATATGGATTAAATATGGGGTTCAATATCAAAACTCACACGATCCAATGGAGCTTATTGGTAGTTTTGGCACAAACCGCTATTTTTCGGTTAAATTTAGACACGTTCTTGTACGTTTTGATACGAACTAATTACATAATCGGATTCACCTCCGAAAATCCTACAGAACAATGTCGCTTACTAATTTTCCCATTTTTCAGAATATGTGTATTGATTCTCGCCTATTTTGTCTTACACCCATTCGAATATAGTCCTGATTTTATTTCACTTGGTTACTTTAGAACTTGTTACAATATTATTGTTATGTAATAATTACAGTTTAATATAATATGAAACACGCGCAGTAACCTTATACACAAAACCATCTTTCCGGTGTGTACATACATACATTATTCAAAAATAAATATAAAAAGAAAATTAAAATTTTTTTTTTATCTCTTAGTCGTACTGTTTTTGTCAGCATCGCCCGACTATGAAAACGATAATATTATTACACGGTAGACCGCCTAATACTTTTTTAATTTGTAAAGATTTCACTTCCTGTGTGGGATGATGCCATCTATAAAATATGAATTTTTATCCGTATAATATTTTGCATTCTTTATTCTCAATTTAAGTGTTTTATCTTCTACTATAATACGAAAGTATTCTTGACAAAAATTAAAAATAAAAACTATAATACTACTAAAATATATTAAGTATATTAAATAATATTATTGTGTGTGTTTGTGTGTGTGTGTTAGTAATTTAAATACGTAATAATAATATTATCAAACATTTGGGTAAATATATTTGCATTACGGTGCTATACTATAGAATAAATAATATTATATTTGGTTTATTTTGCTTTATTTACCCACCTAATAACTAAATAATATTAGTAATGCATAATGTTATTTTTAAATTATTTGTGTACCATATATCTTTAGTGACCGACCATTAATGATAAATTAGTTTACAGACTGTGAAATTACGAAATAATAACAATAAAAAAATAAAAATAATGTGTATATTTGCAATGATTTGTGTGTTGTTTGTTAAATGTATACCGATTTTTATAGTAATATGTATATTAAAAGTATAAAAATAACAATATCCACTGATGATAGCGAAAACACTCGGCTATCAATAGCTGTTGTTATTATTGTTAATAATGACAACAAATAATCATAAAATTTGTAGACAAACGTAATATTGTGAAATCTTCTCTCGAAAAACTAATAAATAATTTATTTATTAGGTATTTGACTGTTTTATTATTTTATCGTTGTTTGTCCTCTACATATATCTATTTTCAGTATTATAATATTTTTCTAATCACACAATAATATATAATAATATGGTATTATTATAAATTATGGAAACTATAGCTATAGGTTTTTATTGTTTTTTGTGTACAACTTTTTTACCGGCAATCTTGTTCCGAACTATCAAGCACCTTTTCTGAAAGGTAATTTTATCTATTCAGGTGCATTAAGGAGGCCACTTTTGAATTTTTATAAGAGGTTTTCAAAATAATTATGAAAAAATCCCTCAAAAAGTAATAGATAAAACGGTAAATATTTACGACACGCCGCGACATTACCGATTTCATTATTTTAATTTTTGCAAACGATATTTTCAACAAGTAATCTTGCTCCTAATTAAAAGATAGATTTTGTTCCTTTTAATATATAGCCAATGTTAAAGAAAGTCGTTTATTGATATTTAAAGTATTTTTCATAATAATTGGGAAAATTGTAAATTCTTTTTACTATAAATATTGCTTCAATAAAAAATAGACTACGAGTTCTTTTTTTTTTTTGGAATTTCTCTGTAGTTTTATTAATAATTAGGAAAATCCAGAAAAAAGAATGCAAGAACGGAACAATTAATGAAAATTCGTATTTATTATTTAATTTTTTTTTTTTAACATAATAAAGTTAAAAATATTTGTAGAGACTTGAAATTATGAAAGAAAACTTATATTTGCTTTTTATAGACGTAATAAACGTTTCCAAAACATTTACATCTTCGATCTATTTATAGGCATTTTAATTTTGGGAGTTTTTTATGGAAATTTTATAGGAGGTTCATCAAGTATTGTAAGTTGGTCAATAAAAAAAAAATTGAGTGCATGATTTTTTTTTTAGAGTTAAAATCAAATCATAATTCGTAAATATATTGGCTTTTATTTTGTACTTCAATATTATCATTAAAAAAATTGTCTTACACGGTTATATTATTTAAATTAACTCGGTTGGTAAAAATAATATTTCAGCTATGGCGGATTATTTTTGTTCCGTATAAAATATTTAGTGGATGGAACTGTAGAACTATATGAAAATAACATATAATATCGACATTGAATTAGAATGTTTGTTCGAGAAATTTTATTGAATATTTATTACTCCATTAAATTTGTTAAGTATTTTACTATAGATTATCTCCATCAAATATTTCGGTTATCTTACGCGTTAATTATATCCACATTACGAAAATAAATCTAAATAGCGTTAGACGTTAGTCTGTCAATACTCGAGACCTATCGATTTAAAATTGTGTAGATCTCATAGGGTAGGGGAGGAAGTCGGAGGCTATTGCATTATTTTATCAACATATTAAAAACCAAATATAATACATTTATTCAGTTGACTAAGATCAACGATTATATATATATATTATTAATATATACTTCTTAAATCTAAAAGTTTGCAATTTATGTATTTTTGTTTTAAACTAACATACTTCACACCATAAATAGGCCACTGTTGTAGGCAGGAAGTTTGGAATAGATAATTAATGTAATTTATATCTTTAGGTATAAACACAACGATACATCATAGTAAATAAAAAATGATTCTGAGTGAAGTCAAGAGTTTTAACATACATTTTAACTTAAAAAACATTGAAAATAAACTATAAAATTAATTTAAAAAAAGAACTCGAAAATTTCAAAAAGATTTGATAACTCGAAAAACTAAAATATTTAAATGATTGCACCACATCTATAAAGTGCTAATTAATATAAGTATGATGTGAAAGTTTCACAGGTCTGTAAATTTTTTTACTGAATTAAGTACAGAAAAAAAAAACACGAACAATTGTAATTTATTTTATAGTAACAAATTAATACAATTTTATTTTATCAACAACAATTTTACAGAACTTGGATCTGAATCATTTTTCATTAGCAATGATTTATCGTTGCGTCCCTAAATTAAATTACCCTATATGAATATATTATTCTTTCGTCACTTAATGTATTCAATATTTATCGAACATATATTTTTCTGCAAAAAAAAAATACCTATAATAATAACAATTTATTGTTCAGATTATTAAAGTTCAATGTAATAATATAATTTTTTTTTTTTAATTATTTACATACCACTTATCCTAATTTTTTTTATATATTTCAAATTTAATTAATAATTACATATAATAATCAATTTATATTTAATTATTTGTTAAAATTAAAATCAACGAGGTCAACACGTCAGGAGAGGCGAGTGATCTAATCAGAAGAAAAGGGATGCCCTGGGCCTTACTGCGCAGACTCGGGTTTTAATCCTACTCCAGATATTTGTTTATTATTCATTTGTACGCATTAAATTTTGTTGCATACCTCAACATATACATAGATATATATATTTTTTTAACATTTAATTGCCTTGGAAACATTATAATATATTATTGAGGTATATTACTTGTTAGATGGGTACTTAATTATTTTATTATAAAAGTAAACGATTATATTATTAAACGCTTAAATACAAATTTTGACATTGTTCTAAAAATATTTCCAATTATTACGAAAATTACAAGGAAAATCAAAAAAATACTTTCTCAATGTACCAACTATTGACAGGATTTAGTATCAGAAATCCAACCTTGAAATTGATGATTGGAGCAATAATATGTCTGGTTGAAAATTGATTGACAAAGTAAAAAAACCCATGATGGGTTTAAAACCAATGCATTTCTCATTGTACGCTGAGAGTCTAAAATTTAACCGATCCCTATAATATATTATTAACTCATATAGACGATATTATATAATATTATAAATAAATACGTTTACTTTATATATTATGGTGTTTGTTTTTATAGACAATTTGTTCATACATATTATATATTATATATAGATTCCTGCTTAAGTATTGAGTATATTAAGACTAATTTATGACGTTATCGAATGAAACGTTTGTTTAATTTAGAGGTATTATATACCTGTAGGTACGTTACGTTTTAGTCGACGTTTGTTTTGTAAAAAAGTAAATTCGGCTATGCGGATAGTAAATATGATTATCGAATGAAAAGTATTAAGTTTTCAATGAAAAAACCGCGTCATATTATATCATATATATTATATAATATTGCGGTTCGTGATACGAACGCGAACACGACATGGTCTTATAGAACTTGTTGAACGTTGTGCTATTATAACGTTCGTACTATTATTCTATAGGTACATGTAAATCGCCGTGTCCAATCGTAAGTCACTGCTGCGGCAGCTTAAAAACTGCCTTGACCCGTAATTGAAGATAGAACTAAAAAAAAAAAACTACAAAAAAACAATTCGATTATATCGAATCCGGAGAAACCTTAATCGTCGGCTATGCGTGCGGGGCGCTTTATGATAATAATAATTAGGTATGGGTGTACCGATAATATATTTAATATGCGTGTGGGGTTGACGTGTGTCGACCACGTCTGCGGTGTGCAAGATCAATTACGAATATTAACCTGTCGTCGTTCGTATTATTATTTTCGTGTTCGTAAATTGCCTCTAAACTTGCAGTGCAGTGCACGCAGTGTGTAATCTATAATGTAATGATGAATATTATCATTGCTCACCGGATGATAAAATCATGACCTCGAAAATTAAATATTAAAAATTCGCTAGGTGAACTTATAGGCATATATATAATATGCATTGGAATTATTGACGAAAACGGATTATTGTTTTTATTACTTTTATTACGTTTCAAAAAAAAATAATAATAAGGTAGGTGGCAACGATAAATCATTGTTTACGAATTACGATATTTTGGGCAAAATTTGGTTAAATATGTTTTGTAATACCCAGATTTTTATCTAAATTTAAACTTTAAGTACTTTAAACAAAAATAATTACTACATTACGTAAAAACATTTTTTTTACCATCAAGTACAACACGTGATAAATGTCGTATAAAATTTTCAAATATTTCTTCTCGCCAAAAAATTTTTATTCATTACATTAAAACTTAAAAAAAACTAGGAAATGTCAAATGCCTATAAATAGCTTAAAAATCGCCAGAAAATTTTACTTTGTTTAGAAATGTCCAACATAATTATTCTGTGGAAATTATAGATCTAGTTTTCTACTTTTTTATCGGCTCTAAAGAAAACTATAAAAAAAAAAAATAGAAAAATCCCCCCCCCTCATGCACCGATTAGATAAAATATACTACCAGAAACCAGCCTTGAAGTTGATGGTCAGTGCGAGATTTCTGGTAGAAAGACGTTTTGTTACCCATGGTGAAATGACTGTAACCCGCTTAAAAAAAAAAACCACAAAAAGTTTTCTTTTCTTCCCTGCTGATACTATACTTTTTGTTTATGTTTAACTTATTTTCTCGCGAAGGACGTAGAAGACGTAATTTAGCGTTAGCTAATATAATATCATTATCAGGGCCGTTCTAAGAGGGGGCACTGCCCTAGGGCAAGGGCACCGAAGTCGTTCTAAGTGTACAGAGCGCTAAATCTTAGATATATATATATATCAAGTTAAGGCACTAAACACGGCGATTGCCCTTAAGTACCAAAGTTCGTGCTATAGTTGACATATTACTGAGTATTATTACTTAAGAGAACGCCACTTCTGTATTTACAAGTCTAAATACCGAGCAACTTGCGAAAACAATGCTTACGCAACCTAAGTAAACTAGTTTAATTTTGATTTTAGAGTAAAAAAGTATCTGTTATGAAATTTATAGAAAATATTTTTGGAGGGAACCTCATCGGGTTTTAGTATGATTCTAAATATGTAGCTCGTTATAAAAGGCACAGTAACCTTTCTTTTTTTTTAGTTTTTTAAATAACTAAATTTTTTAATAGTTCATAATTCAAAAAACAACTATGAGGTCCCCTTCAAAATATTGTTCTCCATACATTTTATAATAGTTACTTTTGCTTTAAAATCAAAATTAAGTTAGTTTTACTTACTCTGCGTAAACATTATTTTTGTATGGTACCCGGTAATTGGACTGAGACAGTAGATGCGGGTGTGGCGTCCTTTTAAATGATAAACTTCGGCGTATATTAATATACAATTTGTAACTTTGTGACATGTTTCCTCTATATAGGTACTTCGTCGCTCGTAATTTTTTTTTCCTTTGATTAACTTACACTTGCCACCGGACGATTTTCACGTCCAATTCGGTATAATAATACGAGATTATAATATATGGATGTGTGTATACAATAATAATAACAATACTATAGTAACTAGCAGTAGACAGAGAGAAAAAAAAGAAAGGCGGTGTAGCTGCCGTCGATCTGTCAATGACCGCATGGTGGCAATGCGCGTGTAGTACCTGTGTTGAAAACCATCGTCGTCCTCGTAACGGTATACGCATTTCGTACGCACATTTTTCATTCCGTTATCGATAATAGAATAATATAGTTATGTCGTACGCGTATAATATTTCTCATATTATTTCGGTTATTTTTCATTATTTGTCTAAAAAGAAAATTGACGACAATCTCTGCACGTTTTATGCGTGTGTTTAGTCGAGATGGTCGTTCTTCCGGCGAGGTTCTATCTCGTATTTCAGGACCGGATCCGTTCGGTTTAAAATGTAACTGATCAGTCGAGATTTAACAAATTTCTTATGCATTATTTATAACAAAATATTATTCTCTATCAGTCTATCATTTGTATTATTATAAAATAACAAAATACTAACACATCATATTAATTGCTTAACTACATGGTGGTGTAATTCAGGCCTGAATAATATTTCTGTATTTAAATTTAATGGTACTGAAAATATTGTTCATTATTAATTGTAATTAGATAATACAGACTTTTTTAAATTATATAAATATTTAATTAGGGGGAGACTAATTTTCTTCTCTTATTCAAAGGTGATTTTTTCGGTTCAATAATCGGCGTCGGTCATAAGCTAAGCTGTAGCTGCGAATGAAATCTAGTCACGCCCATGAAACGGGGAAACATTGTCCTCGACATTTGGACGAAATAAGACGAGAGTGAGTATTATAAATAATAAGATGTACTGGTACGGGCGCGTTGAGTGATGAAGGACAAGATATATAGTGAAGAAGATGATTGCATACGACTATATTATATAGAGATTACGATAAGGGGAGGTATGAGGTCGTGATGTGTGAAGTATAGAGACGAAGAAACGGCGACGGATACGGGGTGATGAGTTTGCGTGAAAGGCGAGAATATAGCACCAGTAGCTAACATTTGCGTGGGATATGTAAAGGCGGAGGACTAAGGATAGTGTATAGAAAATAAGATGTTATATAATATACGTATGTGGGCGACGTTCGCGTATAATATTATATATTGTAATAATAACGGAATTCGTGACGCTGTTACGGCGGCGGCGGTGTCGGAATCGTGATTACGTCGAAGGGGTTGTAATCCGAACGGGGTTATGGATCCTGCTATACGGCGGACCCGTTAATCCGGCTTATATAATTATTATTTATAATATATTATAGCTGCTATACTTTGGAACGTATAATTTATTTTTTATGATAATGTTATTGTGAATTTCACGCCCGCTTCAATAATATTTATTATAATCCGCACGGGTGCGGTCGGGTTTTCCGTCATAAAATAACACGGGCATTTTCGTGATAGCCATAAGTAGTCAGTCATTTCCACATGTTTGGTTCACAGAAAAATAAAAAAAAAAAAAACTAGTAAAAATTAGATACTTATAATAGTGGAATATTGACGGAATATATTTTTTTTTCTTCTCCGGAGATTCGCGCGTGCCCGTACCGCGTTTTACGGTACACCCGGCCGCATATTTACAGACCCTATTCGCGAGTTCTCGCGAGGTAAACCTACAGCCCAATACGTGGTCGATGAGAAACCACGTGTTTAATGTTTACATATCGCTCGGGCCGAATATTCTGATAGGGTCTGCAAATACGCTATCCGGCCGCAGCCGTCTAAATATTATATTTATAATTCTTACGGATAATAATAATAGCATAATGTGCAAATAATGTGTACTTACAATAGTGTTATTATACGGTGCAGATACAGTCAAACCGAGCGGAACGGACCGCGTAATATGCGTCGTCGACTGTCGTAATATTTTTTTTTTTACGTTGTTCTTGCGTTTTTACCGCAGCAGTCATTTCGAATTTGTTCACGGGACGCAAAAAACTAACATACAAACGAAGAAGTCGGGACGGTAGACGGGAAATTGAATGAATATCTATTCGCGAAGATTAATCATTGCTAACAGAAAACGATTCTGAGTGGAGTTCGGTTGTATATGTTTTGAAAGACCGTAATATTTACGATTTGAAAATATAATACGTTCCGTGAGTTTTCCCGATTTTTTCTATTTACTATGAAAACTCCGAAAAAATGATCTCAAAGAACCACCCCAGTAAAATTGTCTTTCATAAGAAGTGCTACACTTGAAAGTCGGAGCAAAATGTCTGATAGAAAAGTTATATACGGAAAAATAAATAAATATCTTTGTAAAACCAATATATTCCTCATTCCGCCCAGAATCTAAAAAATACAAAACCGACATACTTCGCATTACGGACGGGCCACAGTTGTAGGCGGGAATCTGGAAGGATGTAGAATGATTTAGTTTACCTTTACATATTATGTACGCATCTGTTCGGCACCGGGTCTCTATTCCGGTTGTTTGATATATCGGCGTTCGGGTTTTATCGTGCACGTGCGAAAATTTTGCTGGTATATTGTGAAATCGCTCGGTTTTTGGAGCCTTCGCCAGTCGACATTTAATAGAAAATAACCTTTGATTTGTTATGCAAAATCGCGTTGGGGCGTTCGCGGAGGAAAAATTGAGAGAATAAAAAACACCACGAATATGTTCTACGGATCGTCGCGCGGTGGTTATAACGGCCTTTATTGAACGCCGTGCCATATGGTGAGTCACCGTTGTTTCAATCAAATTACCGACGCCCAAACCAAAAGAGCGGCAAAATATCTCGGCACTTGGCGCACGGTTGAATGGACATCCGGGGAACGCTTCCTATATAGATGTTGAAACGGATACCAGAATGCTTATACGCGACCCGGCTATAATATTGACTTTTTTTTTTTTTATTATTATTAATTTGTAAAGCATGTTATATTATATACTGCTGTGCTGTCCGATGCGCGTTGCATGTTGTACTCTCTCGGTGCATAGTTTGGCGTACGACGAAAATTTAGCGCGCGCGCATGACGATAATAACATATTATTATCGTGTGTAGTTTATCGTTATCGCTACAGTAGATTCACCTTATAATATTATACACTCTATCCACTATTTTAATCATTATTGTTATTAACATTTTGTGCATATGCGCGTCGTCGGCGTCACTGCATTACACTGTATTATAATGGATCCACATTCCATATTATATTATCGTGACGGCCTAATTCTCAATATTATTATTGTCGTAACTCCAAAAAATGTAATTTTGTGTTTATGATATTTCCAATTAAAATTAACGCGTCGTTTAAAAGCGTGTCGGATCGAGAATTCATAGTTAATTCTCCCGCGAAAGTGCTGGCAAAAATAGGTAGACTGCGAAATGGTCGCGTCGAAGAAAAAATCTTAACTCCGTCGAATTTTCGAAGTTTTATGAAATATTGTCATTTTAAATTTAGGACTTTTGCGAATAAAACGTTTTATGCTTCTCCTGAACAGTGGCCATTTTGTTAGATTTAGGACAATAATTGGGAATTAGGCCGACGATATTGTTATTTTGTGCATACGCGTCGTTTCTCGTCCTCGATACAGGATATTTTATACCGGGTTCGCCACGTCTATAATAAATGTATCGCTATATACTATGCATATATTACATATGTATGTACGGTCAGTAATTTGAGTATCGTATATAATATATACAAAGCGATTTTTCTCGACACATAATACCCATTTATTTCGGAAAGTACTATAACTTTTATATAGACGTTTTCTTTTTGAAATGTATACATATGTCATATATTTATTTAAGATACAAGCAATATTCTCGAATTTGACATTATTATTCCTTTATATTTTTCCTATCCTTATTATCGGCCGGTGAATATCATTTGGTTATATGATCTGACTTACAAACGCGTGAATTTGAATTCAGAAGAACTAATTTTGTTTGCATATTATATAGAGTCAATTGAGATATTATCAAACTTAAAAGTAAGATAAACTTTGAATTTTAAGCGAGACATAAGCATTTTTGAATTTTAATATTTCACACACCTATATTTCGCTTAAAAAATTAAATGACAAAAAAACTAACGTATACAAACACAGATAATGTTCTTTCCTCTAGTTTTGAAGTCAATTCACTCTAATATTAAAACTTATCTTCATCAAATACAGAGATGGAAGAAATATGAATAATATATAATTTAAAAATTGCAGGCAAATGTACAGTTTTTTTTTTTTCTGAATGGAGGAGTACGACATCAAATGTGTACTAACCATCTCTATTTTCGGCTCAATATTGGTTCTTGGATCCGCTGAATGTATGCCCTTTTATAGTTTTTGAACAGTCTACTCATCGTATAGTCGAAGTCTTTGGTCCTACAGCGGCCTTTTTCCTTTCAGGTCATCTTTATAATTACCGCTCCTATTGTAGGTGATTGCATGTAACTATTTTAAATTTCCCGCGAAGAAAATATCGATAACAGTTAATATATTTTATACCGAAACAGTGAGCATTTTTGAGTATTTTGCAATCGCCCTGTATAATATACTATCCGCATACTCACGATCCGTCCGCAATACTACTTACGCGGGTGTGCTGAATGATGTTACGCTGCTGCGCCTTTACCGACGATTGTTTTATTATTTAATGCGCGAATATATTATAAAATATTGGGTTAGGTTATGTTAACCTATACTACTGTCATAATATAGTATTATAATAATAATGTATGCTGTCATTCGTACACTTTGATGACGTTTAATCATACCTTTATAACATTGTAGGGTCGGGTTAAGGTAGGTATATCTAATTAAAGTATGTTTTTGAGAGACATTTTACAGGGACATGACATTTTGCTTAACGCTGCGGTACGTATCATTATTGCGTCTACGTTTATTTTAAATACGAATTTGTAATATTATTTTATATGAACTATAATTTTGTATACGAGTTTGTTATAAAATGTTCTATAATAAAATATTTTTTATCGTATATAACATATATTAGAGGCTGCTATGGGGGGGGGGATAAGGTTTTAACAGTTATTGTTATAATTAACATTTTTTTTTTTCGTAAATAATAAATAAAGGTATTCAAATATATAAAATGTTTTTCGAATTATTACGAATTATTCAACACCGCATTTAATGATTGGGCGAAATAATGCAGTACATAAATAATATTATTATTATGATATTTTTATTCGAAATTAAAAATTATGTTAATTTTACCGCGAATTTCCATAAAATACAATATTATTATAACAGCGAGGTTTAATTGTTTTTATATCTTAAAAACCTATAAGCATCCAATATAATAATTATGATGCGTGAGTGATCCAAATGATTGATTAGAGAAACCTGTTTATACAATTCCCGATAGGTACATATAATATATTATTATTATTTTGCCGATTCCGCGTCTTTTTTAGTTTTTTTTTTTTTTTGTTAGGAAGCAAAAGTGTATGACTGTACCACCCAAGAATTAATCTCACACTAGTCATTTTTTCAAAAAAATACTAGTTTGTATTAATTATACGTGACACAATGTATGTTTTCGTTTTAAAATTGACTGCTACTTTTTAAACAAATATCTGCCACGGTCTCGATTTCGAGAATTATACTTTTTTTTTCTTTTAATTTTAACCTATATTAGTATAAAATGTTATCAGACCAATACTTTCCTTCTATAAAAATATACACTTAAGAAAATTACAAAAAAAAAAAAAACAACTCTGCTTTAATAAAACATATCGATTCTTTATGCTTCCCGTCAGTTTTATTGTTGTTTATATAATTAACCGGGCGTCACCCTAAAGTGTATAAATCAATATAGGGGTTCAAAAACAATTTCCATAAAATAGTACCGAATAAGTTTTATCTAACCTTAAAAATATAATATTAGTTGAGAAAAACTCGTTCAACGATTATAATAATCCTTTTTGCGTTTCATGTTGTTAATAACAATTGGAATCATCGGGTTTCTCATATACCTAATGCATTACACTTAATTTTATTGAAGTATATAAGTAAATCGAATTATTTATTTGAACTTCCTGCGCAGTCAGCTGCAGATATTAGTCAACAATTGTAGTCATAATTTTTAGTTTTAAGTATGAATTTTACTATAAGTAATATGATTTAAACTCTTGTTTGTCCACTATACAAATCTACAATTTTATTTCGATCTTGATGAAACTTTGCAAATTTAGCATTTAAAATAAAAGTAATATTGGTATCTAGTTTTTTTAAATTTTATTTTATTTTGAGATTTAACCCTTAAAGAGTGTGGCTGACCCAGCGAGGTTTTGGTATATTTGGATAGAAAATTTCACTTTTTTTTTTATTTATAAGCTAATTTTGGCGATACGGATGAAAAAAAAATCGTTATTATTAGTTAATTTGATTTTTCCAGGTAATAAATTACCTGGCAACAACGAATAACTGCGATTAGCATAAGGGTGATAATCAGGAGACACGTTAAATTGAATTTATTTTATTGATTTCTGTTTTTGAAATGATTGAGCCTGAGAAATACCGGGTAATTCAGTTATAATTATTTTATGAAATGCAATTTATAGTAATGCACTATATAATGAATTACACTCGTATAAACTATATTTGTAATTTATTATTCAGATCACTGAATAAATGAACATATACAACTGCAATATTATCAGAAGGTCAGTGGCTTGCGCAGGATTTTAGAATGGGTGGGGGCACTAAAGTTTCATTAAATATGTTTACTATACTTACAGCAGAGATAGTGCTTAACTTGCCCCTATTTAGGGTTGTTGACTTCTATTATCGCCCACACCCTTGGCCACACGCCAAGATTGTATAAGAGATCGCAAAGGTCGTACTTTGTGTATATTTTTGATTTTATAATCAAAGTATTGTTGATAGGAAAATTGGTGTATGTAAATATATTGATTATATGAAGAAAAAAAAACATAAATATTTGGTGTATATAATATAATATTATTGAAATGATTTCATTATTATATAATGTAATGATCAGATAAATTCGATTAATTATTCCATAGTATTACCTAATCGTTGTAGACTAAATCAGTTTCTATTATTCTATATTGTTATTATTTTTTTTAACACTTCGTTTTTAATATTATTATTGTTTGTAACTTATTAAAATTAATGATGTTTACACATTACAGTTTATTATATTATAATGAACATGGTATTACTTTTTTAAATTTCTTTTAGCGTTCCTCGTCTTATATCGGTTCGCTATACGTCACAGCGATGAACTTCTATATAAGATTATTCTGAGCTGGCAACAGCACAGGTAATGTGAACGTGATAAATTTATCGTAATCCTGGATAGGATCCAAAGCTTTTGTGGTAAGGGGTTTTTTTTTTTTTTATTAACGGTTAAGTGTTTGACGATTTGGTCTAATAATATTACGTTGGCTAGTTGAACAGTATATAATACGAGTATACTTTGGTAATCGAATTAAATTCAATAATATTTATTTAAAATATAATACCTAACGTATAAAAAATATAGAAGCGTGTTTAATACATTATTTTCTTAAAACCAACGAACAAGTTACATACCTTATAATAATATGGTTAAGCGTATTTCATACACGAATAATATAATAAAGTGTAACATAATATTCTGATAACTGAACAATATCTTTGAAGTAGGGATACACGAGTGTACTCGTATGCGTATAAATATGTTGTAAGTCAATTCACAAAGGCAGGTAGGTACCTATACTTAATCTAAGTAAATATATGCTTTTTATGATTAAATATACTATGACTAACCGTGTTTATTATAATAATATTTGCCCACTTTTTTAGCAAAGTAGGATTTGCTTTAAGTATCAAACAATATGCAGGGTGGTCTAGCGATTTTTCGTAGGATTTTAAGTGATGCATTTGATTTCTGTTTTTGCTTTCAATCATTGTGGAGTATTTTAATGCTATATTCAAATTTGTACTATTTATTATTTAATGTTCCTTAAATTATTAAACGTTTTGGATTTTCAAACCTTCCGCCTTAATTTAAACAGTTAAAAATTTAGACCGGAGAAGTAGGTAAGGTTATCAATTTATCATCTAAATATGAGTATTCATTACTCCGTCTACATTGTAAATTTTTGTTACTCTTCAATGATAAATCCCATAATATTAGTGTTATGCATATTAAGATTATTAGAAAAATATTCTCTATTCGAATCAGTGTTTTAAAAGAGTATCTGCTATTTTAAATTCAAAAGGGTATAATCATTTAAAGTAGGTAAAATAAGGAGTGAGAGTAAACAATTGAAAATAATGTTAAATAAATAGATAAAACTTTTTCAGAATGATTGAAAAAAAAAAAACAACAAAGAAGTCAAATTCACTTAGAATGTTCCGATAAAATCACTGGATCGTGATGTTAAATGGACTTCTTTGTATAATCTTCATAAAATATATAGTGTGCACGTAGTTATATATCGTTCACATTAAAAACGCATTAAATATTATAATTATATATGTAAAAAAATATAACCATCAATATTTCACTGTAATAATTAGTGATGGGCACTTCCCATGTGTAATTAATACTCTTGAAAGAGTTGAGAATGTTTGGACGAACTATGGAATATTTCGTTTAAACATTTTTCCACTATAGAATATTTTGAAAAACTATATTATATAGTTTTTTTCAATAACCGGAATAGTTTTCAATCCATCGAATAGTTCGATAGTAATTATTCAATAATAATTGAAATAGAATTGTTTCGTAATAGTGTACAATAATTAATAATATTGTGATATAATAAATAAATTAAGATTTAGACTTATTTTATTTCACTGAAGATGCTCTGTCAAATCTGGTTTCTTGCGGGTTTTTTTTAATTTCTCAATCGGTTCCGTCGTTCGTTTTGCTTACGTAAAGAAAGAAGAAAAAAAGTAGGTTAAATCGTTTTCGATTTTTTTTTTCGCCCTCTCGAAATATACCGGAACAGGTCCTCCGTTATACCGATGTGAATTTCATATCATTATATTTTTTTTTTATCCCGGAAGGATTTATATGCATCTATTTCTTTTACGTACGTCGCGCAATCATACTTATGTTAATATATAATATTTATGTATGTACTCGTACACGCGCCCAAAGCGGTTACGCACTGGTCTTAAACGAAAAGTTTTCACACGGTAATCGTCTTTTTGGTCGACGTCGGTGAACTTATTTGGATTTTTTTTGTGTAAGCATATATTATATGCTGAGCATTTTATTGAGAGTTATTGTCGTTCGGCTCAGAGGGCAACGATCCTCCGGCGGCAATGCCTGGAAAACCGGCGTAGGCGACACGTGCCGTGCCATGTCTGTGTGCGTAAGCATTTTTTTTTTTCCTAGTTGCCGCCGACTATTTCAGGCGTTCGAAAACGACGCCGTTTTTTTATGCATCACTTCTGTACATTCGCCGCGTTTTAAAATACATGATAAAATTAAAATACCATGACGTCATTGTCAACACATACTATATTATTGTAATATTGATATCCCGTTAGTGATCATGCTGCTTTAATTGTTTTTAAAAGTCGTGGAAAATAAAAACATTAAAAACTGAATACTTTTAATATACCTTCGTATACGTATTTATGTATTTATCGAAATATAGCCCGCAACCTTGTTTGTGTTTTTCGATATTTTCATTTTCAAGCGAGATATAAGCGTTTCGAAATAGTGATAACTCACATGCTCATATTCACGAGACAATTAAAATTAGAGATCGTTGAGGGCGGCCATTGCTTCAAAACAATTAACTTTTCTTTACATTTCTCTCTGTTCTAGTGCAGTCACCTAACTATTATATATATGTTTAGAACATAAAAAAAAACAAAACCCGAGGAGCGATTTACCGCGATGAATTAGGTCATTTTTTTATAATAATACGGTGATAATATTATATTCCCTCGTTTCCAAAGTTTTAGAATACAAGGTCGGCATAAAAGGCTAGGAGCAAAGAATGTTATATTAGTTTTACGATGACGTGTGTCTTTTTTTGTGTGGGCAACTTTTCTCCCAAAAATCTTGTTCAAATCAAAAATGACAAGAGATCTTTTTTGTTACATTTTAGTTGTTTTATCTAGTTGGTATATTAAGAGTTCATTTTTTTTTTTTTTCGTAATATTTAGAAAAAACCGGACAAATATTTACGGTGACATGACGTTACTGATTTCATTATATTACATTTTTGACGACTTATGTTTTCTACCAGAAATCTTACTTCGATCAAAAGATTACAAAAGACCTTTTTTTGTTGAATTTTAGATTTAATTGGTCAGTAATAAAGTCGTGATTTGATATTTTAACCGGTTTTTATAGTTATTGGGGAAACACGTAGAAACGGGAAAGTTACGGCATTAATGGTTTCGTTGTTTTCGATTTTGGTTTTTTGTTATATATTGGTTGAAAACTATCAGAGAAAATTGAAATTTTCACATACTTATATTACCATTTTCTAAACGTGTTAAAGTGTTCAAAATATTTTGGCGATTTTTGAGCTATTTATAGGCTTTTTTTGTCTACTAGTTTTTAATTTTGTAGGTATTATGTGGATATATGGATTGACTAAAGCAAATGCTTGAAAATTTAATTCATTGTTTCTTTATAATCGTTGTAAGATCAAATTTCGACAAAAGTCGTAAATATTACGGCATTTCGAAACAAGTATAACTGCAGAACGTCACTTAGAATTGTGTTTCTTTAGCCACAGTTTATCGCTGCTAACAGATATAAATTAATTAACTTTACGTGCCCTACCTTCCCAATTTCCCATCTTTTTTTCCTCATCTCTACAGCACGGCGGGGAGGGAGAACTGCGTTAGGAGAACCCCCTCCTGCAGTGTGTCGACCTTATATCTGCTATAAAACCGTGTTCGTCTCTAATAATAATTATGTCGCCTATATTTATTATACACTGCATTTGTCGGGACCTGCGTCAAATCGCGTGTACGGAGCACGCAGGTGAGCGTGCGTATTGCTAACTAGTGTGTGCTCGTCAAGACGCGTTGCTGGTGAAAAAAAAACAACGACATACCTGACCATACTCGGACGACCGGCCGACCTTACTACTACCCTTCTCCTCGTCGTCGTATGAAGTTTTCGTAACGGAAAGCATTATAGTTCTACAGCCGCTCGGCGGTGGCGAAAGAAGGCCTGTATTTGATGTATTATTATCATTAAGTCACATATTATTATTATGTTTATGTATTATGCTTTTGCATATTTATATTGGTCGGTCAAAAAAATAACTAGTTTACACTGAAATTCGTTCCACGACCCTCCGGTATCTATGCACGCAAAGTACGCAAACATTACATTCGCATATTTGTGCGCTTACGGATTTTGTACGCATCCAGGGCATATTTTAAGGATCTTGTACGTGTTTCAGACATTTTCAACTCGACGAATCGAGAATCACAAAACAATTGTTCGAAATGTATAAATATCAGCAGGCGGGCTGCAGATAACATTAAAAGGCACCTGTGTTTTAGCTAAAATATGTATTACGAATAAATAATAATGAAATACAATTTCGGGATATTTTTTTTTTTTTAGTATCAATGTTATGTCGTGTAATGTAATTTTTAATGCACATTTGTTCACATAACTAAAAGTTTTTTAGGGTGCATGAATATTTGCCCTAATTATTATTATTACGTGGTATTTTGTTCACGAATACATAATATACGTTTATATAATGATAATTAAAAAAATAAAAACATATACCGCCGCCGTCGAACACGTGGTGTATGGATAATATATCGACAAAGTCTGGTGTATTTGCGTGCACGCAATCTCATCCGGTCCGTTATAAACATTATTATTATCATATTGACATACAGTGTAGGCACATAGCATACGAAGACGACGGTCGGTTCGGTTACCTCAGAGTCTATTATTATAATATTATGATGGTCTATTCCCCCTCCTCCCCCGTTATTACTTTTTCTTTTTACTATCTGTCCGGGATTTTTTTTAAATTATTACATTCGATTCCGAGAATGGCATACAGTGTTACTAAGATGCGGTTTTTTCACGGAAAACCCCCTTTTCCCGGTTATTAAAAGTTATCGGGTTTTTTTTTCACGCCGTACTTTAAAAGATACTAATTTTTCGCTCGGCAGTAATTTATTTCAACGGCGTGTCTCGATTCACGACTATTAATCTAAAAAATTGAAAAACCTATCTAGATGATAAGCATATTTTTTCTAATCTCTTGTCTTAACCAGTTAAATGAGAAATAAGTTACCTGAGATAACTATTGTTAGTAATTATTTAGTTAATAATTCATAATTTACATATTTTTAATAACGATTGGTAAAACACTAAATTTATATCTATCACATAAACTTTATTAAATGCGGATGTTTATCAAATTTGGTACACTTTTAATATTTATATTAGTGTTATTTGTAAAATAGTTTCATTTTCAAAATTATCTTTTTTCGTATAAAGTGAAAGTGCCTAATTTGTTATTGTTTCTAGATATTAGATAAGTTATGTATCTTTATGTTATAACACTGTAGTATAATATACTATAATATTAGTTTATACGCTTTCAGTATATAAACTAATAATTGCCCTATGCCCTATACCTTTGAAACTTCACATTGGAAACAATATGTAGTTTCGTTATACCATTAATTACTTTACGAAATAGAAAACAAAATTTTTATTATGTATACATTTTACGATAAATAATTTTGAAAACAGTTTGATGAATTGTGAATACATTTCTATGTTGATCGTATCCTATGTAACAATACGTTTTGTAAAAATTGTTGAGAGTTCCCAATACTCGTTGTTTATGTTTAATTTTTGATAGTAATATGAGATGGAATCTTCGTATAAATTACCTAGTTATACGTTTACGTACCTACACTTAATCTTAGTTTTTATAAATTGCGGTATATTGTGCCTTTAAACACTAATAAAACGATTTATCAAGCTCTATATCAGTCAATTTTTCAGTGTGGTTTATTAGCGAGGGGGGAGGGGATTGACTGAAAATGTAATCAAGTATTTGAACACTATACTAACTTAAGTTTTAACATTTTTCATGTTCTGTCAGTAAAACAGTTGTATAAAAAAATGGCAATTATGTGGATTGTTAAACACCGAGATGACTGGGTTGATTTTACAAACATTCAAATTAAAAGAGAGCAGAAAGCATATGATGCCAAAATAGGTTTTTGTAATAAATCTTTTGGTTAGAAATTTTTTTAATTATCTAGGACCTACATACTTTAATTTCTTGCCTGTAGAAATGAAAAAGATGCTGTTCAAAATAGTTAAAAAGTTTAAAAAAATACTTCTGTAACTGGATTTTCAATATTCATGAAAAGATTTAATTATAATTAAGATAACTTTACTTTATATATTTTTCATCTTATAGCTGTAAATTTATTATAATCTATTACTGTATATTTATTTTTATATTTTGTTCATGATTTACTCTTTTATATAATGTATATATTAAATATTTTAAATTTAAATTTAATTATTTTAGCAGTGTAAATTAATAAATAAACCTCTTGTCACTCTGTGCTTCCACCACAAGCAAAGCTTGATAAAAGGAGATTCATAATTTCGTTCTTATACTTAATGGTTAATATTTGTATAATATGTATATTGGAATAAAAAAATAAAATATATAGGTACTACACATTGATCGGCGATGAAAATCAAACGAGCGTTCTATTGAATATTAGTTTTACCGACGCCATTATTCTGACGTCATTTTTTCTGAGAAATTATAATTTATATAATAATACTGTATACAATTTATTCGCCAAGTCTGCACATATTATTATGTTTAATATTATAATGGAGTTGGAATTACACAATATTGAATACCGTCGTAATATTATAAAACTTATTTTTTTTTTTGTTTTTTCATTCAAAAACTTATTTTTTCTTGCATTCTTCAGTTCGTGGAACATTTCCAAAAGCGAATCTGTGGAACTCATTCAAACCACCAACGCCGATTTTTGTAAAGTTTTTTTAAATTATTGTTTTTATACGAATTTTATTTTATACATACATATAGTAGTTTTTATTCGCTCCTTTCTTGATATCGACAAGTTAAGATTTGCTATTGCTATTTCCTTCTATTGGCTGTTCGGCTTCACTATTTTTTTTTGCATCTCTCTTAACACATTCCTCTCACATCTTAACCATCATGGTGGAGTGGTCTTTCCAGAGATCTTTTTTTATGGGGTGTTCATTAGTCACATGTTTTTTTTTATCATCGAACCATGTTTCCACTATCCAATATACTCTATACCCACTCGGCAGTCTTATTTTCTTATTTTTCTAGTTTCCTTTACTATATCTGGCCATTAACATATGCTTCATATTAATAATATACTTATGTTATTATTTATAATAATCGTAAATTTTTTTTAACACTCTAGTATCAACAAAATACATTTTAGTGAGAATAATTAATTGAGCAGGACATGTATAGAAAAATAGGGATCAATAATATAGATCATAACATAAAACAACCCAATAGGAAAGCGTCTTCTTAGTGACCACCTAACATAATAACCTAACCTCCTTTAAGATGTGAGTGTTGTTGTATTGTTAGAGATATAGGAGCCGTGGTACCTGCAGGAGTACAATGAAGAATTAGCTTGAATGGCTTAAGGTTCTTTACGTAGATTTTATGTAATATGTTTACTTTGATACTATTCGTATATATATATATATATATACTAGCAATTATTTACATAAAAATTTTAATGTCAATAATTAAATCAACAATTTTATTTTTATTACATGCGTGTATATAAAAAATATATGTTTAGTAACTGTTTCGAGGAGAAACAAACAAGACCATCACATGATAATATAACTATACCGCCATAAATCTTTTTTTTGATGTCCTAAGATTTCAGAAATTATTTGATCAAAATATATCGTTGAATTCAATATTATTATATTGGAAACGTTTTTGTTTCGTTAAAATGAATTGATTATTTATATATTTTTGCTTCGTTTTATGTTAAAAATAATCATTGTAAAAACAAAATATATTTTAATTAGACGTTTTTACGACAAAATAAAACATAAAATATTATGAAATAATAGCCCGTCATTTTATACGGTATACCTTATCTTAAAAGTTTATACAAAATATATATATTTATATATTATATGAAATATGTGTGGCAATTATGAAAAAAACTTAGTTTAGAACCTTAGCTTAAATCACTATTATATTTTATTTGGTGTTCAAACATTGTATATTAATTGCTAATACACGTGAACTCATAGTTTTTTTTTTTTTTTTTTGTAAAATAAAAATTGTTTTAATTTCAGTCGTAGTTTGCCGGAGTATAAATGTGTAATATTGAATATTGCTATATTGGTTTTACTATTATGTATAATTTTTTTTTTGTATTTGTTATTAAGTTAATCGGAAATTTATTGCTTCGAGGTTTCTGGTTAAAAATGTTGCTTGCCTAGTTTTCTCTGTTATGAAGATCATTTTCTTTTTTTTCCGTGTAGTGTATAACGAAGAATGAATTTGTATAAATATATGTTTTTCTGTCTATAAATAACTTTTCTACCAAAAATCGTACTACAGTCAGAAAATTACAAATAAACTATTTTTTTTCTATTTTAGATCTAGTAAGTGCATTTTTTGAATTCCTTACAATTGTCTTAATAATCATAAAAAACTAACGAATTTATGGTGATAATGATTTCATTATTTATTTCGATATGGTTTTTCTACCAGATCTCTAGCTCCAAATTTTAAATAGAACATTTATTATTATCTGATATAAAATGTCATCTTTTTGGTGCGTTAAAATGTAATTTTGTAATTTCCCTTGTAAATTTCTTAACAATTGTAGAAAACTTAGGAAAAATAGTGAAACTAATGGCGATAAATAGTCTTAGATTCTGGAATTTCCACAGAATGCATATATTAGTCTTTTACAGACAAACTATTTTGGCCTTTTTGAGCTATTTATTAGCATAAGATCGTCGAGTTTTTTTTTTATTATTATTATTTTATGTAGATACAAGTTATTCGACAGAACGGAAATCCTGGACTATTTAACACGAGGTTTTTCATAAGTTGTACTTGGTTATTAACAAAATAAGTCGAAATGTAGTTTTTACAAGCTTTTTTGTTCAATTGTTTTGTTTGTTGTTTTATAATAATGTATGCCGTTATAAAATAATATTATGTCTTAATAAAAAAAAAATGGTGATACATTTTTTTTTAAATTGAAAAATTGTAAATAATAATAAATATGTATGGATAACGGACGATCTACTCGTATGCGTTTACTCTGCAGGTATTCGCCCTAATTACTCCCATGAGCACAAGCACGTGTGAAAAATGTCGGATTAATATAAACGCGGAACACAACACTCGACAACTGCAGCTACATGACGTGTGTGACCTTTCGATATTAATAGTTAACATAAATATAATACATTATTTATTTTGTATAGGTATTATTTGTTATATATATTTTTAGATTCTGAGTACAGCGAGAAATCTATTGGTTTTATTATGGAGTATGCGATTATTATTATTTTTTTTATATTAAAATATGTAAATGTGTAAACAACTTGTTCACCAGAAATCTTGTAACGACAACAGAACTTTTGTGAAGAACTATCGATAAAGTCGATGAATTGGGATCGTTATTTAGTTGTCCTTATAGTTTCTTTAATAACTATGAAAAAATTTAAGAAAAACGGGGAAGCCGTTTTTCTTAACGGAAATAACGGTGGAAATATTATAATATATTTTAAATATACCTAATTTTAAAAAAAAAAAATATGGACATACATGGCGTGATGGGTCAATATAAGTTGTACTTAGTGGTCAACAAGAAAAAGTTGATTTTAATACAGTATTTTGTTTGTTTTATAATAATTTCAATATCAAATTTTGACGAAAATCGTAAATATTAAAGTCTTTCGAAACATGTATCGTTTTTCGTTAGCAATGATTTATCGGTGCATACGTGCATGCAATCGGCCACTGTTGTGGGTGAGAAGTTTGAAAAATAAGATATAAAGGGAAGTTTAATGTATATCTGTATGCACCGATTAATCATTGCTAACGAAAAACGATTCTGAGTAGAGTTTGGTTGTATATGCTTCGAAAAGATATAATATTTCTGATTTTTATCAAAATTTGATATTGAAATTATTATAAAAAACAAAATACAGTATTAAAATCAACTTTTTCTTGTTGACCACTAAGTGCAACTTATAATGAACTTCCTGTTAAATTTTTAAGCATTTTTGTTTGGTCTAATAATTTTATTAACAAAGTACCTACCGAATAAAAATTAGGTAAAAACCTCACAAAATTAAAATGTCTATAAATAGCTTAAAAATCGTCAAAATGTTATTCACTTTACTATATCTAAAAAAGGCAAATATTAGTTTTCTGTCCAAATTTCATGTTTCTACGAATTTTAATTGAAGTACATTAAAAAAAAAACAAAATTGAAAATATTAAAAGCATTATTTTCGTAAATGTTCCTGTTTTCCCAATTATAATGAAAACTGCTTTGAAAATCATGGAAAATCAAAAAATGACCACCTTAAGTTGGATAAGTTTTCTTTTTAGGAAAGGAGCTATATACACTTAAAATCGGAACAAGATTTTTGGTAGAAATTTTATATATGGTATAAAAAAATTAAAATAAATATATATTATATATTGTAAAACCAGTACATTTCTCGCTTAACTTAGAATCTAAAATGTCACGTTAATCGCGTTAGTAATTATTTTTGTCAACTTCGCTCAGCATTTAATTTAAAAAATACATTTAGACAGTGGCGTACCTAAGATTTTGCAAAATACATAATTTTTAGTACACTTATTTGTAATTACTCGTGTTTGAATAAGTAGTGCAAATGTACAATAATGCCTATTTTATTATTAATCAATAATACATTTTAAATGTTAAATATTTTTTTTTTTTCTTGTCAAACATATCCAATAGGGAGGAAAGGGTTACTGAAGTTCATTTAGCCCCTCTTGAATACGCCACTAAAGGTGAAAATAGTCGCTTGACTTACATTCACGTCGAAATGCGTAACATAAATATACAATTTCTAAAAATAAATCGCAATAAACATCTAATTGATATGTATTTTTTTTTTTAATGTCTGAGAAATGTAAATGATGAAATGAATTTTGTACGCGATGAACAGTTATTTTTAACTGGTCACACGACATCAGTATACAGAGAGTGGGCTCTATAAAGAGTGGCCAATATGCGTAAGTATTATTTCTAACTGCGGTTAGGTATCGAATTATGCGAAGTATTCGAATAAGTCCTCTTTCGGAATCCCGTTGTGTCCTTGCCGTTAAAGATAATAGCGTGGTTTCCAGGTGACCGCACTCATATTCACTTTTTACCTATTTTATCACCTGCAACTATCATCGGTACAGTATAACATTATAATACGTAAATTCCATATGACGGTATATACTGTAATCTCATTTCTATTACGCGAGTGCTGAAGAACGAGACCAGTGGCGCATATAGGGTTTTTACTGCCTATGTCAATAAAATTCCGCCTCATTTACACTGGTTAGGTTAGGTTAAATATGTTCTTAATTTTCCTTGTCTCAATCCTGCTTTAAATTTGGCCGCCCAGGTATTTTTTACCCCCTCCCTTAAATGTACCACACACGATACCGTTGGTCTTAACTATAATATTTGATAAGTTTTGTATATCATAATTAGTATTTTAATTTGATAACTTGTATCAGTCATCTACGATACATTTCCAATAGTACGGTAAATAATGTTCTACATTATATTGAAATACCGGGTACACTCGTAGAATGTGGTGGTATCAATGACCTCGTGTAGTGTATACATCGAGTTTAGCAGTCGGATTGAAAATTCTATAAGAATCCGATGATAACAAAACTCTAATCGGTTACGTTAGCGTATTATAGAATACTCTGTGATATACTCTACGCTATAAATTCCTTGAAGCTGCAGTATATCTAGTTCGGATCAATGGCTAACGTGTAGAGATTAGGTTTGCATTTTAAGTTGATATAATTAATCATTTCTCCTCTATGGTTTCGGATAGAGTACGCCAGATATGCGATTCCGATCCCTTTTACGAATACTGTCTTTGTTAAAATTGTGTCCCAATACAAGTATCTTGTTCTAAAAAATATCGAGTATCTTATATTTCGTTATTGAAATCGATGTATGTATAGTATGTCGAGTATCCAGATACTCATTTTGATTTACTTTAACCATAGGTGCCCGAAAGGCGGACAAGCTCTGTCATTTCTTATACATACTTTCAATGTATAATAATTGAAAGTTACTGTACACATAGCTACTTTAGGGAACAATTTTTGAGAATTTCGAAAAACGTTTAAAATAAATAACCTCCACGTTTATAAAGATATGTGATGGCGCGATGACGGGCGACCAGTCGTATAACGTCGTTACCGTGATGGGAAATTTGTATTCGTTCTGTACCGAATATGGAACAAAACTTACGATTTCTGTTTGTACACGCGACAATTTATATTTTATTTTATATAATAATTGCGCTCACGTTTGTGTAATAATTACATAAACAATTACAATTATTGTAGCAAAGATTGTCGTCTACCGATGATGTGAATTGGCGGTCGTGCACCATGGGTTTGGTTACAAAATGAAAACCCGAGTCGCGACGACTCGTTCGCACGATTTTTCACGATATCGTCAAAACAAAAAAAAACAAAAACTATCGTTATATTATAATATATGAATTTAAACTCCCATCTTGTAGTATGTATCTGTTGGGTACAGAATAGTGGGAAATCTATTCTGGCAAAATTTCCTAGGAAAAATGTCCGAATTCAAACATAATAAATATAATAATAATAATAATATATGATGTAGTAATTTTTATTTTATTAACGCATTTTCTAATGTTTTGCTTTTTGATTTGGACCATTTTCCCGAGACATTTTTGAATTTAAATATATATATATTAATTTTAATAAATTTAATTTGTTTTTTTAACTAGTTGTATTTATTGATACTCTGATTTCACTGTTGTTGTCTAATATAACAGAAATTTGATAGTTTGTTTATAGAAAAGCTGGTAACAAGTAACTCGGATATTTTAATTATAGCCTCAATTTACAGTCGGAGTTTGGCTATATTGACGTTCGATTACTAGAGAAAAAACAGTAACTCGTCGGTCACTCATATAAACATGTCAATTTTGAACATGTTATCGCGGTAGTTTTAGCAACACATCACTATATCAATGGATATTTAAGCCCAGTATACTAGCTAGGTCGTACAAACGTCACACAGTGAAACATTTTTGTCGGCTAGGTGGTAATTTTTTTTATAACTTGGTGACATCGATTTTTTTTAATAGTATCTTAATGCTTGACAAATAGGAAAAGTAGTAATGAATAAAAAAACACAAAATAATTACAGAAATATGCACTTATTAATTTGTTTTTAAGTATTTTAAATTAAAGTTTTTTGAGATAATCGTAAAAATTACGAGATTTAAAAAACACGTTTAACCGAAATTCACTTAGAATCGTATTTCGTCAGTAATGATTTATCGTTGCGCATGTAAATGTTATAACTTAATATGTATTCTATATTTTTAACTTCCCACCTATTTTTTTTAAAATCCAAAAATAACTCATTCCTATACTTACGTAAAAAATATTTCTACTGAAATAACCTTATCAAAATATTAGACTATACCAGTTTACGATTAATACCCACAGATGGGGTAACTATATATTGTAAACACTGAGTACCTAATACATAGTAAATTTGCCATTCCATTCCATTTCCGGATCTCCTCTAAATTATAGGTATTTACAGGATAACATTATATACTTTTGAGGGTTTTTCACGGTATGCCGTTTTGGGCCGCGGTCGATTCGTCGCTGTTTACGCCCAGATTTTTCCATAGCGGTTTATTCGCCATGGGGTTTTACGCGTTTTGAACACCGTTTTCTTCACGTTTGTCCATAGATTGCCGGTGACGTCTGACCATATCGTTTAAACACTTCGTAGCGTCCCGTGTATGGTATTGCTCTCGTGCTCACGTATACAAACTGTCCGTCCGACATAGTAAAAAAAAAAAAAACACCGGCCACGAGATAAATCCAGTCGAAAAACTGCCCGCAGCACGGAGAAAATAATCAAGTAGCGTGCGGTAAAAAAAGATGTACGGTATTTATGAAAATAAAAGCCGTATAAATTCCGTTGTACCCCCTCCCCCCCAAACCTGCCGGTTGCTCCACTGGTCGTGCTATATTACATTATACGATATAATCGTGACTCTGCTCGTGTACGGATTTATCCATCCTCCTAAAGTATCCCCCCCCCCTTCTCTTGTATTTTATATTTTTTTTTCTGTTGTCAAACAAATTTCCTGTAGTCAATTAACAAGGAAAACAAATAAATATATAATATTTGATAAACTCGCTGTTTGAATTTGGCAGATTCCCCAGACTGTAATTCGTCACCACGCGCTCTAGTGGCGTAAACAAATCGGGTAGCACATTGTATTGCCAATGGCCCGGCTAAAATTCGATATTAGAGATACAGATTTATCCGATTCGGTAGACAATAACGGGCCGTCCACGGTTCTCTCGTGTAAAAACCTGCGTTTGTATACATATATCTGTCATGTAATATTCGATTGTCGCAGACTATAATATAAGGCGAACACCGCAGTATTAACCCATTTGTCGATATCGGTTATGGTTATCACTAAATGCCAAATGCCTATTTTTGACGTTCTTCTTGCCGACCGGCACGCGCCCGCCCTGCAATTTCAACCGTGACGTGTTGTAAAGCCTTCCGCCACGCCGCCGTAACAGAGACATTTTATAGACATTTTTTTTTTTTTTTTCCTTAGGTCTCGGGCTCGGAATTCGCGGTCGGGAATATTATTATAATGTTATGTCGGGCGGCATTTATATAAAAACTACGTACGGCGGCGCGTAATAGCCGTGCTGTTATTCGGACCGACGTCGTCGTCGTCGGGCATACGTAATACGTATACATGTGTGTGTATGTATGTACGTATGTTTATATATATACGTATTATACTATATGGCTCGCGTGCGTTTTACTCGGGCAAAGGGTCTACGGCCCGTAGCTCGTAGCGACCCGTCATGTGCACATGGGACCGAAGAAACTGCCGCCGATTCTATATATAGACGGCGCGGCGGCAATGGCGGTGAACGTGTGTGTTCGGGTAGTCAATCGTTCAACCCGCCGCCCGCCGTCGACTTCCTCGGGCAGCCGTGCGTTCCGCCGCCGCCGCCGCCGCCGCCGTCCGCTTCGCGCACAGTGTTGTACGTGTACACCGCACGACGGGACTGCCGCGCGGACACCGAAAATCGCCGAAACGGTTGAAAACGCGTTCCGCGGGTCGCGCGTCGTAATTTTCGAAAAATTCTGTTACCGAATTTATAACAATATAATGTAGTCCGGCACGCGTCGATAATAGTTTTTTGTTTTTTTTTTTTTTTTTTTTTTTTTTTTTTTACATTCTGAACGTATTTTCGTGGCATATTCGCCGATCGCCGGCCGTCATTTTTTATCGCGCTCTCCCGTCGGTGTTTAATTTCGCCTCGGCGTTTCGCTATAACGTTATCGTTCTCGTTTGTTGTTTTTTTTTTTTTTTTTTAATTACAATAAAATATATTAAACCGTACGTACGTATACCGACACGCCGACGTTTGCGTGTCTAATAAATTAATTGACAACGCCCTCGGTGTATTATATAGTGTTGTTATTAATCATCGTTTCCTTCCTCCGGAGCACGCGACCTTTAATAAAATAATAAAAAAAAATACTCATCCTGCCGCTGCTATACTGTACTGCCGGGCCACCGCCGCCACACGGTAATATTTTCGTCGCACGGCTCCGCGGTTCTCGTGCTTTCCGGCCATATTAATACAATACAATAATAGCGCAATTATTACGTGCGCCGCGATCAATTAAACGCAAACATGTGCGGTACCTGCTCGTTTTAAATTTTTAACCGTCACATAATGTAAAGTGCGATACGCGCGAACGATTATTTCCTTGCGCCTCTTATCGTCGGTCTTTTCGCAGTCCGCCATCCAGCTTCCCTTCCGTAACTATCGCGGTCCCCTCTCAACTGCCCTGTGTAGCCCACATCGTCGGGTCATTCGTGTCTATCGCGATTCGGTCCGCGTACTCCGCCCGTGACGGCGTTATTCCTCTTCCGACACGACACTCGGTACGTCGCATTTCGTCGAGCTGTCGTAACCGCAGCGGTAGACACCCGATCGTTTTGTCGTCCCTCCCGACCGTGCCGGAATTGCCGTTGGTCCCGTTCAATACTCCCGCATTTGTTGTTCTCTCGATCAATATAACGCCGCATTTCAAGCGCGTGTATTTTTCATTTTCTGTAGCCATTGTTCGAGTTTCGCGGCCTTAAATATCGAACCACCGCACACTCTACATTAAATACACTTTCAGTATAAGGTCGCCACGCCGTTCGCCCGCCAGTAGATGATTATTATCCGGAAAAGCCCTGTTATTAGCCCGCGCCAACCCGCGTACGTTTTATACTACGGCCGTCTTCTGTTACGTTTCACTCCTTAAATAATATTGAAGCGTCGCACGCGCGGTTTTTATGTGCGTACACATCCGGGAAATCGGTGTCGATTCGATCAGACCCGTTCGTTCCCCGCAGCAGAAAACCGTCGCCGCCGCACGTTTATAATAATAATAATAATAATAATAATAATAATAATTACGCATTACGCGCGCAATTCCGTTTCATCAAACTGGTTGTATAATAATAATAATAATAATATATTCGTCTCGGCGGCGAGCGATCGGCCGCCGGAAAAGATGTTCGGCTACGTGCACGGTTAGCGCGTGTGATTCGGCCGTGTTAATATCCGGATTATAACGCGGTCGTACAGTGGCCCTCGGTTACTCTAATGCCCATTATGTTGTACGGTGTTCAGATGACGCAACGAGACAAATTTACCGATGAGACGAGTTTTAAATAACCATAAAATCGAACGTGCGGCCGTTGATTATTTCCGCCGTCGCTTTTTTTTTTCCTGCCCGGGTCCTCGCTCCCTCTTGCAATCTGTGCACTCGACGGACAACCGCGTGTGCCGCGGCGCGCGGCAATACGAAAACCGTGCGCTTATTTTATCGCGCGTACGTAAATTAAACTGGTCGATAGGAGAACAGGTGGAACGAGGTGCAGTGCGCTGCACGGGCGTGAAATCGCATTGCCACCGAGTTCCGTATTGATTTGTCATTAACGAAACGGAGGTGTTTATTTTCTTGTACAAGACTCGTCGCGGAGTCGTCCCATGGCAACTCGTATTATAATACCGTGTACAGGGAGTTACGCGAGCGGGGCGCCGTAATATTCCGGCCGCGGTGTACGCCACTTTATACGCGATGCCCGCCGCGGCCAGTGCAGCCGCCCGCACACCCGCACTGCCCAACATTGTTTTTTTGCATGCGTTTCTACGGTTTGTCGCGTTACACCCGGAAACGATATATTAACGCGCGTTTCCGTTCTTGTTACAGGTGCCGCGCGAACCGACCGGCTCCGCCGTAGCCTCCGACTGGACGGCGCCACTATGATCGAACCGCCGCCGTTACTGCCACCGCTGACGACGATACCTGCACCGTCCGGACGGCAGGAGCTGACGACCACGACCACGACGACGACGACGACGAATACCGTCGACTAGTACGGTCGACCGGGTGCGTTGCGCGTGATGACTACGACGGCGAACCATCGGACCGCTAACATGGCCCCCGAACCGGAGGAAGACATCGCGGCCATCGCGAAACAGATATCGGACCACGCCGAGGCCATCTACCAGACGTGGAAGGCCCGCGGCCTGGCGCCCAACGAGATATTGACGTGCCATCGCGACTCGTCGGCAGTCGACAAGTTCGGTTCCGTGCTGACCCCTCAGCCCGCCGTGAAACCCGCGGCGGCGACGACGGCCGCAACGACAACCGCTGCGGACACACACAAACTGTTGGCCGACCCGAACACCAACAGTTTGGAGCGGCTGGTGAACAAGTTCGTGGTGGAAGACAAGGCCCGACTGGCGGCCCGGCAGTCCCGGTCGCTGTCGCCCAAGCCGTTCGCTTCGTCCATCCAGTACGCGCTGCAGAAATTCGAACAAAAGGCGTCCAGTCCCGAACAGTCCAGGCCGGGCGGCGGTGCCGTCGGTGTCGGTGCTGGCGGCGGCGTCAAGCGATACAGCAAGTCGCCGATAAAGAGCTATCAACCCGACGACTTTGGGTCGACCGGCAAAAACCACACGGCCGCCGCCGGCAACGATGCGCCCGCGACCTCTTGGCCCTTCCGGAACAACAACAACGGCAGCAAAAAGCCGTCCTCGGCAGAATGTCAAAACTCCAACTTCATGGACGAGGTGGCCAAAGAAGAACAGCGACTGATCGACGCGCTGAAAACCGGATCGGTAATCGAGACGTGCAGCCGAAAGAGCAGCGGCGTGAAACCCGCCGTGCCCAGCAAGGAAGGCGTGCTGCTCCGCGCGGCCGCCGGTTACGACACGGGCACCGGCGCCGCCGTCAACCGTGCCAAACCGGAATTCCTCATCGGACTGTCCGCGCTCAGCTCGTCCCGGCGGAACCAGCACGCGCACCGACAACAAGAACAGGTGCCGCATCCGGAGCTCACCGATCACCAGCGGGCCAACATTCGGTCCAACCATCACCATCAGTCGAACCCGGTACGGCCGTTCCTGACGCGCGGCTCGGTCGCCGAGCGCGTGCTCATATTCGAAAAGTGTCCCACCGAGCTGATGAAAAACTCGACGGCCAACTCGGCGCAGACCTGGAGGAATATCGGTTCGGACGTGCACGGCAAAATTCAAGTGAGTGTACATACGATTATTGTACGCGCCTCGTCGCCGGAAACGCCGTGTCGTAACACTCGCGGCGCCCGTGTTTAGTGTGTGAGAGAGAAAGAGAGAGAGAGAGTGAGTGAGAGGGTGGGAGGGAAGGAGAGGGAGAGGGAAAGGGAGAATATAATCGATGCGCGTATAGGTGTGAATAATATAATATCAAAGTGAAGGATAGATGCATTTTTCCACCCACTGGCCGGTCTTGGCGAGCGCGTGTGCGTATCTGTTTAGTAGTAGACAGGTAGGTATAATAGTAATAATATTAAATTATTTACCGGTGTGGACCGTACGTGCAATAGTAATAATAACATAATGGGTACACCGCAGTTAAGGATTACAAGTGGGTTTGAGTTTTCGTTGTAAAACGCGGGAGAGGGAGATTGTTGCGAGGCGGTTTTTATTTTATTTTTTTTTTTTTTCCTATTATTTTACAAAGTCACAAGTGAATGTGTTCCACAGTCGCCGCTGCTGGGTCAACATGTGTTCGTTTAATAATAATAATAATAATAACGGCTACGACTACGACGACGACAACGATAATAATAATAATATAACAGCAACGCCAGTTTAGTTTTATAAACATGTTAACGCATCGCGCGAACAGTCAGTGGCCTTCGTCATTGCGTTCGTATAGTATTTTTGCAAAAGTTGTCCGGCGGTCGCGTTACTATATTCCCGCTCGCGTCGTGACCGCCGCCGACGCCGCGGTCCGCTCCGTTCGGCGGTTTTATTTTAATCGTTTTTTTTTTTTTTTTTTTCTGTTTTTCGTTTTATTTTTCTCGTCCCGTTCTGTCCATCGCGCCCAGCGACAACAACGGCAATCGGTATTGCCCGTCCGCGTGATATTTTTTTATGTCTTTTTTTTTTTTTGCTGTTATTTCCCCCCCCCCACCCATCGTTATTTGTAGTTTAACCGTACGCGAATTGTCGGTATAAGGTCGTTTCGGCGCGGTCCGGCCGGGCGCGTGGGCCTCGGCGATATCGTTCAAGCGGGAAAATACCGAGAAAAATAACAACAACGAGGTATAATATTACGAGATGCGCGTCGCGCCGCCGCCGCAGTGGCCGCGCAGGTGATCGCGCGTCTCGTCGCGGACCGCGTTTTCCCCGGTAAAATGTGATAATGTTGAAATGGTAACCAGCGTGCGATCGTGGTGCTACGCGTGTCAGATACTCGTGTTACAGAACGGCGATGCCGGCGGCGACCGGGACGAGTCGGTCCGGCAGCCCAGATTTCCGTACAGACCCTGGAAACAGAGGTTGCCCAGGTCCTACAACAAGGTACCGTCGCGTAATGTGTACATACAGTGCGTCCAGAGCGCGGCTCTGCGGTTGTTTTTTTTTTTTTTTTTCGTTTTTTAGATTCCGAGGTAGTTTTACCGAATAACCCCCCCCCTCTCTCCCCCTCGTGTGCGTTCCGTTTCCGTTCCCTTCCGCGGAAAACGGCTTTTCTCCGAGAAATCTCGCCCCGGCCGAAACGCGCGACGACCGGACGTTTTTTCGTCGCGTTTCGGCCCCCCCTCCCCCCTCCCACGGTACATTTGCAGTAAAGGTCGTCGTTTTTGTTTTTTTTTTTTCCCTCTCGAAATTCTCGTTAATATTCGAGATCGTGACGGACAACAACCGGTTCTTTAGGTCGAAAAAAATTAAATATTTACCTGAGGTTGTCGATGTTGCTGGCGGCCGTTTTTTGTTTATAGTTTTCCGTTATTTTAATCGGTTTTTTTTTTTAATGTTTTTCGAACAATCGTCGTGAAAAAACGCACGTTGCCGAGAAAGCATCACTGTTTGACCGAGCTCCGCTCAGAATCGTCGTTTTCGTTAGCAATTTCGATTGACCGTTGCTCTCCTGCCCGTACTTCACGCCTACAACAACGCGGTTCTGAATGAGATTGCGAAGAGGAAAAAAAAAACCGTTTACGAGAAACGTGTCCGTGCGACGATTAAAATAATTATCGAATATCATCAAAAATAATCCGGTGGTTAGGTATTCACCTCGGTTATTACTGGTCGTAAATGTATTCTCGTTTGTCTCTCTCGTCGAACGCCGTCGGGTTTTTCGCTCGGCGTACAGAAAAAGGGTGCGGACAAATACCACGGAACCCGATGTCCGTGGTCACTACCGTGAAAAAATAATAAATAATACCACGTAACTGCAGGTACTGTTGCGTCCGATTTCGAAGACCTTTGCAATTGCGTAGAGCTGCCGTATGACAAGGTCCGATATTATCTCGTTCGTTCGTACCGTAGACATGCGTGCGTTGATCGGTCTTTGTTCGAGTGCGTGATAATATTATTGCGAATCCGATACACGGTATTCTAGTTTTTTTCGAATATTTTTTTATTTTTTTTTTTTCATTTCTTCTACGATTTTTATTACGACCGCGTTTCAAATACGGCTCGCGCGTCCGCGTGTATAATGAATAATACGTTGTTGTTGGGTAATGGACGGATTGTGCGAAAAAAATCTTTGGGTCACGTGCGCACGATATTTAAAACATTTGTAAATAATTATGAACGCACCCCCTCGACATAGTACGCCATCTACACGGAACTATCTATTGAAAACGCCGAAATAGCTCTGGAGTTATTATTATAATATGTACCCGCTTGACGTTTCGTTGTTTCTTTTCCAAATGGAAAGTATACATTTTCTATTTTTATAAAAGTTTTAAACGTGTATTATACCGTTTGCATGTAGATAGACTGCTGTTATCAACTACTGCTGTTTAAAGGTTTATTTTGAATTTCTATTTGCTCGCGCGTGCATATATTAAAATGATAATACGAATCGATTATCACGTATCGTTTGATTGTTTCAGAATTACTCGAAAGAAACGAATCAGAAACCTGGCGCACCTCCACCACATACTACATTACAAAGACACACAAAAGCTAATCGTAATGTTTTCATTCCTAGGTAATGATACCGGTTTAAATATTTTAATTTATTTCGATTGAATTTGAATTGAGAAATAATTTTTTTTTTTTTTTTCCTGTAGATTTTATTATCCATTTGGCAAACCTGAAAGTCAACAACAGTGGGATACAGTTGTCAAAACAATCACAGACTTTTTCCTATCGTTACCGAATTCACAAGCTTCAAAACATCATTTTGGTCAAATTTCAAAGGTACCTAACACCATAGATTAAATATTATACTAAGCACAGGGCCCTAATAACACTTTTCAGTGCCTCTATCCACACAAAATTACCTCCTCTTATTAGTCTACCCATATCAATTTTCATTAAAATTCTATATTTTCATAATACAGTGAAAACTCTAAATACCGGACACCCTTAATCACTAAAATTGTGTGCAGTATCCAGAAAAGAAAAAAAATAAAGTGCATTTTAATAACCATGTTTATACAATAATATATTGATATATATGTTATATAATATATATATATAATTTATGTAATAAATGTCATAATTTATTCAACATAATAATGATATTATTTATTTGTATATGTTATTATTTAGAATTATTTAAATCGCGAATTATCAAATTTGTATTTTACTTTTAATTTTCACCCAAATTTCTCACTTTTATCTATACATTACATAATTATTTTTAATTTAAAATAAAAATGATTTAAATCAAAAGTTAAACTGCCACATAAGTGTTTGTTATATAGAGTGTCCCATATTTAAAGGTTTCCCTATAGATCGCAGTGAAAATATCCCCATTTCCAAAAAAAATGTCCACTATTTAGAGATGCCTATTAAGGAATGTTTCACTATTTATGAAATCTGGATTTAACACCCCTTTCTGTCCTCACAAATGCTTATAGGCTCCTGAGCCAGTCTTGCCAAGCCCTAGATACAACGTTGACTAATTATATTAATTAAGAATTACATATATATATATATATATATATATAATCTGCTAACTGATGTTTTATTATTATTTTTGTTACAGTTATGTAACTGCCCGCTTTATTGGAAACAACCTTTGTTCTTTGCCTGTGGTGGTGACGTAACCAGTACAATAGATGTAAACACCTTCCTTAGTTATTGGAAAGAGTAAGATTGATTTATTAATTATTATTATTATATTTAGTACTTATGTAATATTTCTTAATCGATTATATAGTGTATGGTCTTCTTGCCACGATTTGCCTTCAAAATTTATACGCATTTTGTCAAGAAACTCAAAAAAACAATCGTTATCACCTGAAAACTTCATCTTATTAGTCCAAGATGTGGTCGACTCGCATCCTGGTTTAACATTCCTGAAAACTGCACCAGAGTTCCATTCAAGATATGTCCACACTGTAATAATTATTACTTTCAAATATTTGTAAACTTACGTGCTCATAAAATTATACATTCTGTTATATTGTAGGTAATATCAAGGATATTCTATACTGTAAACACATCATGGAGTGGCGACCTTAGTCTAGCAGAAATCAGACGATCTGATCTTATGCGTGTTATTGACTTATTAGAAAAAGAAGAAGACATCAACCAAGTAACTGCCTACTTCAGCTATGAACATTTCTATGTTATCTACTGCAAGTTCTGGGAGCTGGATCGTGATCACGATTTATTTATTAGTAAATCTGATTTAGCCAGACATAGTGATCATGGTAAATTCCATAACCATTTAATAACAGTTTATAGAAATATTAACAAATAATTCTAATTGGTTATTTTGCTATTTAATTGTTCAGCTTTGTCTACAAGAATAATAGATAGAATATTTTCTGGGACTGTTACCAAAAAGAAGCAAAAGAATTCTAATAATAATTATATGGAAGAAAAAATGAGTTATACAGAATTTGTATGGTTCCTAATGGCTGAAGAAGATAAACGACATCCTAGAGCTGTTGAATACTGGTTTAGGTAAATTATTGTCTACTATTTATTTTAAAATTGTATTATAAATTTACATATAATTATTTTAGATGCATGGATATTGATGGTGATGGATATTTATCTATGTATGAGCTTGAATATTTCTATGATGAGCAGTTGCAAAGAATGGAAAGCATAGGAATTGAATGTTTGCCTTTTGAAGATTGCTTATGCCAGGTATTAAATACAAATGATTACTTTTTAAAAATAATATTACTTTTTTTTAGCAATAGTGTTTTAACCTAACAAATATTTAATACGTGATTCATACAGATGCTTGACATGATTAAACCAAAATGTTCTGGTAAAATATCATTGGCTGATCTCAAAGCATGCAAAATGACACCAATATTTTTTGATACATTCTTTAATCTTGAAAAGTACCTAGACCATGAACAACGTGACCCATTTGCTTCGCAGAGGGATAATGAAAATGAAGTGAGTTACAAATTATTCTTATTTAAAAATTGAAGTTAGTTTTAAATTTACTAAATAATACACAATTTTAAGCTTAACGAAAATGGAAATAAATATTATAAGGTTGGTAATTTAGTCATCTACCTACAATTTGTAGATTTATTATTATGCGTTACTTTGTTGAGTTAGTTACATTATTTTGTGTAATATTTCAGGCATCTGATTGGGATAAATATGCTGCTGAAGAGTATGAAATGTTAGTTGCCGAAGAAGGAGGAAACGATGCTCCCGAGGAAATGTAAGCTATTTCTATTTTTATAATATTATTGTAGTATGATACAAAATTATTATCTGTGGATTCTATCACCTGAAATTATAAAAAAAACAATGGTGATAATATTATTACAGAATAACAGATGAAGACATTTGAGGGGAAAAATGTATAGGACAGTGGTAAGTGGCTGTGGTCTGTTGTGACGTCCTTCACTGTTGATTAGCACAACCCTATAATTTTGTAACACTCCCTTTTTAACTATACAATTATTCTTTAGTTTTGGTGTTTTATTTATTTTTCAATTTTTTTTTTTTTATATATAATCACAGTAGTACTAATTATCTCACACCCTATAACAGCAACAGGTTGTTGTGTTTACTTTAGCATTAGTAATTATTTTTATAATTCATTAAAATGAAAAATATGTTTTTATTAGAAATGGAACGGATATTGAAGATATTCTATCGCCTAATCTGGATGACGTGTTGAAATCATGTACATTTAATAAAATATCCAATCAGCCAAGAGTATTGGTTACCGATTTCTCTTCACCATCTAATATGTATGATGAAAACGATTCATCTGACTATGCTGGTGATAGCGATGACGATATTTAGTTCACAATTTTAATAATTATAATAATACTATTAATAATTTTATTAACATAACAACGTTGCTTCTTTGTAACAATGGGAATCGCAGACATTATTATACCAAAGAAAATAGTTGCTCATATTGTCCTCCTGCTCCCATATATTTTTTTTGTTTATTAATTAAACTTCTGTTTAAAACATAATTTTTCACTGAATGTTACATAATAATTATTTATATACGTGTTTTTGTTATTAAGCTATACCTTAAATATGGTAATTATTATTTTGTTTTATTATGAAAGATTAATCCTTGTTATTTTCAACAAATTTGTAATAAGAATTAAAATGGGTGGATATTTGCCATCGGCCAGATTTTATATTTGTCATTATTATTATTTTTTGTATGAAAATTATTTATAAATTGTAATATTGTAAATAATTATTTCAATTTTTAACTAGTTAAATTAATGTTACAAATAAGTACTATATTTATAATTAATTCTGTAATATATAATTTTAAAAAAGAAACCAAAATATCTGTTAAATGTTATAAAAATCTTTTTGAAATAGTATTAAGAGTTGTTGTGTCCTTTCTGTTAAAAACAAACAAATTATTAACATAGTCTAGTCGAAAATAGAATGTTATTCTAGTACTACTAATAATGACATTATTTTGTTAATTACATATAATTAAAAAGAAACCAGTATGACATATTAAAACCTAATTTCTCTTTCTTTTGATTTTTGTTTTTTTTATTGTCACAATTAATGAACCTTCTAATCTATTTTATTATGCATAAACTTGTATATTTTAGTAGGTATTCAATAAATATTATACTGCGCATTTATTTTGTGTTTCAGTGGAGCATTCTGTACTCTAGAACAATATTGATTATTTGAAATTGAATAAAGCAATGGTTGTAAAATATTTTTAAAATTCAATAAAGTATAATGTACTATAGTGAATGAATTCACTTTATAACAATCACAATGTAAAACGTCATACAAGTGTATACAAGTTCAACTGGTTACATGATGGTTTAAATCTTTCAATAGACTCAATAATTATAATTATTGTACTTATGATATATGTACAATATATTTAGAATTTATTCATTTCATAATATTTTCTTCTTAAATTAAGATTTATTGAATATTTGTTTTGCATTTTAGTGATGTTTTTTTTTTTCTATCACTTTCTGGCATATTACATAGCCATGCTATATTATAGTCTGTAAATCTAAATGCATTATTACTTATTTTTATGATTTACAACTACTAGTCATTTTTATTGAATAGTATAATTAGTGTTTAACATATTTTGTAAAATCTTAAGAAAGTTTCAAGTATTGTAGTTAATAATAATAAATGAAATCAACAAAATAAGAATCATTTGTATGATTTTTCCCTGGGAAATGTAATCTTATGCTTATATGAACAAAACCATATTAATCATTCTGTCTTTCACTTTATAAACACCTTATTAAGATATTTAAATTTCTTCAATACCAACAAAATTTTTTTCATAATTTTAACATAAATAGTATACAAAAATCATATGTTAAATATGTAAACGTGTGTGAATGAATTTCAAGTTATTCAAATTGCTTGTAATGTTTGTAATGCCATGGTCAAATTGAGTTGATAGCAACAGTGTTAGATATTTCTCACATTGGTGGGGCATTGATTGGGTGACAAGTTTTATTTATAAATCATGTATTATGTGTTTTATATGTATGCCATCAAAACAAAAATTGAATGTCTTCAGTAACATGAATTATTTTTCTGGGTTATGTATTACTTAAATTATAAAGCATATCAATATTTTTATATTGACAATTTTGAGGTGAATATTTTTTTTCAGCCTATCTTTATTTCTAATGTTGTATTTTTTGAAACTAAATATTTTTTAAATTTGTTTTTTTTACTAATCTATTTATATTGTATTTTGTGTATTATTAGAATAATGGCCTTAAGCAACTTATGTGTTTCAAGGAGTAAAGAATTGCAAAAGATACTTAAAGGGGTAAGTAATATAATAACCATTCTTACAAAAAAAAAAAAACATTTTTGTCCTTAAAAACCACAAAATTATACATTTTTTGTTAATTTCTATGGACTTTTTAAAAATCTTTAAAGTAGTATTATTTTCTACTTTATGAAGAATTTTATGTTTATTTGAGACTAGTTATTTTCTTTTTTTGTTAAAACATATGTATACTTTATTAACCAGACATATATTTATAGTTCCAATGCTTACATAATAATTTATTGTATATTATCATTTTTATCAAATAATATTAATTGGCTATAAGCTAATATCATGAAGAATAAAGATATCTTTATTCTTCATAGATAATACATTTACATTATTACCAATATGATGTAATACTGCAGTCTTAGGAAAAACGCTGTAAGTCCAATCAAATTGAAAATTGAGATATACATCAAAAAAATTGTAAAATTCAGACATTTTAGGTCAATATGCCACATGTCTGAAATATTATTCTATAAAACCACTATTAGCAATATTGGTTTTGACAAAATGCTGTAAATGGTTGAAAAATACATTTTTACTATGCAAAAACACCGTATAACAACCATACTAAGAAAAAATGTTTTATATATTAATGAAGATACGGCATATTAGCTAAATAGGTGTATAATAAAAATAATAATTTGCAGCTTTTATACTTAGTATAGATTGTCGTTTTACTTATCGTAATATTGTAACCAATAAATTATCAAAATATTATAAATGTTAATATAATAATATATAAACTTTACAAATGCTACAATATCAATTATTTATTATTTATACAATTACCTATGGATTCTCTTCACAAGTCTATTCAGTACAGTTTTCTATAACGATTATACTAAGGATCAATGTAAAACTTAAGTTAGTACTTCAGAATTTATTTATTTTTATTCCATTGCATTTATTAGGTAAAATATCATTTGAAAATCCATATCATACTTTGATAAGTAAATTGTAAGAAGTATTATGAATTTTTTAAAATCCAAAATATAAAAACCCATTTTTCTCAAAAACATTGTCTAATGACTAAAAAGTGACTCTAATGACTAAAGTGTCTACCTAATTAGTATTATGTTATAAAAAACTATGCTAGCTTTTATGATTTATGAATTTATAACCAGTTTGCTGAGGATTTATGTTAATTGTAATTAATTTACGGTTTTGACACTTTTAATTGTACCTAATTAATTTTTATCTTTAATTTGTTTTTAAATTATCTATGTAGTTAAATAGGTACATATCTAACCTTACAACAAATACTATAAATAGTCAATTTATAGTAAATGTTTGCATATAGCCACTACCTGTTCCTAGGTATTGTAATCATATCATAGAACAAATAGTATGTGGCGTATAAGCATAAAACAATATAAAACTAAGATTGAGAACATATGACCTAAATCTTCTGAATAATTATAGGTACTAGACTGACACCACTGTTATTATCGTCACCGTTTTCAAAAAATATGTTTCACATTAACATAGGTAATAATAATTAAATCAGTCATTTCAAAAAGGCCATTTCTCCATACTTTTTCAAAGCTTGTTTTGTGTGATAGATGTGTTTAACTAATAATACATATTTCCTATCATGCCATCTTCAACAATTCGTTATGGTCTAAATTTAATGAGTGCGCTCGAACAGGCCATTTCTTCAAAATATCTTTAATAGTAATATTATTCATTAGGATTGTATTAACCCTTAAGAATATTTCTAGGAATTATAAAAAAGTTGTTTATTGTTATTTTTTTAATATTTAGAAGTCAAAAGGTAAACTATATATATATATAATTTTTAAAATGTACTGAAAAAATTGATATATTTTTTTGTTGTACTGAAAAGTTATAGATTTGTTACAGACAATTCTTTTTTTTTTTTTACTACTTTGTAGTTTACAAATAAAACTATTGCAAAGAATGCATAATATATTTTGTATGACTTATTATTTAATTTTATATGGTACAATTTATCAGATTCGCAAGGTTATAATCAATGTAAACATGCAATCTATTGAAATAAGCCATATCTCAAACACATTAATTCCTTCATAAAATAATCCAGATTACGGTAAACTTGTTTTTTTATAAGGGATTTAAATAATTCAACCCTTATTCAGTTTTTACGTTTCCTGAACGTTTTCATTTTTTGGAGAAATAGCCTTTTTAAAATGATCGATTCAATTATGAAATGGTCCGCTACTCAGGTACCCCGAAATGTTTTGATTACTGTGCAGTATTTTACCAATGGATATTCAGGAATCTAAGACAGTCATTGTGATTTTTAAGTTATTTGCTGATTACTACGACCTGGTTATTGAAAAGTGCCAATAATAAAAATATTTGAAAAAAAGTGTTATAAGAAGTAGAAGAAAAAATGGATTTATAAGGCATATATTTTAGAGGAAAACGAAACTAATACTATTGGACACTTGTTCAGACACAGTATCTTCATAAGGAACCTCTTTGAATGAAATGTCTTGGAGAAAGTAATTAAAGGACGCCCGAAAATTTCTTACTTCCAAGATCTGAAGCAGCTCATGGATGTAACATCATATTCACAGGTGATGAAGTAACAAATTAAATATATGGCTATCACAAGGCACGGCCTTTAAATAATGATATTATATATTATATTTATATAGGCATCATTATATATGTAAATGTAATTAAATATTAAAATAGTTAATGATAATTTAAGTTTCGAATACCTAAACTAAATTACAGTTAAACAAAACCATTTTAAATAATAACGTTTATGAATTTCAAATGTAAATTATCAAACATGACGATTTTTTTTTTTTGTTATCAAGGTTAATTTTACTGAGAATTTTGTAAATAAAATGTACCCAGGCCGCCAGTACCTAAACGTTCTGTTCTTTCAAAACATCGCCAAGTAAGTGTAGTTAACGAAAACATAAATAATAAAGATTAATTTTTATTTATGATTAACAGGTACCTATCGTGTACGAAATTTACAGAAAAACATAATTTACACCATAAAACAACTCGCCGCCATTGTAGGCGGTAGGTAACTATTTATAGACCGTGAATAAAGTCGTAGACTCTAATAGCGCTCTAGCTATTAGTTTTTATTTAAGTTTTTTGAATGTATATATAGATGCGAGTATAATATTTTATCCGGAAATTGCTTTTACGAGGTCATATAATAATATATAGGTATACTGTTATTTTATATACCCTCTAGAAGATAATGGCATTATTAATGATAAAATTACTATTACTATGCAATAAATAATTGTCGTAGTTTTGTTTTTTTCAATCAAACTAATTTGTTTAGATCCTTGTTTTGTCCTTGCCCTTAAAAATTAAAAATTATCATTAGGCAAATTTTAGAATTTTACAATAAAATTTGGTTTTACAGTGAAATTTTTTTATTATTTTTTTTTAATCTGTAAACAATTTGTCTACTCTAATTTTGCTCCAATTTTCAAGGGTAGCACAATTTATGAAATGAAATTAGACTGGGATAGTACTTTATAGGGGTCATTTTTTGATTTTCCCAGCCGTTTTCATAATAAATGGAAAAAACAGGAAAATTTACAAAATGTTTTAAATTTTTTGCTTTTTGTCGTAATTCAATTCAAAATGTTCGTAGAGACTTGAAATTTGGGTAAAAATTTATTTTTGACTTTTTTGACATGGTAAAATTTTCAAAATATTTGAGCTATTTTTAGGCATTTTAATTTTACGTAATTTGTATTCGGTAGATTAGAGGATAAAATGTTTAGACCAAACAGAAATGCATGAACATTTTAACAAGAGATTCATTATATTTGTACTTAGTGGTCAAAAAGAAGAAATTGAGTTTAGTGTATAGTATTTTTTTTTTATTTAAAAGAATTCGAATATCAAATTTTGACGAAAATCGTAAATCGCCTTTCAAAACATGTATAACCGAAATCTGCTCAAAATCGTTTTTCGTTAGCAAAGATTATTAGAAATTAATAAACAGGTATACATTAAATTCCTCTCTATATTCTACCTGCCTAACTACTCACCTACATTAGTGGCTCACCAATCGTGCAAAGTATGCCCGTCATTTTAAATACCAAGTTTTATATAGATTGTAGGTACTATATTTTATTTAAAACTCGCCTCATTATCACAAATTTTTTATTAAGTGTAGTAAATTTTTTTTTAATAAGACAGGTACATTTTTATACCATAATACGAGGGTTGTTGTAAATAATAATTATGAACAACGACGTATTAATATGAACGTCAGTTCTGATGAGTCGTTTAGTTTGTAATCGTTTTTATTTTTGCTCCAAAGGCCAAAAATGTACCGATCTTTAGCAGTTTCATAATTTATTTAATGTATTATAATTGATTATTATAACTGTTAACACCGCGTCAGTACAATAACCAGTAAAATCCAGTTTTTCTAAAAATCTGTTTTTTACATATAAATGTTAAGAAAATAATTCTCTATCGATCAGTGCAATAACAAGACATGTAAAATGTGTCCAATAAATATCATGAAAAATATATCACCTAAATGTATTATGAGTATTATCTACCTACTTAAATTACTGTTAGACGCAATAACCAAATAAGTCAGGAAGTTAGGTATTTTAATTTATTAGTTTTAACTTTAGTTAGAAAAAAAGGGCCGGTAGTTATTTTGAACACACACAAAATGTATAAATACTATATTATAGTAAAAAAGGATGTCCTACATAATAGCTCTCTTTAACATTTCAGTGAAGCTCCCCATTATACTCATATGTAAAAAATCAATTTAAAAGTTGGTAGATTTGAAATTTTACTTAATCTTGAATTTTTTATTAGAAATCTACCAATTTTTAAATTGATTTTTCACGTATAACGGTAAGTTTCACTGAAATGTTAAAGAGAACTATTATGTAGGAAATGTGTCATTGTTTGAAATTTATTTTCATCACCTATAGGTTAAGGACCACCCTAATAATAATTTATATATGGCATCAATATTTCGTTATTTTAAATTTATACGCATTATGTTTTCTACCAGAAATCTTACTTCAATCAAAAAACGACTGGAAACCTTGACATACAACCTTTCTCGTCCGGAAAATGAGGCGGTCGCATAGCGGATTATCCAAAATAACCTAAAAAAAATATAATTTTTACTTATCTTATAATATTGTTTTTAAATTGTTTATAATATTCGTTTATAGAAATATTACAGTCAACAAAATACTAAAATTATCTAAAGTATTTAAGAGATAATGATACACATATATGCTTCAAATTGAGAATAATGATTTGCGATAAGGTAATATTTGGTCTGTCATGAAATATTTTACATTATTTGTACTTTAGTTTTAAAATAGTAATTAATTATTAAATAGCTGTGATTTATACTAAAATATGTGTACATACATATGTAGGATACTAATTGTTTTGGTAAGTATTTTATATTGTATTTACTTATTAATAAACTATTTAATTCATAGGTATTTTAATTCTTAAGTCTTACAAATAAATTCTTAAAAATAGGTGACTTCTTCCTCAAAAGTTTCACGTGTATCTCCTCTATAGCATATTTGCTTATTGTTCTAAATAAGAATAAACTGTAAAAAAATATCTTAACTTAATTAATACAATTTAAAAGAAAACTTCACACGATGGGAGGATTAGCCACTGTTGTTGGTGAGAAGTTGGGAAGGTAGGATGCAGAGAGAAAATTAATTTGTATCTATAAGCAACAATAAAACATTCTGAGTAGAGTTCAGTTGATAATGATGCTTTGTTAACAATATATATATGCCATATTATATTATTATGATAAAATAATTAAATAGGCATTACATATTTTCTTTATTAATATTTTTATAATATTGTACCGATTAATCCGTTTTTTCTACATTTGTCCCGGTTTTTAACACTTGCTGGGAAACCTTTTGGGAAAATCGAAAAATGATCACCTTAAAGTACCTAACCAATCAGATTTCCTTTCGGAAAAAATGCTATCGTTGTAAATCAGAGTAAAATTGCTGGTAAAAACGTTGTTCATAGAAAATAAGATCCTAATATTTTATTAATATATATATTTCGTACATTTTCCCTTTTTTTTTCACTTTTTCCCTTTTATTGGGAAAACTGCCGAAGAAATAAAAAAATTACCTACTTAAAATACCACCCCAAGAAAATTTCCTTTCAGAAAAGGATCTAAATTATATGCATAGGAGTAAGCTTTCTGATAAAAAAAAGTGTTCACATAAAAAAGATAAAAAAGATATCTACATCTTTGTAAAACCAATACATTCATCACTACACTAAGAATCTAAAAAAAACATGTAATTTGGACATTTAAAATTTTTTGATAAGTATTTTTGGTTTGTGATATTTGGTAGGCTTCTGAAATCCACTGCGTTGACAAACAAATTTTTTTTTTTTAAAATATTTAAATTATTTTAGTTAAAATTCTTTTGTCATAAATAAATAGTTTAATATTCAGTAAATACAATATAAAATACTTACGCAAATACCCCCCACACATTGATATATTCCATAGACATTGCATCATATCCTAAAATAAGATTAACACTATTTAAATGATGTTAGGTATATATTGGATAAATCGTATTTTATTAAATAAATTAAAATAATAAAATTTAAAAAAAAATAAAAAGAGCTGAAAAACGAGGGACGAGCACGGCCATTGTTTTAGGTAGATAGTGGAGAAGGTGGAAGACATAAAATTATTTAATTTATACCTATAACTAACGATAAACTATTGATTACGAAAAACAATTCAAAGCGAAATTCGGTTATACATCTTTTGAAAGGTCGTAATATTTACGATTTTCATCAAAATTTGATATTATAATTCCTTTATAAATACAATACTAAGAACATAAAGCTCAATTTTTTTTTTTTTTTTTTTTAGTACAAAATAAGGAACCTCCTGATAAATTTTCAAGCATTTCTGTTAAGTCTAATAATTTTATCTACAGAGTACAACTGAATAAAAATGACGTACATAACTTGTGAAATTAAAATGTCTATAATTAGCTCAAGAATAGATCAAATATTTTTAAGATTTTACTACGTCTAGAAAAATCAAATGTAAGTTTTTGTCAACATTATTAAACAAAAAAAATTTTAAATCTTAATAGAATTATTTTGTACAATTTTTCCGTACTTTCTGTATTTTTTTTCCAATTTACTTAATTATTAAAATAAACTACAAAGAAAATCAAAAAAATGACTTTTTTGTTCACCAGCTAGATTTTAAATTCAACAAAAAAGATCTGAAAGGTATCGTTTATCAACTGGAGCAATATTTATGATAGAAAACATAAGCTGTAAAAATGTAAAATAATAAATCGTAGTGCCATAATTTAGAAAGAATATATTTTGTGTTTTTTTGGTTTTTCTCAATTATTAGATAAACTACTTTTGATATCGAAAAACGACTTTCTCTTTCAGTGCCTACGTATCAAAAGAAACAAAACCTAACCTAAATTAATTAATTAATAATTAACCAATAACAATGTTGGTACAGTTTTTGTATTTCAACTGGTAGAAAAAATAAAAATACACAAGTAATATTATTGGTAAACAATAGCAAAAAAATAATATATCTTCCATAATTTGGTACAATAACCAGTTACAATGTGGACTTGACTTGTTATTGCACTGATTAAAAGTTAGAATTTTAAAAAATTTTAAAACTCAATGTAAGGGCGCCCGGAGCTGAAAATTCAGGGGGAGATAGCCTTAATTTTTATTAATAATTAAACACTTGTATTATAATGTATTATATGTATTTTAAAAAACCCTTAAAAGGATTATAATCTAATATTAGATTTTACACTGATAAATTATAGTAACTATAATTGAACACAAATTTAATATTATTTTATTTTTCCCAAGTTCATTAACAACTCTTTCCGCTAAATTAAGTTCTTCGATTTTTTTCCATAATACATGTTCATGTCCCAACTTACTACATATACATAATCCGGATAAACGATATTCACACATTAGATAACCGTAAGTCAGTTGTCCACAAAAAATATCTGCAAATGATCGGCTGTAATGGTTGGTACCATAGATATTAAAGAATGGATAGGCCATGGTCAGTAGCGTATATAGGAGAGGGTTTTGAGGGTTTACCCGATCCCCCGAAATTTATGGTTGGTATGGCACATATGCGTATTTATGAATCTATTTGATCTATGTATTAACAAAAACTCAAAAACATTTTTGTAATCTCCTCTCAAATTAATTTCTATATACGCCACTGGCTATGTCTGTATTAAGAAAACAAAGGGGAATGGCCTAGAATGGGGAAGAAAAAAAAAACTTTTTTTATCAATGCTTCTCACTCTGGCATAGGAATTATCACAAGATATACTCTATGATTATTATCATTGCAAGACGTACCTAGATATTGGAGATTAAAAATCTTTTAATAATAAAAACATTATTATGAATATAAATTATTAAATTATATTGTACATGTTATATTGTTATTATTATTTTCATTATTTGACTTATTTACTCTTAATTGAATTCTTAATAATATGGTTGTTTATTTATTTTTGACAAATAAATTAATATCTCTCTTAATACTGTTATCTATTTGTGATAAGCATAGCTGGTCTATCCATTCTTTAATATCTATGGTTAGTACCACGAGTAAAGACATATCTTTAATATAATAAATCTTTACTCGTGGTTGGTACCAACTACAAATCATAGAGCATAAATCATTATATAATATAATAAAAAAATTAGCTGAATTTTATTATCACGGAGTATACCTACAGACTAGGTACCAATCAAAGTGTATTGATAAATATCATACACCTTGATACCAATGACGAATTTTAGGATTTTGAGGTATTTGGATACAATTATTTTAACGTTTAGGAAAGCTAGGGGAAGTTTTCCCCCTGCCCCCCTTGTGGGTGCCCTTGTAATTAAGATATTTCAATAGTTCTTACTTTATATATCATGTTCAATTTATTGTATCCCAAAGAATATTATAACTTTCAAAAATTATCCAATAATAATATATTAATGAAACAATTGGAAATTATTTTTTTTATTTTCTGAACACTAAAAAATTTGGGCAAGTGATTATTGCACTGGTACCTCCAATTCTTACAATTATAGTGTTGCTTTGGAGGATATAGGTACTCCAGGATAAGTTCTAAGGTCTTCCTCTTCTTTTCTTGCCTAAAACCTTCTTTCTAAAATGGCATTTAAAAATTTGTTTTGTAGGTACTTATGTCGTATCAAGTGACCAAATAATTTTGTTTTCTTAGAATTTATATGATTTCTTAGTAGATTTTAAAGAATTTAGAATAGGCACTTATCTTAATAGATTAAGGTAAGTGGTTTATTTAAAATTTAGCATAATGACCATAATAATTATATAACTTATAACACCAAAGGAATATGCTCAATATGTTTTTGTTTACCTGCGGTTACTGTTTTTCCGATTCAGTTAGACTTCTAGGAGCAAACACTACTAGGCCTTCCTTCTTATAAACAACAACCTAATCCATTTCTAGAATTATCTCATATATATATACATATCTCATTAAATATTTATTTTCTTCTTCGAATCAAAATTACTAAGAACGGGAGAGTAAGTCATTATATTTTTTAATTTATTTATTACTTATCAGTATGAAAATTAGTCAACACACATTTTTTCTTAAATTCTCTTAGTGCCAAAATTAACTGTAACATACATTGTTTACTATCTAAGAAAATTATGCATTACAATAATTCTATTCAATTTCATTTTATTTTTTGGCCCTTTTAATTTATTAATAGCCTAATCAGGGTCTACTTTCATTCCATCTTCACTAAAAATCATTCCCAAATAATTGATTTATTTATGTTTACAAACAAACTTTCCTGGATTAAATTTTTTACCTATAAATCTACCTACAGCTATTTCTAACACTAACCTCACTACTATGTCATGTGATTTTTCAACTTGAGCAGCAATTAATATGTCATCAAAGTCAATTTTAACATTTTGTAAATCATCAGCCTTGAAAATGTATCGTCAGTTAAATTGATATAACACTGAATAATAAAAATTCTTCAGGAGACACTATAATATAGTTATTTTTAGGTGGTACTATTAATTAGAAAGCCCAATTAAAAAATTAAAATTGAATTCATACAAGGAAATATTAATTTGAGAGTTACAATA